AAACACTGAGCAGTCACAACACCACTCACATTGCTCACGGGAGTCGGACGCGGGCACGGTTTGTAGATATCTTCATCAGAGGTCAATTTCTTGTCCAAATATAGTGGCAGCAAAGCGCAGACTTCAGAGTGTTTGAAGGTCCTCGTGGGAGCACCAAAGTAAAATGAAAAATTGGGTACTTCGTGATAAGTGTACGGGTATGATACGGAATCCTGTCAAATAACAAGCGAAGACGAGACAATAATCCAAATGTGGCTTTGCCGGAGATTCAGTTCATGTATTCAGTGGATTGAATCCATAAGGAGGAAAAACCACTGCGGCCTCTGTGCGGCAAGGTATTCACCGAATCTTTCCTTTATAATCCGAATAACATCTTCCTCTTCATCGTCCTCCAGCTCTGTGATGCTAATGTGATGGGAATTATAGAGCACAATCGCGTAATCATACTTTGGTGACAAAGGTAGTATACGCTGGAGCTTGAAGCGACAATGAGCACTTAAGTCCTCTATAACGTCGTCCATGATGTAGTGCCACAAACTCGCTCGGTTGTCCATTGGCGGTGGTCGAGGGAGTTGATGCCTTTGGTGGTAGTCGATAAAATCTTGTATGTCCACACCAAACCCGTAGAATAATTTCTGAGGTTTGATGTATCCGGGCTCAAGCCTCCAACGCCGGACGTTGAAGCGGTATTCTTCAGGAAGCGTCTTTTCCGTGGAACATTTTGGAAGGTCTTCAGGTTTAATCCACTGTGGAAAGCAAGTTTGAAAAAACGGAACAAGCAGTGCGAACATTGCTCACACTTTTTGCGGGATTCGGACGCGGGCACGGGTTATAGATCTCTTCGTCTGGGATATCCATGGATGGTAGCTTTGGAAGGTATGTATCTCAACAGAAGTTGTGACTTGAACAATGCGTGTGGTATGTAATAGTATCCTGTGGACCTCTTGCTGAAATAGACGCCATGGATGCGGGAATTGAAAGTAGCGCTGGGAAATAAAGGGATTTTTGCTGGAGACTGAGTTTCGAGTTCTTTCAATGAAAACTACACGTCAAAAGTAATTTCCTGCAGAGGACATCGTACTACTTATTTTCTGCGCAATCTCTTCACTTTCTTGATCAAATCTGGGCTGAATCCCACTGACTGGATCTGCGTTCTTTGCAGTGCTGCTGAAATGGTCGGTCATGCTGCAATTTCGTGCTTCTCAAGTGACACGTTGTTCGAGGGAGAATACTTATGCAACTCAGGCTAGACTGTAACCTTCAAGAATGTTTTGAGTGCAAAGACTCAGAAAGTGGAAGAAGTTCAGGAAAGAGATGTTCAAATGGGACGTTTGAGCACTATCGGGCCCCTACAGACTGCTTTCGCGCCGACAACCTCAAATGCTGTATTAATATCTATTTCGGAAGTGATGGAATTTTCTGGAGGAATGCTGCTTCCAGTCTACACTCAGCCTCCCCCGTGCCTTCGACAAAACGATCATATATCGAAGAAGAATTGCTCGAATTATGCTCATTGAATCTTCGATACAATTGCGGGAGGCCCTCAAACCAGCTTGTGCAACCTCCATATCGCTTCTTAGAAGCCCTCTAATCTTTTAAAGTAGTAATTGAGATTTTGCGGGCTCCTTCACCACAGAGGCGCGCATCATGTAGAGTGACTCTTCCACTGTCGGATCACTGTATCTGACTCTCTTTCGTCCATAACCTATAAGTACAAGTTGCAGGAGAATTGTGCGACAGCCTGGCGCCGCACTTCGCACACAAATTATCCAAGGTTCGTCGCTAAATACTCTCGGCTGAAGTGGATGCTGCTGTATTTCGTGTGAAAACTAGGCATGTTTTACATGCCTGATAATTATTATTAATTTGCTAGTAGCAAATGGAGATATAGTAAGTCTCTCCTCCAAATATTGTTGCACCGTGATTTGAGTTATGATTAGCGGGTTCCAAACGATCTATCTTTCTCTACCTTTGTCACGGTCTTTCAAAAATTGAAAGCTGTTGTCTTTTCGGTAAAACGCAAGAGGGTGGCAGCCAAGGTCCAGTTCCCAACATTCACGACTTCATCTCAGTGGAACTGCCTTATAACTCCTGGCGAAAGATGTCACTCAAGGGACTGATTCTCGCCAAGACGATGGAAGTTGCTTCTATGTTGGTCATCCACCTAAAGTGTGGACATTGCGTCAGGCTGGCTGCTCGGGTCATTCACTTTTAGAGTCAAATTTCTCAAGACATGGGAATCAGGACTACAATATTCCTGTACGGTTTGGTAAGTGTGGTGCAAGATTTGTCTTCATTCTTGCGTGCTAATGAATAATTACCTATATTAAAACAGATCATCCCTTGCGCAACTCGCGACTGTCAAAATACACGGCACGCTTAACACTTCAAGTCTTAGTTGAATAGCGCTGAATCAGGAAATCCAAAAGGTCATTTCGATCTCAATGTTGGCTAGAATCTCTGTCTCCTTTTCCGTATGTTGTTTCCCAATCTCGTATCAACGTGCACCTGCGGTTTTAGCGTGCCTGCAATTGTAGTGCTTGAGAGAAAAAATCTGAGATATTCAAATGAATTGCCAACGAATCTCTCAAGAGTAGTTTTTGACCTCAAAGGCTGTTGGTGAATCCTGGCCCTGGCTGACAGTTATTCTTGCTCTCAAAGTAAATGACTTTCCTTTGCCGGTATCCTCAAGAGCCCTCTGCTAATGCTCTAAAGTTGTTCTTAGGACTCAGAATCATTTCACGGAGGCAAAAGAGAAGATTCTTAGATATTGTTTACAATTGGAGGAAAAGGAGGAAACGACACGGTCCCATCACAGTCCCATTGAGCGATCTCGGAAAGTCTTACGACAAAGGCACGGTCTGCGAATCGGAGTCTCTTTGTCGTAAATCGCAGAGTGAAATCTTACCACCCTCTGGAATAAAGGTGGAGCATAAATCAGAACTAGGTCATATATCGACTAAATCATTTTTGCCATTGTATTTGGTTTTAGTGAATCATATGAGTTTTCTGGTTCTGTTGAAGTTTGGAATTTTGGAACTTGGGCCTGAGTCCGCTCGAACTCTATGAGTCACAATGACCAGCGATTACCTCCAGGCTGGCATATCCATAATCGATAGCGGTAGGCGTATGCACAATAACTAAGTGCTTACACTAATCTGGCTCGGTGGTGTTCTTCATCCGAAACGAATCTGGACAGGAAGACAGAAAGCTGGCATGCACCAATTTCAACGCGTCGACGACTTGTTGTCCTACCCAAGCGGGTAAACTCTCTCATCGTCAGAGCAAGACTCACATATCTTTACAAAGCTTCCGTATTTGGTTGAACGTCTTGGGTATAAAGACTGAAGAAAATGTGCCTTCAAGAATCATCTCATTATCCTCACTCACTTTCACTCACACCAACCCAGTCAAGCTCTTCATTTTCATCATGTCCGTCGCTGTTCCTCCCGGTCTCTACCAAGTTCAGGTCACCAGTAATACCAGCCAGAAGGTTGCAGGACCTGCTTCTGCTGGAGGCAACATCACTGTTAATACCTCTACCGCTCAAGTTGTAAGTGAACAAGGCTCCGGCGTAGACCATCGACTCCTTTCGCTCCGTTCTTGTTTCAAACATCACTGACGATCTCGACATTAGTGGCAAATTACTGGTGACGGAGTGATCACATCGTTCCAGACTGGAAGCTCTGCTACCCAAGCTCGGACACCGAATGTCCCTGCTATTTCGGGAAACAATGTAGTCGCTGATGCTGGAACTATCGCCCAGCAATGGATCATTTCGGGAGCTAATCTGTAAGTGGTGTCTTTTTTTGAGTGTCCACAGTTTTGCCACTGGGAGAGCTCGAAAATGAAGATCATGGGCTGATTTGTACATTCATTTCCTAGCATTTCTAACACCTATTGGACCGGATATGTCATGACCAGCGATGGAACTCAGCTTTTCTGGGGTGTCGATGGCAGTAATGTAAGTCATGCATAATAACTCATTCCTTCCGGAGCTAACGTAGCTTCGCCTTGCGTTCATCTTTGCAGAACGTACGCGTTACAGGAACTACTGCCAAGACTCAGTTCAACTTCATTCCTATCGCTGTCTAGGCTTTACTTGCCACCAGCATCCACAAAGGCTGAGCACTTACTTGATTCAAATGGTGTCGTTCTTCTATATTGTCTTCTCATTGTATGAACTTCATATCGGGGAACCATTGAAGTTGTTCAACACAATGCCTTGGAACCCGCGGTATGTGTATGTATTCGTGTATTCCAGCTGGAAAATAAATCATTTTTGAATGACTTGCTCGATATATGTAAAGAACTTCGATTCGTTGAGACGGTTTCCTTCTAAAATCCGCCCGTATGAATAATACCAAGCTTTGATTTGTTGACATTTCCTTGCATCTTCGCCATCATGCCTACGGTGACGACTTGGATTGGGGTGGTACCGGTCGAGTTGTAGTGTGTGGAATCCAAAGGTTGGAGGTGTTCTTTTTCCTTTCGACATTCAAGTTGTATACTTTGCTCGCAATGAATCCTTGTTCGTTCAGTAATATTCGTCCTCAACCGACCCGAATGGGTGAATGTACGATCTTGCACAATCCGAAACCCGACTCGTCACCGGTCACCGCACAGCGTCTTTTCGTACAGCACCGCCATCTCTAGTCATTACGACGGTCGACGCAGGTTTGACCCTCAGGAGTCAGTAGCCCTTTCAAGCTTGTCGTCTATATGGTCTAGGGCCTTCCGTTTCAAAAAAAACTATTGGCAGCTGTGCAGACCTGTGCAGCTTGAAACAGGTTCGCAAAGTTGGAACCGCTTCCAGATTCCGAATTTTCCAGAACCCTGAAAACAACGATGATTGAAAAGAGGCGGCCAGTCATTCCCTGGATTCTCAGAGCTGGTCTCTTCAGTCTTTGAACTACCATTAGGCAAATCGTACATCACCTCGGGTCCAATAAGAATCCAACGCTATCGTTATTCGAGTTCTACCACACAAAAATCCCGATATGGTTCATGCACACGCCGCTCTTGTTGCTCTCTTTGTTTTCGGAGCTGTCTTCGTGCTTGCAGTCCCAGTTCCAGAAGATCTTTCCAGCGCTCTCGTAGCTCGGTCGTTCACATATGGAAAGCGCTCGTCATTGCCATCCTCCTCAGGTAAACCAAATTTTTTTATAGATGATCAAAATTCGAACCAGTTGCCTCAATAGGGTTCTCTATTGCCAGTGGTCTCGAGGGTGAAGAACGAGATACTCTCAGTCCCTTTGGATCACCCAAAAGCCCTGTTTTCGACCGTCATCCCGAACCCTATATCCACTCCGACATCACCTCTCAAACGCCAAATGGAGCGATACTTTCTCAGATAAACGCTTTAGTGCAATACGGGCCGCTTAGAAACAGGCTTCAAAAGCTCCTATCGAACTCACATCCTCCGGCTAAACCTACCTGGAATGCCCTCTTCGATATTTTGAGGAACCCTCACGACCACTCAACCAGAAGCAAATGTGACGAGATACTCAATGGCATAGAGAAAGTAGATGCGAACACACAGCTCGAGATAATCATTCTCTGGATTAATAAAATCATCACTGAAGCTGATAGACGGGAATTAGAAACGATTGTCGGCAAGTTGAAGGAACAACCTAAAGAAGATGCGTCTCTCGACTTTGTCGATGACCTGTGGTTGAAGTACAACGAAGAGTTGATGAACTATAAGGTAGCCCTTGTGCATGCTCTTCCTCGAGGTTTTCGAAGTCCTTAGCGTCCTGTCCTTGTCGAAGTCAAATGAAATGGATGGGAATGAATCTGAAAGGGTGGGTCTCCAATCCATCTGCCATGATTGTATTAAGCTGATGCGCTGTTCTGTACATCACTTTCTGTAATATGGAACTAGACGGAATGACTGGCGTATCAGTACGCCTCCAAGACTTCACAAAACATTTGCCTCAGGGTACTACTCTAGTACATATACTTGGCCCAGCAGGCGCGGGTTTTCCGATCACTTGTTATCTTGTTTCAGGTAGAGGTTGATGTATGGGAATCTACATAGCCTTAAACGGTCGAGTGGATTCGATTTTTCAAATCACCTACATAATATAGATTTTGTATTGTCACGAGCAAGCGTTGAATATTTACGCTTTGACCAACTGCTTTTTATTCTGTCTCGAACAGTCAATGCTGCGGGTTCTCCGTTCTTCGCCCGAATGCTCTATACCTCACTCTGCATCTTCTCAGACACGCTTGAGCAAGAACAAATGGATACTGTGGGATATACATACATACATCAAAGAAGCGATAGGAGCATTATTGAAAGGATAGTTGCTGTCATATACACGTTTTGGGCGCAGTAGTAGCACATTGTCTTCGAAACATCAGAGAGGTAATGACGGGGCATATAGGAAAAACATCACGAAAGAGGGGAGACCGTTTGACACGTTGCCGCCTCATGGTGTTCAAAGGAAGTGCACCAAAACCATCGGGTAAAACCCAGGTATGGAGACTATATTTCTTCTACATGTCCTCAGTCACGACTACAACTTTTCCGACCACCCTAGCATATTATGGCGCTGGAATCATCGGCTTTTTCACTCTCGCATCCTTTGGCATGAAGAAAATCTCTGGCTGTTTTCGCTGGATCCCGTTTTCACGGAACGATCTCTCCACAAACGTCATCCAAGACTTAAGACAGACGTTATCACAAAGAGATGCTGAGATTGCGGAACTTCGAGTATCTCTTTCTACTGCGGAGAATAGGTCGACGAAAACAGCACGGGAATTGGAAGCCTCGAGGAAAGAAATCGAACACGTGAATCGAACACGAACTAATTTGGAAAAGCGGGTAAGGGAGGCGCTGGTAGGGAAAGAAGCGCTGGAGCATGAATTGGGCACTCGAGCAGAGGAGCTGGCTACATCGAGAGAGGACGCGAACAGGATCCAGGAGGCACTGAACCAGACAAAGACGCTGTTGGATATGCGCACTGCAGAGCTTGAGGTCGCACAAGCGTTCCTACCGAGATCAGATCGATACGCGGGAGCAGACATCATGAAGATGGTTGAATCGCTCAATTCAGAGATCCACCAGACCGCATCCATCATGGCAGACGTGTTTTCACCAGACTTGCAAGGCCCAGGAACGGTTCTCGGTGATGGCGAAGTGGGATTACACGAGGCGGCTGTGCACACTGAAGAAATCTTGGGAGAGGGGATGACGAAGATACTTCAGACGTTCAACCACCAGGAAGAGAATATCTTACTCCAAATCGCGTTCCAAGCATCGATGTGTGCGTTCACCGAATGGATCATGGACTCTTGGTGTTATCATGACAGGGATTCGGAAGTCGAGGCTGTGTTGCAGGAGACATACGAACAACTACGAGAAACAGGTAAGCTGTGGGGCGTGCATCCTCGTTCGTGACACGTTTTGAAGATATCTTTGGGTATCACCTATTAGAGGAACAGCCCGTGTCTGCAAGGTGGCGTATCCTGACTCGAAAATACGTTCGAAAACTCTACCCTAGAGTTGAGCAACCGAATCTGGCCTACCACATCCTTGCTGCATGTGCCAACATCTTGATCACCTCCGGCCTTCACGAATCGGAACAAGGGCTCTTGGAAAGGCTCGCAGCACGGTTTGCCGACAGAGTAGCACTGATAGTTGAAAGAGCCGTCCATCTGAACAATGTTATTGGCGACGATATCACGTCTTGCGAGTTTGTGCCGATCTATTGCACGCCAGATGTCATTTTCGACCCCAGTACGATGGAGAACGCGACTGAAAACGGATCTGCGACGGCAGGTCAAGAGGAAATTTCTGTGCATAACGAGAACAAGATCCTTTGTACTACGGATTTGGGACTTTTGAAAGCAGAGAAGGTACATGGAGAGGAGGGAACTTGGGATAATACGGTTCTGCTCAAACCAAAGATCGTTATGCCATCTGCTTTGACCGCCTCGCCCACCTCATCCGAATCCCCTGATTGGAGGACTCAATCACTCCATGGTGAACAGGAAGAGTTGTAATCACAGCTGGATCTGTATTATTTGTCGCTCATTTTCAATGACCTTTTATGATATGCTGCAAAACAAACTTACCTTCATTAGCTAGTACGACCCACGTTGCCTTCTTGTCTATAGCATATTCCTATCATATTTACGACTGTATATTCTGCATATATTACTCCTGTAATATATTAACTGCTGACTGCTGTATGGGGTGCCCATAGAAACAAGTAACGCAAAAAGATCGAGCGACACGCGCACCTACTAAAGCTCGAAGACCCGAGCAGAAGTGTCCTTTCTCAGACGGTCCTCTTCAGCTGCAGCTTTCGAATCTCCGAGACTTGACTGAAAGTTTCGTCTGCAGCATTCCGGAAGAACTGTGCCGACATGACTTCGAAGAAACCAGACCGTGTCGATCGTCACAAACGCATTTTCACCAGACGAGTAGACCCAGAAACGAATGGATTATACTACTTCCATCGGGGAACTGTCAGTTTAGTATGGACTTTGACCAGGAAGAGTCTCTGAAACCCACACCAGACAGAGCGCTTTCACTAAACACCAGATAGATCATAGGCCCCGAGTGAATTCGCGTAGCATCGACCTCAATCTTTGACCTTCAGGCCTACTTGAAATCGAAACATGTCGTCTAGACTCTGAGTTAACCACTTCACAGTAGCTTGGTCTGACTGTCATTCATTTTCAGTCTCCCATCGCCTTCACGTACGGACCTCTCCTGGAATCACCCATCATAATTTTCTTCTTACTGACAGTTCCAATAGATTGTACCACATCAAGTATATGAATGTAATAACCTATATGAGGTAGATGGACATGAAAACGAGGTACAAGGGAAATATGAAGCGACTCACACTCATGAAGAGATCTCCTCTGCATCAATGACTTCTTGTTCAGCGGCTGCTTTTGCCTCTCTCTCTAATTCTTCCAATGTCGGGTTGGCTTTCTCCCAAGCTTTCAGTGCAGCCTCAAAAGCTTCCCACACTCTCCTACCAGCAAGCTCACCACCAAATTCACCATCATCCGGTAGATCCAGGGTTTGCGGTTCCTTCTCAGCCGCCTTTCCATTTCCATTTCCCTTATCGCTTCGATTTCCATCCGCAACTCCTTCCGGAGGTGGAGAGGGCACCTTTAACCTCACCACAGCACACTCGGCGTACAACGCACCAGGTTTGAGTACCTCTTCAGGTGACTCGGTGACGGACTTGTCAATAAGACTATCATTCTTGGCCTTGGGCTGATTCTGGATTGTTTGAGAGAGGAATTTGAACGGGGTCGGCAAGAATAGGACGTGCAATACCGACTGGACCGCAGCGACGGAGGATTTTGTGCAAAGGTGGAGCAAGGGTAGAGCAAGCAGGTACCTGAGAAACCGTCAGGATCAAACATAGAGTAGATCGGAGCACGACTCACAGAAAAACACCCATTATCGAATAACCGTCGGTGGACGTCCAATCTGCATTTAGTATACGAGCGACAGTATCTGCTCTACTGATACCAGGCGAAACCGTGATCGCCACGATGTTAGATTTTTGTGAATCGGAGTTCACGACGGGGATTGCAGAGCTATTACTGTCGGTTTTCGGAATCTGAGCGGCCGGCAGTGCATCCAGGATACGCTGCAGATGTCGGGTAAGGATGATGGTGCGTAAAGAGCGTGTTCCTTCTGCGAGAAATGTGGAATTCAGTGGAGGAGTTTCGTCAGATGTAAGTGAGTCGTAGAATGCCGATGAAAATGAGGGAGCAGAAGCGGCAGCGTAGAAACGGTTGACAACGTTGATTATACGAATGTCGCGTTCGGTAGGAGCGGTGAGAAGAGATGGAAGTAGGAGCGTGATCAACAGAAACGAAGCTAACGAGAGTTGCTCTCTCTCTACATCATCCTTCGCTTTTGGCTTGGTCATAAAGCGTCGGAGTGCACCAATGTGTGGAAATTCATGAGTGAAAAGCAGAGCGTCCAATCTCTTTACTTCGCCTGACAAAAAGTGTTTGCAGAATGACTGGATGGACGCTGGAGAAAGCAAATCACAATGCTCGGCATATATTTGTTCGTTGGACGTCGTTGTCCGGAGCACATCAACTATTAGAGAGACCCTTGGGGAATCTATTGGATCTGGTGAAAGAGCAATTATATGGGCTCCTCTTTCGGCTAGTTCTTGTAAAATGGTCAGTCCAAAAGGAGTGAAGCCTCCCTAGAACAAACGTTTCAAATCTACAAACAAGAAAGAGTTTGTCGTCACATACAGTGACCAGTATAGTCCTCGCATGCAAATCTCTTTCTCTGTTTGTTGCCCGGCCTTGTGAATATGTTCGCACAGCAAAAATAGTCGCAATAGCAGCGACGATGTGGAGTGTGTATTGAGTTGGAAAGTACTTGGAGCCCAAGACTTCGAGGATATTGAGAACCATGAAAGAAATCAAGCGCGACTCAATAATCAGATGCCGCTGCTTCAAGCGCCACGTGGAAAGTTGATTATCTTGTTTTGGCCCTTCTTGAAGTTCCCAAAGGTTCCCAAAAATATTCGCTTCAGAGAGCCAGCTATTATCTGAACGATATCTACTATTGCTCCATCTCTTTATCTCACCAGTAGAGGAAAATGAAGGTTCATTTCGCGGTTTCGATAATGGCTGGCGCAGGGCTGGCGAATGGAAAATTCTTAATAGCCCATGCATCAAATTCAACGGGCATGTAGTGTAGGGGTTATCGCGTTCGCTTCGCATGTTTGCCCTGCGAAAGGTCTCCGGTTCAATTCCGGACTTGTCCAATCATTTTTCTTTTTCTGCGCACGCGCGACGCGGCCCGAATCCAATTTTTTTTGAAGAAACTCCTCACGATACGACCACCATCCAGATGAGCGGCAGTCTCATCTCCGCCGTCTCTTGGGTGAAACGAGGTGTCGCCCTTCAAAATCCCTCCAAATATGTTTTGGACGATCAAGAACTTGAACGTGTTAGTGCATTAGCAAGAATCGAACTAGAGGACGCGCAGGTTGAACTTAAGAGGGCACACAATGCTGCGAAAAGTATGGGAAAGAGTGATATAGATGGAGAGGATGGCGACAGCGACGTGGACGTTGAGGTTATAGAAGGAGATAGGGATGGAGATGAGGGAGATTGGGTCGAGTGAGTTGATTTCTGTACTGAAATTTCAGTTTTTCTTCTTTTCCTAATTCTTTGCACAGCGAAGATGAGAACGCAATGGACGTTGATCCCGAGGCTGCCCCTCCAAATCCTAACTCGGATTCAAAAACGACAACATCAAAAGACGACGATCTTTCTCAATATAACTTGGACGACTATGATGATGATACACCTGGAGATAGTAAGCATTCGTATATCTCGGGGAGCCTAGTCCTAACAATACTAATTCGCAGATATCAGCCATTTCAGCAATATCAACAATATTGCTGTGTATAAAAATAACGATGAAGATCCTTATATCACACTAAAAGTAAAATTAACGATCCTTCTCGTCTATTCTTTTACCGAGTTATTTTTCTATATAGGACGACGAAGATGACATTGAAGCAGAACGCTCTGAACTTGAAGTCCTTCCCTCAGATAACCTCCTCGTCGTTGCCAAAACCGAAGACGAAATCTCCCAATTAGAGATCTACGTTTACGAAGAATCTGAAGCCAATCTATACGTCCACCACGATCTGATGTTACCCAACTTCCCTCTATGCCTTGAATGGCTCGACTTCCCGCCCGCTTCTTCATCATCTTCCACTATGAACAACGATCCTTCAAATCTAGGCTTCGGTAACTACATCGCCGTCGGGACACTCGATCCCGAAATCGAGATATGGTCGCTCGACGTCGTAGAGGCAATGTACCCAAACAGCGTCTTGGGTCGACCCGATAAGACAAAAGCCCATATCCCAGTTCCCCTTGGTACGGGTAAGAAAAAGAAAAAGAAGACCAAATCGAGACAGACGGAAAAAGCATACCACGTCGATGCAGTGTTGGGGCTAAGCTGGAATAAAAAGCAAAGGAATTTACTTGCCAGCGCGAGTGCGGATAAGACCGTGAAGCTATGGGATCTGAGTCGGGATCCGACGATTACTGGGGGAGAGGGTGGTGCGTTGCGGAGTTTCGATGTTCATAAAGACAAGGTACAGGCGGTGCAATGGAATGAGAAAGATCCAGCGGTATTGTTAACGGGAAGTTACGATCGGACTGTGAGGACATTCGATTCGAGAGCGCCGGAAGGAGGGGTCGGAGCGTTTTTGGGAAGTGATGTCGAGGCACTGAGATGGGATCCGTGGAACGAGAGTGGGTTCTATGTAAGTATCATCCTCTTTCCGTCTTGTGAAATGCCTGTTTCAATTACCAACTCTTACTATTTCGCTGTCTTAGGTTTCCCTCGAAAACGGCCTCGTGCTTAATTTTGACGCCCGCACACTTCCTTCCAGCTCCAACCTCGATCAGCCTTCCCCGGCACGGTTTACACTCCAAGCACACGACGGTGCTGCATCCGCTCTCGACGTGAACCCACATATCAAAGGCTGCATCGTGACAGGTGGAAGCGACAAACTAGTCAAAGTGTGGAACATCGAACAAAATGAAGGCGGGAAAAACAATGTCAGCCTGGTACAGTCGAGAGATCTAGGGGTGGTACGTGCCTCTTGGATACCAAAATTGAGACATGAACGAACTGATTTTTCTCCACAGGGAAAAGTCTTCTCCACCTCATTCTCTCCAGACTCGCCCCTCACAGTCGCCGCCGGAGGGTCAAAAGCCAAACTACAGATATGGGACGTGGCATCGAACGCAGGTGCGAGAAAAGCGTTCGGAGGGAAGTTGAGAGAGGCTGGAAAAGTGTTGAGTGAAAGGAGTGCTGAAGAGGCGCGGGGAGGTGTAGTTGGATTGGTTAGCGATGGTGAAGAGAGCGATGGTGAGGATGGTGAAGATGAGTAAGAAATAAGGCATTTAATTTAGGTGATAGTCATGCCTGATCTACGAATCATACTTTTGGCAATACGTTTGGGCGTTCAAACGAGATCGAATCGTAACCGGGCTCCAGTGCTGAACTGCGCTGAAGCGCTGAAATCTGGGCTCTGCATTATTCCAGACAGAACTCGCCTCAATTGCACGGGAAAGGAAAAGCCTTGTACAAATATTCAGACAAATTGAACGATGACCTCCACTACATTCCCCTTGTATATAGGTACGTTTCAAACAACTCTATCTCGTCTTCCCGGGACCCGTGTCACTAGCACATCTGCGTTATCCTCAGACAAGTAAATTGTCTTCCGGGCAAGTTCTGTTTGGGACCTGCTACTACTTTCCATGACTATAAACCCAACCCAGAAGCTGTTCCCAAGACATCCACTGGCTGCGTGCCGGTGGCAGGAGCTCACCGCTCCTTAACCGTTCTACGCGTATTTCTAGGTTCGACGGGACAATATCAGTCTCCTTGTAAGGGACTTAGATGATACATGAGTACGGCGGCTCGCACGGACGTAGATCAAGCGTCTGCATACTGCACTCGAAATACGTGGTATCGTACCAGTGACCTGTCGCCTCTTTGAACTTGTTCAAAATCTTGAATTCTCTGGGATGCGGCATTCGTCCGTAGAAGGATTCCTGCCGGTCCAATACTCTTTGCATCGTTGCCTCAAGTTTTGGCGACTCGAATTTAGACGCTGGCTGTCGGAGCTTAGCTCCAGCATACTGCCCGATGAATTCGACCACTATGATGGAGGTACTAGGTTCATTACGGGCTTCGAAACTTGGCCCACTGTCAGTTCCCTAAGCAAAAGGTTAGATTTATTCAGTCAGGTTCACTCCCAGGCAAGTCCAAGATACTGGTTATAGCAACGCACATTCAATGGTGCAGCATGCACAACACCAAGAGCAGCAACGCAGACACTGAGGATTCGGAGGTGCATTTTTTTAAGACGCAGAGATGGCAATGTGGAATAAGAGAAGGAGCAGACGAAGTAAAGGCACAAAGCGGATGGAGGCTAGCCGAAACGAATGCGACGGGGAGGGGGGGTTGAGTTGACCAGCAGCTTGGGGAAGGTGTTCAATACTCTATAGCTATTTATACCATTGCTCCTGGCTCATTAGTGTCTTTCAACCATCTCAACGGTAACTTAACCATCTGAACTGCTCTATCAGATAGGATAGATCCGACTCCGATTGGACCTCTGACGGTAAGAAAACTTCTGAAGATCCCTGGAAAAAAAATTCATTGACCGCAAGCAGGGGGAAGCGAGAAATGAAACTAAGTAGAACGCCAAATCTGCGTCGTGCTTCAGACCCAGGTTATGGTTATGTAGATTACAGGATAGGAAAACGAAGAAAACAAGGTGAGGTGTGACATTCGATTGGCTTCCAAAATGAGGAAATCCGAACGCAACGGTCGGAATAGATGGAGGGGACAGTAAGGGAATCTTCATCTTTCTGACGACGAAGTTGTCTCCTTTGCTCAGTGGGAAATAGAAGATCCATCACTCACCGTAAAATTTACTTGTTTAAAGTGGAAGCTAAGGCAAAGTGAATGTATTCCTGAATCAGAGATCGTCGGTGAAAAGTACGTCGTACTTATGTATGTATATCTTGACATAAGTATATCTTGACATAAGTTGAAGTCGTGACACTAATATAGTGTACAGTTCCAGAGTCTAGAAAAAGGGGCAAGAACGCATAATGATAACCGGTAGGATAAGCTGAGGATATATATAGGGATTAAAGTATACAACGCGCTATGTTGAATCGCTGGATAGTTCAAAAGAAAGAACGTTCACAGTGATGAGTACAGAATGACTAGAACAGGAAAATGGATAGAAGAGTTCCGAGGAGGGCCTACGACAAAACCTAACCACATGGACAAGTTATGAGCAGTATTTCCTCCTGTAAGCAACGAAACACGCACCGCGAGTAGTACAATCGCCACTACGACGATCAATATCAACATCAAGCACGCCGCACGTCTGCCGGCCTTTCGCTGATACTCATGCGCTGTGGTCAGTTCTTCTGCAGCACGAGATGTGTCCATATGTACACTTTGGATATTGTAATCGATATTGTCTATCAGAACAACGTAATCAATGCGGGTGCCACCTTAGAAGTATGTAACGGCTTACCGAGCATTCCGCCTTGTTGATGCACTAAGGTTCCCAAGTCTCTGAAGATTTCGGCCAACTCGTGCACTCCGGCTTCTATTTCTCGGATATCCTCCTCCCGTTCGTGAATGAGAGATTCTTGGTAGGCCAATTCATGAGGGGAGAGTTGCGCCTGCAGAAGTTGAGCTTGACGCTGAGAAGGTGATGAAGGTGGCTCGTTAGCTTCCCTGATGAGCAAACAATTCAATCACACCGAAAACAACTGGAAAAACCTCATATGTGCTCACGGTCCTTCGTTATCCTCCACTGCCATCTTCACACCTTGCACCACCGTTCTCTGTCGGTCAGCACTGAGTTGCTGCGCACGCTGGAAACCGACGAGGGAGAGTTGAAAGTCATGAGAGGTCTTCTGCAACGAAGCCTTTTGATGAGGCTGTAGAGGATCGTGCCGACGATGAAAACAATTTCAGGTAGCGCAGAAAAGGGAAAGTCGCGAGTGAAAAGATTGGTCGAATGGGATGTCTTAGACTGCTTACAAGCTTGGTCTGTTGTGTGGTAAGTTTCTTCAAGTCCTCAGACCCTCTCTTGGCCATGGCACGGGTAGTGTCCGTTAGGTCGTGCCTGCGAAGACAACAATCATTCCCCAAATTCGTTGAATAATTGTTCGCTGAAAGACCCACAGACTCTTCCTTAATGCCGCAGAATCTCTTCCAGTTCCGAGCTGGTCCACGAGCTTCAGGATCCCCTGTACATTCGCGTTCATCTTGAGCATCTGTAGCGAAAGACTGGACTGCAGACTGCGAAATGCTGCATCCTCTGGAGACTCGGGAGTCGCAAGGGAAATGTTATTGTTGGAAGCCCCGGGTCCAAATCCAGCTTCAATATCTTGAAAGCTCATGGTTCGAATGCTATCGAGGAGGCAAAAATTGTGACAGGTGTTTGAGGTGAGATGGAGGTAAAGAACAAATGACAATACAATCAAGTAACCGTGAGAATGGGCGAAAAAAGCTTTCAACTCATTTCAGCAACTCCATAATTTACCCAAAATACACTGGACTCTTTCTAATTCGAAAAGAAGGAAAAGGACCTTCTGAGGAATCAGTAAAGTACGACCTTCCCCGAGAAACTGAAATTGGGCCTAGGCAACGTTCAGGAATATTTAGCCCTTTTGCTTCATTTGCCCCTCGTTCCCTCTATGCGGCCAAAACTTGAATTCGAAATTGATTTTTCCCCATCTCCTTGCGAAGAATGTCACATAATAAGAACCGAGCGCGAAGATCTTCGCAACGAGCTCGAAATAGCCAACCAACAAATTGTCAAAATCACTATGGAAAAGGGGCGCCTTCTCAGTCAAATCGAGGAGTTGAAGAGAGAATTGGCGCGCCGAAATCAAGGAAACATACCTAAATCACGCGTAAGTGGACGCTAATGTATCTTTTTGTAACTCACATATCCTGTAAAGGCATCTCGACAACCATCTATCAAGCCGGTCGTGATCAGTGATGATGAAGGCGATGATCTCGCTCAAGACAACTTGGGACCTAGTACAGTTGATACAACCTCAATCACCCGCATCAAGAATAACAAGAGAGTCCGAAGTATATCCCCAGATGTGGAAATTATTGAAGTTGGACCTGTTGATAATGAGTTGAGTTCTCTTCTGAAGCGCCGAAGAGTACTATCCCCAGAATTAGCTCCAGTCAACGTGAGTTTTGGAACTGATTTGCTACTATGCTCATGCTAACGGTCCGGGTAACCAGGGCTCTCGTGCAGATGCAGCACATTTCGGGAACACTGACATTATCGAAAAGCCTTTGTCGAGTTTCACTGCTGTAAGTCTCAGGAGCTTGACGAAAGCTAAAAATCTGTCTCACGCTATTGTAGACACCAGGTGCCGACAGAGATACGAATGGTATTCTGCCTCACAAGGTAAGTTTCGCAGATCGTTGTGCAAATAGACCAGCCAATTGCTGTCTTCAGAAATCTACTCGCCTATGTCAAGCTACTCCCCCCTACACACCTTCTCAAGCTAGGGTAAGCTGCGAATACTACATAATTTGGCCGATTGTACAGAATCCTAAGACAAACATTAGGAAGAGTCGCATGACGTTGGAGAGAGCCCCAACGTAGAACAGCAGCAAGGACAGCAAGATTATCTTTCCTCCTTGAATTCCGACCGTGACGGTACAATAGACTGCGGCTCACGCAGCGCCTTTCCTGCTTCATCGACCAGCGATGTTTTGCCGCACATTGACCGGCATGCAACAGCCACCGAAAAAGATAGCGCACCTGTTACAAAGTCTATCTTCAATGGTGTTTCTCCACAAGGCTCTGCTACTGCGGGTGGCCTCGCTCATCTTTTCCTCGAAACGGAGCATGTTATTGGCGATAGCCCAGCGGTTATCAAGCATACTAAAGATGAATTGAAAAACCCTGTGCATGCTCCCTTCATCGGTGCTTCGTCTGCACCTACACCATCTTCATCTTCATCCTCCATTGCTGCCGCCGCACTTTCCTATTCTCATTCTCCTCTCCTATCTTATAGTCCATTTACTTCAAGTTTACCTCCTACTGTCGACCGAGATGCTGAGATGGTGTGTACTATCACATTCAACGTATCTATCGGACGTACAACTTTTTTTTTTTACTTACAGATACCTGCACCGAACGTTATACGCGAGCTTCTTGCTCTGCCAATTCCCACTGTGATATTTTATTTTTTGTGTATATTCGTCCCGTTACTGACCATGCCCAAGATTTCAAGTGACGTTGTGGACGGAATCAAACATGAAAACAGAGTTCCGGAACAGCCAGTTTCCTTCGCAGTCATGTCGCTTTCTTCTGAGTACCCGAATCAACAGGCGCACGATTCTAGCAATCATGCTGACTCAAGCAAGCACGGAAAGAATGAAGATCGAGAAGCACCCGCCACCACCACCAGCGTAAAAAGCTCTCTACATGGTGATAATCCTCATAGTACTGCCAAAGTAAAGGTAAATTATCAGCTATTTCAAACCCCTTACGTGGATGACTGGCTAATGACTCACAGGGGAAAAAGCGCTCACCTCAAACATCTCGACTTTCCTCAGTACCTACCATACTAGCTTTAGATCCTCTGTGGGTCGAAGCCGTTGCCGGTTTCTTGCATGATACTCCTGCCCTTATCATCAATCCTGATCCTGACATGAACTTTCGCGTTCCACGTGCACTCCTAGGCCAGAAGTACAAGATCAGTACTGGATCTTTCCAAGCTATTGTCAAGGCACACCTCAATCCGTCATCTACCCCCAATAACCCTCTTGTTCGTTCAATCCTGTTCCCGTTTTACGACCAGAACCCTGATCTTCCAGCAAAACCGGGAGATCCCGGAATCATCTTGACGAAACGCACTGATATCCTGGAAATTCAGCCTGCGACCATCTTCATCAACTACGATGGGCGGGGCAAGACCCCAAGTGTCTGGCTCTACGCTGGAGAGTATACATTGAAGAAGTGCGCAGAGATGACTGGAGAGCAGTTTTCTAGGCAACCTGTGAAGGTTGGTTGGTCAATCTTCACTTGGATCTATATTGAATCCACGATATTCTATAGACACAAGAGCGGTGGGGACGTACCATCATCACACTGAAGCGAGATAATGTTTGGGCTCAAATGCGAGCTCGTATTTACCTGCGAAAGCACAATATGCCCCTGACCCACGAAAATATCAAGACGGAATGCGACAAGATTCAGGCTGTCAAAGGGAATCCTGGGGTTCTTGACGTTCAGGATGTTATTGATGCTTTTATAAGGGGGGATGAGGTAGGCATTAGAGCGTCCATTCAAAATTTTGGTTCTCATTTGTTCCTTTCCTCGGACAGTGCTTAGATATTATCCATATGCAATGTGTCGCCTATGACCGTACATTCCTCGAAGATCTCCGGTCGAACAAGGCTGCATCCACAGTGACAGACTCGGATTCGAAAGTCGTGCAACCAACAATAAAATCGAAGATGAAATCACGGATGAAAGGAAGCACTAAACGACAGGGTATCGCTGCCGGGAGCGCACCAGAAGGCTCTGCGCCCGGTTTACGACGTTCCGCTCGAGAACGAAAGCCTTCGGGACGGACATTTTTGGAAGCTGACCCTGATCCTGACGTGCATTTGGATGGGTCAATGAGTGATCTCACTAACTCTGATTATCTCTACAGTTCTGGCGAGGAGGGTGAAGGATGATTGTATGAGCTCGAATTAGCTCACATATCGAGCCAAATATATCTTGGTCGAGGTTGGGATCGAAATTTTGATGATTGTAATTGTACTGAATTCCTTGTACACAAGTCCAGCAGGCGTAGTATAGTTCATGTACTAGTAGCGTACAGGGGGTGAATCTGAGCCTACTCATAATAGTAATACTATAATACATACTTTTCCGTTTCATTTCCGCGGATTCCTTCATTGCCATTGACGACCGCACCGTAGACGACCGTCCTCGTAAGTCTGACAGTCTGTAACCATTTTTGGTCAACCATCAAGCTAGTCCCAGTAGTCCCGGTTTGTGGGTTCATCGACATCGACATTTTCCCGAGTTTGTGTTGATACTATTTTTCGAGTTTCCCGCGGCTGCCATTCATGTGAACACGACTGAACCCAGATTCCACAGTTCCACTTCAACAAAATTTTGCTTCGAGAGTCCGAAAAGGACCTATTAGCATAAAGAGTGAAAGGGTCTTATCCTAGCCCCAGTACGTCAAATTACTTGGTAATATGCAACTCTTACGAAGAACACCGCAGAACGCCACAAGCTTTGCCAGCATCGAATTCCCCCGAATTCGGTTTCGAACTTTTCTTCTATCTTGCAGCGTGTACTTTTCAAACTGCACGTGGAGAGTACGAGATGATGATTTCGTTTTTGGCTTCTCTTATTCTTCCCTTCAAGCGCTACCTCCTCCACAGCCATATAAACGACGTTGCTCGCCATCTCCGTGATTCAGGATGTCAGACCGGTCATTGGAGCCTAAGCTGCAACATCTGAGTATTGTCAAAAAGTATTATATGCCCGGGGGTGATTTGTATTTCCAGGTGAGGCTTTAGTTGTGATAATCTGCGTTTAAGAATTACGACCAATGGACTTCATATCGCAAGGCCGAGAATAGTTTGTTCAAGGTCCATCGTTATTTCTTTGATCGAGAGTCCCCGAAATTTCAAGATATGCTGTCAAGGCCGCCGCCTACCGGGCAAGCGGCGTATGGTTCTCTCAACAATCCTGTGGTACTAGATGTGACGAGCGAGGAGTTTCAGCAACTTCTATGGGTGTTTTATAATCCGTGTGTTAACGCTACATGCCCATTATTTTGAGTTGCATTGATTTTCCTCCTTCAGGGTTTATACATACGAAGAAGCTAAACTAGAAGACTGGGCGTGCATACTGTCCCTCGCATGTCACTACAAGTTCCCCGAAGTAAAAAGATTGGCAGTCCGAAACCTGGAGAAATTAAATCTCGATCTTGTCGAACAGATTTCCCTGTATCAGGAATACAAAGTTGACGAGGATTTACTCATTCCGCTCTATGCACAACTATGTGCTCGAGATCGAACACTCAGCCTCCTCGAAACGCACAAACTGGGATACGAAACGGCAGTCATGGTGTTCCAGGCGCGGGAGCATCTGCGTTCCCCCGCAGACCGAGGGAAGAGTCCTTTGCCCGATGATATTGAGGAGGGAGAGGTTGAAGATACGATTCGTGATCTCATGAAAGATCTCTTCAGTGGAAATCCTAACGATAACCGTAAGAGCATTTCTGCTAGTGGCTGGGTGAACATTGCTCGCATTCGTCATTCGCGCGAGAAGCTGACTTGATTTCTTCTTCGTCATAGGCAGCAGCTTACGAAGAGGCATTAGCGACAATAAACATGGAACCCAAACCAAGAAGTATACGGAGAATTCAGAGGCCTCCTCCCCCTCCCGCTCCTTCGAGCGACACACCCGACGAGATGGATGGAATGCACAAAATGGAGACGATTACGGAAGTATCAACAGTTCGGACTGGGAGGACTAATAGTCTCTCCTCGCAAGTAACAAACTCTAAACGACGAGCTCAGAGTCCCAACGGAGGTGAGTACTACCGACTTCATCAGATTCATACTACATGCTGTTGGCTAACTGGGGCGGGCAGTGAAGACGTCTGGCCAGACACTGAAGAAGAGTCAACTCACGTACAAGAATCAGAATCAACAACGCCAAAGGAGGAAGTCCATTCGGAACACGTTACTGGGATTGATTTCACCACGCGACGACCCCCACTTGACGACAGACGAAGTTCAATGAGATGGAGTCGGGCGCGAACCTTCCGGACTGTTTCTACCACTTCTGTCCCTCCCCTTCCCGGGTCGTGGTCCGAAGCCTGACCAAATTACTTTCATACTGAGCAGTCTGTACATTCCACATTTACTTATCTTTTGGACGTTCTGTTACGATATGTATACACTATGTAGTTTGAATTTCCTGTTGTGAAGGGTGTCTTGGTAAATATATCTAGGCATTGTCGCCAGATGGAGGTTGTGACCTTGTGTATGATTACTATGATTGACACGAGGACCATAGCAATCAGAACATACATGAGCTGACAGTTTGAGAACAATGAGGCGCCGGTCAAAGCAAGAAATTGCGGCGTGTGCAAACAGATGCAAAGCGAGCGTTAAATTTTACCTCCGCGCGCTCAAATGCCTTCTTCCGTTGCTATAATCATCGAAGCTTCAGAAGTCTACATAGATATATTAAACTGAAATGAACAAACCCTGCAGCTTCCTTACGCTTGAACATCGCCTTGTCTACCACGAACCGACGCTGCGCTCTACCTCGAGGTAAAGGACTGCCAAATGTCTTCATACAACAATCGGCATACGTCTGATCGAACAAAACCCTATACAGTACAGAATACTACAATGAGGTCCGACAATATTGGAATCCCAACAATTGCAGGAACATCGGTTTGGTAACATGTGTTATACACGTGTAAATTAGCCGACAATTGGTTCAAATAAACCAGAATTTTTTTGTTTTCTTTCCTTCCATTTCACCAACAACTTATACATATACCCGTCGTTCGGTCAACAGGACAGACGACTTTTCCCCCTTCTTGACATGTTCTCTCACCAGTCTTCCGATTCGGAAGGTTTCACGGCTCTGCGCCGACATGAAGAGTACTACCTCACCGGTGGTGATCTCTTCTTCCTGGTATGTTGCTGCGAGTAATAATGAAAATCATATCTTGAACCTAACCTGCTTTCATTTCGTTTAGATTGAACAGAATCATTTCCGAGTACATAGATATTTTTTTGAACGAGAAAGCCAGTTTTTCAAACGAGAGCTAGCGACACCTGCTTCACCTGGGGCAACTCGACAAGGAACGTCCGAGTCGACAGCCATCGTGTTGGACAGCAGTGTCAAGGCATCAAGTTTTGCCAAGTTTTTATGGGTCTTTTACAACCCGTATGTATCCGAATACCTTGGAAATTTCAAGTCATCTTATAAGTTTGTTTTCAGTAAATATTCATTGTACAAAGCACGGGTGGAGGATTGGGTTGCGATCATGGAACTAGCTCACAGGTGGGGGTTCCACGAGGTTATGAAGCTGGCAACAAGAGAGATAGAGAAGCTAGAGATGCCGGATATCGATCGTATCGTGGCATACCACAAGTTCGAGCTTGACCGCAGCCTTCTTCTTCATCGATACGCAGCATTGACAGCCAGAGAAGAGCCTCTAAATCTAGAAGAGGGTATGGCTTTGGGAATGGACACCACGTTGAAGATTTTCCGAGCTCGAGAAGTCGCACGAGCTACTCCTGCTGCCGACGGTAGTCGCAGTCCCACCTCTGCCACGTTACCAGATGACGAGATGCAGAGTCTGATTGTTGATCTCTTCGAAATCCCCGAGTATTCTGAGCCATTGCCGGACGATGAGCCTCCGAGACCTCAGCCCACGAAGAAATCTCCGGTCAAAGCCGCCCCCGTCAAGAAAACGCAGGAGACTCCCTCAGCCGTACCCATTGCCCCAGAAGAACCACCTGCGCCACCTGCGCCCCCGGCTAAACCGAACCGTACTTCTAATGCTACAACTAACGCTACACCGACTACTGCCACTGCCACAACGAAGTCTACCAATAGTTCTGCTTGGGGTGCCACCGGTTCTACCGCCAACAAGCCTGCCAGTCCTTGGGGGTCCAATGCCACTACGAATTCTAAGTCAAATAATGCTTCGAGTAGTACGCCCGCTACTACCACATCAACCCCTCTCGCAGATGTTCCGCTAGCGTCCACCGACGTTTCCCCCTCCCTAATTACCACGGTGGATGAAAGCGGCAAGGATGCTAAGGTTATTGACAAGAACGCTGACAAATCTGGCGATAAAGACGTGAAGAAGGCTTCTCCAGGTGGATTGGTGAATTCTGTTACCCCCCTCGTTCCAGATTTTGCTAATCCATCCTCGCCTTCTCAGCAGGTTCGACCAACACTTCAGGCGGACTCGGTGGTATCACGAACACCCTCAATACTATGTTCAACCAGCTCTCTACCGATGCAACTAACAACGACACATCTGGGGCCGCTACCGGCAATGGAACTGCAGAAACCCCGGCCTCTGCCGCCAACATCAAGGACTCAGACCTGCCTCGAAGCCCTACCCCTACTGGCGGAAACAAAAACAGGAAAAAGCCCTCAAAATGATGACAGGAGCGTAACTGATTCTGGATTGGATATAGACGGGGGAAGTGACAGCGGTAGTATGAAAACGGTAGAAGAGTTGTCAGACGACGATGAAACTCGGGTTGATAGCGGCGAACATGACAATTTTCACGATGATGATTTTGGTACGAGTGAGAAAGATGAAAAGCACGAATCGAAAAAGGGTGATGATGTGGTGAACGATGATAATAAGAGACAGGCGGAGACTGTCACTGTCAATGACGAAGAGGAGGTAGCGTCCATCGCTATTGATGGTGAGGCGATGGCTTCCTTTACTGCCACCACATGGGGTTCTCATAACCCTGGTGATATTATTGTCGAGGACGCCAAAACAGCGCTAGTCGCTGCTCATGGTGATGCCGCTGGTGCAAATATTGGTCTCGGAGCCATTGCAGGCAGTTCAGAAATTGTCACAACAGCGCAGGTCGATGATTCAGAAGATATTCCGCTTTCCAAACTTGTACCATCCAATACGCTATACCCAGGTGCTGCTGATGACACTGATCAGACGGCCCTGGAGTTTGCTACCACTACTACTTCGGAAGCGCCAGAGCCATCGATTGAAGTTCCCCTTGATACGGCGGCTGCGCACAACGATCTTAAGGAGGAAAGTCCCGCGGCAAATACTACTAATACACTCATACACACGTCGGAGGGAAAAGGAATAATTTCTACCAGTACTGCTAACGAGGCAACCCTAGAGCCAGGCGCAGCGGAACATACACCAAGTCTACTACCAGAGGATAACACGCAAAGTGTTTCTGATCAATCTGAGTCCATTCAGGCTCAAGCTCTTGAGCAAACTGAAAACAAGGTGACTATCAAACCAGAGGATGAAATGCAAGCCGTCTCCAACGGTCCCGTCCTGACGAAGACTCCCTTACCTGAGATCCTTGACAAGGGTATGTCAACTGTGCCAGCACCGCAAGTTGATTCCGAGAGCCTCGTTCAGGTTGAGGCACCACTACCTGAGAAATCTGAGGACACGAATGCGTCGATTTTACCAGCAGGGGACGTTTCCAATAGCCTAACCCAGGATAACGCGATCTCGTCTACGAATCCTAGGGACACGAATTCGTTGACCGTGGACTCGGGAGATCAAGTAACCTCCGACCATCTCAGTACTGAACTGGTCCCCGAGATTTCATCCCAGCAACATAAAGACACGGAGGCTATAGAACCTACATCTACATCAGAAGGGGACAAGGATGATTCTGTACAAATCAAGGCTGCAACCCCAATCCAGGATGACAAGGTTGCTACCGGTGAAGGGAACACTGAGCCATCTTCGGCCATCGTCCCACAGGCCGAAGCATTAGTAGCAGAAACACCAGGGAAAGGCGATGACTCGAAGCCTCTTGTGACACTACTTAGAGACACAGAAGCAGGAACACAGGAGCCCTTGACAACGACTCAGCAGGAGACGTTGTCCGTACTATCGCCGTTGAAAGACGAAATTCGGGCAGCCTCCAACAGTAACGGGGTTCAGCCAGAAACGCCCAATGACCCTAAGATCCTGGATGGAACTGATCATGTGTCTTCATCTGACTCGCCCAAGGTGACGAAGACTTCGTTGGAGAATACAACGTCAACGCAGGTCGTGGTTACCGTCGAAGGTTCAACTCCTGATGTTCAGCCTTTGGAAGCAGACACTCCGAACAAGGGCGAAGACGCTTTACCTTCCAACGTTAATCCTACCGGTAACAATCCGGTGACGATTGGGGATGATTATCCGTCGGGGGGAAACCACGACGAGGGAAAATCTCTCGATAGCAAGGAGGAGGAACCAAACTTGGGTGCAGCTCCACCTGTGCCGGATAAAGACGCCAATGTCGAGCCTGCCCAATCACTGGACCCATCAACATTGGATACACCTCCACCTGTGCCGGAGAAAGACGCCAATGTCGAGCCTGCTCAATCACTGAGCCCATCAACAGCACAAGCTCCGCCAGATGTCTCGGCATCTCTCCTGCCCAGTGAGGAAATGAAAACTGTCGTACCTGAGTCCTCGAAGGAATCGAAAACCGAAGGTCCACTGCAATTCCCAGACGGTGACACTTACGCAAAGAACGAGGAGGAAGTCATCCCAGGCATTAGCACCACCAAGAACGACTCGGATACTTCTAATCCAGCGAAACTTTCAATTGAAGCTCTACTTCCCGTCCTCACTCCCGATTCTGCGACAAATACTGTAGTTTCTACAGTCACGAAGCCAGGCTCCACCCCCGAAGTTTCCTCCTTAAATCCTCCAGACCCTGGTATTTCTCGTACGGAGCCGGACTTCTTTCAATCATTGAGTTTCAACTTTGGGGGTGGTGATGGTACTGATAATGCCTTCCAATTTGGACGAGAGACACCAGAACATACCACTACTGATCCGCACGACTCCACTTGGTCGAAAGATTATTCTCATATCTGGGATGCTGCACAATCCTCGGACGCGACCGGAGCGGCTGCTCGAAACGCCGTGAATAATCTGGATCTCTCAGCCTTCAGCGACGACGATGAGTTCTTTGATTTACCAGAGGGTCCACAGGGGGAAGGAGGTTTCATGGCGCATTGATTCATCTTTCCAAACTTCTTCAGATGATAACAATACGATACCCGGACAATCATTCGAATGACAAGCAATCGCGCCCTCTGCTGGCAGGACAGGATTCAGATAGTGTACGAAATTAGTATATGTATGTAGTTCAGATCCGATATAATTTACTATCACTCCAAATCATGTATTCATCCAATTCACCCTGCACAAGATTGCCAAACAAGCTTAACAAAACCTCTTCTCCCTATGGCACAGAGAATCATTATTCCCGTTGGTAACTGTCCGCCCTAGGGCATGAAGTTGAAACTACACCTAATATCGATCCAGGGTTTAACTGATAGGGTACAAGACAAACAGCAGTGTAGAATTCGTACTGCATCTGTTTGCGTCTCGTTAGCTCGTGTCGTTAGACTCGGATAGTCGCTACGAGAGACGAGGTGTAAGTACTGTCCGACAAGATTATGGTCATGGTTCGTTTTCTAGGAATGATAATGGATGAGGATACTCGAGTTCCAGTCAACGGCAAAATTACGACGAACCAGAACCAGCAGATCGTCGAGACTTTGTCCGACCCAATAAAGCATCCTTCCAGCTAATCTTCTCTTCGACCATTACCTCTTCTTCTTTGTGCACAGGATTTCGAGCAAGTCTCCTCAACCTCTGAAGATCAGCTGGTGACAGTGAAGAATTCGATCGTAATTCGTCCAAAATTGACTGCAGGACAGATTCCTGTGCGTTCACGCGTGCTCTTTCATCCGCAAAAGTATTTCTCTGGTAAACGAGGTGAAGAGAAAGAGAGACATTGGCGACAGAGTATACCATATGGGGAAGATAGCCCGAAAACAGTGGTGGCATTTGAGGAATTCGAGACCGCAATATTTTTCTCACACTCTCTAAACTTATTGATACATTCTCTTATTCAAACAAGTAGTGGTTGTATCAACCACTCTGAATGTGTAGAGAAAGGCAGAAAACCGTTATAAATATTAAGAATCTGATCCAAGCCACCAATCAAGTCCGACCATCACTCTCTACAACAGTTCCATTAGGGGAAATAGCTCAATGGCGATTTTGTGAAGCAGTGAGAGTTTGGTTGCAGGCAGCCTGGGCTTCATGCGGACCCAAATCTCGAATGATTCCAGCGGCTTTGCCGACATGAACACAGGCTGCTACCACAGAATCAACCAACCCCGGGGTAGGCGGTTTCCACATTACGTTTGGCCACTTTTTCCACTCGGCAGTCGGGATGGAATGTGGTAGTTCGTCTAAGATCGGTATGATTTTATGAGATCAATGCAATTGAGCTTCGAATTCAAGAGTGGACTGACCTGGTGGGTAGCATCTCACACGAAGTTTGAGACGATTCTCTCCGTATTCCATATAACTGTGCGAGGGTGATTTAACAAGGAAGGGCGGGGGAATAAGCATCATGAGATTGTTTTCGAAATCGGAAAGCAAAATGTGGTCGTGACGTTCTGCTAATCCTGAGATCATAGCATCAAGATAGACCATCAGATGCGCAGTGCGGTCTTCCGATTTTGGGATATACACCTGAACAAACCTTTCTCAGTCTGGTAAACTAAGCGAGTGCATCGACCGCTCACTTTTGTCTCTTCATAAAATTTTTCCTTGTTCGCGAACACCATACACTATTTGAAGATTGTAAAATCAGAAATTTCAATCGTATATCAAAATATCTAGACTGACTGTCCAATAATCACTGCATGGATATATATCAAAGACCTGCACGATGATTCTTTCCAATTACTCACGGATCGTTTTTGGCAGGCGAGAACATTCCAGGTCCTGGAGACAAATATGCACCTTCTCCAAGTGCAAGGCCAGAGGCACGAATTGCGGAAAGTGTCCCTAGGGCGTTGTATTCATAGGCCTTTTCCTAGAATGAAGGGTTCGTTTCCATACTCTTTTTTCCTAATGTCGGAAAAATATAAAAGGTACACACCCAAAGAACCATTCGCACTCCCACGAAAACTTCGTCTGCCTCTTGTTCGAATTTCTTCGGAGCCAGAGAATGGAAATGCGCGCGAACTCCCTCCTCTCTGAGCTTGTAGGCCGGTATAAGATCAGCGTGGGTGTCAACGGGTGCAGCTTTAGAGGACCCCGGATAATTGGGCATACAGTCGTTCGGGAATTCGGACAAATTTTGAGAAATTTTTCGAAAATTCCGTTCGATTTTCGGACATTTCAAGGCCTCTGACGACGGTAGGTTGTTCACAGGGGTTCGGACATTTTTTCAGCTTTGGGAGTTATATCTTCACGTGGGAGTCCGTAGGACTTTTGGAAATTTTTTGAAGCCTCCCCGAAGATCATTTAAGCGAGCGCTAATTTGCTTAAGCGCCGGAGGCTGGTCGACTTTCGGACATTTTTTGACAGAAATCCTGCGTTTTGGTTCGGACATTTCAGCCGAAATTCGGCAATTTTGGGAACGACCTTCACTCTGATTATCCGGGGTCCTAGCTTTAGTAGCCAATGATGCTATGACAAGCGCGAGATAGGTAGAAATAAGAAGATTAGAAGGAAAAATCATAACGCGAAGTTTGCAATTGTAAGGAGGCCAGCTCAAAATTTCGAAAGACTTGCACCAGGCAAGTATGTAGGTAGGAACGGAAGAAAATTAGAGGTTGTATAACCCGGTTGTAACTTCGAGGCTTTTATCAGGCTGAGCCAATTCTTGAGCGCAGGATCACTGTTAGGTACCGGTAGGATCATATACATACGCCCGACGGAGTCTAAGTCTGGCATTCACCGGTGAGCCCTTCACAAAGTTAGGTCTTCCTAGCTCAGCTGGTTTTCGTAGTGTTTTCGTTTGTGTTCGCATTCGAGGTTCGAAATGGTATACATAATCTAGACCCAAAGTTCCACAAGATTACCTTCGGGTTAGCTTCGGTCGACAGTGGTCAGGAAATAGAAATCACAAATCACACATGCATGCATTCAGCTGATGCGCACCATTGATTGGTAGCTTACGATTTGTTAGTACCCCCAATGTCAACCTCAACCTCGGCTACCGATTTGAAAGCTATCGTGAAAGAAGGATATGACGCGATAGCTCCAAAATACCACAGTTGGGCTGCTCCGCGATTGACACAAAAGCGAACAGAATACATCGAGAGACTCGGGAAATCGTTGCCCAAAGGTTCGAAAGTCCTTGAGCTGGGATGCGGCGCTGGGTTACCTGCAACACAACAGTTGGTCGATCAGGGTTTTGAGGTACTCGGCGTTGACATCTCATCCTCTCAATTGGCTCTCGCCAAGGAGCATGTACCCAGAGCACAGTTCATGCAAGGAGATATGACGGCAATTGAATTCGAGAAAGGCTCATTCAACGCAGTCATGGCCTTCTATTCCCTATTCCATCTCCCGCGCGACGAACACGGGCCTATGCTGAAAAAGATGGTCGACTGGCTGAAGCCGGGGGGCTGGGTGTTGTTCAATCTGCACACGGATGAGAAGGATCACATGAGGGATGATTGGATGGGTGTAAAGATGTTTTCGACTGGCCTAGGGATCGAAGGTAACAGGCAGATGCTGGTGGAGTATGGGGCGGGATTGATAGACGTGGAAGACGTGATTGACAAAGAGTTCGTTGGAAGGTTTGAGGAGGACTTTCATTGGATATGCGCCAAGAAAAGCTTTTGACAGTGATGTATGTAGGAATATGGGCCATGGTACGCCCCCGAAGATGGACATTCATTCGAATTTTAGTGTTGACCGTAAGAGGAGAGAAAGTGTTGAAATTCCCATGATACAGATACTACAGGGGCCCACAGAAAAATACTACAGGTACAACTCGAAAACAAACCTCACCAATCGATTTTTGATCAACGGCATTCAACAAGGTTAAATGGATCAAATCACGTATGTTTCCTACAAGAATACAACCAGCTGGAATATGTACCATGACATGCATGACAATCCGGGCCATGAACGTATGCATACTATAGTCCTGAAATTTGAAACAGTGTCCATATTAACGCGTTATCAATGCACCGTTCCGATGTCCTAGAAAAATCATCCTTGAACATGTTCATATTTAACCTTGTCCTATTATTCGATGTGAAATCAATCTAGGGGCTTCATCGTCATTTAGACCCTGTAACGACAATTGTCAGTAAACCAAAAACTTGATACAAAATGTATGATCAAAAATTGACCTGATACGCTTGGATTTCGAGAATGGGTATTGAATCCAAATCCACTGCTAGGCCTCCGTGGAGAGTCAAGCCCGTTGAGTCTGGGCCTTGGTGTTGCTGGAGGTGTAGCTTCTCCTAGCGGGGGTAAAGCTTTGAAGAGACTGGTGATGACTTCTTTGGCAGCATCTGGACCCACTTCGTCTGGAAGAGGACTTTTTCCTCCCGACGCCAGCGAACGCAAACGCTCCCTGGCTTGAAAGATAACGATGGTGGTCCGGAACCCTAATCTTGTTGATTCGTCGTGGTCGAGCGTGGCTTCCCTAGAGGCAAGCTCAGCGTACAACGGCACGCGGAGTTTCGAATCAACATCATGGTCTTGATACAGAACGATTCTGTCGACAAGAGGGATATCTAGCTTCTGAAGCTCCTTAATAGCGAGCTCCTTGACATTTGGGAAGTCCCATAGGTTGGACAGCTTCAGGATAGATGCCCATTCTTCGTAGGGCCGTTCGAGATCATAGAAATAGTATTTCCTAAAATATACTCAGAGAACGTCCATACGAAGACACTTCTAATTAACGCACGGGTTATAGAACACCTTTAGGAAGCTCTCGAATTCCTCTGGGGTGATATCGTAGTCGTCCAGAACGATTGCACTCGACATCGAACTCCCATTGCCATGCAGATCAAACGCATCAGAGATGGCGAGCCGTTGTTTAAAGTGCTGCGATTCGCGAATGAAGAAGTATGAGTGCACTCGGAATCTGTATTCGTTGACCTGTCGATCGTTGATGAAGTTAGTCAGTTATCAAGCCCTGAATGAGCAGCAGTCGTACGACGAGATGCAAGTCGCCACCACTGAGGAAAAACGAAGGACTCCTCTTGAGCTGTCGAAGATTTCCTTCCATCATGGTGAACGAGTTTGTTGTGGGTATTCAAAAGACGATTGTAAGGGGACAGAAGTAGTGAAAGAATATGACACAGATGAGATAGGTTGGTGCGATGGCAATGTTATCCTGCGCAGACCTTCGGGGACGATCTTGAAGTAATTCAAGAAGGTGAAGTCAAGGTTGCATACTTCATATCCGCGTCCCAGGCCAACACGTGTAGTCCGTGCTTCAATTCCATGATGCTGGATTCTCGCGATACTTTAATCGAGACTGAATAGATTGGATAACCAGCTAGGATGACCTGTGTCCACGCATGTTCTCCCGTTTTACATTCGTCATTATTGCTGAGGGCATTTTCTGAGGTTGTAACATGTAAGAAGAAGAGGTCAAGTACACCACGTTGATAGCGTACGTACGCGATAATTACATCGATAAACCAAAGTCACACGACAGATTGACATACTAAACCAGTTCTGCCCAAGCTTCAACATGCGCAGGCGGCGGCAGGCCACATCAACGCACCATTACCACGAATATGTATGCCTGTGCACGTCGAACAGAAACACTTGCCTTGAACTAGGCAGATCGAAATGGTGCATAGTTTACGCTTCCTTGATTTATCCCCCTTGACGTCAACGAAAGCAGATATCAAATTTGCGGAACGCAGGACAATAGAGCAAAGCCGTGCAAAGGCAGAAACTGCTAGTCATCTGCATTGCGATGCAGCCTGATACAGCGTCGTGTTATCAGAAAAACGAAAGAGTTTTCCAAGTTGGGCAGTCACAGCCATTTCAAAGCATGTAATATGGTACGTACCACTGGAAGGATCATGGAGCTTGGGTGAAACGAGAGTCGAAGATAACATGGCTGGCATATCTGCTTCTGGGACCCACATACAGGGTTTTCGAAGAGGTAGCGCAGTCAAACGAGCACTCATTCCAATGCTGCGTTTTGACTGCGAGGACGATATGTTAACAGACGTTTATCGATCCAAGGTGAAATGTAGATTCGAAATAGTTCAATGCAGTGGAGACATGGGTTCAGGGGAAGATTCGTTTCTGGATATAGGTACAAGTCGATGGCGATAAGTATGTGACGACAGTTGGAACGAGGGTTGCGAGAAGTGAAACGGAAACCTTGTGGCAGCCATTAACTCGTCCCACTTTCTATTCATGAATCTAATTGGAGAACGTCTTCAAAAGTCTCGTACGTTTCCTTTCCCAGGACCGCAAATACCACTCTATCAAATGATTTCTCGAACGGTGCACCTGTCTCGATCAAGAGCTCCTTCCATAACCTAGCAACAACCTCAACGTTGTTTTTGAACACACCGGTTCCGAAACTTCCTAGGACCAAGTTTCGCACACCTTTGAGAGCAAAGATGTGCAGAATCCGAGCCATACGCTCCTTCATCTCCTTCTCGATTCTAACTTCAAGTGCGCGTTTCTCTGACTTGGTCGCGTTCTTTATGTGATGTTTAGTACGGATGTCACCAGCGTTGACCGCGGCGCTGGTCAGGACGTCCACAGGAAGAGGCTTCAGCCATGAACCCGTATCGTCGCGGAAAAGCAGCACTGAAGGAGAATATATCATTGCGTGCGTGTAGAATCCAGCGTCCCGAGTATGACCTTCCATCTGCTCTCCAGCATCAGACAGGTCCTGTTTCTTGCCTTTACCAAGTCCGTTCCATTTCCCATTGTGCTTCATCCGTTTGTGAAGTTTATAGAACTCGTCTGCGTTCCGAGTTGTCAGAGAATAGTACAAGGTGGAAGACCGCGCGATACTTTCTTCTTGTGCTGAGGCTCCACTCAAAAATCCACCGCCGGGTTTAGTGGCAGATGCGAAGTTGAGCAGACCGATTTTGGGGGTGGCTGTGGGGGTGGCTGTGGGAGTCGCAGCAGAAGAAGAAAAATAGGATGATGCTGTTGTAGCGGAGTACTGCGCCGATATCTGAGCGGCGAGAAATCTCGACCCTTCCAACGAAGAGATTTCCTGAAGCGAGATATCTAAGTTTCGACGAATGTCAGGTCTGACCACCCTCGTCGCCGCCCAACTCGCGAGTCTCTTTGAATCTGGACTCCAAAACTCGGTTGACGACCTCATTTCGTTGACTGCAACCTTCAAGTCGTAGATGGTCCCGCCGAGTTGAAAGGAGCCGCTTTCAACAGCTTCGATGGTCTCCTCGGCAATACGCTTAAGATTCATATATCGAGGGTGATTACCATTCGAGAAGCTGGTTGTGTCGGGATTGCTGGTAGACGATGTGAGGATAAATGATGATGAGGGTGTCTGGGAGACATTCAAAGTGACGGGCTGGGAGGGTTTTCGCTCCGCAGTTTCAGGATATGGTGTAGGACGTAGTTTGGCCTGTCCCTCCGATGTTGTTCGGTTGACGGAGCCGGTCGCACTGACTCTTTTGCTTTTCGCTTTGGAAATTGGAAAAAAATAAGAGGTGATAGACATGAGAACCAAAGTGCGGGTTTACTGGGACGAGCTTCGCAGGAAGGGAATATAAGAAGGAAGGATTGCACAGCTCTGCGTAGATTGTGGGTCCAAAGATTAAGAGTCAGAAGGCGCAGGTGTACGCGTGTTATATTCCCAAATTATCACAGGCGGAACCGCGATGCCATGAGCACAAGTCAGCCAGAAGTCAGCGCCGTTTTGTCAAATATGACAAGCAATAAGTCAGGACGCGAAAAATAGAATAGGAATAGGATAGAGGGTCAAAAAAAATTAAACTAGAACCTCGGTGTAGAAGTCAGGAATGATTGTGGGAACGACGCGTCTAGTAGGTGGACGACTATCATGTCCTCGGCACTAAAAGCGGCCAAAAATCTTATTAGGTTCTTTCGTCCTGGTGGAACACCTCACATATATGACTCTTCTACTCCTCCTCTCTTTCAGCGACCTTCACCTTGGTGGGCCAAATGGACCTTTGCTCTGGTCGCGTGCGATGCCTTCATGACGTGAATATTTACAATTTCGAGCGCGTACACAACACGGTTACTGACATCCTGCTTTTTGCCTGTTATAGCGGTTCAGCCATGGACTTAACTTGGAATCACTGGTCGCAGCCGATAGACGGAAAGTCAGAGTCTGCAGTCCCCCCTCATTCCGAGTATTACACCCTTCGACCGATGTGGCAACGCCTGGGCCTTTGCTCAGGATTTTTTGTTGGCGGCGTTGGTGCTGCTTCTGCACTTTTCATTGCTGGCTTTCGATACACTAAAGTCCTTGACGTATTCCCTCCCCTTCAAACCATCGTTAACTCAAGCCGGATGGACAAAAATGCCGTGCAAAAAGCATTGGAAAAACGCCGTGTCTTTATCCAATCAGCGCGACATTCCCGCTCCCGCGGAATCACCTTTCCTCTCTCTCATTGTACCCTACATCGTGGACGAGCAGACTCTGAGCTCCTGCTCACTGTCGATAACGAAAGAGGACACTGGTACATTGGCCTCGACGATAAATCTATCATTGACGGACAGAACTACAAGGGAAGTGCTGCTCGTGAAGTAATGCTTAAAGCATGGAAAGGCGGCTGGATCAATGATGATCTGGCGCGCGCTGCCTCTCTACCTACGCCGCCTACGCCAAAGAAGAGTATAGATAAACAAAAAAAGACTCGTACTCACGTATCATCATCATCATCACAATGATATTTCCATCAACTCGATCTGCTTTCAGATTTTGGTCGATATCTGATCGTCTGCAAACTTCTAGGACCTTGAAGGTCTTTTCACTGTGTTAACGGCGTCCTTCCTCGGGCTCATTCAAATTGCTATATAGCACTACACTATAGAGACGGATTTGGAGATTCTGAATCCGCATTCAATGTATTGCTGAGATCTCCCGATACTTGATACTCCTCCTGCGTCTGCCTACATTTGTACAAACAACAAATCTACAAGCTAATCGTGAATATCCCGCCCCAGCCCGCCCCCTGACTTCGAGACGTGTAGGCGTGAACGTCGCTCGACCTTCGGCGAGACGTGCAATTGACAATGTCTTTCGACTCAATCAAGCTCATACAGTGATCTGAATCAAGCAGCTATCAGTATTCAGCGCACACCCGAAATCCTACGCGTAGTAAGTACACACACTAAACCACTGCGATCTTCCAGCGCCATAGAACCCTCATTTTCACGGGTCGCAATACCCATGGGCATAGCCACTATCTGCGTTTTCTTGCCATTATTGCCAGAGTTGCTATTGCTGTTCCCGTTCTGGTCTGCTCCAGATTTGGCTCCTTTGGTTGCAGCCTTGATGCCCTTCTCAGACTTAGATGTTGCCTTGAATAAATTAAGTAGACCGCCGCTAGAAATGAGAATTGTCCTTGATTATCGTTGAACAGGCATGATGAGGTGTTTCCTTACAGTTGTCTGGTTTCGAAATTTGGTTCTGAGGAATCGCGGACCTGCGAGCTGGTATCACTGGACCCAGAAATATTTTAATGTAAGTTTGTTGTGAAAAGATTTTGACGCAGTTTACGTTTACTCACAGACTCGTGTATGAAACAGGTGCACTATCAACGCCACATAACAAAGCGAGAACAGTCAGGAACGCGATTGAGGATGAAGAGTGGGATATCATATTGAAATATAGAGGATATGTCGATTACGGACGCCCTGAAGTTCTGCTCCTGGAATGATTTAGAGACCTGCTCTAAGGAGACTGAACTTGATCAGTGCGACCACTTTATAGCCCTGGCCACTCGCCATGTAATAGGCCTTCCACCCGGAGATGATCTACCAGTGGTATACTATAACAGCCTTCGCTCTTCCTATCTTTGATGTGTATACCCGAGACCTCATAAGTTTCAAAAATTTTGGAGGATCTCATCGGAGTCGGAGTCCTGCTCCCCGTACCTGATGCCTGTAACACTGTTCAATTTAGATAACCTCTGATAGTTCCCAATGCTTATGATCAAAAAACAAAAAGTACTAGATGGGAACGGCTCTAGCTCCTTGGCATGTATTTGAGCAATCGGAAGACTCATCTCGCGGGTGATTTTCTCGGACTCATAACGGGGTTACTATTGGCGTACTATGTAGACAAGATCGTAACTTGTACAAAGATGCACCGTCTTGTATTGAGTGCTTTACCCCGTTATGCCGCCCCTACATACATAGATTTTGAATAGGTACTAGGTAGGATAGAAATTACTTGATGCTTGTTGGAAGTATCTTCACACCGGAAAGAGAAAAAATTCCGCTCGACGGAATCGTAACAATTCAGCGTAACTGATATATCATGTGACCGCGGATAAGCTATATCGGGTATATCGCCGGTCACATGATATATCAGTTGCACTGAATTTTGGTATTTCCCACTGCGGGGATGAGCCGATTTCCTCGAGGCGAAAATGTGGGTTTTATCTCGAGGTTATGTACAAAAATATGGCAGCAGATATTTTGAAGGAATTGAGCTGAGGTTATGGTAAAATTATGAAAAGATAATTTAAAATAAGCACGGCCCCCCGCCAAATTCACGATAGCTTCACAATAATCGCCACACGAAAAGTTTTAAAATTCGTGCCCAGGATTTTTGATGAATTTTGGTAAAAATCCTTGCATTTTCTCTACATTTTCACCGCGAAGACATTGGCTCATCCCCACAGTGTCCGTCGAGCGGAATTTTTTCTCCTTCTGGTGTGCTTCCTGCCTGGCCGATTCTTTCCGCTTCCACGTGACTCACACTATTTAGTTTGTATTTCGCACGCGACTTTCCCTCAGCTGTTTAGATCCTCATCGGTTCAACACTGAGGGTAAGTCTTTTTCTGTCCACTGTACCTATACCTTTAGATACTAATTAGCAAGTAGCTCTTTTTGTTCTTCGTATAGGTACAATTCCAGCTGTTTAGATCCTCATCGGTTCAACACTGAGGCTCTTTTTGTTCTTCGTATAGGATTGACCTCTAAGAATGCTGTCCCAATTCAGACTGAATGAAATAGCCCCTAAAAAGCTCTGTGTACATCTGCAAAACTTGGATTTTTGGCTAAGAGATTGACAGTATTTCCCAGCATTATCTGGCCAGTACACTTGATCATCCAGGTTCTGCAAATGAACACCAAGTGCAAGCATCATCTTTAGTGGATACCTGCTCAACCACATGCAGTAAGGTCTGAAACAGATAGCATTCCTTGAGGTGTTAAGGTAAGTTTAATCTACGGTGTAGTTAGTACATGAGCGGGGTGTCCAATATACTCGAGCTCACCTCAGTTGGTGGTAGAACAACTGAGGGGCTCGGATACGTCGTCATGCGTGATCTATATGGTACTGTACAGTATAATGTAATCGGAGACGGTGTATACGGATAGGGATGGTCAAAGCGGGGAGTACACGTATGTGGAGTAGTAGGTGTGTGTACGTACGGAGTGTTCCCCAACACGAGGCTATCACCGAACTCGAGGTGAAGAGTGTAAAATGCAATCTCTGACCACTAAATGTGTACGAAGATACAAATAATTATTATCCATTGACATACTGACATGCCATGATAGCCAGATAATTAGAACAGGTTGGATCTGACACTGAGATTTTGGATGACCTGTTGATGATGGTGAAATAAATAAAGGTTCAGTAACATAAACAAGGCCGATTGTGCATATCATCCTACAACTGGATAGGGTGTAGAAAGAATACTGAGATAGATTAATGGCCTATGAAGGAATTAGAGCGATAGGTCTTCAAATTCAAATTCAGATTCTCATCTAATCTGTAAACGATCACGTGTGTGTTCGGGCGGTAATCAAACGTCTCTAGCTATAGAGTCTTAACGCTCGCATGGCCGTTTTTAGGTAACTTCGTCGATCCTCCTAGGCCCATCCATCTTCTACATATACACCAGGATTCCAGCTGTTCTTTCGCGGGACCTCCGACTACCTGTGAACCCAGGCGGAACACACATAATGGGAAAAAACACAAAGGCGCCATACAATAATGATAATCATATGGGGGTATGTTTTGAACATATCACGAATATCGCCCCGCTCGTATTGATTCCATATCTTAGGATACAGAAGATCTAATTGGATCAGACGATAGTGAATGGTTCGAAGAACTCACGCAGAATCTTGGTATGCTTTCACGTTGACTTTGGTGACAATAGTTTGCATATGCGTAACTCATACAGTGCAGTCTCCCGTCCCCACTCCGAGGAAACCAAAAATGAAGAAAACCAGTCCTGGTAACTTACAATTGTTCATGCTCATGACTGTAACTCATGATGCAAGCAGAATCGGTCCCAACTATCACGACCAAGAAGATTCCAACTGCCATCGATTTGCATACTCAATGGGGACCATCCAGTCCTTTCAAAATTTCTGACCATACTTCAACCAGATGTAAGCTTTTACATGCTGCTTTGGCTGAAAGTGTTTCATCGTATCCTCTAGTTCCTATCAATGCTCCTCGCGCTCCGACAGTGGTAAGGCTCTTTGCCCTCTCACAATCGATTCCACTGACATTGTCATGTTTAGCCCAACCTCACTTGGATATCAGATGAGGAAGGTAAGTGTCACTAATTCAGCAATATCGTTGTTCAGATTAGACGTATTTTCAGATGCAGGGGATACCGCCACCGATAGCAGCTCATCCTCGATTTTCGATCAATACTCCGGACTATCGCGGCAGAATACTACGAGCTCGATTTCATCATTTACACCGGAGTCCTTTACCAAACCGAATTCTGTGCGCCCGTCGGATACAGGTTCTCTTTCTCTTCGGGCACATGCAGTCCCTCAGCCCATTATTTTCGACAATCCGAACTCTGCAATCTCGCCTTCTGATGATGATTCTCTCGCGAGCTCTCCTACCCTATTCTCGCACAGCGCGCCTTTCCCCTCTGCTCTATCTCCTCCACCCACCCCGTCGGACTCTTTATCAGGATCGTTTCCTCCCATTCTCCAGAATATTCGCAAGCCATTCATTATCGCACATGATAAAGAAACTCAGAAGCTATTCGACAATCCCGATGGGTTAGTACCCTGGGGAGCTCAATACGAACTGGCTAGAGGCGTAATACTGAGAGAGTGGACTTGGGAGGATGTTCGAGAGAAGATTCACAATTTTACCGGAAAATCAGACGCAGATACGATGCATTCGGTATGCTATATCATGAAAGATGTGACATTACCAAAATTGCTAAAGACCGACATTGGGTAAGTACAATGCCTCTGTTAGGTCTTTGATTCGATGTTCTTCAAGCTGATGCACTTTCATTGACTCAGACAAGAAAGCGATCGCGAACAACTCGCGATATTAGAGAATCGAGAGCGTGGTTTAGGGTTGATGGGTCATTTTCAAGGCGCTGACCACTGGTTTGGCGGGCAAATTCAACAAATTGCGACTCTCAGAAAGACAGCACGGTGCACGCTAAGACTGCAACTTGAACCCCTGGAGATGCGTCGGTCGACTAGATTGGCTCGCCAATTTGGTTCCAGGCGCGTGTTGCAAGTTCGGATTCCGGAGGACTTGCTTCGAGGTGAAGCAAGGCGAGAAACGATCAAGTTCCTAAGCAACAAGTTCATCTTGAATGGCCGAGTCTTCGCTCCAACCCCACCGAAGGAAGGTGCTGTCTATTTCATTGAAATCAATGAAGACTATGAACGGACACCTGTCGACAAATTTGGTGATCAGTACCGGAAATCATTGAGAGAAGTACTCGATTGGCATAATCCAATGACATTAAACTCCCAGCAGGTGATTCTCGTAACGCGAATGATATTTGTCCATCAATTAACATTCTCCATAGCCGTTGTCAAAATATGCAGCAAGAGCAGCGTTAGCCTTATCGAACTCAGTACCCGCTCTTCTCTTTGAAGCCGAAAATATTCATTTCATTGACGATATAAGTGAGTAATCTTCGTGGTGTGGCGGAATGATGCTGACGTTGACTTCTCAGTTGCATCGGATTGTACGGAACGAAAACCACCGGCGCACAAGGTCCTGACTGATGGATGTGGCTTCATGAACGAGGCTGCACTGAAAGCAATTGCCACAGCGCTCAATTATTCTAGTCGTCCTACTGCTGTTCAAGGCCGGATTGCCGGCTCAAAGGGTCTATGGACTATTTCCCCTGATCAAGTAGCAAATGCAAGTGACATTCCGCAAATCTGGATACGTGACTCCCAACGCAAAATCGTGTATCCGCATTTCAACTCCTTCAGTAGGCACTATGTGATGCTCGATAGAGTACATCGAACTTTTGACCTTTGTCATGCCGCGCTACCCTCTCTTTCTACTGTGGGGCCGATGGTCTCTCTCAAGAAACAGAGTGTGCTAAATTTGTGGGCAAATGGAGTACCGATTGAGATCTTCAGAGAGCTTATGGAAAAGGGTTTGCAAGATATGATTCAGCCGTTGATCCAATGGGAAGGACAGTTTGCCATGCCGGCGTTGTGGGACGCAATCAACAAGGCTGGCAAAGTCTCGCACGTCAGGACTACGAGACTTGGCGCTGGTATGGCTCGGGCTTTAGGACTTGCAGGGAGGGAATACAAAAAAGAAGGGTCTACCCAAGGCGAAGCGGATGCATCAATCTTTTCCTCCACTGTATCTGGGAGGAACGAGATCTCGGGTGGTGTGTGCGGTATCTTTATGCAAATATACACTAGCTCATTGCTGCATAGCTCCTGCCACATTACATGAGGTTGCAATTGAACTCGTTCAGGCAGGATTCCACCCTGCGAAAGATGCATTACTTTGGTCCACACTGGAAAGTGTGTTACGGGTCACTGTCCAAGGGGCCATCGATAAATGCAACATCCCCCTGCCAGAGGGGTCTGCTGCAACAGCGTTTGTTATCCCAGGTGGGTTTTATTTTTGATTATGGTGTCAGTTGCTCATGATCAAGATGCAGATCCTCTCGGTATCCTGAATGAGAATGAGATTTACTATAGGTCGTCGACCCCTATGAGAGATCCTAACACCCAAACACTGTTTCATGTAATTACCGGCGAAATGCTGGTAAGAACTCGTTTTTCTTAATTGTCTGATGAAGGCTGATATCCTTGTTCAGATCTTCAGGTCAGGGATCTATCTCTTTACTTCAGTCGCTGGGCATTAAACTTGCATTCAGGTATCCACTCCGTGTCACCTCGGACACGCAAAAGGTGGATCGTTTCGATAATGAATTGATACATCCGCTAATCCAAACTCTCCGTTGTGTAGGTCATTGCGGTCGACAAGCCTGAGCTTGCCCCATGGTCAGATGTTTTCATTGTTCCTATAAAACCCTCCCAGTCAGGCCAGGGGCTTGTAAGCATGATGAGTAAATGTTCAGGCGGAGGTGAGCCATGCACTTATACTAGATGAACCCAATATTCACCGAAATTTTGGAATTTAGATCAGGATGGTGGTAAGTGATTCTTCGAATTGACACTTGTACCCCTTATGCGACAATTGACTTTCAGATGACCTGTGCGGAATTTGGCTGGATCGTCTGGTGAAGCCGTTCAAGGTTTCCCCGCTTGTGCTCGAGCCGCGGGATATTTCGGCCAATTTTGAAGACAAAGTAGAGAAGGTTGACGACTTTTTGAACCGAATCAAGACTGTTCCAGATGTTGAAAGCAGTTTGATTTCTGTTTTCTTGCAAGGCTTGACAGACTCTAACGTTGGGTTGTATGACGAGTTTCATGACAAGGCTGTTCGTCATGATGGGTATGAGTCTATGGAAGCTGTGAGACTTGCATTTCTGTGAGTGATGATATGTGTATTACCAAAACTTGTAATGTCTAAGTGGCTTTATCTAGGTTCAACCATTTACTTGACGCTCCGAAAACGGGCGCGGTTCTTCGCGCCGCTGTTTCGACAGAGGATAGATCGCAAAATCAGAAGTATAAAAAGTCTTTGGAGCATCGGGCCCAGACGGGCTCGCAGGAATCTTTCATTTTTGATGAGCTTGAAGCTTTTGGTCGCGAACTTTTGGAGGCCACTATGGCGGAATTCATGCAACTCCCAGCGTCGTCATCTGAGAAATCCGACGTACTTCTTGAGCCTTATAGAATGGCACAGAGACTCTGCAAAGTCGGCTGTATTCCTATGGATGCTGCCACGAAGATCGCGGAAACTGTCGGGACTTCAGAACTAGGTGCCAAGAATGTGACGCAAATTCTCCTGGAGGCACGGCGCTTGGACTTGGACTTGATTGAGAAACATGTTGATCGAGCGTTTCACAAATTTTGCTCTATCGCTGGCACAACCAAAGATTTCGACGACGAGAAGAAGAAGAAAAAGGGGAAATCTTCTCAATCTGACGTGATGGCTCCTGCAATTGCACTATTTGCCCAAGAGATACATGGACTTACAAACACACTTCCAAATATTGATCAAGTCAAAGCTTCATACGCCTACAGTAAAGGAAAGACGGTCAATTTTGGGAAAACCGTGGCGTTCCGCACGTTGTGCGAAATTCAAGTCGCTGCTTCTAGCGAGGGCGGCGCGCCATGCCTCAGGTTATTAGATCAGGTTAAATCCATTTCTGGGGGAGCGCGACGTTTGTTCCAGCAGTAAACAATTTCAAAAGGTATACGCATTTAAATCTCCTTCTACAAACTGTTCCACAATTGACGGACGATGCAGATGTACTTGTCCTATATACCCCTATATACCCTCTATCTGGAGTTCTAATATCTTGCATAACTTGTTCCTATGACTTTAGGATCTTTCAATAATGTACTGTACTATGTAGTTGTGAATGGTGTAAAATACTTGTAAACCTTGGAGCAGTTACGAATTATACCACGTCTCAAACACCTTGAAGAAAGCAAAGTCTAGTATTGCAATGCCAAAGTAAACGTAGGTAAACGTACATTACCCGAGTATACGAGGAATTGACGCCTCCGAGTCCGAGTCCGAAAGATAACATCGCATCACAGTTGACGTTGTGTAAATACGGTCGTGGTCTCCTTGGTTGGAAGAGATACGTGATATTTAGTGAGTGACTCTTTCAACGCATATGGCGAAATACATTTGTTTCTCAAACGCGTCCTTTCGCATTGAACAGCTCTATGCCTCTTCTCCTCGTCTACCCGTTTCACAGTGTCTCCACACCGCAAACAGAGGATTTTCAATTCTAAATGAATAGATTGGGCATGCCTCGAGAAGAATTTGCTTTGCATCATTTTCTCGCACCCAAGCCACCCACATCGAATCTTTCTATTACCTGCAGCCTCAAATTCGCTACCGTCATCATTCATATGGACGTTGTCGACGTTGCGATGGGACTGGAGGTGAACCTTGGCTCCTTCATTGGAGGTGAAAGCTTCTCCGCATACAGTCAAGGCATTGCCAAGTTGGTCGGTTTCCATAACCCATTGGCAAACTTGATCATAATGGCCTGGCTCGCGAACAAGGACAAAGTCAGGTTCGTGCTCGCCCGGTTTCTTCCTCACGTAAGGTTTAGGTCGTGCACTTTGCGATCCAGTCCTACTAGGACCCGCAGCTGACCCAACTGCTCCTTGGACCGCTGCGCATGCGGCATGGCGCTGCTGATTCGTGCGTTCTTGAATGCTGTTCTCAGACAACGGGCGTGAAAGGGGTTTGGAGGAAGGCTGCGATGCGGTAAGGGAACTGGCAGGAACCCATGGCAACTTGAAGGACGGTGTATTCATGACCTCCCGTTGAGAGGGAACATGACAATAGCTCTCTGCTAGATTAAGGGAGGAGGATCGTCCAAGGGCAGTGACCGAAGGAGGGGGTACTCCTACAGGCGAGCAAGCATGTCGGTGCGCGTTTGATATAGGATTGCTGCTGGAAGCAAAAGATTGAAAACCTTCTTGTCTTTCAACAGGATCTAGATCGTCGATTTCCGGTGAAAGTCCTAATTCACTGAAGGAGGGTAAGTGGCAGGAAGTTAACGAGCTTCTGAAGGCATACCTATGATCGGTATCCTGTGTCATCCTCCGCCGCAGGACATAATCAATGTGGTCCTCTAGCGATGTTAGAGTCCAGCCAGTAGGTAGAGGATTCCTGGTTGAGTCGCTAATGCGTTGGATGAAGATCTCTTGACCGGCAAGAATTTCTAAATCTTGCTGAATTTCGGAAGGGAGATTGACACTGGCTTGGCATTGCAGACGAGGAGTGGTCGACATGTCTCCCGCATGTGCAAATTCAGAGATACAGCTCATCGACTGAGACCGGAAGCGGAGCATATTGTTGGTGCTCAGACTGGCATCTGAAAAGAGCGTGAATAACTCACGTTACAATCGCTGGTAGCGGACGACCCAAAAACTTCAGGCATTTAGGTTCACTGACTGGCGGTTTCGAGGAGTGGCACAAATCAGAGGTATGGATTGAAGGTCAAGAGCCTGTTCCGCTTTGGTTTGGAATTCTGGGCTCATCATCCTGACCATTGTTAACCTGTGGGCCCAAATTGGCTTGTCCAAGCTGGAGCATGATGCGATATGACATGTGATCGCGTCGCAGTATTCCAGATGATCCTGACATGCAACTGCCATGTACTATAATCACGTTAACTAGGATACTATTAATCTGGTGAACGGAGAACACCGTGACACTCGTTCTGAATTTCGTTACATGGTGAACAAGAAATCCCCATCATACGGCGTCAATTTTCCCAAAAAGGGAAAGACTAGCACGCGTCAGGATCTACGGACAATGAACGCGATGACATATTAGGCAAAGAGCTTGCTTCCGCGCCTTCTCATCGTGTTGACGGTTCCGAAAGTACATTTGTTTGGCAAGTTCAACCATTGACTGCCAACCTTTTGATAATATTGTTTTATGTACATCCTCATCGGTGATTCAAGCTGGTCTGCATCTACTATGTGCTCATTTTGAAACTTCATTTGAAGAGTTCTATTTCGTTGTGCATTCTAAGGTAGCATACTAGAATTAAGAAAGCAGTTACAGTAGAATTATACCGCATCTTTCCTTTTAAATAAGTAATGACCAACTCCCCATCTAAAAGGAAAGTTAGCGATGACAAACGACAAGCCAAATCTACACTCACTCTTCACCTCTGTTGAAGTTGAATAGTTCAGAACAAGCCATGTAGAAAACGCGGAACCTGATCGACGAAGTCTGTCAACTTGTGAACTCTGAACTCCCGGCGAACCTCTTACCGGTAGAAAGCTTTCACACCCTCGATCGGGTCCTGTCCTTTCGCCTTGGCGTCAGCTTGGAGCTCTTGCAGACCAGCTATGGCATCGCAATTAGTAAGGCAAGGGCATCATCTACACCAGCACAAATAACCTTCTCCGTTCTGATCTTGTAACTTCAACCAGGCTTCTAATGTTTTAGAATAGTGAGCACCAGAGAGGTACCAGCTCCGCACGAGGGTCAAGTCGTCTTGGAAGTACAACTATGAAGTCGGTATGTCAGTCAGGAAGAAAGAATCACAGTAACGAAACAGTCTACCAGCAAATCATGCGAAGGCATCGTACCACCGGAAAAGAAATTTTTGGCCATCCAATTCGTCTTGTCCCCACCTTCTTTGTCTTCCGTGTCTTCAAAATGGTATGGGGTCATACGATGGCAGAAAATATGGATGAACAGAAGTGAATCCGTAAATTTGAGCCAAGTGGATATTTTCTGAAGGAGGACCTGATAGTTCTTCATATGTTCAAACATCTGACGGGAAGATATCCAGTGTTAGAGAGTGTGTGTACATCAAAAGACTACGTACTTCAATAGAAAGTATCCGGTCGAACCTGCCTGAAGTGTAAGGAAATTCGAAGACGACGTGTATATGAAACGCACCGAGTAGTTTCCTGAAAATCATGAGTATTTACGTCGGCGGTGATGATGTTTAAGTTTGTAAGGCCTAGCGATTTGGCGGTAGCATCTATGTGCGCTTTCTGCGTTGAAGAGTTTGATAATCCGGTAATACGGGATTTGGGGTACTTCTGCTGTAAAGGTGAACATTTTGGGGTGAAGATTTTCGGGGTAGGCACGAACCTGAGCCAGGTATAGCGAAAGACTTCCCCAACCTACAGTTGAAAATATGAGAAAAATCAAAGGAAGATTTATAAAAGTACATAGGCACGCACCACATCCCAAGTCCAAGACATCCTGTCCGTCTTGTAGCTGCGCTTTCTGGCAATAGCTCTCCAGCATTAGCACCTCGGCTTCTTCCAGGGTCTCATTTCCAGTTGGAAACAAGCACGAGGAGTACTTTGCCCACGGACCAAGAGTCGATAGAATGAATTTTGTAGACACCTAGAGAGAATTGAAGATTTTGAAACGGTCAATGATAGAGTGCTCACCTCATAGTGTTGTTCGTTAGCCTTCTCTGGAACATCTGCAATGGTAGTTCTTCGCTTCACGCCTTCTATCCAAGCCATTTTCATTGCATGGTTTACTTCCAGAGAGCCATGATCTATTTCACGAAGCCGTTGACGCAGCAAAGCACGAATAGCAAGTCTGACAATGAAGTCTGGAACTACGCCCTGCGCAAAGGTTAGAGGGAGCAAAACTTTGTCTTCAACAAAACTCACTCGGTCAAGTCCGTCATAACCCAGTTGAAGAATCCAATCAGGTATCGCCATTGTGAGGGTACAGAGTCAACCCGTGGTTGAACGGGAAGCCGTAGGATGTCAAAATTTCAAGCTTCATTGGCAACCGATCCCTCCCTACTCTGCACCGATTCTAGAGTGACAATAACCATGATTGCTTCTGTCACAGTCACAGGCGGAACTGTAGTCACGTTAGCAACAACCATTATATAATCACAATAATCCATGCCTGCATTTGCTCTTCGATATGCGGCTGGGAATTCTTCGAAGGTTCTCGTATTTGATTCATCGAAGGACGAGATCAGATCCTGTTCTCCTTCAATCTTCTCGTCCCGCTGCCGCCTTTTCTTCCTCAATATCTTTGGATGGTCTCCAGCAACGCAATGATTTGGCGACATGCGTGATCGATACTGTTCTACCACCAGCACCAGTTCTATCTCCTTTTATGCCTATCCATATTCCGCCCGACGTAGAAGATCCCACGCCGCGTTCGATTCATTCTCAGCGACTTTCGCCAAGGTCCCCCGTTGTAGATAGCGATCCCTGGCTTCGGCTCTCTGCAGCACAGAAACACGCTGGTGAACTAGCGGCACAATCATCACAGCTCAAAGCATCTCTAGAGGCCCTCAAGATCGAATCAAACTCTGCCGAAGGAGCAGCCCGCAAGGCTAAGAATGATCTTGACCGCGTTCGATCACTCGCCAATCGCCAGAAACGCGCGAGTGCAGATTTAGAATTGCGAGTAAAAGCGAGGAGGGATGAACTCATTCAATGTGAAGCATTTGCTAAAGCGCTCTCTGAACCCGACCTTCTAGCTCTTGCTCGTGCTCGTTCAGGCTTGGCAACTTCACCAGAAACGACGAGTGGACAGGATTTCGAGGAAAGTGCTGTCGAAGCTATTCGGGAAGCTTCATCTAATGACGGAAGTATCTGGTCCAAGATCGTATCACTTGTTATCGGCCCTCGTGCCCCTGACAACTACATCAACTCTATCAACATGACTCTCCAGGCCAGACAAGAACTTCGGTATTGGAAAAAAGTCTCGAATTTCTGGAAAAAGACTGCAAGAGAAAACAATACTAACACTGGCGCTCCTACCCCCTCCACTTCAATTGTATCCGAAATACGGGAAATTCTAAGCGATGAGCGGAAAAGGGCAGTCCAAGAGTTGACCGAAAAGAGGAAAACGCTGGGATTGAACACTACTTGCAACGAGTCCACGTCGAGCGGGTCTCTCAGTTCAAGTTCAAATGAATCGTTCAAACTGTCGTATCGACTTCCAGATTCTCAACCGTCTTTTACTTCGGTCATGTCTACTATGTCAAAATCCGTATCCAGCCGTGAAAGTACAGTTCCACAGTCTGCTGATCGCCTTGCGCCTTTAGCAAGCGACCTTTTCAAACAAGATCTACTCTCTAGTCACTCCGCTCAACGTATGTTTTCAAGTTCGTCGCATAAATCTCTATGGTCCTCCTTCGCAGCCGAGAAACAAGTACAAGTCATCTCAAGGCCTTCCGAAAAATCTTTCGGGAAGCGCAAGGCAGTAAGCGCTCGTGATAGTTCTGCCTCTACGGTAAAATCATGTGTTATCCTTGCTGATGTAGATCTGATCTCGCGACGTTCACAGCTCCCAACCAGCTTTTCCTTCGAATCGAACGTTGGCCAAATCGGAAGTTCCGCGGTATGTTATTTATTCTGCATGATCTTGATCCTCGTCCCGACGGTTCTTCCTCACAGATCGACTCATCGTCCTCGAGCGGCCATCTATCCAGTCTGGCGTCGTTCAACTCTAATGCATCGCGTCAAGGTGTTCCGATTTCCCACCTCTGGACAGGTCCTAAATCTCTACCCGAAGACATCGAACCCTCGCACAACAGCCTAACGTCTGCGGAACGCGCTTTGGAGTCTTTCGAACGTATCTGCAATCGATTCTCTAGCGCAAGCAATCTTGGGTCATTGCAGAGTATTAGTGAAGAATCTGCCTTTTCCAATCCAACAACGAATGGACCTCAGATTGTGGTACATATATCGGAAGAGCTTAGCTCAGAGTCACTTTCTAGTGCTGGGTCGATGGGAGATCTCGACGCACAGTTTGCTACGCTACATCCAGAACTTTGTCTTCCTGTCTCTAAAGCTCCGACTTTCGAAGGAGACATGACACTGGTCGAGAGTGGGAGCGAAGAGAGTAATCAAGGGTTGACTCATCACGAGAACGACATGACACTAGTCGAAGTCGACAGGGAAGAAGGATTGAAGGCTATCATCAAAGAGGACGCCTCCCTGGAAGATGGACCTCTGACGAAGAAATCCCGCCTTCCATTCTTCAAAATCCCTGATCGTCTATCCCAAATGTCCAAAATGACTGGATCCTCGTCCAAGAAGTCGCTTTCCTCTTTCCGAAGTCGAAACTCCTCAAGCACCATTTCCACTGTAGCTTCCAAAGAAAATAACGGTCCACGTTCAGTGAAGAACTTCCTTGTTGGTATACCCGGTTTCAAGCCAATATTGCCCTTGCGTATCATCAAAAAGGACAAACTCGGGACAAACATATGATTCCCGTCGATTCTACATCCATTATCTTTAGAATTTATTCCTCTAGTTTTGTCATTCAATTTTTTGGCTTTCGTTTTGTTTCTATGTATGTACCACTGTTCTTTCATTGAACTCCACTGTGTTTTCCCATTCTACAACTTGGTGCTATGTCTTCCCAACTGGAGACTTGTTTACAGGCAGTAAGTAACAACTTCCCTCCGACTCGAAAGTTAAAGCGAGACTTACAGTATCATGCTGACCGAACTTGACAGACGGATAATGCATTCAGCTACAAGTTAGTATCAGTGTTAGTTGTGTCTTTGCCATTGCTATGCCGCACCGATAGGGTACGCTGGTTGAAAACAAGTATGTATAAGCTGTTCACAAATAAACGCCTTCAGTCAGCTTCAGCCAAAACTGTGAACGACGTCTCATCTGGCAATTCCGTGCTGCCTCTCCCTTGAGTAGATGGCGATGAAAGTTTTTGTGTCAGCTCAACAAATTTGTCTCTCTCGTATTCCCTTGTTGTGACCTCCAAAAGTCATACGACAGTGGCCCTCGTGTAAGAATTTCCCAGCGTCGACACTTCATCTACTCCTCAAGTACTGATGTTGCCTACACTCAAGTCAGCAGCGTCGGATGTGACATTTTGGAAACTGACGCTCAATCTGCAAAGGTGTCAGCGGAATTCGAAGTGATTCCGTACATCACGTCTCCCTTTGAATGACCATCTGCTAGGGTAGCGCTAAATTGGTTTGGAGGTGTTAATAACATGTTATTAACATTGAGCCCTCCAAACTGCAATTTAACATGAGTTAATACATAACATGATTTTAACATTCACACGAGTTTGTTATTAACAAGTTAAAACCCTCAATATTAACATGTTATTAACATATGTGAATGTTAAACTACCTTTTGCAATTCAAATAGCCTCCCAGTTGATATTTTCAGTCCCTAGCACACTCAAAACAGCAGTTTGTGCTGCTGGCCATACCTCTGGCTTAAGAGAGGAGATAAATCACCTGTTTTGGCAGTGTGGCAGAAGGACAGATTGGCCTCATTTTTGACAAGCACTATCTGCAAAACATAGATGTTTGCCAGAGCAAGGATACTGGCTGGAGAGCGCTGTCCAGCACTGAAAGCACTCCCAGCAGTATTGATCAACCGCTGGGAGTGCTTTCCCAGCTAGACAATGCTGTCAGCTGCTCTCCAGCTATTAGCCAAAAATCCAGGTTTTACAGATAAGTTCCAGCTTGTATGAATTTGGGAAGAATTGTGGACTGCCTTTGTTAATGACATTGTCATCCTCTGAGTTTGAATCAATGGCATTGCACAGGTCCACAGATTCATCACTGGACTTTGAAGAGGTCAAGGCAAATGGGACATGTCATGGAAGCCAATTAAATTGTTTGGCCCACTTGTACATTACTAACTAGGTGCTAATATAATTCTAACATGGTCTAACATGGTATTTTTGGGATGATGTTAATAACCTGTTATTAACCTGTTGTTAACCATGTTAATTAACATATGTTAGGAACTTTTGAAGTTTAGCGCTACCCTACCATCTGCTTGTTGTACCTTCATCTAGCCTTTCACCAACATCTCTGCACAGGTAAACTCCACCCCCTTCACCAACAATTCTCTGGTCATTTGTCCCCCCCACTCAATTCCTCGCTCATCGTTCAAAAAAAGCACTCCCGCTTTCCCCAAAAATTTTAGCGCCTTCTGTTCGATCTTCCGATCTCTGCGCGGCCCTCCTACACCTCGATGCTCAGCACAAGTACCTTTGCCTACATCATTTTAGGTGCTCATCATGAGGATAGAATTAACTTATTGTCAGTGTAACTAATTTTCGAAGTTCCAATAATCCCCCTTCGACTTCAGCCTTGATTCCAGGTAGAAGGTAAGCAACGAGAGGAATACTGTTCAAAATTCTGTATCGCGTTCTAGATGGTGGATATAATTCGTACAGCTACGTACCGATAGATTTTGAAACAGATGAACTACATGTTATAGAAGGACAATATTAACGACTCCAAAACTCAAGAAAACAAGAAAAGTATTACTGCAACAGCGAGATAAGAGATAGATAATACACAGAAATGCCTTTTAGATTGCATCGGGATGTTTCTCGAGTGTGCTGATGCTTCTTCCACCATTGACGTGGTCCTGTGAAGCGGTATCGATCGAAGCATGTCGAGGAACATATCGTTCCTCAAGTACAAGACCTTCTTCTGTTGGTGGGGCTCGACCAGTTGCTTTGAGTCTATATGGTACTGAGTGAGCCGCCGGTGGCTCGAAATTAGAGGAGTGTGAGAGGGACTTACAACCAGAGAGGGAAAATACTACCGGGGGGTATCGTCCATTCTTCTGACGCGTCGTAGTTAGGGGGAACAATCCGGTCGTGGGTTAACTTGCGAATTGCCCAAGGAATGAAGTTGATGGCGACATAGGATAGGATACCGGCAATGAGACCGTAAGCAATGCTATAATCCGAATATGAGAGTTGCGCAAGTCGATGGAGTGAGACTGAAACTTACTTATATGACAAGGGAATGATGATAAGAGTAATGAAAGCTGGGACAGCGTCTCCGATATAGTCCCAGTTGATTTCTCGAACACTGAATTGTTTCAGAATTCGGACTGAGCATTTGACACGCCACGGTTCGGAGTTTGAACTCACTTTCTGATCATGAGAGAACCGACAATTATCAAAGCACCTCCAGTTGCCCACCCTGGTATTGACGCGAAGATCGGAGCGAAGAAGATGGAAACAAAGAATGCTAGGCCGACGACAATGGCTGTGATACCAGTCTTGCCACCCTCTGTTGGGGGAATGAGTTGTGAGCAGAACAACTGAATAAGCAGGAACGCACCGCTGATACCAGTCGCGCTCTCGATGAAGGCAGTGACAGGGCTAGTGCCGACGAGCGCTCCCATGCTGATACTGAACGCATCAACGCAATAAGCGGCAGTGGAACCTTCGAAGTCTAGAGTGACCGGGTCTCGTAGACCAGCGAATTTTGCCATGGAATAAAGTGTACTATCGGGGGAAATTTTTACGGTAAGCAGATTGCGAAGTAGAAAAAGGTTGAATTTTACCCAGTTGTATCTGAAACGCAAGTTACTTTGTGCGAGTGTGAAGTAGGTGAGGCAACGTACCTAGGATGTCGACATATAAGAATGTTACTAATGCATACCAGACTCTCGGATTTCTATAATTGTACTGAAGAATGAATGCATCAATGGTTGGTCCAGAGATACCAGGTAAGGTTTCTCACATTGATGACATTGCCTACTTTGTGAAGAGGGTGGAATGTTACAACCTGTTTGAAGAAATCGAAGAGTGCGTCGCCAGCATCGGTATGAGGGAAATAAGTGACGGCCGTCGGTCTGGGCCAGGAAATGATTGACACCAAGAAGATGCCAATCAAGATAGCCCCCCGTACTCGATAGAGCATGAGGAGTACGGTGAGAATGCTGTATGAATTTACGGGGGTTCGGATCAGTCGTTCAGGATAGGATACATTCAATCTTACCCTCCGAGAAATATACCAAGCCACATCGTTGGATTACGGAGCTGTCCATGCTCACAGTAGTATGGTAGGTTAGTGATATAGTTGTCGGCTGTGCAACCCCCTAGACCGACAAAATTGGTTGTATCACCACCGATGACACCGAGACCAGAGGGCGCTAGGAGGGATTCAGGATTGGGCGCCACATGTTCGTAAATCACTGGAAAGCTCACACAGGCCAATAAAACTAAGATATAAATTGAGATGTTGTTCGGCAGAAGAGGTGGACAACACTCACGCTATTAAAAGACCAATACCAGCACCAACGGCTAAAACTAATGATTCGGGGATGATTCGGACTAGCCATTGACGAAGACCGAGGAGGGAAAGGGCAAGGAAGATCCAACTAATGCAATCATTTGGGGTGTGAACGGTTACAGTTAAAATGCCAGTGACACACCCTTCCAGGAAAACAGCGGCAAGAGCTTCTTGATATGTGACCATTCCGGTTCCATGAAAGCCCACAATCGAGTAAGCAAACTGGAAAAATCATGAGATGCGGCTTGGGAAAACTGCTGATGAACGTACATAAGCATTGAGTCCAAGACCAGGGGCCATACCAACTGGCAGATTGGCGAACAGGCCCATCAAGACTGAAGATAGGGCGGCCATGGCGGCTGTCGAAATGATGAGGTCGTTGCGAACATCGTTCACACATGCCAAGTAGGTGGTATCATTAGTGCAGGAAGGGTCGGTCGCACTCGTGCAAACACATGTTCCTCCTGAATCTGAGACGATAGAAGCGTTGACTGAAATCTATCGGAATGGATTTCAGTGAACAGTGCGATAAGGGAGAGAGCAATGTACGGACTATATAGGCCATCGCCGCCTGCGAATATCGTATCCTGAGTGTGATGTTTTCCCCTGAGTAGCTGACTTTCCGTACGTACCCATGTAGTAAGGCCAGCCCGAATTTCAGTCTGCAAAAGCTCAGCTGAATCACGGATGTAGAATGAAGTCTACTTACTACAAACCGGGATCCTATACGCTCTTTGGGGTGCCCAGAGCCCTCCAGTCTAAACCACCTCCCAATAGGGGAAAAGGCAACCTATTGCAAAATTCGAGATGAGGAGTTGCGACTTGAAGATCAAGATGATATTTACTTGAGCGTTGAGGCGGTCAGCAAAGTTCACCATAGCGAAAGAAGGGAGTGGGCGCAGTGAGAAGGAGCGAAAAGACAGGAAGATGGAAGAATCAAAGGAAGCTGAGAGATACTCCCATCAAATGATCTTGAACTCGAGTAATTTATGACCGATTGTCCGGACATAAGTTACGTCTTATCTTATCTTATCTGCTCGTGGTAAGATCAGATCAAGATCAGACGCTTAAACCCTCCCCAGTTTCTCCACACCCTTTTCACGCTGGATTTTTACATGCAGAATTCTTGGCCTTCATCACCTCCTGGAAACTCCCTTTCTGCACCAGATGGATTTGTCCGACCTCCTCCTCCCTCCATGATGCACGTTAAGCGTGTTACGCTAACGTCCAAAAAGAACTGGTGGATGGGTGCGTTTCTGATCTTAAAGTCTATCTGTGTTGTTGAGCAATTCTAACTTTTAATAGTTGAAATGGATGAAGAAAACGAAAGTAAACAGCCTGCCTCCTCCGCAGACACGGTCGTGGATCCGTTTCACTATAATGACTACATCAAGCATGAGATCCAAGGAGAACACACGAGAACGCCTCCTACTCCTACTCCTACCATGCCTCCGATGAATTACAAAATCCCTCGCCATCCAAATGCCATATTCTCTTTTCCTACTCCCACTCCGTATTCTGCGCCATCCGGTAACCCTACTTTAACCCTTGCGCCATGCGCGAATGGATCTGCTTCTGAACTCTTCAAATGCATTGTGAAAAAGCCTGATGTGGTGCAGATGGAGATTAACGACGAAATGCAGTCAAATGCGTCTGATGTAACCGTGCAATTTTTAGCCGAGCTCAGAGTCTATACGACTGTCCAAACGCATCGCAACATATGCGCTTTTCTTGGCTCACTCGAGAATGTAGGCATGGTACTTGAATATATCGACGGACGCACTCTCTTCGATGTCATTTCTGTCAGACCTGAGCTGACCGTCTCGAAAAAAATTGATTATCACAATCAACTCTTGGACGGCCTTACACATTTGCATTCATATGGGCTCAGCCATGGTGATCTATCGTTGCTCAACATTCAGGTTACCAATTCGTCCGATACCATAAAACTTTTAGATTTTGGCCGCTCTGTATCTGCAGATTCAGTATACGCGAATCCAGAAGCAGAGCCTATAGATCCTTTTACTGCACTTGCAAAACGAACTTCGATCTTTTCTCCCCTTCCGCCTAGCAAAACTGAACAGATCCATCCTGGTACTCGTCCATTCTGTGCACCAGAAATCCTTCGTGGAGAGTGTCAAGATGCACGGCTGGCGGACGCCTACAGTTTCGGTTTGATTATCGTCTGCTTGGATCGATGCGAAACTGTCGATATAAGGCCTTGGGATCAGCGGAAAGATCTTTTGCCAAGGGATCTGTTTGAGGGTTGCTCAGTGTTTGAGGATCGGGCTCGGGCATATCTGCAGAAATGGATGACTCGTCGGAGACTGATGAAGGAAGACAAGATGGCCCTTCCATGAAATGTACGTATTATTCCAGAGGCTTTCACTCTTTGGTTCTTGCGATTGGACTTGATTTGTAATTCTCTCTGGTGGGTGAACTTGTGCGGCATGTCATATATCCCAAGGTGTATCGAAACTAAAAGCAATTGTGCCATTATTGTAACAGAATATCTAACTCACACTGCATTATACCATCATGAATAAACGAATAAACCTTTATGTATACACTGCATTGTGTTGAGTTGTACCAGGTTGTACCCTGTTGTACCCCGCATAAAATTTGTCTTTGTGGCAGTGCGGCTAATCGGCCGGCCCTACTTTAACTTCGCACCACGTCCATTGAGTTTATCGAGCTTTCATTCGTTGATCATGGCTATGGTGCACCCTTCTCGCTTGGGTCTTGTCCCTCCAGATTCTTCTACTCGCAAACGGTCGCCTTCTCCGCGACCCTCCCGCCGCAGTCCTTCTCCAAGAAGAAGTTCAAGGACTGAGGATCGTAACTCTCGGAAACACGATAAACACGATGATAGAGAAAGAGAGGGCGACAATGGGCGGGACAAAGGACGAGCTCGGTACTCTAGTCGTGAAGATGACTATGACCGTGGCCGAAGTCATGGAAGAAATAGAGATAGAGGAGAGAATAGGAGGGCTAGTCCAAAGTATGAGGACTACAGACGAGCATCTCCTCCCAGAGATGATCCTCCTCATAAGATGCAGGGTGAAAACATGTACCCTGACAGAAAGGACCGGGGTTTGGACCGTGGCCCACCTCCGCATAGTGGTTATGTCCCTTCACGGAGCGGCGGAAGCGCAGATTTCTTCGAAAGGTATTCCCTTGTTTACCGTTCTCTTCATATTCAAATCTATTCAAAAATTTTCTAGCCGCCGATTACAGCGTGAAAGTATGACTGTCGATATATGGCCGCCATCTCCGAAGGCTCCCACTCGAGAACTGTATGCTTCTGCATCCTCGTATTCGCGTTCGTCCAACTCACAACTTCTGGTTACAGGTCACCCAAACGGAGCCACAAAAGATCTAAACGACGACTCTCGATATCGTCTGACACTGATTCTGAAGAAGAGGAACGTCGCAAGAAGGAAAGGACCGAGCGAAAGAAGCGGAAGGAACAGAGAAAAGAGGAAAAACGAGAGAAGAAAAGGAAACGGTCTCGAAGTCGACGACGGAGTGACGAGGAGGAGGAACGTCGATCTAGGAAAAGAAGTTACAGCAAAAGCAAATCCCCGCCCCGCAAGCGAACACGTAGTCCATTGCCCATCGACCATGACGATGAGTGGGTCGTCAAAGATTCTGGGTCTGGAGCCATGCTTCCTCCTGCGCTTCCAGTCTCGGAGCGTGTTCCTCAGACGTCCATCAATCGTGATGTTGGCTCAGACGATGATGATGATACCGTCGGTCCTCAACCAGCGGTCAGACCGAACATCAAACGCATTGACGAACGGTCATATGGTGGAGCTCTACTTCGCGGCGAAGGTAGCGCCATGGCCGCCTTCTTACAAGACGGAACCGAATCACGTATCCCTCGTCGTGGTGAAATTGGTCTGACCTCCGACGAGATCGCCCAGTACGAGGACGTGGGTTACGTGATGAGCGGTAGTCGACATCGCAGGATGAATGCCGTCCGTATCAGGAAAGAAAACCAGGTCATCAGTGCTGAAGAGAAGAGAGGTATTTTGAAGTTGCAAAAGGAAGAGCGGGAGAGGAGAGAGACTATCCTTAGGGAAGAGTTTTCTGAGCTTGTACAAGAAAGTTTGAAGGGTGCGGAAAGACCCAAGGCGGGTTGATTCATGTTAGGGTTGTCAAGTCATCAGGGATTCGCGATGTATCTTAGCACTCGGCATCCAGGTGATTCATGTTATTTTCATCATTTTGTATAACATTCGAAATCCTATTCAATGATCATCACAGGTGTACGCTTCGGTTGCAACTACTTCCTACTCATATCCTCTGAGGATCATAGGACTGTAGTTCGCTGTTGGGTATTTGTCGGATGTACTTATTGAGAATCTATTCTATGTGGCTGTTCCTCAAAGTCTAACTCGTGAGTAAAAGCTGGTCCAATGACCTCACCGCCTTCTGCAATACTTTAGACAAACATTCGTGTTGACCATTGACAATCTTCACTGAATGCTACGCCGCCGGGGCTCGTTGTTCGCAGAACGCAATAGGAGTCTCAGCTCTGGACGAATCCATTCTTTTGACATCTTTGAATCTTCAACTACGTTGAGGATGCGTAAGTTTCGACGGACTTAACACGTCCTTCACTCTCGGCGATCCTCTGACTATCACCACTCCTTACCATCCTCGGGCCGCCCACAGTGCGGGAATTCGTTTTCCTTGTGGGACGATCCACCCACATACAGTGAGTTTGACTACTTCCTTCTGAAAATCTACATCTAATGATCACCTGGCAATGACTTCGTTTTGTAATCAAGTCATCATTATACTCAAAGTTACGAGCGATTTAAAACCAGTGGTGCTTGACGTCAAACATATATCGCCCATCCTTAACGCACAACCAGCACCACCGTAAAATTTCGCAAATATGCCTGAAACATTCAAAGTCGAGTTGGATACGCCAATTTACAAAGGAAGCGTCTCGTGTAACACTGGTCTCTTCATTAATGGCAAGTTCGTTGACGCTGTAGAGGGTGGAACTATCGAGTAGGGGTACTCTCATAGCCCGTTTACATTTATAACTGAATGTTCTATTTAATCGTCAGTGTCATCAACCCATGTATGTCTCCATTATCTGCTGTATCTTTCCTGTTGATATCTCATGAACGTCTTAGCTACCGGAAAATTACTCACAAAGGTAGCCGCGGCAACCTCAAAGGATGTTGACATTGCTGTTGAAGCGGCGAAGAAGGTAAATAGTCCTGCCAATCACCTACTTCTTAATATCATCCCGGTCTTTCCGTAGGCGTACAAAACGAGCTGGGGTCTCAAGGTTTCTGGCGCCCAGAGGGGTGAGCTCCTGATGAAGCTTGCCACCCTTTTGGAAGCCAACATTGATGAATTTGCTGCTCTTGAGTGTTTGAATGTTGGTATGTCGTGATTTGAACTCTATTCATCGTGGCCTGTGTTAAAACATGACGTAGGGAAACCATGGTCAGAGTCAAAAGGATTCGATATGAAACTCACGCTGCAAACTCTAAAGTATTATGCTGGCTGGGCCGACAAAGTTCACGGGAAGACCATTGAGGTATGTCCTCCGGTTGTATACTGTTCGATTCGCCATTTATTGACATTTTCCCAGACCAACGAGCAGAAACTGGCATACACCCGACATGAGCCTTACGGGGTAGTCGTAAGTCTAAAATTCCTTTCCCACTTTGCCAAAGGCTTATACACATCCGACGTAGGGTCAAATTATCCCGTGGAACTATCCTTTGGTAAGAAGCCACCCCTTGACTCCTTTTGAACGCAATATCGAAAGTTTTTCAGACTATGGTGTCCTGGAAAATAGGACCTGCTTTGGCCACCGGAAACGTGGTTGTTTTGAAGGTAAGTTTCCAACTTCATTCCCGTGACAAGCTCGTGAACTTCCTACGAATTATAGCCATCCGAAATAACTCCCCTTACCGCCCTGAAACTCGCTGGCTTGGTACAAGAAGCTGGTTTCCCTCCTGGTGCAGTCTACCACCATATATAATCCAACGGTGTATGTACTAACCACTGTTCATAGGTGTCGTAAACATCATTCCCGGATACGGCGAGTTGCATTTCATTTATGTGCGTTTTCGGAGTCAATCTGACTGTCCCTCCAGGAGCAACGGCTGGTGCCGCAATGTCATTGCATCCTGATATAAGGAAGATCGCGTTCACCGGAAGCACACTGACAGGCCGTAAAATCCAAGAAGCATCTGCCAAATCTAATCTCAAAGTTGTCACACTGGAACTGGGCGGGAAGAGTCCCAACATCATTTTCAATGATGCGGATTTGGAACAGGCAGTGAAGTGGGCAGCAATTGGAATCTTGTTAGTCTCCTCATAGTCGGTGCTGCATTCATGTTCTATTATTTATTTGATATTCACAGCTCTAACTCGGGTTCGTATGAATCCACTCCATCCAGTTGCTTTGATAATTTCTTAATCCTCGTTAGGCCAAGTATGCACCGCTGGTTCACGAATCTTTGTACAAGAGGGAATATACGATGCGTTCATCAAGGCCTTCAGTGAAGCTGCAGCTGGAGTCAACACGAAAACTGGGGACCCGTTTGCAGAAGGCACTATCCACGGGCCAGTAGTGTCTCAAACTCAGTTTGATGTATGTGCTGCATGTACATGATTTGGGTTTCCATGACTCACTTGGGGTCTTCAGCGGGTTATGGGCTACATCGATGCTGCCAAGGCAGAAGGGGCGACCGCTTTCATTGGCGGTGAACGTCACTCCCTTACCGAAGGTTTCTTTGTCAAACCAACCATATTCACCGATTGCACTCCCGACATGAAGATTGTTCAAGAAGAAGTTTTTGGTCCTGTAGCAGCGGTTGTCAAGTTCAAGACGGAGAATGGTTGGTGACATGACTTGTAATCTTCAAGATAGCCATTCTTACGTTCATCGCATAATACAGAGGTCATCGAAATGGCGAATGATAGCAACTACGGATTAGCCTGCGCCGTGTTCACGGAAAATGTTAGCAGGGCAATCAGAGTATCTAATGCGCTAGAGGCTGGAATGGCATGGGTGATTAAACCCGTCTTCGAGAAGTCTGATCTTGGATGATGACCGCAATTCCTTCCAGGTCAATTGCAATGTGACCACAGAATACAACGTTCCGTTCGGTGGCTACAAACAATCTGGGTATGGCCGCGAACTGGGTGCATATGCAATTGATACGTGAGTGCAGCATTATATACTCAAGGGTCGGCAGTACTTATGATAACACTTGGGTTGCGCAGATATACCCAAGTCAAGGCTGTCCACATCAATGTAGGGCTCAGGATCTGATTGTTTCCTCAAGCGTACTTTCTGGTCAAACAAATTGTATTATTATGAGTGGTACAGAATAATGATCGAATTTTCAAGTTCAAAATATTATTTAGAGTAGCAAGAGTGAGGTTCAAGTTGTTGGCCAAGGTCCAGGGTCGCTTGGTACTCAAACCTACTCAAGCTCACCTATATACGTAGAGAAGGAATAAGAACGAAGAGTGATTCACAAGGCTGTATTATGTGCCACTGTACATTATAATTAAGTGCTCCTGGTCCGAAAGTCTTTGACAAAGATCCCCTTCTCTGTACATATACGAGGACAATTTCCAGTGAGCGAAAAGATGATGCAGAGCATACTCTTCGGTTTGGAAGAAAACAGATCAGAAGGAGATGCAGGCTCTGGACCTCCAAATTTAGTATTAGTAGACATTGTTTTCATTGAGTTCAGGATAGAAATAATTTTAATCCGTCTCTCAAAGAACTTACCATTTCTTTGCATAAACAGTGAGTTCGCGCTACCTATATATTCCCCGGTAAGATAAGACGTAGATCGACGGATATTGTCGTAAATTTCGATTGAGAATAATGTCCTTATGATTGCGGAATGCACTGGAAGTATGACGAGGTACATAACATTAAAAACGCACAAAACGTAGTAGGCCATGCGCGGTGCTCGTTCTGATGACACATCATACCGGTATCACTTGGAAACATAGTCCACTGAACGCCGGTTTCCAAAAAAATACATGCGCCCACTTTACACCGGCACCATGTTGAGCGTCACCGAGTAGCATACAATAGGACTGGCACCCGAAACTCCGGACTGTGAGGGAATGGTTGTGGCGTTAAAGTATAACGAGGTTTGTGGGACACGAGGCGCATCACTAGGGCACAGATACCACAAGTCCGCAATCTCATTGACCGCAAGGATGGGGAAAGCTCCATCGGACACAGCGGAGAAAGCCGTCGAAGCAGGTGTGCTATAGAAGCTGCTAGTGCCCCAATCTAATGAACCACCGGAAAGTGGGGCACTGGCATTTGTCTCCCATGTACCATCGGGGTAGAAGGCGCGAAGCTCGCCACCCACGAGGCCAAGAGAGGGAAAATCATTATACGGGTAAGAGGCGTATGTCTATGAAAGAGGTTATCAGACTTTTATATGACGCTTGATTCGACAGTTACATACTGAGCTGACATGGAAAGACTCTCCGTCAATTGCGCCTAGAATCAATATTAAAAGCGAGAACGATTGCGGACGACGACCTACTACTCACCGGCAGATCCCAATACAAGAGGTGCACCCGTGGAATTCGCGTTCGGAAGAGTATTGTTCAAGGCAGCGAGGGTGAAGTTGTTAGCCAAAGTCGTCACGCTCGAACGAGCTGAGATTTGTACGGGAGTTGTGGCAACAAAACTCGTGGACGCCAACATCACGGCAAGTAAACGAACAGATGCGAACATGTTTGTCGAGAGCTAAGTCGAGAAAAGTAGCAAGAGATGAAAGGTGCAACCCAAGGCTAAGCTGAAAAATGGAAGATCTGCAAACCCCGCTTATAAAGGGAATCTAACACTGTATTATACTGTATATCCGCTGTCATTTTACCCACACTGGCTCTAGCGGCTTTCTGGCTCCGTGAAAGTATGCCAAGGGATACTAACTGCTGTGTTATGACGGAAGACGATCGCCGCAGGCAAGTCGAGGCCACTGCGAAACCAATTACTATTCGTTGTTTCACAAAAAGAAGCCCGAAAGTGAGAAAGTTATGTCCGTTCCGCGAAATTTCCATTTGGATAGTCCGGGATGGGGACAGTATCTCTTCGGTTGTTGACTCGAATAGAAGGACAGCCAAATCAATGTCAGAAAGTACCCAGGCCAAAAGGTAGTGAACGAAAAGCAAATGTAGACGTAAAACAACATTCCAGTACGGATCTAAAGACGAGATTCAACACATGTATCAAGCGGTGCCCACGCAATAGTCGTTAGGTACTCACTTCTATTTCTTGCTCTCCAACTCTTCCTCCATCGCGTCCTTTAATTTCTGCAACTGTACTGTCACAGCAGTGTTGCCACCCTGGGCAGCGGTGGTTCTAGCTTGGAAATCTTCGACGAAGTTTCCTAGACGTATCGCGACATTCTTCGCAGAGATAGGCCGTGAAGATATGCAGATTAGTAGACTTTCGGAATCAGCTGTATCATACTCCATCGGGCTCCATTATAAAATGAATGAACGCCTCAAAATCATTGAGCGTTTCGCAAAGGGCCCCAAAAATGTCAGGGAAGCGTCAATGGTTGTGGAACTGGTTTCCTTCTTATTGGTGACCTGTCAGACGAGGGTGAAAAGTGTGACCATATGAACTCATATGAATCGAATCATGTCAGTCGACAAAACAATCTTCATCGCGTTGCAAAGAAGGCAACTGAACGGGAATACCCTCGGGACTTGGCACCTTGTAACTTATTCTTATTCTGAAGCCAACTCTCTCTCAGACTTGGGAATCGGAACTACGTAGATCCTGCACAAGCACCTGTACAGTTTAGTACGTGTGGTCCATCATTTGTCTTCATTCTTGCATGACAATGAATAATCTTTTGTAGTAAAGTAGATCATCCCTCGGGCGACTGGCCACTATCAAAATTACACGGCACGCTCGTTGATAGCATGGAATACATATTGTCGGTCATGTTAGCCACACATCAAGAAAATCAGAAGAACTTTTCGATCTTAAACTTTTTGATTTATGTACGTCGTTTCTCAGCTGTATCTGCTCATACCTGGAGCTTCTAGCGAGCAAGCTGCATGCAGCTATGGTGCTCGGGAGAAAACGTGTGGAAAGTCAAAATGAATTCGATCCTCTCGCGGGCTATTTTTTTTGAGCTCAACTGTCGGTGAATCCTGGTCCCTGGCTACTTTCTCTCAGATTTCACTCAAAGCGAGTGGTCTGATGATGTCTTCAGCTTGTTCCTGGGAATAACAATGTTTTTAGGGATGTACAAGTGAAATATACTGGGCAGACTCATCAAATGTTCCGATAAAGGTACATAGTACAGGGTGTGATAGTACTATAAGTTTTTGAAACAAGAGTAGGGTATAGTAGATCTCACTACATATGACGACTCAGCAAGCGTTGCTGGCAGTGTATCTGGTTTTAGCGAATCAGATCAATTCTGTAGTCTTTAAAAGCATATACATAGACGGTTGAAAGTTGAAGTTTGGAATGTTGGGCCTGAGTTCACCTGAGTTCGCCTGAACTAAGTTATGAGTCAGAATGACCAGTCTTTGCTTTCAGGCTGGCATTACTACCATCGATAACACAATGGCGGGTAGGTGTATGCACCATAACTAGGTACTTACGCTAAATCTGGCTCGGTGGTGTTCTTCATCCGAAATAATGCTGAACAGCAAGAAGACAGAAGGCTTGCACACATACAATTTTAACGCCTCAACTAATTTATTGCTCAGCTCCAATGAGTCCAGTTCTTCATCGTCAGAGCAAGTCTCGCATACATTTGCAAAGCTTCTAGATTTGGTTGATTGTCAAGTTGGGTATAAATTGAAGACTGAGGAAAATCTGCTCTTAAGAATCATCTCATTAGTATCCTCACTCACTTTCACTCACACCAACCCAGTCAAGCTCTATATTTTCATCATGTCCGTCGCTGTTCCCCCCGGTCTCTACCAAGTTCAGGTCACTAGTAACGCCAGCCAGAAGGTTGCAGCACCCGCTTCTGCTGGAGGTAACGTCACTGTTAATACCACCACCACTCAAGTCGTAAGTGAATGAGGCTCCTTTCGCCCCGTTCTTGTTGCTGACGATCTCGACATTAGTGGCAAATTACTGGTGACGGAGTGATCACATCGTTCCAGACTGGAAGTTCTGCTGCCCAAGCTCGGACACAGAATGTCCCTGCTATTTCGGGAAACAATGTGGTCGCTGATGGTGGAGCTACCGCGCAGCAATGGATTATTTCGGGAGCGAATCTGTAAGTGGTATCCTTTCTGAGTGGTCGCAGCTTTTACCACCGGGAGTGCTCAAGAATGATGGGACTAATTTGTTCATTCGTGTCCTAGCATTTCCAACACTTATTGGACCGGATATGTCATGACTAGCGATGGAACTCGGCTTTTCTGGGGTGTCGATGGTAGTAATGTAAGTCATGCTTGGTGAACACATCTCTCGTTAAGTTGAGTTAACACAATTGTGTTTCCATCTTTGCAGAATGTTCGCGTTACAGGAACCAGTGCCAAAACTCAGTTCAGCTTCATTCCCATCGCTGTCTAGGCTTTACTTGCCACCAGCATCCACAAAGGCTGAGCGTTGAGCACACACTTGGTCTAAATGGTGTCATTCTTCTATATTATCTTCTCATTGCATAAACGTATCAGGGAACCATTGAAGTTGTTCAACACAATGCCTTGGAATCCGTAGTGTACATATTCATGTATTCCAGCTGGTAAATAAATCTTGTCCAAATGCATTTCCGCAACCCGTACGTTGAGGCCGAATCCTGCTTGATAAATTGTATCGCACACATCTACTGCAAATAGCTATCAGCACATGCTGAAAGCCTATCTGCGAACTTCAATACACAACTTCGCAGCAACTCTACATTGCGTGCAATGCACAAAGCTGATATGGTTGATATTGGCAGGTCAGCCCATGCGCATTTCACTCCCTCCGCCTCTGCTAAAAGTGTAGGACATTAATATCTTTGAGGCTTTTTGTAGAGAATCCACACGCTTACTCCACGTTAGTATCACGTTCAATGCCACCGACTAATGTTATACAGCACTAAGTTGAACATCCGATGAAGGAATTCTTGTCGTGCTGCAATACACTAAAGTCTGAAACAATTCCGGGACATCGCTGGAGCACAGATACTAGAGATTTTTCGTTCAAGTTAGAAAGGGAGAAAATTTCAATACCAGATTTAGCATTGAATGCTGTCGAAGCTGTGTTACTATAAAGACTGCTTGCGATCCAGTCTAGGAAGCCATAGAGCAAGGTTTCATCCCCTAGAGAGAGAGGGAAAGGAAGTTGTATGGATTTGAATAAAGATGCATTTGAGGCAGAAGACGATGAGAAGGATGTTGAAAATATATCTTGAATTTAGTTGATACGCACATTGAAAGGTGCAGATAAATGATTGCGAAGACCAACTCCGATGCGATAGAACTACTGACCGGCGGCGCTCAGCACTGGGGAAGCAGGCGTGAAATCCGAAGCAGCGAGGGTGAGGTTTTAAGCAAAGGATGTCTCGCTCGAGCGCATCGTCAAATGCAGGAGAATGGAAGAAAACATTTAATTGAAAGCCGACAACTGAGAAAGAAGGAACCGTAAATTGGTAGACGAGTTATTTGGACGAGAAGAAAGGATGATTCAAAACTACCATGGCCGTCTGCTTTTCGTGTTTGTCGTCCTAAGACTGGTTGCTGGAAATTCACCTTTTCAAGTTTTTGATGCCATGGATGGATGCCGGAGTAGTGCTGTGAAATGAGAGTTATTTTGCCGGAATGAATCACGGCAGTTTCGCGTTTTTTCGATGAACCAGGTCAAAACCATGTACATGATTCCCTGCAAAGAACATCGTGCTCTATCGTGCCACTTATTTCCCGCGCAATCTCTTCACTTTCTCAATCAAATCTGGGTCACCAACTTGATCTGCGTTCTTTACAGTGCTGCTGTAATGGTCGGTCATGCTGCAATATATCTTTCGTGCTTGTGACACGTCGTTCGAAGAAGAATATTTACGCAGCTCAGGCTAGAGGTGTGACCTTGTGAATGCAAAAACTCAGATAGTGGAAGAAGTTCAGGAAAGAGAGGACCAGATGGGACGTAGCATTGCGCACTATTGGGCCCCTACAGACTGCTTTCGTGCCGACAACCTCAATGCTGTATCGGCCTCTATTTTGGAGATGATGGAACCTGCGGGGGAATGCTGCATTGAGTCTAAAATCAGCCTCTCCCGCGCCTTCGAACAGGCGACCATGTATTGAAGAAGAATTTTTCGAATCTTCGATACAATTACAGGATGCCCTTACAGAGCGCTTTTGCAAGTTCCACATCGCTTCATAGAAACCCAACAATCTTTCAAATTAGTAATTGAGCATTTGCGGGCTCTTTCAGTGCTCTTTCTCTACGGAGCCACGGTCGGATCAGAACTGACTCTCTTTCGTTTGCAGGAGAGGTGTGCGGGAGCCCAGTCACGCGTCGCACTCTGGCCGCACTCAAATTAAATATCCCAGGTTCGTCACTATATTCTCTCGGCTAAAGTAGAGGCTGTTGTTCACGTCGAAAACTAGGCATATTTACGGCAAATGGAGGTACGGTAAGTTACTACAAATATTCTTGCACCGTATTCAATCATGGCAAGCCTTGAACTTCGCCCTGAGCCTGTCCTGGTCCACCAAGTATTTTAAACAATTTGATTGGGTCTTTCACCGCAGCCGAGTCTGTACGCGAAGGTGAGCACTGAGTCCAACCGGTTGATATTTTTCTATCTTCGTCGATATAGACAAATTTACCAAATGCTGTCGCCTTTTCGATGAAGCGCAAGAGGTGACAGCCAAATCCAGCTCCCATCGTACGTGACTCTATATCAGCGGATCTGCCTTATAACGCATGGGGGAGAGATGTCACCTAAGAGATTAATCCTCGCTAACACCATGGAAGGTGCTTCTGTGTTGGTTATCTATGTGCCTAAAGCGTGAACATTGCGCCAGGCTGTCTGCTCGAGCCATTTATTCTGAAGTCAAACCCCTCCAGACATGGGAATCAGAACTACATGACAAGTTCCTGTACGGTCTGGTAAGTGTGGTGCAAGATTCGTCTTCACAATTGATAATCATTTCCGCAAAGCAGATCATCCCTTGGGCAACTGGCCACTGTCAAAGTAACACGGCACGCCCGGAATCTGAAGTTTTCGTTGGTGAATAGCACTGAATGCCGCTGGTCATGTTGACCTAAACTCTAAAGCATTTCGGGAAATCCGAAAGGACGTTTCGATCTCAATGTTGGCTAAGATCTTCGCCTCCTTTTCTGTATGTCGTTTCCTAATTTGTCCAACGTCCAACGTGCACCTGCGGTTCTAGCATGCACGATGCCTGTAACTGTAGTGCTTGAGAGAAAAAATCCAGGAGAATCGAATGAATTGAATCCCTCAAGAACATTTTTTGACCTTGACTGTCGTTGAATCCTGGCCCTGGCTGATTGTTGTTCTTGGTCTCGGAGTAAGTGACTTTCATTTGCCAGCATCTTCGGGAAACCCTCTGCTAATGCTAAGCTCGTTCTTAGGACTCAGAATGATCACACGGAAATAAAAAGAAAATATTCTTGGATATTGTTCGCAATTGGAGGAGAAGGAGGGAACGGCACGGTCCCATCACGGTCCCATCGAGCCATCGGAAACTTACGACAAAGGTACTAGGCTGGTTCGCAGATTGACATCCTACCCCCCCCCCCCCCCCAAAAATAAAGGTGGAGCATGAATCAGAAACCTAGGTCATATATTGACTAAATAATTTTTTGCCACTGTATTTGATTTTAGTGAATCATAGGAGTTTTGTGGTTTTGTTGAAGTCTGGAATGTTGGGCCTGAGTCCGCTCGAACTGGGCTATGAGTCACAATGACCAGTGATTACTCTCAAGCCGGCATATCCATAATCGATAGCGGTAGGCGTACGCACAATAACTAAGTGCTTACACTAATCTGGCTCGGTGGTGTTCTTCATCCGAAACGAGTCTGGACAAGACAGAAAGCTGGCATGCACCCAATTTCAACGCCTCACCCACAACAATTGTTGTCCTGCCCAAGTGGGTTAACTCTCTCATCGTCAGAGAAAGTCTCCCATACCTTTACAAAGCTTCCGGATTTGGTTGAACGTCAAGTTGGGTATAAAAATTGAGAAGAATCTGCTCTCAAGACTCATCTCATTATCCTCACTAACTTTCACCCACACCAACCCAGTCAAGCTCTTTATTTTCATCATGTCCGTCGCTGTTCCTCCCGGTCTCTACCAAGTTCAGGTCACTAGTAATGCCAGCCAGAAGGTTGCGGCACCTGCTTCTGCTGGAGGCAACGTCACCGTCAATACCTCCACTTCTCAAGTCGTAAGTAAATAAGCCAGACCATCACCGACTCCTTTGGCCCTGTTCTTGTTTAGGGACTATCACTGACGATCTCGACATTAGTGGCAAATTACTGGTGACGGAGTGATCACATCGTTCCAGACCGGAAGCTCTGCTACCCAAGCTCGGACACCGAATGTCCCTGCTATTACGGGAAACAATGTGGTCGCTGATGCTGGAACTATCGCGCAGCAATGGATTATTTCGGGAGCGAATCTGTAAGTGGCATACCTCTTTGAGTGGTCGCAGTTCTTACCACCAGGAGTGTTCAAAAATGATGGGACTAATTTGTTCATTCATTTCCTAGCATTTCCAACACTTACTGGACCGGATATGTCATGACCAGCGATGGAACTCGGCTTTTCTGGGGTGTCGATGGCAGTAATGTAAGTCATGCTTGGTGGACTCATCCCTCATGGAGCTGACATAGCTTTGCGGTGTGTTCGTCTTTGCAGAATGTACTTGTTACAGGAACCAGTGCCAAGACTCAGTTCAACTTCATTCCCATCGCTGTTTAGGCTTTAGGATATTTGTCACCAGCATCTGCAAAGGCCCAGCACGCACTTCTGGTCGAGATAATGTATATCCTTATGTAGTCTCTCGTCATTATTTAAATGTATCAGGGAGCCATTGATGTTGTTCAACACAATGCTTTGGAACCCGTAGTGTACTCTTCTTGTATTCCAGCTAGAAAATAAATCATTTTCAAACGTACATCCCGCAACCCGTTCGTCGAGGCCAACCCGAGCTGTTAATTCAAGTTGTATCGCACAATTCTAGGTTCAGGAGACTGTATATCAGCAAATAAGCCTATCTCCGGGTCTTCTAGTAGGGCATTAAGCACATAAAACAATAAATAAAATTCAACTGTCCGACAAGGTGGTCGAGATATGGCGGAGAATCTGATAGGAGATTGACAGATCGTTTCATGCGTATCTCGCTCACTATTTTCTAGCAAGGGTACATCAATTTTTGCAGGCTTTTTTTTTTTGGGAGAATCCGTGTACTCACTCTTCATACTGGTATGATGTTCAATGTCACGGAGTAGCACTGTACAGGACTAGCTCCAGATGCCCCAGATTGAGACGGAATTGTTGTCGTGTTATAGTATACAGAGTTCTGGGGCAATCCCGGGGCATCGCTGGGGCACAGATACCACAGATTTGCGGTTCCGTTGAAAGCAAGGACGGAGAAATTTCCAGTGCCTGATTCTGCAGTGAAGGCTGTCGAAGCTGCGCTACTATAGAGGCTGCTTGTGGTCCAGTCCAAAGAGCCATGGAGCAAAGGAACACTAGCATTAGTATGCCAGCTCCCTTGTCTTGAAAAGGCGCGAAGGTTTCCATCCACCAGCGCGAGGGAAGGGAAATCGTTATATGGATAAGAGGCGTACGTCTAAAGTAGAAACCGATTAGAAGGATGTTAAGAACATAGTTGACAATCAATCGGCGCGCACCGAGGTCACATCGAAAGATTCTCCGTCGATAGCACCTGTGTATGAATGATTATGAGGGCCAGGTCAGATGCAAAAACACCCGAGTACTGACCGGCGGTGCCCAAGACAAGGGGAGCGCCAGTCAAGTTTACATTTGGAAGCGTGACATTCAAGGCGGCGAGGGTGAAGTTTTGAGTCAATGTCGTCTCGCTCGAGCGCATCGCTAAGTATACAGGGGATGCGAAGATGAAGCTGGTGGAAGACGACATCACGACAAGGAGAGCAGATAGAAAGCGAAGGGAAGAAAACATGCTTGTCGAGGGTTGAAATTGAAAATAGGTTGAAGGTAGACAAGCAGACGACTGGGCGAAATATGTGATGTTGAGAGTTCAAAAAAAAATCGGAGTCGTTTCGAGTACGGAAGAGCGAATAATGTGAGGATGTTCCGAGCGGTGACTTTATATCACTCTTCCCCTTCGGACAGATACTCATTTTCCGGTGGAGAACACTTCGATAATCAATTAATTATACAGCGCATAGCAATGCAGCGCCTAATACTTAAATCAGTAGATGGATAACAGTGAGTGAATACTATGATGAAGGAACCATACTTTCATGCGAAAGAAAGAAAGATTCAGAGCTGCTATAATCCTACTGATTTCCGTGTTTGTATCGTGGTTTGTCGACCAAGAATAGTTGCTGGGATTCGCTTTTTGCGTGATGCCAAGTCTAATCTAGCGCTGGGAATTTGATGAGGGAATTTTCGAAGCCGCGAGGGTGCCGGAGTGAATCACGACTCTTTCCAGTTTTCTATACTTGGCGACTCTAGTAGCCAATTGGTGGTTAGTAGTGCTAACTGGTGATGTCCCTTTAGTTCGAAACCTAAAGAAAAGAACCCCCTGCTACTTTTATTTCCCGCGTCATTTGTTCGTTGGTTGAATGCCACCTGGCCCAGGATACAATTGGATTTGCGTCCTTTCAAGTGCTGCTGAAATCGTCGGTCATGCTGCCAGATATCGTGCTTCTCAAGTGTCGCGTCTTTCCAGGGAGAAGGCTTCTGCAAATAAGGCTAGAGGTGTAACGTTGGAGAATGATTGGAATGATTTGAAGGCAAAAACCCAGACGGTGGAAGAGAGATTGGAAGTTCAAGAGAGAGATGGCCAGAGGGAGGAAGAGGGACGTATCGTCGTGCCCTTGCAGCCTGATTTTGCGCCGACAACCTCGAATTCTGCATCGGTATCTATTTTGGAGCCGATGGAGACTACGGAGGATCGTGTTGCAATTTCGAAGGAAGCGCATACACCTTCCGAAACCGCCTTAAATACGGTCTCGAATGTTGAATCAAGCGTAAACTCAACCTCTGCCATGCCTTTCGATGAAAAACCACTTGAGGAAGGACTGTCCAAATCTCAGTCATCGGCTACTACCGAATCTCCAATACCAGTCGATCTACTTGAAGCAGAACTGGAAAGAAACAAATCCGCTATAACAGAGCCAGCTGCTGCAGCCTCCACGCTGGCTCATAGAAACACTCTCCAATCTTCCAAAGTACCTTCTTCGAAACTGGGCAGGCTCTTTCATTACGGAGGTACGCGTCGTGCAGAGCGAAATCGATCTAGAATTGACTCGCGAACTTTTGTTTACAGGCTTAGCAGCATCTTTAGGATATGGAGCAGCTTCAGAATTCCTTCGTCCATCTACATCCTCCGCAAACGCGTCTGGTACACCAAATCGTTCAGTTCTACTGACTGATGCTAATATCGGTCGTCTGGTGTCGAAACTATCCCAAATGAGAGGTGCCGCGCTCAAATTGGGCCAATTTTTAAGTATTCAAGGTTCGTGAGACAGACCTGGTATTGAAACGAGCTTCAATAATGCCTTTGTAGATACGCATCTTCTCCCAGCTGAAGTAGATGCTGTATTTAGACGCGTCCAAGACTCGGCGCATTATATGCCTGATTGGCAAATGGAGGTAAGTCTGTTTCCTAAACGTCATTGCACAGTAATTTAATTCATGGTAGCAAGTCTTAAGTTCCGCTTTGGGCCCATCTTGGTCCACCGAGTATTTTGAACATTTCAACCGAATTCCATTCGCAGCTGCGTCTATTGGCCAAGTCCACGAAGGAGTGTTGAAGGCGAAATGGAGTCCAACCGGTCTGTTTATATTCGTCTTCGTCTTATAAATATTCAACGCTGTCCTCTTTTCTAGGCAAAGCGGAAAAAGTAGCAGTCAAGGTTCAGTTCCCCAACATCCGCGACTCTATCTCAGCAGATCTTTCTTATATCACCTGGCTATTGCGCGTTACGCTTGGGGGTAAAATATTACCCAAGGGACTATTTCTCGATAGGACTATGGAAGTACGTACTTCTCTGTTGTTAATATACCTGAAACATGAGCTTTAGACAGGTCATGAAACAAGAACTGACAGACGAATGCAACTATGTACGTGAAGCACATTTCCTGCAACAATTTCGTTCGGCGGAATTTCTAGGTATGAGGTTCTCCTCATTCTCAACTGGGGCTTAGCTCATTCGGTCAACGCGCATAGGATCTGATTCTCGTTTCCACGTACCTTGGGTTTCATCTGTTTCCAGCGAACAAGTACTCGTCATGGAATTCGTTGAAGGAGGCGTCAGTCTTGGCTCCGACCTCGTCACAGCATTGCCGCAGAAAGAAAAGGACAAGGTTTGTTTGGCTTCAGAGTGTAGTACTTGCTGCCATTTCTTATTTTGAGATTACAGATTGCGACGACAATCCTTCACCTGTGTTTACTCGAGTTGTTCCGTTTCGGGACAATGCAAACCGACCCGAATTACTCCAATTTCCTCTACGTCCCCGGTATGTTGAGTTTCTGTGGGCAATGCTCATCGGGTACAATTTCTCATGCACTACTTGTGTAGAAACAAAAAAAATCGCTCTGATAGATTTCGGGGCTACACGAGAGTATGGTCCTGAATTTCTGGACGGATGGCGCAGGCTCCTCGAAGCTGCCGCCTCTCTCGATCTGAACAGCGGTGACTTACATCAAAACCCTGCTTGGAATGCGTGTGTCCACGAAAGTGTCTCCCTGGGGTACCTAATAGGAGGTCCGGGCGAAGGCGAAGGCTTCGAGTCGCCTGAAATGATAGAAGCGCATGTAACGAGTCTTGCTTTATTGGCGTTCCCGTTCAACGAGAGGACATCGCAACCTGTGCGGTTTGGAAAGGGATCTGAGTTTGGGCGGAACACTGAACGGATACGAGATCTTATACCGGTGATGTTGAGGGAACGAAAGAAGGGTCCGCCAAGGGAGACGTACAGTTTGAACAGAAAGTTGAGTGGAGCGTTTCTGTTGGCGTCGAGGTTGGGGGCAACAATTCATGCTCGAGATATATGGGTAGATGTATTGTGACAGATTATAACATTCAACTGGTTTACTGTACACTCATTCCCAGCAAAAATTTTCATACACAGGTCTAACCAGGACTCGAACCTGGGTTACGGGAAGTAAATCACTCGTCAAAATCCCGTGTGATAACCTCTACACTATTAGACCATTGTGCGGCTCCAGAGATATCTTGAATCTCTGCGGGAATCTTTCCGGTCGAGTTTGATAGACTATGTAGCGCCGTCTTTGCTTACAAATTTACAAGATGATACTCATCAGAATCTTTGCCTTGAGGCTTCGACACCACACCTGGTCACCTGGAGCACCAGGGAGCTCCTCTTTGTGAACTATACTCTATATTATCCACTGGTACCTGCTCCTCTCAGAAATTTTAACGAGGTGTCGGATGTCGGGGCAATTTCAACCACGCTCGAGGATTGGGACCCAGTCGCTCCAAGAACATCTGCGATCGCCTTGCGGGCTGTCAGAGAAAGAGTTATCCGAGATTACACAGCTCGTCAAGGTAGCTGAAGACGATCTGGATGGATATCATGCAGAGATATTACGGTTAGAGGCTAGGATTGTATATCTCAAGTCCGAACACGATCGGCTCGTCGACCATAAATCCACCCTTTCTTCTCTTCTTTCACCTATACATCGCCTTCCGAACGAGATCATGATCAGGATATTCACCTTTTCATGCGATCAAAATACTCTAGGCCACTCAAAGCAAAGTCATACGTTAGACGTTAGCGCAGTCTGTAGCAGATGGCGTGCTTTGACTCTTTCGTGTTCGGAACTCTGGGCCACCTTCAGCATAATCTTGCCTCCTATAGTTAACGAGCGTCATGATCCTCAACTGCTAGAATATGTTTTGGATATCTTTCTTGAACGCTCGAAACATCAGCTCCTCACAATCAGCATCGACGCGTATGGTTCCTCGGAGCATCCCCTACTACATAAAGTCATGCAAACTTCTCCAAGATGGCGCGATCTGACTTTGAACGTAGATGTTGTGCGATTCTCAGCACCATTACATTCTTGTCTTATTGGGCTGCGACTCCCTGAACTGCAATCTGCCTGCATAGTGCAACCCACAGGGTATGGAATCAGCACCCTGGACCTTCTTTCCGGAGCTCCCAAACTTCGTGATCTTCATGCCTTGTCACTGCCGCTCTCTTGGACAAATCCTCACTCTCTGAGCCAGATCACTCATTTATCGTACTGTCCGTCCTTCACAAATTTCTACGAGTTGCTTGACTGGTGTCCCCAATTAAAAACTCTTTATCTGTCTAACTTCGAACACGATAGAGACATTCGCGCTCGATCCATTCCTGCCAAACAGGTTCCTATAATTTCGTTGACAGTGAGCTTGGCTGGGTACTACCCCATGGTTCAGGACATCCTTTTGGACTCCATGGAATCCCTTGTTGCTCCTGCGCTAACTTCACTCGTACTAGAACAGCACGGTGAACTACCTGATAACCTGTATGCTCCACCTAGCCCTTTCAATGCTGTTGACAGCTTCTTAGCTCGTTCAGCTTGTCCATTGACGGTACTAGTTCTAGATAGCATGCCCTTGACAGATTGTGAGGTGGTCGCGCTTCTAAAACGACTACCTTCTCTTGTCGAGCTTACCGTAACGGAGTCCAAATTCGAGAATGCTCTCCCTATCACACTCGATTTCGTCGAGAGCCTACACTCGCATAAAAGGAGCGCCCTCCGTTCTTCTGTAAACCCCATTCTGCCAAAACTTCAGACGTTGGTTTTAGAGGTTCAGGTGACTGCGAGTGAATTTGAAAGGGAAGGCTCTACACTGGCGTTGATAGATGTAATTGTGTCTAGATGGTTACCAGAAAAAAGCTACGCGGCCAGTATAGGTGTCTCGTGCCTGCGGTCTGTCGAGTTGTACCTGTTGGGTCCTCCTCGACCAGGCCAATTCCAACTCCTGGAACCTTATGACAAATCGGGCTTGCGATTCGTGGTTGGAGAAAGCAGGGATTTTGAATACCGATAGGCCTGGGATCAAAAGCGAGGGGGTCGTATCTTGAATCCAAAGATTACATGGTACGTTTTAGCTCATTCTCACTAAATGCGTCTGCACATCTTATTGTAGATGAATGAAATGTTTGAAAGAAGAGCGAGCGTTTGACCTCCAAAAAAACTAGACTGGCTGCTGAAGCGCTTAAGTCTAAGCTGTCGAATGCCCTACAGCTATCAAAAGTATGTGTACCTACTATATATATCACCTTATTGGACAATTTTGATCGGCGGGCATACTTTAAACCTGTTTCGTTCTAAAGGTTCTATATCACTACTCGCACTCTTGTCCCTCACCTAGCATGCATATGGGACCCTGTACCTACTTGGGGCGCGCATATTGCACGCCGCATTTTTGATATACAATTCCAGTACATTAGCCACCACCTGCCACCACCAAGCATGGTGTGGTCCACGACAGTGGAGCCTAGTATCGTTTGGTGCTTCTGATTCAAACCAATCAGAGCAACCCTTATCCACCCACACTGAAAACTGGTTGCAAACTCCTTCAGGCTAATGATCACAGACTCTCCAATGTTCAATGTTCATGAGCTGGTAGACGGAGTACCGAGGCAAACGGCACCGCCGAGGGTAAGCTTGCGATGTAATTGTAGTCGCAATTCACTCGGGATTTTGTTATGGGTAACGTATGGGTTTAAAACTTTGGGCGAACCCTGGACAGTTTGGTTTAATTTACGATTTCTTTTTCTCCCTGCCAAACAGCTGGATAATCCGAGGGATCACCTTCAGGACTGGAAGGACAGCATGGGTACACCACACGCACAATCTCCTTCTTCTTGGAGGACACTACCTTCGTAATCAAATCGGACGATTTGGAATAGTCTATCTATTCGGACGGTGAAAGTTTGGAAGATCGTAAAAGCTTTTCACATATTTCGAGCATTCTGAGACGTTCAAATTATTACCTTTTTCCCCAACACGATTATTTTCGGTTGGGTGAAACTCGGCGTAAATGCATTCTATCACTACCCTACTACTTATCTTATCATCGTTGTGCTGACAATTTGTTTTCTTTCAGCCTACTTGGTTAGTCTGTCGTGTTTCATAAACTCCGGTACTTGCGTAAGAAAGATCATTGCGCGCATAAGACAACCCCGTTCGGTTTTCCGGTTGACATTTAAAAGTTCTACGTGGCAACCTCGTTTATTCCACAACTTCGCTCCGCCATAACACTCAAAGAAATGACCAGTCGACTTCCCCCTGAAATTTATCACCTCTTCATCGACGAGTTGGCAGATTCACCCCAGCTTCTCAAATCATTTTCCTTCGTGTCGCACGTCTGGTTATCTAGATGCCGCACACACCTTTTTAAACAGTTTAGTCTGCACTGTATGCCTTCAGCTGTGCATGATGCTGTCGAGGAGTATTCAGAGTGTTGGTACCCAGCGAATTCTTTTCCGGCCGATGACCCTGGTGCCGCAGTAACTGGTTCAGAAGGATATTGTTCTCTGAAATCACTTCTGAAAGTCCAACAAATCCAACAATCCATACGGGAACTATCATTGATCGAAGGAAACACGGTAGATTGTAATCGCTACAAGAAGCTTGATTTTGGAATGTGCTTATCGGAGTTGGCAACCAACATACAGTTTCCAAACCTCAACGCCCTCGCTGTCTCGTTCAATGGACCCGGATCACGGGAGTATTGCTTAGGTGTCACCGCGGTAGGGGAGCTCATGCGTATCCATTCGAAGCTGGAACACCTTGGCATATCCTCCCTTTATCTTGACACTCACTGTTTGCAAAACCTTCTCTCCTCTATGAGGGTCTGCGCCCAATTGTCAAGTATTACACTCGAATGCATCACTTGCGCAGCTGGTACAGAGTCTTTGATTTCTCGCGACTCTTCTTTAGCGTTGGAAGAGAACACCGCAGCATTACCCCAGTGGTCTCGTGCACCGATTCAGAGGCTCTCTTTGTCCGACGTTGGTCTTAGTTTGGTCGAAGTTTTGTTTTCTCCAACAAAACCGACCATATTCCAGATAGAACTGAAGTCACTGGCCATTGATTGTTCGAATCTGGACAGTAATCACGGAACGATGGAAGGGAGCGTAGGATTTAGGTTGATAGACCGTCATGCGTCCAGTCTACAACACCTCTTACTGAAACATCCAAAAGCAATTAATCATGGTCTGTACCTTGTGCAATTTCATAGACCCACCTGATTGACAATGTTTTCAACCAGCATTTTATAAACCCTTATTGGAGATGACTTTGCCTTTTCTTTTTATCATCGAAATTCATTTTACCAATGTCCACGACGGGAGGTTTCGCTATGCGCTCGAGAACTTATGCTTCTTGCGATCTCCCATCTCCGAATTGCGTATAGGACTGAAATACGGTCCTCGAACGGCCTTCACCCCTCCCGTTGATAGGTCGCTCATCAACTTTTCTCGATCGCTCCAGTCTCTAAGGCGGGTTAAATTCAAAGTAATCCATATGATAGACAAATTTAGCTGCGAACATCTGCCAAAGGCTAACCTTCATTTGCAGTTAGAAATTGTACAAGGAGATAGGTGTATAAGTACAAGATAAAGAGTTTTACATTTACAGGAAATCGAGCGTCTCTACTAGGTATGAGGGCGAGCAAGAGTTGATTATGATACCGTCATCAGAGGAAGAGTCCGCGTCTTCAGCGCCGTCTGGATTCAACCCCGCTTGTCTCATTTTATCTTCCCAGGGGGATACAACATGATCTGGAATTGGGGCACATAACCCAAGGTCAAAGCGATCGTTTTGAAGAATGAACTTGTGCAGAACTGGATTTATACTTATAAATATCTGATATTTCAACAATTGACACGGATTACGATAAATCATGTTCCTCACCAAGCTGCGAAGTCTGGCGATAAGTAGTGTGGTGCACCAGGGACTTCTAGTAATGAAGCTTCAACACCAGCTTCTTCTAATTGTCGAAGAAACTCTTCTGCATATGACTTTGGATATGCGACATCTTCAGAACCATGCACAAGTTTTACGGAGCCAATTATTCGAGCCAATACAGATTTTGGATGAGATTTGCGGTTGAGGTAAAAGTCAAGGTTCATGATGCGAAACTGATCCAAATGATGATAGTTCCACCTGACCATGGCGACTGGATAAGTGACACGGGTCATACTGTCGACGCTCGAAATCAGTAGTACTCAGTAAGATGCCAGCATTCACATACGCTGTTACAAGAGGAGAGAGCTTCGGATTGCTGAACATGTACTGTATGTTGCCAAAACCCGCATCATAAATAGCATCTTCTTTCACAGTCGATTCGTCTGGGAAAGCGGAAGCCCAGACATCATTAACTTCTTTGTGACCCTCGGCTACTTCAAGTGGCTAGAGCGATCGTAAGAATAAAGGTTAAAGATGTGTGAGAGGCATGAACTTCACTATTTCAAGGCACAAGTGAGATATTAGAAACATGGACAATACACGCTCGGGTTGTGTTACTGCTATTTCAACAGCGATTGTAGTCCCAGAGGACATGGCGACAAGGTGACAGGGTGGTAGCTTGATTGCATCCTGTAGAAGCTGTTAGTACATACTATAGTCGAACCTGAGATACATACCATTAATCTCATAGTGTCTTCTGCAGCTTCAACCTGTCCGTAGCGAAATGGAACTCTGTCGCCAGTTGTACCACCGTGCCCTCCTCTCAAATCAAAAGAAACAAGATTAAATCGTCGTAGTTGACAGTCACAAAATTGGGCTACATTGTAGAAACGTTATTGTTAGCACCAGAATTTTTCGACATCGAAGGAAGAATACACACCATAATATATATGTTCAGCTATAGACACAGGATGAATAAAAAGCAAGGTTGGAAGATTTCGATCAATCTCGTCAGCCTCTTCAGAGGCCGGAGTGCATATTGTGTACTTGAATCTGGTTTTCCCAGTGCTAGATGTCACGTCGACATAGGGCATATTCGAATAAGCCTTGAATCCGGGGAATGATAGTGGGAGTTGAAATAAGGTGAGGCACGTACTGTGAATGTCTATATAAGCGTAGAATGCCTCCCTACCCCCCAAGATCGTGGGCTGGTAAATAATGTATATACGAACGTCGAAAGAATCACTACAATTAATAAATAAGATAAGTACTTTCGCCACTCGCGAAGAACCTGATTGGCATCATGCGGTAAATCACGTTGGAGTACAGTTCATATTGATTAAGTGATTTCCCTTACCTGCAGGCTTCGAGATTCCGAAGTCGAACGACGACCAAGCGCAAGCTCGATGAAAGGATGTGTCCTATCTGGGCCAAGTAGGACAAAGTCCTGTTTCGACTGCTTGGAAGGAAGCCTTGAGAGGCGGCGTGGACTGGATTGGATGCATTCAATAGACTAAGCTTTATGGACTTCCATAGACCGTCTGGAATATTTTATACTTAGTTCGTAGATCGTAGAGCCTGTTTTTAGAGTTATAATCAGCGTAAAGGCTCAGAAAATCCTCGAGAAAAGTCCAGGATTCGTTGCTGCACCCTATTCCGGGTACTATGTGTATCAACAAATACATAGATTCGAGGCCAGATAGCAGATGTAGAGTTTGGAAATTGGAATCTAAAGACATGGTGCAATTCCTGACATCTGTATGCGGTGAACCGGCGGGAAAAGAAGAGCAGAAGGATTGGACCCACAACTATATCAAGAGCACACGACGAAAAAAAAACCACTCGAAATTCTGAGCCGTACATACGAATTCCTATGAGTGTCAGATCGGGACTTCGCATTGGCTGCTTACCTTGTATAGTTTGAGCATGCATTTAAGTAAGTAGGTATCGTAGTCTTATTTGCAGCTCAGCGACATTGTCAATATGTATCATAGAGCTTCTTGGGAGACGGTCTGAGGCGGTATGTATGATATTCATTAAATTAGTCCTTGTCAACGCATGAATGGAAGCGGTTTTTCGAGAACACAAAGGAGGCAAGTAGAGGGGAAATTATCAACAGTAGAGTCTTGGTAGCTCTTGGTAGTCGTCCATCCATCTTTTTTTGATTCTGATTCCAAGATCTTGAACTTGAAGGGAGCTTTCGACCATTCTTTTGACCCTTTTTCCAAACGATAATTATAACAGCGCTAACCGTCTGCTAGTGAACAAATTTTGCGACACTGGATATCTTGGATCTGACCACCCTCGCCCTTTCCTATCAAGAGCCAAGTAGATTTGAGCATAATTCCGCCATCAAGCACACTCCGCCGTTAAGCACGGTCTGTCTGCAGAAATAAGTAGCACCTTGTGGTCTTGGTTATAGATAGAGATTACCTCGTTCGCGACACCTGAAATACATGTACTCCATTCTACCTGATCAGCATTGGTCTTGAGTCGGCGGAGATGGTGGTTGGTGTGCATCTGTATCACAGTGGTCAAGACTGGAGGAGCTGCCTGAAGCAATCCTGGTGGATGTTCTCGATCCCGGTGAAAGTTTTGGAAATAGTTCTGATGATGACAAACATTAGCAATTGCTCTTTCTATTTTGGGAAATACAGTCATTGCGATTCGTATTACATTTGTGTCTACATACAGCGTACAAGTACCTTGGAGAAGTGCGAAGAAGAAATCAATGCATGAGAAGCGGGTCCAAAGTCCTCCAAGAATTTACAAAGCCGACTTTTGCCATTTGGGCTCTGCCCCATCAGCAATCGCCAAGTAGGGCATCAGGTCACTAGTCAAAAATTCGCTCGGCCACTCTTTCTTAATTTGACCCTTGAGGTAATCCACCGCGATCTTCAGGTTATCCTCCTTTACCCCAGGGTAAATCTTCTTTACATCCGGTGCAAGCTCGTCGATTAGCTTTTCTACGTATTCTGCCGTGATGTATTGTCCTGATTCGAGACGGGAGTTGTACTTGACCCATTGCCACAGCTGAACACGAGTTATCTCCGCGGTAGCAGCATCCTCCATGAGATAGTTGAGAGGGATGCATCCATTGCCACCTATCCAAGCCGAGGTGTAGGCCAACGACGTCGAAATGTTGGAACGAACGCCTTCGTCGGTGATCGTGCCAGGTACACGAGGGTTGAGAAGATCGACAGCAGCGACTTTGACGTCCTCACGACGGACGTGGTACTAAAAAAATAGGTTGAGATAAATTTCGAAGCAAGAGCAGGGATTTCTGAAAGCCTTACCTGGTTGGGCCCAAGCATATGTTCATTGAAAACCGCTAACGCAATTTTGTTGATGAGGGGGTGTGCAATCCAGGTACCGTCGTGTCCAGCTAGAACTTCGCGGAGTTTGTCCAGGCGTACTTTTTCCATAACAGCATCGTTCGCTGCTGGGTCGTTTTTGATGGGAATTTGAGCAGCCATACCACCCATCGCGGCAACTTTACGGCTGGATACATCTCCGTCAGATAAATGTAGTGGTTGTTTGTAAAGATAAACATACCGGTGGCAAGTTTGGATAAGAAGACGAACGTAGGAGTCCATAAACGGTACAGTCATTGTGACGTCTTTCCGGTCAGGAAGAACAGCAGAGCGGTCTGCACGACGCTTCTTAATGAAGCTGAAAATGTAGTCCCATCTAGATGTATACGAAGGTAAGCTACACGAGTTTGGAAGATAACAGTTGATGTCACCTTCCACAATTCAAACCAGAAGAATGTGTTCGAAGTTCAAAGAGTATCTCCTCCATGTTGAATACAGCGGGAAGAGTCTCAATGAGGACAGTCGCACGAATAGTTCCGTGTGCCAAACCAATGTAAGATTGGGAAAAATTGAATACGTCATTCCAGAGACGGGCCTCGAGATAATGTTCCATTTTGGGCAAATAGAAGTAGGGACCAAATCCACGTTTTACGAGCTCTTTTGCGTTATGGTAAAAGTATAAACCGAAGTCAAACAACGAGCCAGATACGGGGGCATTGTCGACTGTCACGCGAGGTTCATCAAGGTGCCATCCTCTTGGACTGGAGAAAGAATAGTATCAATGAGAACTTGAATTTTTTGAAAATACGATATGAAGAGCTCACCGAACGATAAGAACACACGGTTTCTCGATAAGCTTGTAGCTCTTTCCACCGGTATCGAAGTCAATCTCACGCCTGATTGCATCGCGGAGATTTAGCTGTCCGCTGACCATGTTAGAGAACGTGGGTGAGCTAGAGTCTGAGCGATAAGGTTAGCGGAAAATTTCTACAAAAACGGTATAGTGACATACCTTCAAAATCAGCCATGAAAGTTTTTGCTCCACTATTTAATGCATTAATGACCATCTTCCGGTCGGTAGGTCCTGTGATCTCTACACGTCTATCCTCGAGACCAGGAGCAGGCGGCGCACACTGCCATGAAGCTTCAGCGCGTATATGCGCTGTTTCTGGAGGGAAGTCAAACGGAGCACCCGAGTCCCAGCGACGTTGAGCTTCTTCACGGGCGATGAGCAACGATTGTCTAGTAGATTCAAAGGTACGGTGAAGAGCAGCAAGAAAAGCAAGAGCATCCTCTGTGAGGATAACGGCTTGGGCCTGTTCGGCGAGCTTGGAGTGAATTTGAACGCCAGACACCATGGTTGTAATTCTGTAAGCAAAAGAGGTTGAGGAGAAAGATGTTGGCTATCTGGCAATATAAGTCTCGGATTTGTTTGGTGGCGGGATCCCGATCCGTTATACGTCATTCCGTTTTTCACATGATTCCGTTTCCGTCCAGCATCCCCGCCTCCTTTGCGCGCCTCCGACAAGCCTCCGAGGAACAAAGCCAGACTCAGCCAGGTTCCGAGTCCACCGAGAAAAAATGGAAAAATAAATCAGCCGGCGGCTCACTGGGCTTCTGTGTTCAACAATATTCCGAATACAGCTGTTCTTTACCGTTCTACCACCAATATCGGTTGTCCGTAGTTCCGAAATGTCAAATAACATGTTTAGAGCGCTCCATTTACAGTGGTTAGAAACACATGGATATATTATGATGCATTCTTCTCAGTTACAGATGCCGGTCCCATTGCGGTATACGAGGCTAGAGCAGCACTTATCAAGGTCGGTACATTCAAAGGAACGGAAGTATAACTGACCAACAAGTTCCTTCGCTGCCCGTTCTCCAATTTTAATCACTCTTCTACAAGCCATCTGCCACATTCCAACACTCACAGCGCCTGATGACCACGTCAATACCAAGAGAAAAAGCACATGGGCATCGCTTACCCTTTGGCGCAAATGGGAAAGCTAAGACCCACGCCAGAGGTCCGAACCATCCTGGTGGAAGGTAGAAGATGGCGGCTTTTCTGTACCACCATCCGATGACAAATTGGGCGCCTGTGGTGCATATCCAAATGCCCGTGCTGAATTTGACCGAGAACGAGGTCTTCACCGAGGAAATATCACTGTCTAGATTCAAGTGACATCGTAAGCAGGGAGACTTTATCAGACTATAACGTATACGAACTAAGTTTCTCGAGATCTGCCAGTCCCTTGTCCACACTCCTTCTCAATTTGGCCCATTTGGCAAACTGATCTTGCGCACTTGTCTTCAAAAGCTCTGTTTTGGTGTTCAGAATATCAACTTTGAGCTTCTTCTGCTTTTCAGCAAGCGTTGGATAGAAGATACGGAGATAGAGAACGTAGAACTGGTACCCAAAATTGGCAACGTGTCAGCTTGATATCCATCGAAGTGAAACGAAAACAGCTCACCCATCCAATCAGGACTGATTTACCAATCCATGAGATGAGCTCTGCGAAAAAGACTAGACAAAATATTGTAACAATCAGGGACATTTCGAGCCAGAACTCGTTGACGTCGACGTCAACAAGAGAAAGAAATAATATATTGCCAGCATCAAACAAGCGCGAGGCGCGTCAGACTATTTCCTAATTTGGAGTATCCTCAAACAGCTGGGACCGTGCCGGTTTCCTTTCTCACACAAAGACGCTGTTTGAACAAAAGGCATTGCGCAAATTGAATAGCCTCTTTTCTCTACTTCCTGAGTAAAACCAATATGAGTACCCGATGAGTACTTGCCCCAGTGTTTTTTATAGCCTATACGCGCGTTTTCTAGAACCTGTTCCTGACAAAAAGTTGATATCGTCTGCACTATTTTGTTCACGCACGACGGTACTCATACCCCAAAGTGAAGATGAATTGCTCCGGATTTCGATCTCAGGGAAGGAAAATTGGCAGGGAAGAAGATAATAGATCAAGGGGAGCTTCAGCAGCAGGCCCGGTGAGATGGAGCGATAACTTCTCAAATTGGGGAATCGACTCTTTCTTTCTTCAGCGGAGAGTAAGGGAAGTATTACTCCTAACTTTGCTTGTTCATCAAGCCAGATGAGATAACAGTCGAGCCAGTGAACCTGCGGAACCGATATATCTAGGAATGGAGGAATAATTAAATCGTAAGTGCACAAGTCCATGAAGCAGCTCCTGCATCCTGCCATCGCAGGCAGGAATTTTCCCTCCTTCGCGGGTATTGGAGAAATGATGTTGTCAGCTCGAACCTCATGGAAGCACACACATGTGCTCCTACCCTTCGGACGCGTTACTGACTGACATCACGCATTCTACATTACTGATATCATACATCCCTAGATAGTATATATACTTGTACTCTTGGTTCTTGACTTCCTTCTGGTTCCACTACCATCTTCACTGTCTTCTTCTCCTCTGTCCCTCTTCTGCTGTATATCAATTGAGACCCTTTGTCTGTTTGCTCTCCAAGACCTCGTGGGTTCTTTCCTTGAGTGTTGCTCGCTGGGTGGCCCTGGCAAGCTTCCACCTCATTCATATCACACAGTACCAAGCACCCATGCCAATGAGAACCAGAGAGGTGCCATTGATTTTATAACGACGTTGACCTCACATTGATTTCGCGAAACACGGCATCGTTTAAAATCCTTAAGAATATGTACATAGTGTGTCAGGCATCACAAAATCGTGATTCAACCGGTCGACTAGCCCTTTGTTTGTGCCTTTCGAATTGTTTCCTATTTATCACGACCACAGCGCCATGAGGTCATGCAGTACTCGTAAAAACAAACAACTCACACTGGCCTGCCCAATCCTTCCTCTTATGATCGACACAACCTCCCTTTTCGCCGGGTCAGTTAGTCTCCCAGTGACTTTGCCTTCCTCCTCCTTACATCTCCCGTTGTAAATCCCATTTACAACCTCCAATTCGTGCTTGCCAGCCCCTGTAGTCGGATTCAAGACTTTTGACTGGAAGCGGACATCGAAATGGAAGTAATCATCCTGATCGGCAACTGGATATCCATCCCACTTTAATATTCTAATGGTCGATACACCTTGGAGGTACTTGGGTGCAGCATTGAGTACCGTGATAGCAGCAAACTTGGCCGATTCTTGTATGTATCGGTCTGGAACCGCTGGGGTCCTACCATTGAAGTTGACGGTGGCTTCGAGGGTAGGACCTGAACCGCTGACCATCTTCTCTCCGACTTCTTCACGGTTCCATCGACCAAGCTGCCAAAACAGAGGAATCAGTGTCCACCAGAAGATGCCGAGCATCAAAAAACACACCTGATACCTCCCTTTCCGAAAGGATATGATTATTTTATTGGACTGTAGATTCCGTAGTTCCCCACTGAGGGTAAGTTCCCGTTTAGTTGGCCATGTCTCTATGAAATAAGGACGATCCGAAATGGTCCCTTGAAATGAAGAAAAGTGACCACTCTGCTCGAAATTGACATAGAAGCAATACGAGGAAAGAATGGCTTTTGGATAATCTTGCCACCTGGTGACTGTGATTGTTATCCCTTGAACGGTAAGATGGGGGGATGCTGTATCCATGATACTCTGAACAGCGTCTTTGAAGAGCTTGAGCTTTCCTTCATCAACCTGATCCCCGCCCGTAAATCGAGCGGTAGCCTTTAAGGAATCGGTCGACAACGTATCCGCAGGGAAGGAGTTTACGTTGGAGATTGCATGGTTCAGATTGTCAGACGAATGATCGGCAGGTAACTGGAGAAGTCGGTCAGTCAGATAATGTGGCGACGAAGGAAGTATAACAAGGCAATGTCAAGCTCACCGAGTCCAAATCGGCAAAAGCAACGTTCTTAGTAGGTAAAGCGAAAGTCCATGTAAGGGACGTGAAAAGCAGCAAAAGGGTCAGGTAGAGCTTGAAAGAAGTTGTATGCATCGTGGAGACGAAAAATTTTGACCAGCAAAACCTTTTCCAGTAGCGAGAGGGTTTGTAACCAGCCAGTGGTGGGAGGGATATTTAAGCCTCGGATACGTATCCTTTTTGAACAAAACGAATGCCTGCACATCTTGATGATGATTTGATCAACCTCCTGCGCGTCGGTTTCCTTTCCTTCGTACTAAGTTCGAACATGCTTCCGACATTTGCTCAGCTGGATGAGCTTGTTTAGCCCCGGTTTGGCCATGTGGAATCCTATGGCATACACAGGATTTCTCAGGGATAAAAATCCCGCATCTGATTGATTGGGATAGGACCTGATAAGACTATCGATCAACGCGATCTCGAAAATCCTTCCCTGCAGCAAGTCGCACCAGGTCGCACCCTGCCCACTGATCGCCGCAGCCGACGAATGGTTCACGCCAGTGAGATCGAAAACTTCAAAACCAAGCGCGGGATCCGCGACGACATAAGCATACGCTTCCTGGCCCAGAACTGATGTGATGGAGAACGGTAAAACACCAGAAGGAGATAGCTGAAAAGTTTTTCGAGAGAGATCCATTAACACCGATGTCATAGTACCCAAGATATCCTGGGGCAGTGGGTGTCGTACCAGAGTAAGCCACGAGAAGCTTTGAAGAGTCAGAGGAAAAGAGGATCTGGCTGACGGTGTTCGTGGGTCCAGCAGCAGGTGTGGTTTGGTTGATACCGAGGTAGCGGGCGGTGTCGGCCAGAGGTGTTAACCCGGAAGTTTGGTGTACGGGAAAACAGCTATGCAAGAGTTGATTAATTCGAATATTGATTTGAAGAGGGAGCACTGTACCTGATGCCATTAACCTCGCCTCCGTTCATTGTTGAACGTGACTGACGTGGGCCACTGGCCACCACTTTCCGCAGCGAAAGATTGCTTGGGTCAGAAGGGTTGATGGAAATGAAGGAAAACCGCTACAGAACCAGGCTGTATATACATACATAGGAAGGATTCCAAATCAGAACGGATTATAAAAACTAGGAGACATACGTTGACCGCAACGAGCATGTTCGTCACATTGCTCACAGCTACAGGACCTTGCCCAAAAAGTCCATCTGGGCCAGTATTCCCTCCGTTGATCCCATGAAGACCCATTCCGCCAGTTGCATACGCTTCACGGAGGTTAACTTGTCCGTCTGAACCGACATCTGCTGCGAGGATGCAGTTGCCACTATCTTCGTTCGTCATCCCTATCATGTAGCGTGAGTTTCCAATGAAGACACAGGAACAGACAATACTCGCAGTATCCAGATCCAATGGTGGTCCCAGACGCAGAGTTGACTTGAACGGCTGGTGTCGGCTTTCCATGAACTTTACCGCTTACGGAGATGACATTTCCTAAAGCGAGGTCGATAACGGCGAGGAGCAGACGTGTTGTATGCTTCATCGTAAATGCGAGAAGAAAAGGGGTGGAATTAGATTCGATATGGGTCACATGAATCGGGAGCTCAAGCGCTCACCACCCGACAATTCTCAAGTTCGGAATTACCAAATTGGATAGGTCGACACAAACAGACAGTCTACAGCCTGAGCATTCAACGTCAACGTTCAACCCTTGGCCTTAACAAGCAAAGACCTCAAAAACAGTTGAAATGTCTTTTTTGCAAGAGCTTTCTGCCATCCGGTGTATGGAGTGGTCCTGCCTAAGTACCAGCGCTATGGGCTGCCAAGCCCACTTTGAACATCGACTAGACTCCGACAACGGATATATGCACTCTATGCCATGAATCATTGGCACACTGGTATACCTTGGTATACATTATCTTCCAAGGAAAGGTGCCGGAGAGTTCAGCGGTCGGATCTCAGGCAATCTGGTGTCTTCACCTTGCTAGTGCCAGAGGCGCTATCTTAAGCACAGTCCTGTGAGCCTTGCGGTAAACATTCTGCAGTGGTTGAGGCAGAACAACAAGCTATTCAGCTGGCCATGACGGGAAAACTCCAGTTACGGGTTACGAATTTCATGATCCCCGCAGTGTCTGACTGACACCGAAAGACTCGCAACCGAGAAAATCGCAAGGCTTCATTACTTGCACTGCCTGTACATCGCGCGGCTCCGACAGATTGGAAGGTAGGAGACTTAACGACACCAAAGTGGCAGAGGCAAAGTGCATGTTATTCGCAACAAATCAGAAGGGGATACTCACGAATATCTAGGTGTGGCAAAGAAGTTAGACCGAACAATGATAGCAAAATCCGTTCGATGCTAGAAGGCGCAATGCCAACAGCGGGAACAAAGGATTCTTGGAGGAAAGGTGAGGGCAAATTGATTTGAGCGAATCGACGATGTTCTCAATCATCGTCGTGTAAGACCTCGGAACATGGCAACAAAACCGGACACAAGTGACTTTACTGGCGAGCGACGAGTTGGCCCGTAAGGTAGATATTAATGCACAGAGCTGTACTATCAAGTAGACCGCTATATCCGCATACAAGAAAGGCCGGCCTCGTACCAGTCCCGACAGATGTTCATCGGATGAAGTTGCCAGGCCCTTTGTGTTCAGGTTCTATGCAGATTGAGGTCTGCGATCTGGGATCATGAGGGATGCAGGCGCTGTTGCGCCAAGGAATATCAAACGAATGATTTCCCAAGGAAGATGCGGCAGAGTCTGGGAGCAAAGATTCTCAAGGATTATAAGTTAGAACGTTTGCCAACTAGTAGCGACTCACCATGCGTCAACTTCAGGAGCTGTCATTGTCTGTTTTCAGTACGGCATTCTGCCTCTTCAACACGTCGATATCTTTCTTGAAGTTTTCGTTCAATTCCTTGAGGGTTGCATTCTCTTTTCTGAGGGTCAAGCCATCAGCGAAGAGACATTGAAGAAAGTAAATTATGTAACACTGCCACTGAATAACATACAAACGGTCGTTTCGATGGTCCTGCTCAAACTATTCGAATATAATATCTATTGGAAAGTATTACAATGATGCACATTCTTCGTATCATATAAAGTATTGGTACATGAGTATCGGCTTATTTATCATGATCATAAAATGTGGATTGGTCAAAAAACGACAGAGACTGTAAAACCCGGAAAAGTCGTCAAGGATGGACCCGGCAGGTTCGAGTAATCAGTGGATGGAGTTGTATGCTATATGTAGAGGAGTGTCGCAGGAAGAGATATTGGGAATTGGGAGTATAGGCATGCGATGTGGGGGTGAGATGGATATGGGTGCTGTATTTGGTATATTTTGAACAAATCGACGACGGTAGACCAACGTTCAAAGAAACAAATGCATGAACAGAGAGCAAGATAAGCATAAATAGACAGACGAGCAAGAAAATTAGAAGAGACAAAGATTAAGACAACAGGGAATCAAGAAAGAAGAGGATTGTTGTGGGAACAAAAAAAGAGAAAGAATTAAAAAAAAGAATATGGAGGTAACGTCGAGAAAGAGAGAAATGAACAAAGAAATCAGGTGTTACGAATGCTGGATCGAGGATGTATCTCTTCAATCCGCTTGAATGGGGTACTTTTTTCAGCGCCAAAGCCAAGGAGGTCCCTGGTTCAACACAGCGATCGAAGCCTGAACAACGATCGAAGAGATTAGGCCCTAGACGCAGATTGAGGATATGATGACCACCGGTCCGAAGAAGACAATCCGAAGAAGGCAGCATGAGGAACTACGGGCTAAGTATAGCGTGGAGCTCGGACGGGCCTTAACTTGCAGGCGTGTGTGCACACAAGTTTTAACTCTTTACGAGGTTACGAAGGCACTAGCTTCCCTTCCTCCAACTGTCCTTTTAATTAGCACTGACACACCATGGATTTCGCAACAATGACCAGTCATATTAGAGGAATGGGGCCATCGCTCCACTCAAACCCTGTCTCCTCGGTACGACTATCTTCAATATCTCACCATCGAACTCTGCCCGGACACCGACGAGATCTGCGTCATAACCAAAGCTGATTCGACGCTCAAAGTGGCCGCCACTATGTGATGTCGAAGATTCGCCAGGATTGGGATTGCTGCTTCGCGGTGAAGGATCGGGATCCGGCCAAGAATCAGCAACGATGTGTAGAATTCGACGTCGTTTGGTAGATAGTGTTCTACAGGAAAATTTAGAAACAAATCAAACGAAGGAAAACAACACTTACATTCCGTCTCTTTTGAATCCAGGCAGCCGTATGTTTAGTCTATACTCTAAGGGCGTCGTCTCTACCTCTATCCAAGAGTCTGCGGGAGGTGGCATGTGGGAGAGGAAGGGTGCGTAAGGTGGAGTTGCACTAGAATGAGGGGAAACGGTACGACTGGCCATCGAGGACTGGCCGAGGGCACCGGGAGCAGACAGAGAGCTGTTACCCAGGTTGGCGGCGCCGGGATACGATAAGGTCGAGGATGCGGACGAAGTCGAAGCAGAGGAAGTGGAAGCAGAGGAAGTGGAAGGTCCGGCGAGAAAATTACCAGTGACACTCCTTGTCCGACTGGGAGGAAGTACAGGTGGCAGTTCACTAGGGTCTACAATTTTGGGTACTGGCGGCGGGGGTGTCTGGGTGTCCGCTGAACCATTTGATTCCATACTGCGTTGCGAAACAGCATATCTGGACATGAATCCCATATTCGGTGGAGGACTCGGTGGAGGGAGGATAATTGGCGGTTCGGGGGGTTGACTAAAGACTGATGAGGAGGAATTTGAATCAGAAGATGTTGGACGGCGACGGAGGGCAGTAGCATGCGCAGTGGTTTCTAGAAGTGTGTTGAGCCGTTGTCTTGCCTCATCGCTCGAAAGGACGGAAGAAGTTCGGGCAGATGCAGGATGTGCGCAATCGAGCAGATTATTGCGAAAGGCATGAGCGTTAGGATTATTAGGGTTATGTTGAGCACCAGACGAGGAAGGTGGAGGAGACCTGAACGAAGGAGGATCTGCTGCTTTGGGCGGCGATGGCGACAAACTATGAGACGTGGAAGGTAATGTATCCGTACTGCTTCCTGAGCTATTCCTACTTTCAAGTTGTGGTCCATCCATGTCTTCGGCAGATGATTCTGGTACCTGGCTTCTGGCAACCTCACTCACAAACCCCCGTAACCTGCCAACATCTGAGTTGTGAAGCTCACCAACCTTTGGGAGAGTGTAAAACGGGATTTGGGAGGGGAGGGGCAACGACGCAGATGAGGACCTATCAACGCTCTTGAAGGAGTCCCAGCTTGGCTTTCCTATTCCAAGCTGTTCACTATTATAGATGTTCAACCCTTCCTCTGTTTGGGACCTTCCTAATCGTGGTAAACTGGTTTTCTCATTATCGGTCTCGGTCCCTGAGCTGATCACCGATCCACCGGAGCCTGACGACGAGGAATGTGGTAAGGAGTATGGCCTTGGAAACGGGTGTATCTGTTGCGAACTGGCCGGGAGCATTCCCAATGCGGTATAAGTTTCGTACAAGTGAGAAGGTGCGCCTCTGTGTGCCGAATTTAGAGCGCCTTGTGCCTGGGAATTGGAATTTTGAGAAAGCGAAAGTGCAGGAGATGGAGGTTTGTCCACTGCAGTCCACTCGCTATTCTCAATTTCTTCAAAGACAGGCGAAAAGATATCTTGCTCCTTGTCTTTCGCCGAAGAATGACTTGGCTGAGGAAAAGTAGCTTTTCTGGGGCTCCGCGGACCCTTAAGAGGAACATCGAAGTAACTGAAGTCTGCTTGTCCTCCCTGAGCTTGTAGAGACGGTGAAGGCATAGGAACTTCTCTAGGAGAATCGAACGAGGCGTGTCGCTTTGAATATGACGGCTGACGAGGAGGAGGAGACGGACGGCGGCCTGCACAAGAGTTAAGTGCTTGAATTAAATCTACTTATGAAGAGCAGCTCACCACGGGGAAGAATTAGATGCCCTTTCTCCTTCTCCATCTCATTCTCCTTGTCTTTGTTCAATGCACTCGGGCCTGCAACGTTGACATTCGTCGAGGTCGAGGGCATGCTGGCAACTGGCAAAAAAGAACCAGGCATTCAAACGTGCAAGGTTGCTCTATGCTTGTTGAACGAATCGAATGCTCAGCCGTTGAGCAATTGGACGATGTGGCTTCCGATTTATCACAACTGAAGGTAGTGAATGAGGGGGCAGGAACGAGTTACGGCGGTGAAATCGTTTGTGAGTTACTGTTGGCAGAGGATGAAAGAAAGGCAGAAGGGGAGAAAATGTGGTGTGACTTGCAGGCAGATGGGGTGACTGTAGACTAAGGAAGAGAAACGATTATTTGTCTGGTGGAGCTTTCACATAACTGATTGGTGTTGTAACTGATTAATCTGCCGACTTCTGCCGACCGGTTTCGGCGGAGATCATTGTGGAGAAAGTGATATCATCGCTTAAAAAGGCGAACTCAGGCCGGATTATCTGTGTCATCAACCGGGCTACCTTCAACTCTAACTGCGTCGCAGACTCACAATTTCCGCAAGAAATCCAGGAAGGCCATTTCAATCATAGGTAGGTCTGCTGAGGACAGAACTCCCACCCCGAATTTTACTCTGTGCAAGGGGACTTCTTCTTTGCTCCACCTTTCGCTGTATGAATGCTATAATGTGAAGCATACAGCTTGGTGCGGTTCCGTGAGATGCGTGAAAGCTGAAACTCTGATTGGAGAAATACACTCTAAATATTGCATTATTATACAAAACTTATGTTTTGTTCAAGACGTCGAACACGATGTACATGATAATTGAATGGCTTTGAATGGACAGTCAAGTATTGACCAAGTGACATACCGAAACCTAAAAAATTCATCGAAAATTACGGAAAATTGGCCGAACTCGAATTTGACAAGGTTTTTATCGAGCTTTCATATTTTTGTGTAGTAGTGTACTCGACTCACCCAGTCATCAATCCCAGAACCTTCCAGCCTTGTCAGAGACCGCGGTCTAGGTGAGTATTATCTTAACCATCACCGTTCGGCTTCCCACTTGCCCTCACTTACCTCGGTTCATACCTCCGAGGGAGTAACCTCTAGGCAGAGGATGGTAGGGCGAACAGTGTAATTTGGCTACGTGAGATACTGCAGTTAGTAATGTGCCTCACAGTGAACTGTAGAATGTGTGTGGAGTTAGATTGTATGCGATACAGCCATAGCGGATATGACGCGTCATCTGCACCGTGGTGGACGGCCTGGAATTTTACCTGTGACTAGCCTTTGATTTACCGAGAATCGAGTCGCCGCCATTGAGTAGTTTTTCTGCATTGATATAATCTGGTCTAGAAGGACATACATACTGTAGTTTCGAAGAATTCTTGAAAGGAAGGAACTTCGGCTGAGGCATGTGAAAATATTTTTATTCTGGTATAGAAAATGGAATGTTCAGAACCAAACCAGCCTTCAAACGGCTTCGAAAGTCAGGCCACTATTTCGCGAGAATTCGCCACCCCAAAACTGTCGAAATTGGCCATTGGACGACGCCTCCGTGAGCCTGATCCTCGCATTGACCTATTAGTCCTCGCAACACGACGACTAAACCCCCGGAATGCGAAAACGTGAAGGAAAAAAGGGTAAACAAATCGTGCGATATCAAGGAGAACTTACTCAATCCATGATATCAGTTTGGATCTGATATCATTCAACGGTGAGCATTTATGATTTCGGTATTGAATACACTCCACCTAAAGCATACGCCCCCACCGTGTATCCAGCCTTGGCATGCCCCGTTAGGCCCTTGTTACACCAATGGAGAAGTTGGCGTCAATGTGTTTGTTGAGGTAATTCGAGGGTAGCGATCTTGTAAATAAGACCTTGCGGAGAAGTGGAGACTCCAGCACCAGCGTTTGATATTAAATAAACTTGAATTACAAGAGGTACCGGTTTTGATCCCAGCAAGCAGCAATTGTGGCACCTAATTTGACGCAGTGGCAATTAAGACCTTGATCACATCCTCATATTAGCCAAATTGATGAACGAAAGGGTCTATGTTTGAGGGCACCTAGAAGGAAGTCGTTGTCAGTCTTGAGAAAATCATGAGTCCAAAGATAGAGCGGCTCCTTTTTGCATGTCCGACTTGTACCAGAAAACTCGACTCGATGCACAAAGAATTTGCTAGGCTTTTCAGGGATCCTTCATAATTCGAAAAGGGCTTCCTGGGACAGTGTTTGGAAAGGTCGCATACTCCAAAGCTCCCAAGATGATTTCTTATCCTAACATTGATGTCAATTATACTCCCGATTAGTGATTATGATCCTGGGAGGCTCTGAGAGGAGACCGGCTCATCCCTGTATTAATGGAGACAAGAGCTATACATCCTCCCAAAAAGGCCTTTCCAAAACGATCTATAAATGTGTAAGATAACTGATGATGTCTAAAGCGTAAAAATCACTTTGGAAGAGAACTAGATGAGCCAAGTAAAGACCATCAGTGACTACATATAACCATATGGTCTCTCCTATAACATCCTGCTGCTGCGCCGACCAAGAACGAGCCATGTGCTAGAACCGAGGAATAGGGTCGGACGTAGAGTTGGAGCATATGTAGCTAAGCGTGCATTAGTCCTCTAGATTTACTGGCTCGCGGCTTTGAATGAAGAAAAAGAGAATTCAGAGTGTGGAATCGGGCCGCCAAACACCGTTGAAGGTTAAGGTATACCATGACCCGCGATCCTCTGGCATTACTCGCTACTCGTTCCTCGCTCTCGACCGAGTACTTCCCCACACAATCTTCCTCTACAAATAGATATCTTAGAACACTATTACCAATCGGACTCGTCAATCTCTCTCCCATTGGGACTCCAGGGCTGCTCACTCTCGCTTCAAAATTCGAGACCCTCATTCTTGATAACGTCTCGGTTTTATGTCTCCCCGCTAAAGATCAAGATGCTCCATCTCCCTGATCGACACACTACACGAGGCCCGATGCCGATTGATAGTTCAAGCTCATGCACAAAATCCTTTTCTCAGATGCCTTGACGATTCAAGACACCCACTCGAACACGATATCATGATGACCGAGTCGGCGAGACGGGGGACGAGTATCGCCCAACTGCGTCTTCGTATGGTGTGCCTAATCATATAAAGGAAGCACCGAGAGGGTCATTCCCTTGGGTGAGTTGTCGATATTCTCTGCTGAGTCTATCGTGATTCTCTTATTGATAGATAGCTCTGACCTTCCCATGTAAGGATGAACAATTCGCTTTCAACAGGACCCTTTCACAGTTAATGGAGATCAATCACCATCGTGAAGAGATATGGATACCCCTCCCACTTACTTCACGAAAGTGGGAGACTAATCCCAGTTCGAACGGAAAACCTGGTCCAATCTCGTAAATGATTTCGAACGGATCCTAAGCAATTCCACAAACATGCGCAGTTACACGATTTCAATTTCAGAACAACGATAATTTTACCGTCGAAGGTGCATTCAAGGCTGCAAATAACCAACATCTCCCTAAGGATGCACGCCTGGAAGACTGGATTAAAGGTGCTGGTGAATAGGGATCAGACAGTAGAGCGTATGAGAGCTCTCAACCTGAAACCAACGACGAGCCTGTTGAACAATTGTGAACAATAACCATCCTGATGTGGAGAATTCGTCGAACAATGGAGTTCTTTCAAGTTGATTGGCAATAGTCATAGGCCATATCTGGATCCACGACCAAAGTGCAAAGTAGTAGATGATATCAAGTCCTCGTCACTTCCCCTCGTGCAATCACTTTTGATTTTTTTCCTCACTTCGCATCATCACTGGTACCGTCCTCATTTCTTTCTTCAGCGTCGCGAAATAGAATTCGCACGATCGCCCTCACATGACTGCGAAACCAACTACAGTTGTACCACCAGCAAAAGCGACTCCTTACAACTCACGCGCTACCGACTTCCTGATATCCCACGAAGGTCATCTTGACAATGAAAGAAACGCCGTCATAGAGGATCTGGGGAACATAGTGCCAGAGATTGACCTAGACTGGTTCTTTGAAAATCCCTTACCACCACTGCCGACGGGTATAGACACTGCAACTGTGGTCGAGCATTTGCAGAAATCTGGCGTAGCTACTGAAGATGCGTGGGGCGGCTGCTCCCTAGACCCTCACGGACCTCGTCATGAAGACGTAGTTTTTGCTCAAATCCTTGAACCTATTTCCAAGGCGATCTTCGACACTGTGCAGGAACTCAATCCTTCACTACAACAAACATTCACGCTTTTGCTGCAGCCGACAAAGTATCCGACCTCGGAAAGGGCATGTAGCACAATGCCTAATAATTGCTGGGTTGCCATAAAAGACGTTGAGAGCATCAAGGCTGATCCAGGTCGCTTTTACACTTGGTATAACATCGCAGGCCCCGTCGAGGATAAGAAGCTACCTGAGGGCTCTAGAGAACAACGCAATAAGGTGCGCTTTCTCATCATAGTCTTCACCTCGCCCTTTGCTCAGGCTGGTGTTGGTACAATGTTGCTCAGATTGTCTTCAGCATGCAACAAATTATGTCTCTCGATCCTTGTCGTCGGTTTACCTTCGGTACCACGATGCGGGATCGAGAATTGAGGGTCTGGTATGCGTGTCGAGGATTTGTTCTTACTACGAAGCCGTGCGATTTGCTGAAGGTATGTTTGTCCTATCAGTGGTTTTGCACTATGTTCATGGCAACATTATCTGATTATAGGACTATCACCGATTGGTCCATCTTTACATCGCTTTTGCATTCTCTTCCCGCGTAAATTTCGGCTGGGATCCGACTATTAGTTGCCTCAGCCCCGAATTTATCTTGCGAGACCAGCGAAAGCGGAGAGTGTATAAAATACAGGTCCGCAACGATGAAGGTCAGGTCAAATCCTTCAAAACAATTCGTATCCTCGCGGATTATGCTGCGGACAGCACCCTCAGTCGAGCTACTCGCGTGTGGTTGGTTGAGGATGAACAAGGTATCCAATATGTTCTCAAGGATGTCTGGCTTGACATGGATCGACTTCCGGAGCATATAATACGCGCACAGATGCTCGCCGATGTTTTGGAAAAATGTGGCGCTGACGACCATGTTACGCTCCAGAATCATCTTTTAACTCTTTACATCTGCGGAAAGGTCTTCGTCAATGGAGTAGTCGATACTACCGATGACATGATGCATAATCAACCGCCCTGCTTGTCTTCAAATTCGGTCTTTAGTCTGAAGCTCGAGCAAACAAAGAACCCTTTGCGGCAAAGCTGTGACCCAGCATCCTCATCCGCAACCCTTAGTGCAACCACAAAAGGCTACTCTCACAATCGCTATCCACAAGCGAAACCTACTTGGCAGGCCCCTCAACCGCCTGTTCTTCGCCGCAAATATCATTACCGGATTGTTTTTTTTGAATACGGACACACATTATTTGCCGAAAAGAGTTTGTTGAATATATATACTACTCTCACTGATTTGCTCACCGGTAAGCTTATCCATCAGATGTTAAACTCGATTCTAATCTCCTTCAGCGCTTCATATCATTCATCGCAGCGGCTGGGTTCACAGAGACATCAGTTGCGGCAACGTTTACTACTATACAGGCCCTACTGAAGCCGAGCCTCGAGGTCTTCTTGGTGATCTTGAGTATGCCAGGAAGTGCGATTCGAGGGAGGAACATCAGATGCGCACTGTGAGTTAACATTTTTTGAAAATTTTAATTTAGGCTGGTCGTTGATTTGTTCCTAAGGGTACTCTCGATTTCATGGCTTCGGAAGTTGTAAGTCAAGTATGGAACTACATGGTGCCTCCTCCGCGCCCCCCACCCAAAAAAGGACTCGTTTATAACCTTCCGAAGCGAGCCCCTTTTACATACACTCCCCTTCATGATCTGGAATCCTGCTTATGGCTGCTCGTCTACATCCTTTTCTTCAATGATGATGCACTAAATCCCCTTTTGGATCCTCAAACCCTCATTGTTCGTAATAAAAAAACTAACCAACTTTTCTCTCGCAAAGCCGAGACCTTTTGGCGCTTTTACTTCATTCGAGATTGGGATACCATAAATGTCCATACGACCGGCCTCTCACCGACTCTTGAGTCTGCTGTTCGCACTGTCTCCTACTTCGCCAGCTACTTGCATGCCGCCTTTCAGGAGATTCAAAAGCCATACACCTCGGTCACTGTTGAAGAATCCTTTTTGCAGACTCTGTATGATAATATCCTTCCCCTCGTCAATGAGGATTCGCTTTTACGGGAAGAAATCCGAGACATTCAACTGAAGTCAATACCGAAGCCGGTCATGAGTGCAGGCGAGAAGCGAAAAGCTGAGGAAGAGGCGGACAAAGCCAATGTCAGCAACCTACCGAAATCTAAAAAATCAAGGTCAGCGTTTTTTGCGTTTGTATTTCTTCTTTGCTCACTTACACGTTTCTTCTATGACCAGAACACATACTTCCTTGCATGGACTTTGTGGAACACTTTTCTGAAAGCATTTTGTCAATTCCTTGGATGATCTTCGATAACATTTCATTTTTCAAAGTTTGCATTGTGTACTTCTCAAGCACTAATTGTGTATTAATATCGCCGTTGTTCGAAGATGTTTTCTCCAAGTATGTATGTAGCTATATCTACACTTTAAAGTTTTCATTATTGACTCACTAATGTATCGTACATGTATCAATATATCAAGTCTAACTTTCAGCAAGCTTGGTTGGACTTTGAGTCGGATTGACTTCAAAATGCTCGCTTTTGCTCTTGGCTCACGATCAATGTTTACGATCAATGTTATTTCCTCCTTGCTCTTGTCGTTTTAAGTCACATCGTCACATAAGGATCATTTATACTAATCTTATGTACTCTTTCAAACTCTTTCTCCCTCGACATGGAAAAAATCCCTTTCTAAACTCCATTAGCCGCTGTAGCAGCAGGATACTCTTTCCGGAAGGTCTCCAGCAACTTTTCGAAGTCTCCACCCGTCTCGGTAGGCACGGACTCATATACACCATGGAAAGGATCAGTAGTAGCGGTACCTGGGCCTGAACCCATATCCACAATCCCAATAGCATATCCCGTCGAGTACCCAGCATCATGCTTCATTCGGAATCGAACATGGTCCAGCTTCAATTCCGTCGAATATGCATTTTGCCAAGAGACAGCTTTCCCAAATTTATGCCACAAAAAGCCTTCAACCTGGCCCTGCATATGCCTAGCAGTCATGGGATCCCTATGAACAGCAGCATCCCTATGGCCAAACGTGATACCAGGGACGAACCAGACGTCGATGTCTTTGGATTGTTTGGGTGGGATGCGAGGCCCTTTCCCTTGACGATGAGGCGACTCATTTCCGGAATACATTTGAGTGTCGGTGGGAGACTTGATAGTGAGCAAAAACAATCAATAATAATATTTTTTTTACAATTCTAGAATTTACTCACTACAACGGGCGATGCAAATGCAACGGACAACAGACTGACGCCCAGCGCTATAAAGAAGGCGTGAAGGAGACGCATCGGTGGATGATTCGAGCAGGGAGCGGCTACAAAGAGAGAAAAGAAAAGCACGAATGAGGATGTGATCGGGATGTGATATAGTAGGTATTGTATAGAAAGCGCTCTGCGTCAGGTATCTTCTTTGACCAGCAAAAGAAAGAACTTTGGTGGGAGTTCGGAGTCAAACAGGTGAGTATAGGGTTTTATCTGGTTTCTTATACGTTTACCGAAGGCTGAGTAAGGACGACACTTTACCGACGGTCATTATTATGAGGAGCTTTAGACCTAAAATACATGTTGAAATGTTCACATAATGGGCCAGTAATGAGCAAAGCCGGATGGGTGTTAGCTATGGCGGACCCGGCAGGTGATGTCTGTAGCAGCCATGTCTCGCAGTGGCTCTTCTCGAGTATCCTTCCTCTCGGTTTCACTTCCTAACCATGCTATTGTAGTCCTCCGTTGTTCTCTGAATCCGGTTTTCTAACTTCCAGACATGTGCAGATCCTCCTATGGAGCTTCAATTCGGAACCAGGATCAGTAGAAAAGTTGATTTGCGTAGGATCACAAGAGGTCCATAGGATGCGATCCTAGTGGAAAGCAAGTCTGATTATCTCAATGCCATGATGGCATTTAGCAACAGTGCGCCGGTCTAAAGACTCGAGGTGTCATTGTAGGTAACAGTATAACAAATTCTAGTGAGATGAGCATATGTAGCAGGACCTGAAGGAGGATGTAGCGCGCTCAGGCCAGAAGAAGCTTTAGGCAAGAGAAGAAGGAGAGTGAAACAGCTGGAAAGCCTGGAGAGGGGAGGAGCGGGTGGGAAGAGATATCGGCTGAATCTACAATTAATCATGCGTGGGAATTATGCCGGAATTATTCCGTTTTACCCTTCGGGATTCATTTCTAATTTATGCACACCTCGGCTTGCTTGCTTCCAGCATGCGCTGCCGTGTTTCTTGACCTGCTTAGCAACTACTCTTTCTTGTATCCCCGAAGATAACTGTTTCATTTGCAGCGGACACTCCGAGAGTTGAGTTGATACTAGAGTCAGATATCGACGAGGTACGTTGGGTAGTCTTTGGTATTTCACAGGGCTAACAATACGTGTTCTCTTTAGATTGGGCTTTATCGTCCTCCCAGATGTCAACTCTGAATACAGAATCGAGTTCGAGCGCAACTTTTTCCTCTTCGTTCGACACAATCACCACGTCCTCCTCCTCCTCTAGTTCTGCTTCGCGTTCCACTTCGATTGGTATGCCTCTTTGACCTTTTCCTGATTCCGTCTCATGAAATGGTCGCTGCTAATCCAGTCGTATTTCCGAGCACCGTCTATACTACCACAATTGCTACTGCAACGAATGTCGGCTCTTCTGGGACAACCAAATCGCATCTGTCACCGGGAACCATCGCAGGCCTAGTTATCGGAGGTTTGTTCGCTGGATTTGTGGCTGGAGGGTGTATCGTGTTTCTAGCAATCCTCATTCAACGACGGCTGCGGCGAAGAAGGTCCGTTGTGAGAACGCAACCCGAAGAACGCCTCATGCATTTAGGTGTGTTTAATTTTAGCCATTTTTCCTTCGTATCTCCCCGCTAATTAAATATATGTGTACCTCTGGCAGAGAGAATGCGTGGAGAAATGGCTCCTCCGTTACGGGAAGGTTCCACGATACAAAGCCTTCCTCCGTCCAGGAATATCCGGGTGTTAAATTGGTTGGCGCGTACTCGTAATGCTGGGCCTCCTAGTGTAACACAGCACACTATGAGTGAAAGAAGTACAGGCGATCATCGCAGTGCGACATCCGTCCCGCTTCCAGTTTCGGTATCGGATTCCACTAGTCAAAGTCATTATTCTCAACCTAGTCTCGACCCGCACAGATCCGAGCCTCAGAGAAGCTCTTCTACAGTGGTGCGTCCCACAAAATCGGATTCTCGGTCAGAACACGTAAATGCAACGAACGATGGACTAGACGGACGATGATCATGATCTATCTTTTTATTTACAGTATCATATATACTAATTCGACAACGCACGGACTTTATCAGTTATGCTCAGTTATGTCAAGAAATGTATCGCTACTTTATCAAACTATATGCATGTACGGCGGCGTTTCTTTCAAATTCAAGCATGGGTTTGGACCAGGACCGTTCAGCGGATGAATGAGGAACTATGAGGAAATCATCGTTCAACGTTCGTTCAGTTCTCGCAGTGTAATAAAATTTCCTTTCCCTCTTTGCGCGTGGGATTACGTCGACATCAGTCTGTGACGAATTTATCGTTGCATCGCTGGCATTTCATTGGCCATCTCTTGACCTTCCTTTTTGGGAACGTGCATATATGCAGAACATCTACGTTTTTTCTTTCTTTCCCTCAAACCCCCAACATCCTTGACTACTTTTTCGCGCTTCGAGCTTCAAGCCTCTAAGATATCATCAACGACCCAGGTGTATTCGCTATACTCTTTCACTCTCAAGACTCTTCCACCTCTCTACAACGTCTTTTCGCCTGAACATCAACCTCAACATGCGTCACTGCAACAGATGCCGACGCAAATTCTATTCAGAGCAATCCTTTCACACTCACTGCTGCAACAGAAATGATCATCCTTACTGCGTATCCTGCCGGCTACCATTCAGAAACCTCGACGACTTGCACTGCGTAAGTCCCCCGCTGATAGCCTCACTGCCGACTTGACTGAAGGCATATCTGGTAGCATCTTTACCAGTACCATGATGAAGACACATCCTTTAGCGATTCAGACTGCGACTTGAACGAAGAAAGTAACTCCGACCCTTGCTGCCATACCTGTAACCGCCAATTCAGGAGCTCGGCCAGCCTCTATCAGCACCTCGCCGGTAGCTCGCGACACAACTGGTGTTTTGTCTGTTCGAAAGATTTTTCAAGTCCAAACGCCCTTAATCAGGTTCTTACACCTTTATTTAAGCATGGTAATCTCAGCCTTACGCATAGAACCTAGCATTCATCCTCCCAGGTTCACCGTTCACGCGATATCAAATGCCCTCTGTGCTCTGAGCAATTCAAGATGGCCTCAGCAATCGCTCAACACATCGAATCTGGTGCTTGTCACCACGCCATCAACCGACACACCGTGACTCAAGCAATCCACAACCTCAACCTCATTCCAACCATCTCGATTAACCGTCGTATCGCCGGAAACTCGGAAAGCATCCCAACATCCCGCGCTATTACGACGTACTCGGCCTCTGAATGCGCATATAACGGCACTGCGTATGAATGCTACCTCTGCGATCGAACGTACAACACTCTGAACGCACTCAACGCGCATCTGGGCTCGCCAGCGCATGATTCGAAGGAGTTTCGATGCCCGAAATGTCAAAAGCAGTATTCTTTGATCTCGGGTCTTGTGCAACATATTGAGAGCGAGGTGTGCGGCGTGGCTAGGTTTGAGGGAGTCCGGGAGCAGATGTTGGAATTGACGAGTGGTCACCATTTCCAGAGAATGTTGACGATGTGATACCGCAATGGGGCCGCGCTACAGTAACCGAATTCTGCACCATAATAATAGCTGAAACTTCACTCTTCTTTATGTACTCACTGTAACTTATGCACCTAGCACTATAACTGTACCTAATGGCCATGGAGAAGGCTTTTCATCATACAAGGAGCATCGATAAAGATCCTAATGAAGCGAATGCAATTTTCATGCATAGTTCAACCAGAGCGCTCGATTAGTTGAATGCGCTCAATATAATGAACCCCATTTTCGAAAGTCAGTGATCCACGACAACATTTGAACTGAATATCCGCACCGAACAAGCAAAAGGAGACTGGTGGGGTTTGAATATCCTAAGATGAGAAGAGATATGATGAGCCAAAAGAGTTTGACCGGTTTACGGGCCGGTAGCGCAGTAGCGGGATCTACGTAACTTCCACTAGTAAGCCCTTCGAGACTGACTGTTTCTTCATCAGTAACTTCAACGTTACACCCAGTTATGTGGGGAGATGGCGCTGGATCTAGGCTGCCTACTGCGGTGCTAGTCTTAGCTGGCCTCTCTGCTTTCTTTGCTGTAGTAATATCTGCTACCGGTATCTTTCTACAACTCAAAAACTACCGAAAACCATATTTGCAAAGGTATTCATCAGTTTCTCTCGCTTCGCTTTGAAATGTTCACATATTTCTGTATAGGATGGTCATTCGAATCATGGTTATGGTTCCTATATATGCAATATCGTCTTTCATATCTTTGTTCTCACTAGAAGCTGCGTTCTTTATCGACGCTGTTAGAGACATATACGAAGTAAGCTATTTCATTTGTCAATACGAGACGTTTCTTAAACCTCAGAAAAGGCCTTTGTTATATACTGCTTTTTCGTCCTCTTATTGTCGTATCTCGGTGGAGAACGCTCTCTGCTGATCCTCCTGCATGGCCGTCCACCAAAGGACCCTCCGTTTCCTGTGAACTTGTTTAGACGGGAGATAGACGTTAGTGACCCGTATACATTCCTCTTTTTGAAGCGGGGAATTCTTCGTGCGTTCACTATTCGTGTTCGTTTTTATCTGTCAGCTAATCCTCTCGAGCAGAATACGTGCAAGTCAAACCCATACTAGCTATCGCAACTATGGTCTTGAAAGCCTGTGGAAAGTTCAACGAAGGCGACCTCCGCGCTAACTCCGGGTACCTATACGTCAGTATCATCTACAACGTCAGCATTTGCCTGAGTCTTTACTGTCTCGCCATGTTCTGGATATGCGTCAACGACGATCTCAAACCATTCCGTCCAATGCCCAAATTCCTCTGTGTCAAGGGAATTCTCTTTTTCTCTTTCTGGCAATCTATTGGCGTTTCCATCATCGTTGCCGCCGGTGCTATCAAGCATTTAGGTCCTTACACCGATCCGGAAAGCATCTCACTCGGACTCACCGACACCCTGATCTGTGTGGAGATGCCTTTCTTCGCTATCGCTCACATATTTGCTTTCTCTCATACCGACTTCATTGACCGAGACAAGACATTCATCGGGCGAATGCCGATATCTTATGCATTCCGGGACGCTTTCGGCGTTAAAGACGTCGTTGAAGATACGAAGACGACTTTACGTGGCGAAGGGATGGATTATCGGGAATTCGAGCCCTCTGAAGGATTCATGCATCAGGGTCTAGGGAGAGAACGAAGGATACGGGCGGGTCTGAGGTACAGCAAAGGCGGGAAGCGAAAATACTGGCTGCCGACGTTTAGTGCAGCTGAACCTCCCGGACGTATCGAGCGCGGTGTGGACCGAGTCGTGCAGAAGGTTGCTGGAAGGGATCAAGCTGAAGATGTCTATGCACCGTTGTTACAAGGACAGGCTGAAGACGTCGTGCATCTGGCTCCTGATATGATTGACGATAGTGACGAACTGGTCGATCTATGGTCTTCTTCGCGCGTCGGAGTTGAAGAAGGATTCGACCTACCCTTCGGAGATCTCGATGACGACGACGAGGCGCTCTTCGCACACTGTAAACGATATCTTTTCGGTGACTACAACTACCCATGTATCGACGCCAGTACCGAATTCGCTCGTGCAGCTATCTGGGACGAAGAAGAGCGGATTTTGCGAGACGAACACGGGGCGTGGGTTTCCCCAATTCGTGGATCAAAAGGACTTGTGAATATACAACAACAAAGGCATGTTCCAGGAGGTTATGGTGCTATGGGGACATCGAACCGACAGTATGTTGATGATGCTCGGGAAGAGAGAGTTATCGATATGGAGTTGGAGAGAGAAGAACGGAAGGTAACGGGGGCTGTTAAGATGCAGTGGGCTAGGAATAAGAATCAGACCAGGCCATCAGGCTCGGGATCGCGCTCTCCTCAAACAGGGAATGGCAGTCGCCCCACGTCTCATTCTCCCAATGTCCGGGTACGGGTGGAAAGTGCTGGTAGTAGTAGTACTCCTAGTGCATCAACACCTTCACGGACGCCTGCAGGGAGCCCTGGCGCAAGTCGACTACGTAGTCTACCCAACCCTTTATCGCGAAGCAATTCATCGAATAATGAATCACGTACCCCGCCACTACCTCCAGACGCCGTCGATTTGGTAGTAGAGGCGTCCGAGGATGACGATCCCAAGAAAAGACTTCGGAAGGTCTACCGTCGAGGATTCGTTGCGAGGGATGAGCAAGGGCATCCGGAAGAAAGAGGCGAGATCGAAGTAAAGGGACACGGACGAGATAGAGTTGAGGCTGGAGAGGAAATTGCGGAAGCCATCGAGGATGAAGGAGAACATGTTGAAAGTGCTGTCGAGCGTGTTGAGGGTGACGATGTTGATCTGGAAGTGGAGATTGACCGCGAGACTACCACTGGCGTCGCAGAACAAGATAGTCACGGTCAGGATGTAGTCATTGCGAGGTCGACTACTCCACCAGCATATGCACGACCACGGTATGATTTGGACGATGATAATCCTTGGGCTTGATTAAAGGTTCCTAAACAATGTCACGACATTCACGACTTCCATGTTTCGGGAAACACAAACTACATACTTCGTATTTTTATTGCTTTTGTTGGCTGTATGTTTCTATGATAATGCACAGTTTGTACTCGAATTTGTTCGTTAATTTACTGCACGCATAGTCATAGAAGAGAATCGGGCGCTTATCTAAGCGCTGCGGTCTCCCCCGGCGCGGTGCTCCTGAAAGGTTAATTCAATATTCAATTCCAACCGCCTCCCCCTTGTTACTTTACCAAGCGCTTTGGATCTTCTGCTGGTTGGAAGCATCCTCCCTCACTGTGTACTACTTTTTCTTGTCTTCATTCTCAAAATCAGACCTACGATGCGCTTCAACGCCACCGTCTACATCTCTCTTGTCGTTTTCCTGGCCTCCGCCAGTGTATCAGGTAGTCCCATCTCTGTCAGTTTCCATCGTCTTCAAATTACTTTTATCTTATTTTCCCGATTTCCTCTCCAGTCTGAAAACACTCAAGAGGTAGATGCTACAATCACTCACAACACTGGAGCGCCTGGTCAAGAACATATCTGGACGTTAATGAGACAAGTTTTTGAAGAAAAGCATGGTTGGACGCGGACCCAAGCAAACCACCTGAACCTTCACATGGTGCACGATGATAGTGTCAGCATACGCCAGGATGGAAAAACATTCTTTGCGGAAGGAATGCTGGGTGTCACCCGGAAGTGTAAGGGCGTGGTTGGTCCTGAAGGAGGTCAGCTTGCATATACGGATACTCATGAAGTTTACTACTCTTCTCCAGGGAACGTATGTGCGCTAGCTGTCTACACTCTTGTGATACTTTTTGATTTTATCTGTTGCAGACACTGCAAGCGTTCCCAAGCAGGAGATCGAGAAAGAAGAAAACTAACTCTTCCGGGCCCGTCGAACAGTACCACATACCTGGAGCGTTCCCAACACAGCCCCCCATGTTATTGCCCTTGTGACAGTCTTGTCCTGTTATTCAGAGTTCGCCAATACGACTCAGTCACTTCCTTCCTAGTTCATCCGGGTGCTACTCTTACCACATGTCTCTGATGCGCTGATTACTGCGATTTAAGTCAGTAGTGACCTAGATAGGGTAATAGAAATATTACATACCCTATGATTTTCGGCATAAGTGGATTTACAAGACACTGCTGTGAAAGATTCTCCAAGTCTTCGAGACGCTTGAGATGCACGAAAGCAACCAAGAATGGTAGGCTGATCTGCCGCAATTGCCGATTGACTGTCGAGAGACCGAGCAGCTCCGCAGAGGGACTCTCAAAAGCTGCCGGAAAGCTGGATGAAAACGGTTTGTCGATAGATGTCAATATTATGTAGTGAAGCAGCTCTTCAGGGAGCAACATTGGCGGTTCGGAGTCGTTCAACTCCAAGTAGTCGTCTCAAACACAAGGTCATTTGTCTATCATTCCAGAGTCCAGACCCCGCCACCCTCGTATATGACCAGTAAAACACAGCTATATTCTTCTATAAATGTGTATTAGAGTTGACAGTCACCAGTTCATGCCTGATGCTATAAATTGTATTTATTGCGAGCCCTCACCCGGATATGCCGCCAAGTTCTAATGTTCCAGCGAAATCTCGAGCACCCCTGACACTGAGCCATCCTTGGAGAAACCAATCTCCATGAGAACAAGATTTCTCATCGCCATACCCCTCTTCTTCAACATATACAGCTTCTAGAGAAGGCAGGCCTTTCGAAATGAGAGACATATACCAATATAACCTGGCTTCCGCTCGAGCACCAAGTCGCCGGACCCGATGGATCTTATCAATATGGCGAAGTGGCTTCCATGGCCGGTGTAGCTGTTCGTCAGCAGATCGCAACCGCTCGAAGAGGCGAGCCGGCTTCAACACTCGGAGTGACCGAAAGGAGGCGAGGACAGCCACGAGTTTATCCTAAGCAGGATTGCCGTCAAAACTTGGAGACAAAAATTAAGAAATACGTACGACATTGTATCGTCTCTTATGATAAATCCAAAAACCCAACGTGCGCAAACATGGAAAGCAAGAAGCAACGATTGGAAGAATTACAAGTAGAGAGGACTGGACATTCATGATGAGTTCCGTGACGTGCCACCCTGAAATGGATAGACAACCACATTGAGTACGGCTAATCACAAGGCGTGTGATATTGAAAGTTGAGTCGAGTCCTCGCTGGGACGACTTTTCGATAAAAGGAAGGATGAAAGGGATGGTGTCAGGGGTAAATTGCATTTTTGAATTTGACATGTCGACGAATATGACATTCTTCAATTGTGGATGAGCGGATGCGAGTCGGGGAAGCCACCCCAGAAGGATAGGGTGGCGATTCATGGCCAAGCTGATTTCATGGAGACCTTGAAATGTGGAGTTCCCAAATTCTTCCTTGAGTGATTCTGGTTGGCGAATAACGAGTTGATACACTTTCAACCCGCGAGCATAGGAGGTCTCCAAGCCGGGATGAGATATGCTTCCGCACTCGACTACGACTTTTGACAAATCCAAGGAACTGAGTGGTTTCGGCAGATGATGAAGGCCGTACAATGAATCGACAATCATTGCCGAAACAGAGGGATGTTTATTCACAGCGTTGAGCAGTGCGACACTCGAAGTGTAACCTTGCAGGTCTATACATGCAAGACGAGGAAGATGAGGCAGCAACATGCATAGTTCCTCGTGTCCGGTCTCCATGGGGAAGTACACATTATCTAGTTTGATTGTTCTGTGCCGGTCAATAAAAGAAGTAGACAGATACTAAGTAGAGTACCACATACTTGATTATCCTGCCAAATGTTGGATCAGAAAGACACTTTTGAATCAGTTCTCCGAGAACTTCAAGTCGTTTTAACCTGAAGAAAGCAAATAAGAATGGTAGACTGATGCGTCGCAGCTGCCGATTAACAGCTGAGAGTGCGATGAGCTCAGGTGATGAATTTTTGAAATGAGCTCCAGACGGACTGTCTGACGGATACGCCGGATTGTATGCAAGACTTTGGGTCGCCAGATGGAGAAGCTCTTCAGGTAGAACTGTTAACATGATTGGTAGTTTTTAACACGTCGAAGCTCAAGCTCGTTCAGCTCTGGACGCAGTCATGTGACGGTTCACGAGACAATTGCGTTCATCAAATTCATGGAAGGTGCATATGTCATACGTATTACTTAAAACACGCCTACAGTTTTAACCTAATCTCAAGCAATGGTATCAGATGTATTGGACTCAGGCGCTTTTGATGCGGATTGCGTGAAGATCACCTTCAGTGTTATAGTTGAACTGTATGAGGTTTTGTGATCACTGTCTGGTTGAAGCACGACAACACTCTGCATATTGAAGTGGGCTATGGAGTTAAATGTACAATTTAAAAGTTCTTCTGCCAGGTGCCGGTAAACCATCGAGCTTGAGGATTCCCGTGACATTTCGAGCAGCGCCGTCAACTTTCAACCATCCTGCAAGATGCCAGTCCCCATTGGTGCAAGATTTCTCGTCACCATATACCTCTTCTTCAACATACAGAGCTTCTATAGACCGAAGACCATGCGCAATGAGGGACGCATACCAATATAACCAAGCTTCCGCCTGAGCGCCAAGCCTCCTCACCCGATGAACTTTGTCGACGTTACGGAACAACTTCCATGGTCGCTGGAGCTCTTCATTTGGGGATCGCAACCGTTTGAAAAGGTGAGATAGATTGAGCACTCGAAGTAACGGAAAGCGAGCGAGAGCTGCTATGAGATTATCCTGGAATGACTAAGCATAAAGCACTGGACGGACAGTGAAGACGACGCACAATGTCATATCTCTTCCTGCAATGTTCAGCGCTGATCCCCAAAGTATGGATGGTTGGGAAACACAAAGTGACAAGTGAGAGGATCTCGATTAAAGAGGACCGGACACTCATCGTGAGCTCTGAGACTTGCCAATCAAGAGATAAGGAGCCACGATGAGCTCGGCTTACAACGATATGTGTAAGATTGAAGGCTCTGCAAAGTTGTTCTTGATGTGCCTTTTCGACAAATGATTGAACAAAAGGGACAGTGTGGCGGATGAAGTAATCTTTCATGGTGGATTGGTCAATAAATTTAATTAGCTTGAGATTCGGATGGCCAGATGTGAATTGGTGGAGCCAGGATAGAGTGACAGGATGAAGGTTCAAATTCAGACTGAGTTCTTGAAGACCTCGAAATGTTCTAATCCCGAATTCTTCCTGAAGCGACTCGGGTTTGTGAACGTCAAGTTTTGTCAAAGTTAGCCCTCGAGACAACCACACTTCCAAGCGAGGATGGGAGGAATCTGCACGCTCAAGGACCGTCTTAGATAAATCCAAGCAACTGGGGCCTTTGGGCAAATTATACAGGCCATATGGTGAATCGACTAGAATTGTTGAAACCGATGGGTGCTCGTATAGAGCTTTGAGTAGCAAAGCACTTGAGGTAGAGCCTTGCAGGTCTAAACATACCAAACGGGTGAAACGAGGAAGAACTCGGGAAAGAACGTCGTGCCCCGTCTTCCGGGGAAAATATATCCCATTCAATTGTATCGTTCTGTGCCAGTCAGTGACCGAGATAGAGGAATAAGAATTTTACATACTTTATTAGTTTCGCGAGAAGTGGATTCGCAAGACACTGCTGTGTAAGATTCTCTAAATCTTCAAGACGCTTGAGATGAACAAAAGCAACCAAGAATGGTAGGCTGATCCGCCGCAATTGCCGATTGACTGTCGAGAGAGCGAGCAGCTCCGCAGAGGGACGCTCAAAAGCTGTCGGAAAGCTGGATGAAAACGGTTTGTCGTCGGATGCCAATATTATGTAGTGAAGCAGCTCTTCAGGGAGCAACATTGATGGCGGTTCGGAGTAGTTCAAGTTCAAGTTATCGTCTCAAACACAGGGTCATTTGTCCATCACGTTGTCCAGACCCCGCCACCACCGCGCACGACTAGTAAAACACAGCGATATTCTTCTGCTACAAATGTGTATTGGAGTTGACATTCACCAGTTCATGCCTGATACTGTAGATTGTATTTATTGCGAGTCCTCACCCGGATGTGCCGCTAAGTTCTAGTGTTCCCATGACATCTCGAGTAACAGCCCTGACACTGAGCCATCCTTGGAGAGACCAATCTCCATGAGAACAAGATTTCTCATTGCCATAACCCACTTCTTCAACATAGACAGCTTCTAGAGAAGGCAGGCCCTTTGAAATGAGAGACATATACCAATATAACCTAGCTTCCGCTCGAGCACCAAGTCGCTGGACCCGATGGATCTTATCAATGTGGCGAAGTGGCTTCCATGGCCGGTGTACCCCTTCGTCAGGGGATCGCAAGTTTTGGAAGAGGCGAACCGGCTTCAGCACTCGGAGTGACCGAAGAGAGGCGAGAACAGCCACGAGTTCATCCTAAGCAAGATTGCCGTCAAAACTTGGAAACAAAAATCAAGAAATACGTACGACATTGTATCGTCTCTTATGATAAACCCCAACACCCAACGTATGTATATATGAGAAACATGAAGCCACAAGTGGAAGAATCAGAAGTAGAGAGGACTGGACATTCATAACGAGTTCTGTAACGCGCCACTCCATAGCTGATAGGGAGCCACATTGAGTGCGACTGATCACCAGGCGTGTGATGTTAAAAGTTGCATCAAGCCCTTGCTGTGACGACTTTTCGATAAATGGAGAAATGAAAGGGATGGTGTCGGAAGTATACTGCCTTTTTGAGTTTGACATGTCAACAAAAATGACATTTTTCAAGTGTGGGTGAGTAGACGCGAGCCGGGGAAGCCACTCCAGAAGTATAGGATGGCGATTCATGGCCAAGCTGATTTCATGAAGGCCCGGGAACCTTGAATCCCCAAATTCTTCCTTTAGTAATTCCGGTTGGCGAACAACCAGTTGATACACTTTTAACCCGCGAGCATAGTATGTCTCCAAGCCGGGTTGAGAGATGCTTCCGCGCTCGACTACTACCTTCGACAAATCCAAGGAACTGAGTGGTTTCGGTAGATAGTGTAGGTCGTACATCGAATCGACTATCATTGTCGAAATCGAAGGGTGTTGATTTACAGCGTTGAGTAGTAGAACACTCGAAGTGGAGCCTTGCAGGTCTACAGATGCTAAACGAGTAAGATGAGGTAACAGCCTGCACAAGTCATCATGCACGTCCTTGTTCGGAAAGTACGCGTGCAGCTTGATTACCCTGAGAGGGTCAGGATAGCATAGGTGACATATACGGTCAGCAAACGAAGTAGACGGACAGAATACCACGTACCTGATTGTGCGCCCAAGTATTGGATTGACAAGACACTTTTGAAGGAATCCCTCGACATCTTCAAGGTGCTTCAAGGTTACATAGGCAAACAAGAATGGTAGACTGATGCGTCGCAGCTGCCGATTAACCACAGAAAGAGTAATGAGCTCTGAGGATACGCGTTTGCAGCGGGCACTTGACAAACTATTGAATGGATAAATGGGAGTGTACGCAAGGTCTTCGATCATCATTTCAAGCAGCTCTTCGGGTAGCAACATAACGATGATTGGAGATGGTTAGAACTTGTAAAGAGGAGTGCAGTCATGTGACGGTTCTTTCAGGCTGTCATGTGGACTGTGCAGTGTGGACAAGGCGCGCACCAGGCGCGCACGAACAGAAGGGCGTGACGTTGTTCTGTTCGTCGCAGCCTGTGGTGGTCACTGCTAGTACACGTACAATCAGTATATCGGTCGTCAATGCTCAGAGATAGTCAGATACCTAGATACGGCTCCGTCGATAATGGGGCCCCACAAGGGAACAGCCCGAGATATGTACCACACTTGTATTCCATATGTGGCACCAGGATCGTTGCGTGCTTTGTGCTCTTATTGTTCATAATCATATGTATAAAGTTCTGTCTCGTTTCCCATTCATGTCGTTTTTCTAACTTTTATTCTACATCTGGATTGCGTCCTATAGCCCACCATGTCTAGTGGACCCTCCTCAGATGAGCAACTCATTCAGGCTATTCTCTCTGCAACTGATATTGTAACGATGGAACCCTCCGGTATCGATGACGCCTCTCAGTCAACGCGATCTCCTTCCCTGTACGACTTGCACTTACCGAAGCAACTTCAACTCAGAATGCTCCAATTGGGAATATCATCTTCAAACGTGTATGTCCCTGAAGGTGACTCTTCAACGCCTGCTCAGCTAGCAGGCTCTGAAGAGGACCGGTTCCTTAAACGGCTTTGGCAACAACCGGCAATACTAGAGCTTCTTCGTGGACCTCGTGGTGTCAATTTGAGACAGCAATGGTCTGCACAGCTCAACCTTCTCATTGCAATAGATTGCATTGACGAAGAAAGTCTTGTGTTCGCTGAGAACACTGTCTCCATGGTTATAGCAGACCTATTGGCTCTTGTGGTGGTTGATCTATCCGACATCCAGTTCGAACATATGGGAAGATGGAGACTTCTCTCACCTTATTCGAGTCGAGAGAAAGAAACAAAGGCTGATTTATTGTTTGGGCTGCATTTGGAGGATACAATCAAGCAATTCGATGTCAAGCTGTCCAGTCTTGAGGGGTACAAGGCAATATGGCCATTGGTCGAAAATCTCAATCCGACTTACATGCGATGCATCACTAGCATGGAGTGTAAAAACATTGCTCTCGGTGATCCTAGGGGTTACCTTATGCTTCTCCTCCTTACTCGACTCATGACAGATGGAAAGGTCAGGGAGTTCTGGCCACGGTTGGACTGCAGTGGCTGCCAAGAGTTCGCTGAATCCCATGCTGCGTTAGCAAGAGATGCCGCCTCAGTGCAAATCCCTGATGATGATCCTGGTCGAGAGCTCGGTATAATACCCACTACTAACCCTGTGGTTTTTCGTGCCGAGTTCAATCGTCTTCTGGCTTTGATTCCTCCAAATACTATCACTGCCAATGCTAGTGACTCTAAGAAGACGGTCGGCCCACCTCGAAACCAGAGTCCTTGGTACAACACAGTTTACAAGGAAATGAAACAACTCCTGATTGAGTTAGGTCATTCTGATCCCCGAGAGCTCAATGCAATCATGCATTGGGCAACTCCAATCCGCAATATCATGATTCAGGTAGGTAAATGTTCCTCTGTCATTCTGTCATTTGAAACCTCCTAATTAGATGATTTTTGAAGAATTGGAGCCAGATGGTTCGACACAATTTAACATTATCGACTGTCACTCACTTCACCAAGTCTTTTGGTGTTCGACGTGACCGAGAAGCCGGATGCGCCACGATATCCTCGCCTGATTCTGCTGATTCTCGAGGTTATCTACTCCGCAGGGTTGCGCGGAACCTTGACGCATGGATGGACGCTTTGGCGCGGTCTCAAATCGAACAGGTGCCTTGGGTCGATATCTATCGCAAGAGCAAAAAAACCACTTTTGTCTACCATTCAGCGAGCGAGGAGTCTGACGATTCCAAGGATGATAGTTATCAGCCAAATCAAGGTGACACGACTACTGACGAAGACGATAATGATGAAGACGATCCTGACGAAGACGATAATGACGAAGACGATACTGACAATGGCGATAGCGATAACAGTAACGACTCTCCAGATCAGGGTAACGACTCGGCCGGGCCAAGAGGTGGTGCTGGTGCTGGAGGAAACAGTGGGTCGGGCTCGAGTGGCCAGGGTCGGAGCTCAGGAGGTGGCTCGTCTAATGCTCGCACAAAGCGCAGTCTGAAGCCTACATATTCTCAGGGAGACAACAAGCGCCCCCGACAGCATTCAGATTTCCAGGTTGTTCTGAACGTAAGTCCCATCTCTCTTGCTAACATGTTTTTAATCCTGGGTTTTCAGCGATTACACCTCGCATTTAATTGTCCGGGTGAACAACTGCTATCGGATGGCTTCAGTCACTATTTTTTCATTCCTACGGCAGAGTCATCCACTGGTGTGAGTGGTGGTGCAGCTACAAATATCACCGCTGCATTGCCTGTCTCTGTGCCTTCTGGCACTGTGACGCCCCCTCGTCGTGGTTCTCTAACTTCTTCACTCAGTAGCGGCAGTGGAACATCAAGTAGTGATACTGATGCCTTTTGGTCACCAACGAGCACTGTCAGCTCAATTCATTCTCTGCCTCTATCTTCCCCGCAATACAGCCCTGTCCGCCCGAAAGGCATCACCACAACCAGATCCACAGATAATTCACTGACCCAAACAACCTCGCAATCAGTTGTGGAATCGTTAAGCGCCACTTCTCTCATTGAATCCCGCCCTCAGAATCCCCTCTCAATCATTGATCATGCCGGTGTGATCCTCGACACTAAGGTTCATCAGTCTACTATCGGGATTGTATGGGCCGGAAAGATGTATCTCGAAGGACTGGCATCCGTCCCTAAACCCCTACGTATTGTAGTCAAGCTTGCGGACTGGGAGAGAGATAGCGAGGCGCCTGAGGGATCTGAAACTCTTCACGGTAAAGCTCTCCGCTCTGAAGCCAAGATTTACCACCACTTGGTTGGGTCAAATATTGGCCCTCATTTCTATGGCGTTTTCAATAACTCAGGATCAATTGCACTTGTTCTCGAATACATGGGTAAAAGGCTCTCCAATTTTGGTACCCTCACAGATGATAGGTATTTTTTATCCACGTATGCCAAGTCATGCAAACTTCTCTGACATTGTGATGTTCTCTCTTTCCTAGCAAACACAAACTGTATGATCAAGTTTGCAACTTGCATGCGCTTGGGGTCCAGCACAATGATCTAGCCCCACGTAATATCCTGATCAACAAAGAGGAAGATTTGACTATCATTGATTTTCACCAATCAGAACTTGGGCATCAGTGCAAGGGATCCGGAAGATGCTCAGAGTTAAGGGACTTTGCGGAGCAACTTCGGATAGTTGTTTGAATTGTTGCACGTTCGATTTAAGGTCAATGACAAGCTGCTGCTGTACTAGGTTCACCAGTTGCGTAAAGGAATAGTGTAAATTCGAAAGACCACTTTACATTTTCAGTGAACTGTGAATGTTTCAACGCTCGCCAGCACAAATAGGCTTACATAAGGCTAATCGAAAGTATCTAGTTGAACTACTAGTAGTTGTATCAGGTGTCGCGCGCTATGCCAGCAAGAAAGTCAGCAAACTGGCAGCATGATTTGGGACAAGATCCAGACCCTACCATTGAGATGATACAGCATGTAGAGTGGATTATGATAATATTCCGGGTGGGATGGAGGGTCAAACAGGAAACTTGAGCTCTCAGTCGTGAAGACAACGCGCTCACTGTCGTGGTGATGATGGATCTAGTAGTGGTAGTACTCCCGGTGCATCAACACCTTTGCGGACGCCTGCAAGGGGCCCTGGCGCAAGTCGACTACCTACGTAGTCTACCCAACCCTTTATCGCAAAGCAATTCATCGAATAGCAAATCACGTACCCCGCCACTACTTCCAGACGCTGTCAACTTGGTGATAGAGACATCCGAGGATGACGATCCCAAGAAAAGACTTCGGAAGGTCTACCGTCGAGGATTCGTTGCGAGGGATGAACAAGGGCATCCGGAAAAAAAAGGGCGAGATCGAACTATAGAGACACGGACAAAATAGAGTTGAAGCTGGAGAGGAAATTGCAGAAGCCATTGAGGACGAAGGAGGACTTGTTGAAAGCGCTATCGAGCGTGTTGAGGGTGACGATGTTGATTTGGAGATTGACCGCGAGACTACCACTGGCGTCGCAGAACAATATAGTCACGGTCAGGATGTAGTTATTGCGAGGTCGACTACTCCACCAGCATATGCACGACCACGGTATGATTTGCACGATAATCTTTGGGCTTGATTGAAGGTTCCTACACAATGTGATGACATTCACAACATGTTTCGGGGAACACAAACGACTTTGTATTTTTAATGCATTTGTTGACTATATGTTTCTTTGATAATGCACAGTTTTGTACTCGAACTTGTTCGCTTATTCAGCGTACGCACATATCCCTCACCTGGGTGTGCCCCTAAGTTCAAGTGATCCAGTGACTTCTCCAGTGGCACCCCCGACACTGAGCCATCCTTGGAGAGACCAACAACCCTGAGAACGAAATTTCTCATTGCCATAACCCTCTTCTTCAACATAGACAGCTTCTAGAGAAGGCAGGCCCTTTAAAATGAGAGACATATACCAATATAATCTGACTTCCGCTCGAGCACCAAGTCGCCGGACCCGATGGATCTCATGAATGTGGCGAAACGGCTTCCATGGCAGGTGCGTTTTTTCGTCAGGGGATCGCAAGTTTTTGAAGAGGCGAGCCGGCTTCAACACTCGGAGTGACCTAAAGGAGACGAGAACAGCCACGAGTTCATCCTAAACAACATTAGCGTCAAAGCTTGGGGACAAAAATCAAGAAACACGTACGACATTGTATCTTCTCTTATGAGAAATCCAAAAACCCAATGTGCGCAAACATGGAAAGCAAGAAGCAACGATTGGAAGAATTACAAGTAGAGAGGACTGGACATTCATGATGAGTTCCGTGACATGCCACCCTGGAGTGGATAGAGAACCGCATTGAGTACGGCTAATCACAAGGCGCGTGATATTGAAAGTTGTGTCGAGTCCTCGCTGGGACGACTTTTCAATAAAAGGAAGGATGAAAGGGATGGTGTCAGAGGTAAATTGCACTCTTAAATTTGACATGTCGACGAATATGACATTTTTCAAGTGTGAGTGGGTAGATGCGAGGCGGGGAAGCCACTCCAGAAAGATAGGATGGCGATTCATAGCCAGGCTGATTTCATGAAGGCCAGGAAATGTCGAGTTCCCAAATTCTTCCTTTAGTAATTCCGGTTGGCCAACAATAAGTTGATACACTTTTAACCCTCGAGCATAGGATGTCTCCAAGTAAGGTTGAGAGAAGTATTCGCGCTCGACTACTACCTTCGACAAATCCAAGGGACTGAATGGTTTCGGCAAACGTGGGCCGTACAATGAATCGACTATCATTGTCGAAATCGAAGGGTGTTGATTTACAGCGCTGAGTAGTAGAACGCTCGAAGTGGAGCCTTGCAGGTCTACACACGTTAGACGAGTAAGATGAGGTAACAACCTGCATGAGTCATCGTGCACGTCCTTGTTCGGAAAGTACGCGTGGAGCTTGACTGCTCTGAGAGGGTCAGAATAGCATAGGTGAAATATACGATCAGCAAACGAAGTAGACGGACAGAGTACCACATACCTGATTGTGCTCCCAAGTGTTGGATTGACAAGACAAGTTTGAAGGAAACCCTCAACATCTCCAAGGTGCTTTAAGGTTACAAAGGCAAACAAGAATGGTAGACTAATGCGTCGGAGCTGCCGATTAACCACAGAAAGAGTAATGAGCTCCGAAGATACACGCTTGCAACGGACACTCGACAGACTGTTGAATGGATATACAGGAGCATATGCAAGGTCTTGAATCATCATTTCGAGCAGCTCTTCAGGTAACCTCGACAACATGGTTATCACATTAGCGCCTGGCACGTTTACTTACCAGCTGCTTACCAGTAGGGTGACAGTATGTGACGGCATTTTGGTTCAAGATTTTTTTTACAAGCATCGACACATCGCAAACCCTTCGAACAACTTCAATTCATGCAACAGTGCCTCACCACCGAGGGCGACCTGAACGAAAGCGACAGTAATAATAGCAACAATTCTCCAAATCAGGGCAATGACTCAGCTGGGCCAAGAGGTGGTGCTGGAACTGAAGTCAATAGTGCGTCAGGCTCGAGTGACCAAGATCGAAGCTCAGGAGGTGGCTCTTCTAATGCTCGCACAAAGCGCAGCCTGGGGCCTACATATTCTCAGAGAGACAACAAGCGCCCCCGACAGCACTCAGATTTTCAGGTCATCTTGAATGCAAGCCCCATTTCTGGCGGTAACATATGTTTTTTAACCCTGGGTTTTCAGGAACTACACCTCGCATTTAATTGTCCCCGTGAAAATCTGTTGTCGCATGGCTTCAGCGAATATTCTGTCATTCCTATGGTAGAGTCATCCACTGGTACCAGTGATAGTACAGCTACTAATATCACCTCTGCATAGCCTGTCTCTGTGCCTTCTGGCACTGACAAGCCTCCTCGCCGTGGCTCTTTCACTACTTCAATCGGCAGCAGCAGTGGTGCATCAAGTAGTGGTACCACTGCCAACTCAATTGAGAATCAGCCTCTGTTTTCCCCGCATTCCGGCCCTGTCGTTCCCGAGGGCATCGCCGCAACCAGATCCACAGATAATTCATTGACTCAACCAGCCTCGCAATCAATTGTGGAATCGTCGAATGCCACTTCCGTCATTGAATCCAGCTCTCAGAAGGCGCTCCCGATTGTTGATCATGCCGGTGTGATCCTCGACACTAAGGTTCATCAATCTACCAAGGGGATAGTATGGGGCGGAAAGATGTATCTTGAAGGATTGAAGCCTGCTCCTAAACCCGTACATGTTGTGGTCAAGCTTGCGGACTGGGAGAGAGATAGCGAGGCGCCTGAAGGATCTCAAACTCCTTATGGTAAATCTCTGTGTTATGAAGCGAAGATTTACCACCACTTGGTTGGGTCAAATATTGGCCCTCATTTCTATGGTGTTTTCAATAACTCTGGATCAATTGCACTTGTTCTCGAATACAAGGGTAAGAGGCTCCCCGATTTTGGTACTCTCACAGACGATAGGTATTTCCATTCATGTATGATGGGTTCTGGAATTTTCTCTGACATCGCGGTGTTCTCTTTTTCCAGAAAACAAATGCTATTCAATCAAGCCTGCAACTTGCATTCACTCGGGGTCAAGCACAAGTATCTAGCCCCACGTAATGTTCTGGTCAACAAAGAGGGAGATTTGACTATTGTCGATTTCCACCGATCGAAGCTTGGGCATAAGTGTAAAGGATCCAGAAGATGCTCAGAGTTAAGGGACTTTGCGGAGCACCTTCAGATAGTCGTCTAATATCGTTACACCTTTAACCTATGCTGTAGCAGTATTTTTCCGTCGTGTAACTAAAAATATGGCTCATCGAAATAACGAAATTTTCGACGTCGGTATCGGACAAGAACCTAGTAAGCTTCTATACATATTCAAAATACATTCAAGGTTCAATTATATTCAATCCTGGTCCAGTCGGTTCGATGCAAGACCAGCTTGCGTAATTCGTAGTGTTCTGTACATGTGCCAACAGCCTTGCAGCTGCGCTTTTTTGCTTTGTACCGAGAACGATGTTTTACTGCGAAAGATGTGCTCGCGAATTCACCTCTCCTGGAGCCCTACACGCTCATTGTCGAGACAAAAACGATCACCCATACTGCGCGGACTGCGAAAGGCTCTTCAGAAACTTTGATGCGCTGGACAATGTAAGCATGTCTCTGACAGTGAGAGATTGGTTCTAGTTGGTTCTTCGAGACTTATTTTACTCTTGTAGCATACTCGGGATGTGCATTTCGACTCAGACGACGACTACTATGAGACTGATGACGATAATGCTAACGTATATTGTCAATCGTGCGACCGCGAGTTTCAGGACTCGACAAGTCTCATCCAGCATCTCGCCGCCAGTTTGAGGCACAACTGGTGCTTCGTTTGCTCAAGAGACTTTTCAAGTCCTAATGCCCTCGCTCAGGTTCTTTCTTCTTCATACACATCTCAACAATCACACTCATCGATATTACTTAGCATTCATCCTCTCAAGTGCATCGCGCTCGCGATATCAAATGCCCTTTGTGCTCAGAAGCATTCAAGATGGTTTCTGCTATCGCTCAGCATATCGAATCTGGCTCTTGCCACCATAGTATCAACCGACGCACGGTCACCGAAGCTGTTAAATCTGTCGTTCCATCCATCTCTATTGATCGCCGGATCACCGGAGGTAGCAGTTCGACCACCACCACGACTTACTACGCCACAGGACGCGCATACAATGGCGTTGCGTACGAATGTTACCTTTGCCACAGAACTTTCACCACCTTAAATGCATTGAACACACATCTGAACTCGCCTGCTCATGATTCGAAGGAATTTAGGTGTCCGAAATGTCGAAGGGAGTTTTCTTTGATCTCGGGCTTGATCCTACATATCGAGAGCGAAACGTGTGGTGTTGCGAGGTTCCAGCAAGTTCGAGACCAGATGCAGGGACTCACGAATAATTTCCGGAGAATGTTGACGATGTAATGCTCGGTGCCCTCTACGTAAGTAGTACCAGCAGCAAGCACGTAAATTTTACACATGTATCATACCACCTTATATCAGTACATATTTCACTACGTCTCAGAAGAACACAAAACTTGAACGGCTTCAATATTGGATGCCAAAAAAATAGAAAGTAGTTATAGGTATGGGTATGTTAGTCTATTCATGCCTTAAGATCCTCATTCCTAACTCACACCCACGACATCTTACTTCTTTTTCGCGGCAACGATGTCCCTCCTCCCAATTTCACCTTTCGCTGGAACGGGAGGAGGAGGGCGATGATGTTGCACCGGAAGTCGGGATGGGTAATTCTTCCTATTTTTCTTCATCGAGGACAGCGACGCCACAGATTGACCTTGCATTGTATCCACACGACCACTAGCGTACACATTTTGAGACGACCCACTCGCAGCGGCGACTCCAGTTCGAGGGGAGGTGAAGTGTATGTTGTTTCTTGCATTTGCGGCTTTCGTGGAACGCGAAGGTGATGTACTGTGGGTCTTTTTGAGTGAAGAGGATATAGTTGGTCTAGAAGGCGGACGGTTCGCAATCGGTGATGATGTCCGAGCCTCTTGACAGCGACTAGCAGAAGGAGTAGAGCGGTCTTTTGGAGTCTTCCCAACTAATTTCCGTACCGTTGTAGATCCGACTGACATTGGTAAAACTTTGCTAATGTCCCCTGGCCTGTCTGGAGTCGAGAGTAAATTCCCTTTTTTCAATGGAACGTTCAGGCCAGTCTTGGCAGATTTAGTAGGCGATCTCGATTTAAAGCTTGTCGGCGAAAGAGAGATCGAAATTCGTCTAGGAATTCTTGAAGAAATGTTGAGACTCTTCAAGATGGAGTTTCGCTTTTTTGCAGAAGAACTTTCAGCGGAAGTTGGGATGGATACAATAACGAAATCAGCTTCGAAATCGGATCCGGATTCGTCACTATCTGAAGACAGAATGTCGGTTTCACTAAGAAAGGCATTCTCAGCAGGAACGCAAGTGGTATGTGCCTCTGGAAGAATCGTGTCAGCAGGGCATACAGGACTGGCTTCATTGATAGTGTCGAGCTTCATGTTATTGAATCGGTTATAGATCAATTCCAGAGATTGGATTGCGTCCTTCGTAGTGAAATCGCTACCCGCGGACTCGCTATCATGCCCCGCAGCTATGTTATCGGAAGAGACACCTGCGTTACTTGCAGCAGCCCAAAAGTCAGAGGAGAATAAGGATAACCGGGGAAGAGGGGAAATGGCTTCCTCAGAACAAAGACGTGTACTTGTGGATGGGGCAGAGCCGACTATAGAGCTGTCACCGGAAGATTGAGTGCTGGGAAATGATTCTCCCGAGGAGGAGTGCGTCAGGGAGGCCTGCAGAAAGTAAAAAAAATGAAACAGCATAGTCAATGAACACTTACTTACATTGAGTGTGACGATACTTGCTGCAACCGAAGCTGACATCTGAGGCTTGATGGACTGAGGGTCGGGGGGCATAAATAGTGAGCTGGCATTCACGGAGGGTGCGGATGGTTTCACAGTAAAAGCATGAATAAGAGCAGTATCCTCTTCTCGAGCTTGGCTCACAACAGTGCTTCTGATAGGTAACTCTCCACTCTTCAACTTGATCCATAATGCGTCGACTGCTTTCTGCCGTTCGGTTGTAAATACTTCCTGTACCTCTGAAAGAGTAGAACCAGATGGTGTGATGACGTCCTTGTGTTTCTCATCTTCTTGAGCGGATGATTTCCAGTATCGAGCAAGATTCTTGATTCGACGGACGTCAGATCTTGTTCTCAGGGTAATGCTAAGAGCGGATGCGTAGTGATCCTGAGAGCGGGCTCCGATTACGGGAGGAATCAAAGCAGACCATGGACTATGCGGAACCTCGGCAGCCTCTCGGATGGCATCCACAATAGCGTCCATAAATACAAAGCCTGATGATATCGCACTCCGAGTACGATGAAAGACGGGACCGCAGACAGCGATGTCTAAAAGAAGCACAAAAGACTGATCAATAGAGTCGATGCTAGTCCCTAAGGAAACGAGCTCCTGCTCAAACGCCTCTATAACAAGATTCAACTTGCTAAGAGAGTGATTCAAAGACGCGATACGGGTCTTGTACGAGTAGAGTTCGGTGGATTTGAGTTCAAGCTGCGTCTTGATATGTTCACGAGTGACCTGTAGTTGAGCGTTTTCTTTCTGTAGTTGACTGATACACTGTTCGACATAGAAAATAGCAACGGATGGGTTTTCGGAAGATTCAGCAAGTAGTGGGCGATTAGAAGTTGTGGTGCGACTCTCAGTAGGCGGAAGTGCGTTTGGGTATCTCGAATAATCTCCGAGTTGTTGAACTAAGTCGCCGAGAGAAAGAGAGTGAGGAAAGTCCCGTTGTGAAGGTAGGGAGAGCTCCGGAAGAGCAGAGTCAGATCTAGTTCGACGATGAATGAGATGCGAGAATCGCCTGAGGAGAAAGAATTTCATGTTGGGATAGTGTCGCCAGCCAGCAGCGAGGACCGACCAAACCAGATAAAGACTGGAGTTGGAAAGTTGAAGGAAGATATTGTACAGCTTTGACACTTACTAATCTGAGTAATCGCCTTTTCTTCTCTGCCAAGAACTTCAACTTGTGTTGCTCGTTTGCAACGCCAGCAGGCACTCCTTCTCCGTCTTAGTCTTCTCACTAAGATCTTCCTTCTATACCGTCAAAATTATCCGCAGTCTTAACTGACCAGCGACCAGCAAATACCATGCACTTGTACAATCTCACTCTCCAGCCTCCGACAGCCATTACACAGGCCATAGTGGGCAATTTTTCTGGAGTTCGTCAGCAAGAGATTATAACTTCGCATGGAACCCGACTCGAGCTCTTAAGACCTGACCCTCAGACAGGAAAAGTCGCGACAATACTTTCTACCGATGTATTCGGTTCGATACGTTCTTTAGCTGCTTTTCGGTTGACCGGCGGTACCAAGGGTGAGCGCACTCTGTATGTGTATGTGTCTCCTGCTGCATCTCAATCTTCTCCTCAGACTACGCCATAGTAGGATCTGACTCTGGCCGTATCATTATCCTCGACTACGACCCTAAAACGAGCTCGTTTATGAAACTACACCAAGAGACGTTTGGAAAATCTGGAGCACGTAGAATCGTTCCCGGGCAATATCTCGCAGTAGATCCTAAGGGTCGTAGTGTCATGATTTCCGCTATGGAAAAGTCGAAACTGGTCTATATTTTGAACAGGGACGCTGCCGCCAACCTCACAATCTCATCTCCCCTCGAAGCTCACAAAAACGGCGCAATCATTCACCATATCGTTGGCCTCGATGTTGGCTTCGAAAATCCTACATTTGCTGCCCTCGAAGTGGATTACACAGAATCCGACCAAGACCCAACAGGAGAAGCATTTAAGAACGCAGAAAAGATGCTCACTTACTATGAATTGGATCTTGGGTTAAACCATGTCGTCAGGAAATGGAGTGAACCTACGGATCGTCGAGCAAATCTTTTACTGCAGGTTCCTGGAGGTCAATTGGCGTCTTCGGATCGTTTTGACGGGCCTTCCGGGGTCCTTGTTTGTTGTGAGGACCACATCATTTATCGACATATGGATGCGCCCCAGCACCGTGTCCCAATTCCGCGCCGGAAGCATCCATTGGACAATAGAGATCGAGGGATGCTCATTGTTTCAGCTGTCATGCACAAGATGAAGGTAAGTGCCATTTTTACGCAGGTTCTTGTACCAAGTTGAATTCACTTTTAGGGTGCCTTCTTCTTCCTGGTTCAAAACGAGGATGGCGACTTGTTTAAGGTCACTATTGAGCACGAAGACGAAGAAGTGAAGTCGTTGAAAATCAAGTATTTTGATACTGTACCTGTTGCGTCCAGTCTCTGTATTCTTAAATCTGGTTTCCTTTTTGTTGCTTCCGAGTTTTCGAATCAGTGAGTGACCTAACTCGATTTAGGGGCTTCCGAAACAACTGATACGTGCTTTGCAGTTATTTCTACCAATTCCAGAAACTTGGTGATGATGACGAGGAGCCCGAATTCAGCTCGACTTCTTATCGCTCGTTCGGCATGGCAGACCCTACAGCACCTTTGCCAAACGAATATTTCCGTCCTCGTCCATTAGAAAATCTTGCACTTGCTGACGAGCTTGAATCGTTAGATCCTATACTAGATTCCAAGGTGTTGAACATACTTCCCAATTCTGACACGCCTCAGATATTTGCGGCGTGCGGTCGTGGTTCAAGGAGCTCTCTGAGGACGCTCCGACATGGTCTGGAAGTTGAAGAGTCTGTAAGCTCGGATTTACCTGGTATACCGAATGCAGTTTGGACGACCAAAAAGAGAGAAGATGGTAAGTCGTTATACCTGTTTGAAATACAGACATACATTCTAACTACTCTCTATTCAGATGCTTACGATTCGTACATCATCCTTTCGTTCGTTAACGGTACCCTGGTTCTTTCCATTGGTGAAACCATTGAAGAAGTTCAAGATACCGGCTTCTTATCTTCCGCTCGCACCCTGGCCGTGCAACAAATTGGCACTGACGCACTCCTTCAGGTTCATCCAGAAGGTATTCGGCATGTTTTGGCTAATGGCCACGTTACCGAATGGAAGTCGCCATCGGGGAAGACCATAGTTAACGCCACAACGAATAAGCGACAAGTTGTTGTTGCCCTAAGCTCAGCTGAATTGGTGTATTTCGAGTTGGATCTGGAGGGACAACTAAATGAATACCAGGATCGTAAAGCTATGGGTAGCACTGTGCTGGCGTTGAGTATCGCAGAAGTACCAGAGGGCCGACAGAGGACACCGTTCCTGGTGCGCGCATCCCCTCATTCTGTTAATTATGAGTTTCTGATCGACAGACGTAGGCTGTTGGCTGCGAAGACCAAACTGTTCGAGTCATCTCCTTAGATCCCGAAAGCACATTAGAAACCATCAGTCTTCAAGCCCTAACCGCTCCACCTTCTTCCATCTGCATCGCAGAAATGCTCGATGCAAGTATCAACAAATCCCAACCTACCTTGTTTGTCAACATTGGTCTTCAAAATGGTGTTCTACTAAGGACCGTGCTGGACCCCACCAATGGCCAGCTAACTGATACCCGTACTCGGTATTTGACTTATCATTCATCCTTTCCATATAATAATCTGACTAGCTTGTAGTTTCTTAGGAACGAGACCCGTCAAACTCATACGTGTGCAAATTCAGCGCAATCCAGCTATTCTTGCGCTATCGTCCCGGTCATGGCTTAACTACACTCACCAAAATCTCATGTACTTCACACCATTGATTTTCGAAAGCTTTGACTTCGCGTGGAGTTTCTCAGCCGAACTGAGCCCAGAAGGGCTTATTGGGATTACCGGAAGCACATTGCGGTTAGAGTACCTGCTTTCATCGAAAGAATGCAAGCACTCATTTGTTTTGTTTAAGCATATTCCAGATACCAAAATTGGGCACACAATTGAAGCAAGACTCCATACCGCTTTCGTACACTCCTCGGAAATTTATCGCGCATGGAAACTACTTTTACATGGTGGAAGGGGATCATCGAGTACTTGGAGAGGATGCCGGGGAAAAGAAGTTGGCCGAACTTGTACGTCGCAGATTGGATCGCCATTCAGACATACACACGTTTAACTTAACCATACGCGTAGCGCCAGCAGGGCAAGAAAATCGACCAAGAGGTTATTGATCTTCCTGTTGAAGTGTTCGGAAGGCCAAAGGCTCCTGCTGGGACATGGGGATCTGCTATCCGAGTCATTGACCCTGTAAAGGTTCGTGTTTCTTAGTCGTGGACTTTGGGACCGCGTCTGACATGTGGTTATTCAGGCGGAAACAGTCGCATATATCCCTCTAGATTCTAACGAGGCTGCGTTCTCTTTAGCAGTGGTTCCCTTTTTGGTCCGGGGTGGTGAGCTCCACCTAGTTGTTGGGACCGCGGCTGATACGACGGTGTCTCCACGCTCTTGTTCGAGTGGCTTCTTGCGGACTTACAAATTCACGGATGAAGGAAGAGGCTTGGAGTTACTTCACAAAGTGAGCTTTTCCCTCTCTATTTGCTGAAACGTATATTAACCTTGTCTCTAGACGGAGACTGATGATGTACCACTAGCGCTTTTGGCGTTCCAGGGACGACTTGTCGCCGGTGTAGGAAAAGCTTTGAGAATCTATGATATCGGAAAGAAGAAGCTACTTCGTAAGGTTGAAAACAAGGTCAGCATCCAGGTTTATGCTATGAAAGGGACGCTCATCATAATCATACATGGTTCAGACATTCGCTTCGCCCATCATCACACTCAATACGCAAGGTTCGAGAATTATAGTGGGGGAAATGCAAGAATCGGTTTCTTTCGTTGCATATAAAGCACCAGAAAACCGTTTGCTTGTTTTCGCCGACGACTCCCAATCAAGATGGGTCAGTGCTGTAGCGATGGTGGACTACAACACTGTAGCAATCGGAGACCGCTTTGGTAACATTATCGTCAATAGGCTGGACACTAAAGAATCGGACCAAGTCGATGAAGACCCTACCGGAGCAGGTATCCTTCACGAAAAAGGGATATTGATGGGTGCCCCTCACAAGACCAAGATGGTGGCGCATTTCCATGTCGGAGACCTTATCACCTCTATACACAAAGTAGCGATGGTTGCTGGAGGACGTGAAATCTTGCTGTATACTGGTCTCCATGGCACGGTCGGGATCCTCGTACCATTCGTTTCGAAGGAGGATGTCGACTTCATATCGACGTTGGAGCAGCATCTGCGGACAGAGCAGAGTAGTTTGGTTGGCAGGGATCAGCTGAGTTGGAGAGGGTATTATACGCCGGTGAAGGCGGTTGTAGATGGTGATCTTTGCGAGACATTTGCTCGACTACCAGGGTCCAAGCAGAGTGCCATTGCTGGTGAGCTTGACCGGACAGTAGGGGAAGTTCTTAAAAAACTGGAGCAATTGAGGGTCACTACGAGTGGATTTTAAGTATTATAACTGACTGTAATACTGAAGACATATATACTTGGGAAATTGAGAAGGCTTCTGTATTTGATGTACCGTAATAACCATACATAGTCGTCACGAAACTGGGGAAGACGTGGGGACCTGTAACATTATCTTAGTGGGGGTATGGTTAAAAAAACTGTCACTTTCATCTCAGAACACGGGAACCCCATTTCGAGGCGGCACAAAGCAAATTACTCAATCTAAAGTGCGGATGATACATGTGAAAATGCCGGTCTATTCAAGCTTGTAACCAACAATACTCCTTCTCCCAACCATTTCGCCTATCTGCACCAATGATATTTGAGGGACATCCAAAGGTGAAATACGAATAAGCTTACCTTGAAGATCCCATATGCCTCCACAGCATAGACTCCCAGTCTCGCAATTTCTCCGTTATTAATCGCTTTCTGCCAGAATACCTTTGATGTGGCATTCGTCCATATGGTTCTGTATGCCGACTGGACTGCGTCAACGGATGATGGGGGTGAAAGGCCTTCGGCGCGGTAAACTTGTTTAACAATTTCTCGGAAAACAGCGAAGTTGTAAAAAACTGGCTCTTTGTACGCTAGCGTTTAAAAATTTCGCGGTTAGTTCACCAGAAATACATCCAACGAGTACGAGTTAAATAAACACGCTTCACTTACCTCCCATCAACTTTCCTGCTCTTTCTCCTAAAGGACCAGCAGATTTTGTCGCACTAGCGAGGTATTTTCCAGCTGTCTCCCCCAGTGGTCCAGCAAGTTTCTTCGCGCTCTCTAAAGCTTTGGTGGCCGTCTGCTGTGTACTTGAGAGGACTTCCTGAGCCTTCTTTTGAGCTGCTTCCAATTGTGGATTGGAGCCGGTGGATGCAAAACGAGTAGGTCGTGCAACTCTGCTGCGAAGAGCAGCACGAAAAGATGAAGGCCGTAACATTGTGGGGACGACAGTGACAATGACGGTTGCGGGAAGTGTAACAAAAATTCGAGGCGTCTTCCGTTCCGTCCCGGCCCGATGCTTGGCTTTGTTTGGTTCAATTAATGGCAGACTTATAACATAGATACTAAAAATAGTAATCGTAACAAAGTAACAAACTAATATTACCCATGTTACTTTTTGACCTTTTTCGACTATCTTATGCACGCTGGAGATCAAGTGCCCAACCAACCAGAACCAACCTGGCTCGAGTCTTGATTCGCTAGTTCTTGCTTACAGACTAAATCCTCGGCAACATGCAAGCACAGCCTGTGTATGTATAGTGTATGGATCTCAAGCTAGTCAATGATTCTGAAGTTCAATAACAGCGCTGAGCGCTGATTTCATTCATGTAGCATTGAATAAAACGAGCACTATTCAGAACTGCTTCTTGGATCTTCCTCTCTAGCTCAGTCCCTCACTGATGGATTCTGAGCCCGAACTAAAGTTGGGATGTCTGACTCTGTGCTTTTGGAAAGGCAGGAGGAGACGTATCAGGAATACCAAAGTTGTTTTTGATATGTTCTTAATGCTGTGGAGACTGATTGCAGCCTTCCATATAGGATCATAGGAAGAAGAGTAGATCCAGTCACGATGATAACGAGTCGAAGTCAAATATTGAATCAGAGGTATGAATTATATCACTTAGCAGGAAAGTAATGTCGCTAACGCGCTCACAGTCCCTCCCCGCTTACAATACGGTTTCTGGAAATATCCAAAAACCCAATCTTACCAAACGCGGGAAAGGTGTCGCAAAACGTCGAAGCATGGAAGATAGAGACACCAATGGAAACCTCACCAAACGCTATGTCTTCGAAGCATCAAGAAAGACCGTTGAAGTGTTACAGGGAGTGGCAGAAATGGCTGGTGTCCCGCTTGTCAAGCAAGTGCTTGAAATCGGATTATCGCTCATCAAAGCATGTGAGGTGGGCTTGCACGTGTACAATTCCTCTCCCTTTCTCATCAGCGTCAACACATCAGGAGCTTAACGAAGTCCAAGAGAAGGTTCAGCAGTTGAAGAACAGAGTCGCGGAATTCCTACTCGTTATTGCCAAATTCATGGACAGGCCACAAGATGCGAAATTGGCTCCTCATTTCAGCACCTTCTTCGCAGAGATGTCCGAGGACCTGGAACGAGAGTTGGGAGACCTTAAAATGTACTAGTGCGCTTACATTCCTCTTATAGAATCTTAAACTAATCATGTTTCTTAGCTGTCTAGACTCTATAACCAAACGTCTCGAGCATATCAAGGCACGGAACGCCTTGATCACTGCTATGCTACCTGAATCAAACATCGATGAAATTCAGGCATGCGAGACCGAATTTTCGGACGCGATCGAGCGATTCCAGGTCTATCTATCCACTCTTAGTGATGTTTTCATCCACTGAGATTTTGGGCAGACCTTGCGTGGACTACATGCTGCTGAGGACATCACGAAATTACAAGACAAACTGGAGGTCGTGTATAGCGAGATTAAAGCTATATCACAACAGGTGACCCAGTTACAGACTTCGTTCGACGATCTGAAGGCCAGGTTGGGACCTCTGGATGACTCTCAATTGGTTGTACCCACCATGCCCAACCCTCCCACTATCTTTCATGGGCGGAACGAAATAGTGAATGAGATTGCAAATACTCTTGCAAGGCGCTCGATTGATGGCAAATTGTCTCGTTTTTGTATCCTTGGACCCGGGGGACTGGGAAAAACATCCGCTGCTTTGGCAGTCATGCAACATCCACTCATACGAAGTAGTTTCGAAGAAGGTCAATTCTGGATACCTTGTAATACGGCTAATTCCCCCAATGCGTTATTAGATGCATTAGCTGAAGGCACTGGTGTGAATCCTCAGACTAAGAATCTGCTTCGTAGTATTCTCAGTCGACTCTCATCCTTGCCAGGGCAATCCATTCTGTTGCTCGACAACTTCGAGACACCTTGGCTTCTCGATGAAGGTTCCCAATCCAGAGTCCAGGCCATTCTAGAACAGCTAAACTCCCTGCCGAATGTCGCTATACTCTTGACAATGCGTTCCAATTCGCCGCCGTTACGCGATTGGAAGCATACAGATCTTCCTCCAGTGGATTTAGATAATTCTCGGAAAATCTATCTTGATGTTGACGGAGCCGCACACGATTCTCCTGACTTGGATGTTTTACTAGACACACTGGGACATATGCCAGGTGCAGTGTATCTCATGGCTAATCTAGGAGCAAACTCCCTTTCAACACCGACAGAGCTACTCCAACAGTGGCGTGCCGGGGGCATCAATGTCATGGATCACTGCATTGGACTGTCAATGAAGAGTAGCTTTGTTACAGACTGCGAAGGTGCAATCGAGTTACTCCAGGTTCTGTCGATGCTTCCAGCTGGAGTTGTTCGCAGTCATTTGAAATTATGGCTTCCCTCGTATCGCCCCGAAGCTATTCAATGCCTTCGAAAAGCTGCTCTACTTCATGTGAGCTCGGGAAGCGATCCGAAACTCTTTGTTCTCCCTGTTATCCAATCATGCGTTCAAAAAAGCATTCCGGATGATGTTAGCCAACGAGTCTACAACTCCTGCTGTCAAATTCTACTCAGTTATAATGGAGCAATAGATGGGCCGAATAATCCGCTCTTTAAAGCTCATTCACGCTTCATTCGCTCAGAGCAGTCGAACGTTGAATCTTTGCTCACGGAGATGTTGACGAACATCTTTCACTCTCATACAGACACCACGGCAGAAACGGTGGCCCACCAATTAGATGCGTTCAGAGTGTTCATTTGGTTCCGGTATTGGAGTCAACCCCACGTGGAACTGGCCGTCAAAGTCGCCCAGGCGGCTGAAATGACCAACAATACTACGTCGCAGGCCGACACTCTTCTCTGCCTCGGCAAAATGTATCGTATCACTGGAAAGTCGGATGACGCTCTGAAAACGTTAGCTCGTGCGCGAAAGCTTTTTTCGACCCTTGATTACACACAACGCCGAAATCGTCGCAACGCAATGCGCTGCGAAGTGACATATACTGAGATGTCGGCTCTGGTGCGCAGTCTGCGTCAAGAGGATGTCATACCTTTAGTAGAATCGCTTCGTCCTCAATGCGAAGGTGAAGATACATATCTCGAAGCTCTGCGCCTCGAAAGTCTAAGTGCTTACCAGTTCAAGGCACATCAATTTGAGGCTGCTCTGGTTTCTATCTCGGAATCTCGGAATCTCTTCAGAGAAAATGATTGCCCATTCGACGCGGCCACATGCCTTCTTGACCTCGCTCGTATTCTCGGATGCTTAGAACGTTATGAGGAAGCATTACAGATAGCAGACGAAGCGGTTTCAAGCTTCCACGACCTGGGGTTTGAGGGATATAACACTTGTTTCAGCTACATTCTTAAGGCCCGTATCATGAAGTCATTACAAGCGCCCGGAGATGCTATCTTGGAAGTACTCAATGATGCGCTCAAACATTCATACCGAGAGCCACTACCGCTTGCCTTCACTTTGTTGGAGTATGGCGAGGTTTACTTGAAAAGAAGAGATTGGCGTGCGGCTACGCTAGCATACGAGGAAGCAAGAAATGCGATCTCCCGTCTAGATAAAGAGGGTCATCGCGGTATTCCTGATGAATGCAACAATAAAATTCAAGTCATACGAAGATATGAAACACAAGAAGTCGACCCTCCAGAAGAAGAGCTAGCTTCCTTGATTCCGGCTCCGAGATTGTTTCCGTAGGGTTTAAAGAAGTACGCAACAAGATTTCTAACTCTAAACAAGACTCTTTTTTGTTTCGTAGTAAACGGCGTTCTAAGTATCTCCGCTATCAAGTAATCCACTGGAATGAAACTTTTTCTTATTGTCCTATCCGAGGTCCTTGTACTGTCCCACCCAGCTCCCACAAATCCTCTGGGGCTAGTCACCCTATTTCCATTCAAAAACCGCTCAAGTCAATGGTATTGCAGTTACAGTAGTCGTAGGCTGCGTATATTGTTTGTTCGTTCATCCTCGCATTGTAGCTACCGAGCTGACGCGCGGTAAAAAGTCTACCCCCGTAATCATTTTTTCTTGCTTGCCTTGGTATCCTGGCGCCTCTAGTGCGTATCGCGAGAAAGTTGTGCCGGGGTAACCACAAGGTGCTTTGACCCAACTCTATGCACCGACATCTTCAAAAGTTGAGTAGAAGGATATAGAGGGAGTATCATTTGTAAAGTTCATTTGTTTGTTCCCCTGAATTTCTTTTTGATGCAGAACCGCATTGCTATTCCCTGTTGCTCAACCGCAAGCTAATAGTTCTCTTGCAAAAGATGAAAATCATAGGTTAGGTGGTTAATTTTGGACTCTTTGCGAGGCGTTGGGTGAAACAGAAGGCCTAAACATTGAAGTAGATAACAGCTGTATCTACATATGAGTACAAGGCTTCATATCGAGTGGTAACACCAACAACACTCTGTATGGACATATATCTTCTGCCGCTTCGGGTCGAACGTGAACAGAATGCAAACGATATGATTGCTTTGACACTGTCTGATTCCGCGGTAACTCTTAAACCATCGGTGGGGGTAAGAAAACAGAAAGAGATTGGAGGATTACAGTCACAGGAATTTCACACGACGACCAGTACCTATGATCTATGTATGTCGCGACACGAAGGTGACGAAGCCAGAACCGGTTTTCGAGGATATTGCCTTTGTAGAGTACGTACATGATTCGCCCGGCCGTCCCCTCTCAAACAGTGTATCAAAAGAACTGTTTGGGAATGCCACGCTGCAACTTCTGTTGTTTCTTCACCCCGTCCAGAGCCTCCCAACGAGCAGCAGGTAGGTCCGTTGCTGTAAAAGGAATATTGTTGATTGTTAACGATGAAGCATGAGAAACAGTTTGGAGAACGACCGGTACTGCGACCAAGTCCACGCACCCTTGACCTCAAAGGACACTTCAAATCTGAATTTTCCCGAAGATGGAACGAGAAGTACGTAGTGTCCTCCACCTAGTTCAGCAAGGACGGTGACTGCTGAGAGTTTTGCTTTTTTGTCTTTGTGACTCTCGATATGCTTTTTGATCATCTTGTGTTTCGTATCGACGGTTTCGGGGATGTACACCTACAGAGATAATAGATCGGTGCCAAGTCCAACAAAAGGATGAGGTACTCACCATGTCGAGTTTATTCAATTTCCTAAGTTGAGCCCATCCTTTACCCTGACAAAATGCATAACAGAGAAACATGGTTATGAAACGACTGAACGTAAGTGGCAGGACTTCAGACTTGCCTGTTCGGACCCCTGAATGTAACTGGGTTAGATTTCCGGGAATACATCATTTCTGGAATTTAAGCTAAATATTACTTACAAGGGGAACAAGGTCATCGAAGTAATTGGGGCTTGGGAAAAAATAGTTGTATTTTATGGTATTGATTTTTTCTAGTGACTTGAGTAAAATTTCCAGTCTTTCGAGTGCTTTCCGAGCTGCATTCTGACCCGGTTCTTTCGACGATCCAGTATCAGAGTCTGCGGCATGAGAGCCTGCCCAACTTTCCACGTCGGAGATCTCGACTTCAAGGATCTCCTTGGGAGACACTCTTGTTGTCGCCTAGACCATTTTATTTGATGATATATATAGAGCATGTGAGAGCGAAGGGCGACTTACTCCTGCTTTCACCCACGCGTATCCGACCACCACCTCTTTAGGACCTACATTGAAATGCTTAAGGATTCTGTCACCAAAGGACGTTTGGGATTGTTTCGGAATACTGCTGGCATCGCCAGAGGCCCGGGCGACGGGGGAAGCGGCACAAACGCCAACCAGCACGGCGATTAGAACGAGCCTTATCACTGTTATGGAAAGCTGGAGACTACGTCTGGTGTGCGAATGCTGGTATGAACGAGAGTAACTTGATATGGATGCATTCGAGATATTGGAAACGCTGAAGGCCATTGTGTCAAGGGTGAACATATAAGGCGAAGAGTATACAAGGGAAGCAGAGACCAGCTCTTATATCGAGGTTGAGGTGCGCCAGGCAAAGACGAAAAGTTGGAAAACTCATTGATACCGTTGCTGGGTTTTTAAAGGTTTTATGTCTTGATCGGAGGGCACTCCGGGATCCACAGATCCACATGAACCTCTTGGCCCGACGGATGCCCATCAATGCCAAATGCGCGATTATCTTGCGATTACATCATGAATGTCGAATCTCGTGGGAAAAGTTGACCTTTATTGCCTCTAGGTATGCATTATACCGCTAAAGTGGATTATTCGTTACTTCGAGGTCCAGGCATCGTCAACGCCTCCCTCAGTCCGCACGTTGGACATGACAGACACTATCACCAATCCTCCGTTCATAGGCATCAACAACTTTCGCGACGTCGGAAGAGTTATCAATGCGTGCACAAGTCGGCATGATTGCGTTGAAGTCTGCGAGTTGAACAAGCTTCCTCGCATGAAGGAAGGCATGCTCCTACGCTCTGGTCGTCTTGATAAAGCTACTGCAGAAGATACACAGCTGATGGTAGACAAGTATGGGTTGAAGACTGTCATTGATTTAAGAACCAAAACAGAGCATTTAAGGTCTCGGGATTTCGAAGTGCAATGTGAAAGACGGTGGGACACGGTGAAGATTAACTTTATTGGAAGGAAGTTTGAGTTGAATCTATTGAAGCAATTGAGGTGGTGGCAAGCTTTGTGAGTGTTTTAGTCTGGTCATGAACATCCAGTAACTCTGACGATGTAGATGGTTCATTATCCTCATTCTCTTTCGGCAACGTATGGCGGCCATACGTATAATCGGGAAAAATGTGATGAGTCCCAGAGGACTCGCCGAGCTAAGTAAAGATTCTTTACGGTTCTGTCAAGACGAGATTCTTCAGGTAAGAGATTGAGCTCTGTCATTCATGTCCTATGCCTATCCCGAACCTCATATAGGCATTGGAGGTATACATCAGTCCTCAAGTCTATCCTGTCCTTGTCCATTGTACCCAAGGCAAAGATCGTTCAGGTCTCATAATCATGCTCGTTCTCTTCGTACTTCATATTCCACTGGACCTTATAAAAGCGGATTATGTATTATCGAATGAAGGTTTGGAACAAGTGCGGGCATCAATGATGATCGAAGTATTGGAAATTGGGATGGACGAAAAATATACCCAGGCGCCGGAGGAAGTGGTCGATGAGGTATGGAGTTTCCTCGAAGACGGCGGAGGCGTAGATGCGTATTTAGATGAGATTGGATTTGGTGAAAGTAAAAGGCAGAAACTCAGAGAATTACTGCTGGAGTACAATTAAACTTGTGAATTTTGCGATCCCAACTCGTTATCTTATCTTATCTGTCTGACATCATTCCTACCGACACATAAACACACCAACACCATGTCCTTCGCCCGTACCACATTGAAAGCCTCTCGTGCATTCACCAGTGCATCTCTCCGTACCAGATCCAGAACTCTAGTCACACTAAAAGACCACAAGGTAGGATGTTTAGCCTGGAAGTAAACCAACAACACTGAACAGTTCTTCAGTATACGGCACAGGCTGTTGCTCAAGGTGCAGGGAGAAATGGAGAAGTCACTTCCAATGGACTTGACCTGAAGCTTGCTCTTCCCAAAGAAATGGGCGGAACGGGCCAGGGCCAAAATCCAGAACAACTATTTGCAATGGGCTACTCCGGTACATTTGCCCTGCTCCGAAGTATTACGACTGCTAATTCGATTTTCCCCTTTTAGCTTGTCTCCTTGGCGCAATCCAAGCTGTAGCCAAGAACCTGGGGAAAGCAGACATGGCAAAGAATGCCAAGGTTCATGCTAGCGTTCACATAGGCGAACCGGAAGGAATGCCAGGATTTGGAATCGCTGTTGACATGAAAGTGGAAGGAATCGATGAGGAATTGCTCAAAGCAGGCCACGAGGTATATGGATGAGCCCTCTCTCTCTCTCGCGAACGACACGTTCATACTTTTCATCTAGTTCTGCCCATATAGCCGGCTCATGAGGAATGGTGGTGTTGTTAATGTATCGCTAGCTTAGGAAATGTCGCTTGAAGTATGAATGACAGATTGTATGCATGTATTTCGCTTCCTCTCTTTATCTTGGAGTTGTCCTTTTCAGGAGCTCTCGCCTGTTCTCGCTCGTAGTGCGCCAAAGAGCTTCAGTATCCTTGTGATCACAGTAGCTCCGAATCGGACTAGAAGCTTCAAGGTATCCGACCATAAACTTCCCGTCCGTCGTCATCTCTGGAGTGCGTATAAAGACGGCCGAGTTATTCCATTCTTCCGTTTTTCCCATTTACTCTGCACCTCAATGTCTACCACACACAACCGAAGCTCGGGAGAGTTGAAGCTTCTTGATCCAGAGAAAAGGCCTTTAGATGAAGTTGAAATTCGAAGAGTGCTTCGTAAGCTTGACTACCACATACTGCCAATTGTTGTTCTTCTCTATCTACTCGCATTTCTGTAAGTCCATCGTTTGTTTTCCCTCGCAGATATTCACTAAGGATTACTTTAGGGATCGTGGAAACATAGGTTAGTTCTCGACCTCGTGCGTAGGTGCACCTTGTTCATTGTACACTAGGAAACGCAAAAATACTAGGTATTCTCTGGGACGTGTCAAGTGTGCCAGTACTCATGAAGGTTTTAGGAATGGTTGAGGATGCAAACTTGACAGGCCTCCGCTACAATATCGTGTGTTTTGCCTTATATGCACTTAATCATCTTGTTGAAAAAATGATTTTGTTAGTTATCTGCAGTCTTTTTCGTGAGCTCCCAAACCGAGGGTACTTGATGCCGCCACTCACGATTTCCATAAGATTCCATACTGTTTGGGAGAGGTTCCTTCGTGAGTCGGCGACTTGTGTGACTAACTTCTCAAACCTGTATCTAAGATTTTGCCCAGCAATATCATGTTGAAGGTTGTTCGCCCATCGAGATGGCGTACGTTCTAATTCTAGAAATTCCTAATGACCACTGAAAATTCCTTCCAGTAAGTGGTGCTGCCGTAGCCTGGGGTTCGTACTTGAATATTCACTGCTTGAATGCTGACACTAATGTTTCCTTCTTAGGGACAATCGTGACTCTGATGTGCCTCTGTGATTCATTCAAAAGCCTCTTAATGTGAGTCTCGAGCCAATACCATTCATATCTTGATACTATGATTTGCCTATCGTTATAAATACTAGCACACGTCTGTTCGTGGGACTGACGGAGAGCGCATTATCTCCTGGGGTTAGTCAGTATATGCCTCATCTAATACCTCCTATGCCGACTGTGTGTAGATTCTCTTCTATCTTTCGACGTGGTATCCTCGCCGATATCTTGCTTGGCGGGTCGGACTTTATGTGAGCGCAACTGTTATTGCAGGCGAGTATTCCTTGCCCATCGGCGGTGTTCGAAATCCTCACGAGCATGTAGGGGCGTTTAGCGGGCTCTTGGCGTATGTGTAGTTCCCTTCGTATTTGAGATCCCTCTTTTCAGATTTCACAGATATGGGATCGAGCGTATGGACAACTTGGGTGGGCTTCATGGCTGGCAATGGATTGTAAGTGTAACTATCTTGGCCACGTTGGCCCGACGTTGAATGTATCTTTAGTTTGGCCTTGAAGGAATCGGTGCGTCATTTGCGCTTGGTTTGACCTACTATATTCAAGTATTTGTTGAAGTCACTGTACTTGTTGGTCTTGTTTCTCTGTTCTTCATACATGATGTGAGATATGTCACTCAATTCCAAACATGGATCCTCTGCTAACAATTTGATAGAGTGTTCAAAGCGCCAAATTTATAACTATGTCCGAGAAAGACTACCTTCAGCGCGCAATCGCCCGCGACTCCTCTGAGCTTTCGGTTCATTTGGACAAGAAGTTCATCTGGCAAGCTTTCAAAGACTATCGAACATATCTTCATAGTCTATGCTTCCTCGGGTTAGTCACTTATGACCAGCCTTGACGAGGCTGTGATCGAAACTAATCAGCGAACAGGATAATGATACCACTCTACTCCCTCGCACTGTTCCTCCCAACCCTAATCAATGAATTAGGATATCGCGCTATAGATGCGCAGCTATTTACAGTCCCGCCATATGCGCTTGCCTGCGTATGCACTCTCGTCAGTGCCTACCTCTCGGACAGACTGAATTTGAGAGGTCCTTTTATCATCATCACAGCTTTACTTGGCATCGTAGGGTTTATCATGCTGTTATGCAGTAACTCCTCTACTTTAAGCTACGTCGCAATGTTTTTTGCCACGTCGGGCGTTTTCTCTGCAGACGCCGTGTTCTGTACCTGGTTCAGTACTGCTTACAGTGGCGAAACAAAGAGGGGTTTGTATTTTGCTTTTCTCTTTCAACTTGCACTCAGAGATCAACACAGCGGTAGCAATTGCAATAATTAATGGAGCTGGCAACCTGGGAGGGTGAGTAATGACATTCTGAATTTCAACTTCTCTAAACTAGTTTGTAGTGCACTGGCCTCTTTTGTGTATATCAGTCCGAAAAACTATTATATCGGCTACATCGTGAACATTGGATGTTTGGTTGCAACGTCAGTTCAAAATTTCTCCTCGGTATCATTCTGTTGCTTAGGTCTAATTGCTAGAATCTTGCTTACTGGCTTCATGATGTGGGAATTTAAACGAGAAAATCATCTCAAAGAGCAAGAATGTGCTGGAAAAGATATCACCGTCGAGTTGAAGGCGGAATGGAAGAACATGGGAGATCGAAGTCCCCTCTTTAGGTATGCTGATACATGCTCGGTTTGCTAGGCTCTGACACAGTCGTACAGATATCCGCTGTAAATGTTACCTGTAGAGTTTTAAAATTATCGAGTGCAATATTCATCTGTTCCACGACCATTAGAATCAGGAACCATGAGTGGCTTGTCTTCGTGCTCATGAGGCAGCTCAAGGATCAAGCTCAATCCTTCTTTCTCTCGGCGCGTCAGGCTTTCCGCATCGAGCAAGAGACTAGTGAGTTCTGATTCTACTAGATCGAGTTTTGGAACGGGTTTGCGTTTTTGTGAGCTCTGCGAGAAGACTGGATGAGGAGGGAATCTCGCGCGTTTGACAATCTAGTGCGTGGATGGGAAGAAAAAGCGGTCGAGGGGACTGAGAAGATGAATCAGCCTCGATGGGCAATGGGGGGAGAGGTCTCCAGTTGTCACCGTAGGACCGGAAGGTTGATCCCTAGAGTCCACAGACTCTATCAAATTTGTCCTCCCGTTTGGAAATATCAAGTGGATTAGAATAGTCTCTCCAAAGCTTTTTTCGAATTCTATCCATTTTCGCTAGATGGCGTATTTAAGATACTCATCATCGGCAAGCCTCAACGGCAGAATCCGACGGGGCTGTGCAGAGATATATAAACTAGCGATAGAAACTTTGATGCCCTCAAGACAGGCAGGCCTGATCCCCCAGCACAAGAATAATGGTCGTCAACATGAGCACATTGAGTTCCGCAGAGCGGACGTCCACACCACTGTCGAGACACCATGTGTTGTATATTGCTTTTTCGGAATTGTTGTTCTCCATCATTTTCCTCGTCGTAGGGATCTTACTCTTGTATACCTTGGGTAAGTACTATCATCTGAGCTCGTTGGTTTTGCACTGCAAGCTTACGATGCTCTTTCTTTGGCGATGCAGGTGAACAAATTCTGGATGTCGATGCGGTTGCGTTAGCTCTACACATTTTCTCTTACTTCTTCCTGGGGCTCTCTACTATATTAGGGTGCGTCGCTCGATTTCATGACAACTTCAAAGTACTGACATTTTGCATTGTTAGAATAAGCGGGGCTTTGTATAGATCTTGCCCTCTGGTTGCCATGTTCTGTTCCATGATAATGGCTCAACTCGTTTTCGGCATTGGGTCTGGTATTTACTGCCTCACAATACTATTCAGCGACCCAGGAGACATTACCAGCCGAATTCTTCACCAAAAGTGTCTCCATTTAGACCATTTCTCGGGCGCTTTCTGCGAGCGGACACCCCTGATGAAGTACTTGACCCTTGCCTTGTTCGTACAGGCATGGTTAATCGAAATATGTATGACTCGCACGCGTTATGTCTTTGACCAACAGATAAGATGCTTACCCTTTTTCTTACAGTGGGTATCTACTACGCTCAAGCCTACGTTCAGGAGCTTCTCGATGAGGAGACAGATGGAATGAAGGAATTTGATTACGAGTTTGATTACGACTATGCCTACTACTAGTATAGTGAATGTTGATGTTATGAGCAGTATACGCACGCTGGATTTTTTCCCTTGACAGATCGTGACAACTCGAATCTTGAATTCCTCGTATACAAGTCTCGTTCCAACAAATTTCGTGTTCCAGGTTGAACATCTTCCTCCGGAACCGTTGATACCGTTGATCATTGCGTTAGAACTTAGGAAGTAAAAGAATGAAATTCTGATGTGATTGAAATGATGATTAACTTACCCTGTTGGGGACTTGCATTGCTTCTCACTTGCCTGATGATGTTCTTTCATCAGTTGGACTTGACATCTGCAAAACCTGGATGTTCATGAGAGCAAGGATCCTAACTGGAGAGTGCTGTCAGCTGCTTTTGAGCTCCTGGCCAAAAATACAGGTTTTAATGACAGTCAATCATTACAGTGAATTATATACAATTGTTTGTGTCCTTCCTATAATTTAAAATGATACACATACATTAGAACATTTCTCCAGGTATACTAAGTCCTGACTTTGTCTTAGAACGACCTTTGCCACGCCCTCTGCCCCCGCGACTTCCACGACCTCCAGCACTACTTCGACCTCTTCCTCCTCGAGAAGAACTCCCCCTGCTGCTTTTCGTGAAGCTGTTACTAGAAGCCGTGCATGCTAGGCGCAATTCAGAGTAATGAATAAAATCGCATTGGCGGATGAAGATGAACACACCATTGCTCCAATGACCAGGCTTCCCACATTTGAAGCAGGCTTGATCTTGTTGCGATGCATTTCCACCATTTGATCCAAAGCTTCGCGATCTCTTGTTTGTGGAGCCATCTTCGGGGCAATCTGCATCATCCAAGTCAATAGAAGTCTGGCCATGAAAGTCGAAGGGACACACTAGATGCCCAATGTCCAGATTGATGGCACTGGTTCAAAATCATCAGCAGATAATTTTCCATTACAGCGACAAGCCATACCTTGAAACACTCTCCCAAAGCTTGGTCTCCTCTCGTACGAGAGGAACCAGGTTCTCCATCCCATTCCCAAAACTTACAGCGACCTTCGCCTTCTTTTGCACAGCGCCAGAACATCCGTCCTTGATTTTCATTCTCTTTACGAGAGGTCAATTTCAAGGCGGGCTCATTACATTGGCATAAGCGAGATGACGACTCGGTAGAAGCCTATTGGAGGGTACATGAGTTGAAATCATCAACATGAAATGGAACACTCACGTTAGAAAACGTCCTCTTAGTCGGTACAGTGGACATGGGTTTCGAGGGAGGCATTGAATCATCTGCCCAAGCGAAATAATCACAGGCCTTTTCTTCGCAGGTCCAGAACGGTCTGCCTTGATTTGGACCATCTTTCACAACGGCTCGTCGTCCTGCAAGTGCATCACATTTACAATTTGGTGCTTGAGTCGAAGCGATGGAATTAGTTCGGCCAGAGTTTGAGGATATATTTGATTGCACCGCGTCAATGAACATGAAGAAGTTGCAAGACTCCGGGGTACTTCCGCACTTCCAATAACTTCGCCCATTACTCGCAGACCCATCAGTAACTACAGCAGGGATTGCTGGAACACTGCATCCGCAAAGAGTTTGATTTCCGTAGTTTCTAGAAGCACGAGAGGGAGGTTTCGCCGATGAAATAGACCGAGGATTTGAACTAGATGACGAGAAAGGCTTTACTGGTGGGATAGACCGAGAACTAGAAGAAGCAGGTTTCGTTCGTGCGATACTTCGTGGTTTGGGGGCTGGCGGTGGCAAGTCTGTTGGGATAGAGTATGAATATAACGCGAGACGGTGGAACTTGATACTTGCCATCATCGGAGTTAATGTCGATGATATCTCTTCGGGCGTCCGTTGAAGAGCTTGACTGTTTGCGCGAACCATTATCAGCCCTTGCTCCGCGATTACCTCTTGCACCTCCGCGTCCCCCTCTTGAATTGCCACCGCCACCGCCTCCGCGTCCCCTGTCACCGTCTGCATTTCCGCCACCTCCGCCTCCTCCACCTCCACCTCCATCACCACCGCCTCCACCACCACCACCACCTCCTCCGCCTCCACCTCCGGCCGCCAAGTTATTTCCGTCGATGGCACGTCGCATGGCCTAAATGATGATGAATACTTTCCAACACACGACGTATGAACCAACGTACTGCAGCGATCTGCTCGAGTTGCATGCGCACGATAACATACATTTCCTTATATTCCTCAACACATTGTGCAATCATGTCGTGTTTGCTCAGTTGACCTTGAGTTATCTGTCTCATCCGACGTTCAGTCTGCAGGACCAAGTATAAAGGGACTGATAAGCTTTGGAAGTTAAGAATGAGCGACAGGACCTACCTCCCGTCTAAGCATCGGTTTCGTCATACTCTTGACGATATCAATATTGTCGTAACCTTCGACAATCCCGAGTCCTAGGGTGGAAGGAAGGAGGTATTTGGTCGCCCCCTCATAGTGTTCAATGACATACTCCCGATCGATTATGGTTTGAATGTGTTGCGCAATTGTTGCATCCGTGCCTTAATTGATGTTAGCCATGGAAGTGAGCGTCAAAGCTGAAAAATACCTACCAATCCCGTTCTTGTCCATCAGTGCGACGAGGTCTGCTTCGGTCAGCGGACTTGGTTTCGTCGTTTGACCGTCGCGTAATTCACATACTGAGGGGTCGAAGGTTTCTCCTTCCGTGAAGTCAGGAAGAATATTGTCTACCCACTTGTCGTAGGGATATACTTCGAGATAATTCTTTGCAATGACGGTCAATCCTGGAAAAGGCCCAATTAGCAAGCTTTGTATATGACACTCGGATATCTTACCTGTGGCATAGAATTTCTCGTCTCCGCACACCACGTCAACGGTAGTCTGGTTGCCTATAGCATCCTCAGAGCAGCTAGCCAGGAATCGCCTTGTGATATAGTCATACACTTTCTTCTCGTCGCCGGCAAGATTTGCAGCGTGCGCCGTCGGATGGATGGGAGGATGTGCTTTGTCGTTGTTCCTTCCTTTACGTGGCGTGTGGAAGCCGCCTTGTCGAAGTCTACGTGAAAAATTTAAGAATTAGAGGTATATAAGTGAAGAATTTGATGATCACACCGTTCGGCAAAATTGCCCCAGGCTGGATCCGCGGTCTGTTTTTGGATAAGGGACTGAAAGTCGAATTGAGGGTCGTATTGATCTGTCTCTGTGCGTGGATAAGACAAAAACCCATTTTGGTAGAGTTTTTCAGCAATCTGTTTATATTTCAGCATGAGTCCTGCCCCAATAATTGAATCAACATACATCGAGCACTTTCTTCGGTGCGAGCTTCAAGAGTCGAGACCCGGCTTTCTGTAACTCTACGGTTGTGAGCGGAAGAGGTTTCCTGAGACAAAATTAGAAGCGTAACACGCAGTAGCCGAAGCAACCGAACTTACCATTTCTTCGTCTCCTTCTTTACTACTTTTTCAACTTTCGCTGCAGGATCCGCTAGGACATGCTCATATAGGACAATTGCGATATCCTGATCAAATAAGTGGCCTCGCCGCCAGTTGAATCGGGTTTCTTCATTGGCACCTTGTGAAGCCGATGGACGTATCAACGAGAGGTAAATAAACCAAAATGTTTCCGCTCTGAAGTTTTGCATATCTTGGAATCTTGAGACGACAAAACCGAGTGTGGGGTACTGACAGGATCCTGGAGAAGAGAATGAGAAAATTGCGGCTAGAGATAAGAGTCAGGCTTTTACCGTAGCTCAGCATCTGGATGTCGTCTAGCTGTCGAAATTTAGCTTTCAAAGTCAAAGTCTGCCAACGAGTGAAAGCAGCGCCAATCTTGAGGTCAAGAACCATTCGTGCTTCAACTGCATCGACTAGTCTCTGGTCCAAATTGAAGGGATTTTGAGCAGCGTTATGGATCTGTCTGGGCCTGAAGGTCAGTGCACTCATTTATAGGCCCCTAGTAGTAGACACGCACTGAGCTATGATGGCACTGAACCTAGCCCGCTTGACAACAATGTTGCGTTTTGCCCTCCGACAAACTTGGACAATCTCTGACCCAATATGCTCTCCTTCTCTATCACAATCAGTCCATATCATCAATGTGTCTGCATTCTTTGCCTCGTTGAAGAGATTTTTTTCTATTGCTTTCATCTTGTCTGGTACTTTGATAATGGGCCCGAGATCAAATAATGTAAACGGATCGCAGGAGTTCCATTTTCGAAAGGCATCGGGAAAGTCGTGCTCTGTAAGATGTCCTGCAACACAGGTGACAGTAAACTTTGCACGAGTTTGAGGATAATCGAAGTCGTAGTTCTTGACGAATTTACTCGGCGAATTTCGCTTTGTGTCCTCGTTTAAAAATGGACAGTAGTAAAGATGTTAACAACTCCTTACAGTAGTGTATTGACCGCCAGAGAGGATTTGGGTGATGGATTTTGAGATGGATGGCTTCTCAGCCACACATAATACCTTGGGCATGGAAAGGGAATTACAAACGAATCACTAAGAATGTAGAATGTTGTTGATGAAAAGGACCGCGTCCGAGATGAGTCATGACGCGCTAGGTTCCATCAAACACGTGCATATCATATGTGCGATTAATTTTTTTTAGTTCTACTACTTGCGCCATTATGGTCGACGAAAATACAACAACAACCCGACTATTGACCCTTCTCAATGTTTCTGCAACGAAGGCTGGGAAGAAAAAATGGGAGCCGTATGTTCCCGCAGTCAAATTAAACAAGCGCAAGTCGGTCAGGGTGATGGAAGATGAAAATCCAACTGCCGAGGACACACCCGATGTACAGATGGGGGATGGAGACCAAGTACAAGAGATTGCATTTGCGAAAGAAGAGATGGGCCCTGAAGGTGTGTGTTATAATTGCCCTTGGATACAATTTAACTTAAACTTGTGTCAGATACAACAGATCCATACGAGCAGCACTTTGGCTGTAACTCCGTCCATCTTTCTGAAGCAGCTAGGCTCTCAGTAGATGAACGAGCTTGGAATCTTCAGCAGTCATCTCGGGGAAGGCTTGGACCCACTCATGAGTCCATACCTGAAGGATGTGATCCCGGTCCTTCAATCATGAAAGGAGACGCTGTTAGTCTGTCGTTTCCGCCTAATCTACCCTGGACCTACTGGTTTTCCTAGATCCTTGATAGGCTGAAGAAGCCGTCGAATGCCAGAAAAGGTGTACCGAAAGGTTGGTTTTCTTGTTTTCGGCCTTTTGAACTGTACATGACCTGACTCCCAGATCAACATGACCTCCAAAACGATCTACTTTCTACATTATCCACCTATCGAGACCTTTATTTATCCTCTAGCTCTTGGGAAAACAGGAAGCCAACCCGTGAAGCTATATCCCTACATTTATTGAATCATATCACAAAGTTTGCACTCTTTCCACCGTAATCGAGCTCTGTTGAATACTGATTGTACGAAAGAAAGCGCCGACGGGTGATCAAGAATAACGAAAGAATATCAAACGCTACAAAGGCTGGTAACGAACCACCTGAAGACATCCAAGATCAAGGATTTACTCGACCCTCTGTTCTCATCCTCCTACCTTTCCGTTCTTCCGCATTGGCCTGGTTTAGTGCACTTACGACACATACTCCTTCACCCGAATATCAGATCGAAAATCATACTCGATTCACCTCTGAATATGGTCTTCCTTCTGGTGCAATCGACAAACTGGCGACGGCAGAACCGGGTACATATCCTCATGATCACGTCGAGACGTTCAAAGGAAATGTGGATGACAATTTTCGAGTTGGAATCAAGCTGACACGGAAGAGCGTCAAGCCCTTTACAGAATTCTATGGCTGCGATATAATAATGGCCAGCCCTCTGGGTCTGCGACAATCAATACAGAAAGAAAAGTCAGCACAGTTTACTTGCTATCATAGCTAATTTAATGGCTTCCACTGACATTTCGTTTAGGAACGCCGATTATCTTTCCTCAATCGAGATGCTGGTAATGGACCAACTTGATGCGTTAACGATGCAAAACTGGGATCACGTCAAGGTTCTGAGTTGGTTCCTTTCTTTTTGCTTCCTTGTTAATATGTCCAAAAGTTTATCCTCGACCATCTTAATAAGCTACCTAAGGAAGCCCATGACACAGACTTTTCGCGTACCAAACCCTGGTATTTGGATGGGCAGTATGTATCTATCATAGACATGGCTTGAACGCGCTTTATAAATTCGGTTTTCAGCTCGGAATACCTTCGTCAATCGATATTACTTTCTGCGTATGAAACGCCCGAGACACGACAGCTCTACAACGCCAGACTCAAGAACGTCGCAGGCAAGATCAAAACGTACAAGCGGTGGCCACCAATAGAAGTCCCAGAAGGTGTTGACCAGGTTTGTCCGACCTTGACACCAGCTGAATTTCGGTTAAATCCAATGTTTACAGAGTTTTCTTCGTTTTGAATGCGGGAATCCAAAGGACGAAACAGACAAGAGATTCAACTATTTCACGACCCAGGTAAGATCTGTCAGCGTCAAGAGGCTTGCAATATGATTCTCATCTCCACTCAGCTTTTACCCACCATCCTGAAATCCGCAGTGCAAAGTTCCAACACAGTCATCTTCGTTCCGTCGTATTTTGACTTTGTTCGAGTGCATAATCACTTCCGCAAGTTGAGCGTATCATTCACGGTACTATCCGAGTGAGTCACAAGTTCGGTCCTCATTGTCCGAGGTTACACTTATTCCCGAATTCAAGATATTCTACCAATCAAGAAATATCTCGTGCCCGCCAGGCTTTCTTTTCGGGACAGAAATCGTTTCTAATCGTCACCGAACGGTTCCACTTTTACAAAAGGTATGAATCTCGAGCCTATGGGGATATGTGCTAAATATATTCATTGAATGATAGATACAAACTACGAGGGATCCGCAATCTTGTCTTTTACGGACCTCCCGACCATCCTCAATTTTATAGCGAATATTTGTCTTATCCGTTCTTGGACGATGGAGTTGAGAGCCTAGATGTTACGTGTCGTGTGTTGTATTCAAAGTACGATTGGTTTAGGCTAGAGAGGATAGCAGGAACGGAGGAGGCTATCGAGTTGACGAAAAGTTTGTAGGGGGCGTAGCTAAGACGCTATGATATGTATCCATTCTTATGTTCAAGATATACATGTCCTTTACAGAGCTGTTCTGTGAGCTCTGAAGCAATTTAGCACGCCGTCAAAACTTGTACATTAACAGATTTCATTCCTTTCTTCATATATATCGATCGGAGTACTAAGACATACATTCTCGAATTCTATACGAGACTATCGATGGAAATATACATATATCAGGGTATCAACGTTCCTGTAAAAATCTTCCTGCTTCTGAAATTCCACTAGAAGGATGTTGTAGAGTCGACCTCGATAGTAGGCACAATCGAGGCAATGAACTTGAGGAAAACAACCAAGTAAAAATCAACTCTCATTCCCTCTACCTCTTCATCGTCCCCAGCAACAGCAGCAGCGGCGGCGGCGGCAGCGTTCTTATCGTCCTTCCCAGTGCCACTGGTCTTTCTACCGAAAGGCCATTTCTTCTTTTCCTTTGGAATTTTTTGCTGCGCAAGCTGCTCGGCCACTACGCTGTTATTCATACGCTCGATGACTTTCTTCATCACGCTCGCGTGTTTGCATGGGTGGACCGAAGCTGCCTGGAGGGAGGAGGAATGAGGGAAAGGTTCAATAGTGACGGTTTTGAGGGCATGATCTGCTGAGACGTCTTGGAAGATTTGAGAGGGTGTCAATGGGGTTCGGTTCTACACACATGAATACTATCAGATTATGAGTAAAAAGAGAGAGCGTCGCGTTGCGAACCTCATCGTAACCTTGTAGCCAGATTCGGGGGGTTTGATAATACTTGTCGTATGTGATCATGACATCGTAGGTTCGAACTTGAAGTAAGTTCCCCGTCGCTACTTCGACTTGACTGTAAAATCATGTCGAGTTGAAAATTATGATAGAGAATATAAAGCAATCACGCACCTGGGGTCAATCACGTTTGGTGTAGCCTTAACTGGAGCAGTAGCGGCATCTCCTTCCTCAAGATCTTCTTCCTCCATATCAGGTATCTCGTCAATATCCGGGATTTCAGACATCGCCGGTACATTGCCCAACGACATATTTCCCACTCCCGAAGCAAGGTCATCATCTTGCGCGTTATCATCAGGAATATCGGCGATCTCTCCTGGATTCGCTGCTGAATCTAAATTTGGTTTGCGTCCAGCGTGTGTCTCGACCCACTCGTCACCATCTCCGCCTGCTGAGGAGTCACCAAAGTTGAGTAAACGCTCGGCGTCTTCGTCTGCGTCGGTATACGCCAGAGATGTAGCACGACGGAGACAGGGAACGCCGCGGGTGACTAGGTATTGTTTATCGGCTGGAAGATAATCTCGAGCTTTGGAGGAATCTCCCTTCTCCCTATATACATACACGACATTAAGCCGTAGAACGAGATCGCGACGGTAGAATAACGAACCAAGTCCATACAGGAAACTTGTACGCAAGAAAGTCCCCTGCAGCAACGAATTCCTCTGAGAGATGCAGGATGAGTTCAAAGTATTATTTAGCGCGTACAGTGGGTGGCAGCTTACCTGGTGTAATCCGTCCGTGTTCTTTGAATTTGCTCTCCTTGAGGACCTATTTGGATGCAAATGTTACTTTCTTGACGCCACTGAAATGTTGCGAACGGTTCCTCACTGGGCTCAGATAATCACGAATGCTCCAGTATTGTTGCTAAAGAACTGCGTAAGTTCAATTGCTGTAGAGTTGTGCAAAGGCCTTACTTGTATGGCGTGCATAGTCAAAAAGGTTAGTGGTTAGAGAGAGGAAGTTGAAGTTCAATCGATCACACGTGGGGAGGGCTCCCGTAAATTTACTACATATATCGATTGTGACAACAAATCCGGTACCCAAATTAAAGCAAGAACAACAAAAGATAGCGGGAGATAAGAGAACATCTACTACGACTCTGCTTCAGAGACAGATTTTCGTGGTTTTTTAGATTTCTTTTCCTTTTTCTTCTCTGTTTGGACGTCCAGCTTTGCCTCCTCAACCACGGAAACCTGTTCTGTCTTGCTCTTCTTTGTTGCGGTCGATTCTTCAATAACATTCTTCTGCTGCTCCTTGTCCTTTCTCTTGTGTTTATCCTCCTTAGACTTCTCTTTCGCCTGCTCGATCACCTCTGCTGCCTGTTTTTCGACCTTTTTCCGCCTCTTCTTTTCTGTTTTCGCCTCCGGATGTTCCGAGTCTTCGGGTTGCTCCCGTTCCTGAGTCTCCTCGGTTTCCACCTTTTTACTTTTTCGTTTCTTCTTCTCCTCTTTCATTTCCGATTTTTTCGCATCCCCGTTCACCTCCGCCTCACTCTCCTTCCTCTCTTTCTTCCCTGTTTTTTGCGTTTTTTGTTCCAAATTCTCCTGTTCTCGCTCCTTCACTTCTACTACGTCGTCCTCCTTTCTCTTCTTACGCTTCTTTTGCTCCTCCGTCGACGACTGCTCTTCCTCTTTCTTCTGCCCTTCCACTTCATTGACCTCCTTCTTCTGCTTCTTCTGCTTTTCCTTCGTCTCTGTACCAGTGACCAGACTGTGTTCACCTTCGCCGCCACTTCTCGATTTACGACGCTTCTTCTCCTCCTTGGTGCTGGTTACATTAGCCATTTCAACATCCTCTATTATTTCCTTGTCCTGCTTCCCTTCTGCAGAGGAAATTTCAGCAGTAGCAGTAACATCTTTGGCAAGCTTCTTTGCCTCCTTGCGCTTTTTCTTTTCTTCCTTCTCCTCGCTCGATTTCTTCTTGCTGTCCTCCGCAGGCACGGCCTCGGCGATCTTGGACTTTTTACTAGGTCTATTCTCATCCTGATAACGGTTAAGAGATAAGCACAAGCGAACATTGTGCACTTACTTGAGCACTTTCACCGCCTATAGACTTTCGCTTCTTCTGTTCTTTCTTCTCTTTTCTCTCTACCTCCGCCTCAATAATTGGCTCGGGTGCAGCATCAGCAACGACAGCAACAATGGCGGGACTGATTTGCGCTGATTCTTCAGGAGAGTACCTCGGCGTACCTAGAGGTGTATCGTTCGCTCCTGTGGCTGAATTGTACGACTGACGGGACCATCCACCTCGACCTCCGCCACGACCTCGTCCACGTCCGTTTCCTCTGAAAGAGCCATTCAGTGGAGATGAAAAGTCCTGCTCAACTGCTGGTTGAGGAGGATAGTTATTCTGCCCTTTCTACAAACCGAAAACGATTGTTAAGGGATACGTGATTGAGATGAAAAAGTAAACACACTTTGGGACCTTTATACAAGGTCTTTTCGTATTTTTCTGCTTCGCTTATACATGAAGTATGGCTCTTATATTCGGCCGGTGTATTGAAAGTCTTGCTGCAGTCGATACAGTCGAATCCTGTATGACAGCGATTCCTATGTTGATCTAGTTTGGGCTTTTTGACAACATCGTTGCAGGCTTATGAGAGAGTAAGGAGTTTAGGGAGCTCTCAATGAAGAGCAAGGGTAAAGTAGTGGTAAAGTTCGCTAACCATGGCATCTGTGATTAGGGTAAATTTAGTAAAGAGTGTCCATTTTGTACCAATGGAACTCACTGAAAGGAGACCATTTGCAATGCCTAGTCAAGTCCAATAGTAGCGTATGGTAGGATGGCCAGGTTCCGTGCACAACCTTGCGTTACGAACGGTACAGACAACGTATGGAGGAAAGATAATTACAGATTTGCCGGAAAATTTTGCATAGCCACCACGTGGGTTATCGAAGTACTGCTGTAACTGCACTATGTTACATGTGTACTCGCAGCCAAATTTTCTATCATAAATACATCAATATCTAATCGCTCATCTTCACCACCCATGTCTCTGCAACAGGATCCGATCCAGGCAGTAATCGAATCTTCTGGAAATCCTCCACTTTCTCCAGCCCCCTAAAAATCGTCGCATCTCCCAACCAATCTATCCTCTTCAGCGCCTTATCCGCATCTGACTGCCCTCGCTTCTTCGCCGCCTTCTCAATGGTCTCTCTCAATTTCTTCTCACCAGCAAGCATCCCCCATTCAGAATCCGCTATATTCTCCTGCAGCGCTGAATGCAGTGCATCCCAAACTGCTGCGCAAGTAATTGGCGTGGTCGATTTTATCTCAATCGACCAAGGAAAGGCTTTTGAGATGAGTCGTATGTGATAAGTGGGTATTGCCATGGCGTACATATCGGCGTAGGCGTAGAATGTTGAAGCATTTATCCCTGCACGAGGTTTTTGTTTGATATCGATTTTCAAGGTGGTGCTATCGACTGCGAGTATGTGGTGAAGACTGGGATATTTTGCAGATCGATTTGTGGCTGATGATAAGAGAATGTGAGTCAGTGTTTTCACAGAGGAGATAAGTTTTGTCGTACTTGGCGGTGGAAGCTGAGTGGGATATCCAGGAGCATAGAATGGTGCTGGATGGGGGTGGTATTGTTGAGCTGGAGGATAGTATCCCGGCGCTGGGTATGCATACGGGTTCATGGTTGTCTACGAATGAGTCTGAATGAATACCCCTTGCGAAGATAAGTTAAATCAGCTAAATTGGTTGAGGCGGTGCTACACAACGTCCTGAGCGCTGCCACGGGGTCGTATACTGTAATACAAATCGCAGAAAGCGTCAATCAACATCACCACCGGTACCATTGTGATGCTGAGGCAGATCATGATGACTTTCGGTCGCAATCTGGACGTAGTGCGATACACATTTCTCGTGCTTGTCCGAAGGTGTCCAATGTTGTAGCCCAGCTCCCGAGACTATAGCGTAGGACCAGTCTAGATGCGTGACTACTTGAACAGCAAGAACCTGCGTATCTTCGAAGTATCCCAAGTTTACACTACTGTAATGATCCTTTCTGAGCGGGGGGACGACGATAAATGCTGGCGGGGAAAATGGAAACAACGGGAAATGACAACTTGCTACTATTGCCAGGTCATGATCAGAGATCCTTCATCCAATCCTCCAGTCAAAGTGAATCATCGGACTATGATAAGTACCCGGTGGACTGAGGCTCGAGCAAAGTTTAATCTGGAAATAGAATTTCGACTGCGTTAAGTTTTAGTAGATATGAAAGTACAGTACCGAGACAACAATAACGAATGTGATTGACTAAGAAAAGGGATACACAACGACTGAGAATTATTTGTCCTGTTCAAGTTCGAAGTGGTCCAGTCCATGTCCATAGTGGAATTGTAACAAAGTTGAGTAAGAATTTGCTTCAGCTAGACTTCGGCTCCTTGTCCTCTAACCATACCTACTGCGAATTCGAATAATGCAGCCAATCATTGAAGTTCAGATATGGCACGGTTTCGCCTGTAGCAGTCCACGCAGTGATAAAATCCCACCAGTTAGTGATGACATTGTTCACGCTGCAAGATTATAGTGAGTTTTTTAGAAGTAGAGAAGAGAATCTATATTGGTCAATACAAGTACTCACTCGGGGTAAACATCAGTCGCAATGGCAGACAAAGTACCGTAGACAAAGTCGATGTAGTTTTGCTGGGTGATGGGGCATCCACCCTCCTGCCAGGCGCACTCACCGACGATCGAGGCATAGAGCTACATGATATAGAAGACAAGTGAAAGATCAGGAATTACTAGACTATCTGCAAATACCAATTCTTTGAAGACGCACATTATAGTCCAAACTCACGATCTCCGGTGCGTCAGAGACCGTTACGCTACTACCGACCTCAGTCTGAGTGCATTGCACCATCTCAACGAGCGGTGTGACACCTTGACAAGTAGCAGCAGCGACACAGGAAGCAACTCCCCAGATTTCAGTGATGTTATTGTCAGCAGCTGTGAATCTGCAGTTCTCCACCTGTCAATTGGTTGAATGGAAATTTAGATATTTACTGATATGAATCACAGCCGGACTTACGAGGTTAACACAAGAATCATCCTGTGTGCCGTGATAGACACCCCGAGTGAACTTGAAGAGGGAAACACAATCGCCGGGAGTCAAATCACGGGAAGAGGGCTGCTCCACGACGGGGGATGGGAGAGGGAGCAGCAAAGACACAGGTCAAACTGGCCAGTGTGACAGAAAATAGTGCAACAATCGAAGAGGAGGAAGCGACCTTCATTGTATAGTTCGAGCAAACCTGAGGAAAAGAGGCGAGATCGTTAACTTTTCTTCTGGGTCAAAATTGCGTTCTTATAGGAAAAGAACTGAATCCCAATTGTTGACATGGAGTAACAGTTACATAGTGAATCACAAGCTGGAAGTTTGAGATTAGTACGTCCAGACTGCCAAGAAGCGGCGAATGTTCCCCGAGCCATTAGGGAAGTAAGGAAGGAAGTTGAAACAAATAATGGCTTGGCCCAAGACTTGAACACGGCACGGTCTAAGGATACTCCCGGTGTGGCACATCGCCATCAGTGCTGTGAGTTCGCACCTGGCTCTGGAGCCACTACTATAGATCTCTGCCCGACCCCAGAGGCCCAAAAGGTGGGCAGTCTGCTTATGACACGGTCAGTCCCTATTCATGTAGACAAGAACACCGAGTTCGGAGCATTAAATCCATGCCTTGACATGGCAAATACGTTACCATGTCGTTTAAGAAGATCTTAGGTTGTTTGGCTCCTCCCATTTTTATACTCTTCTCTCACCGGCAGCTTCATAGGTTGTGACATACATTAATTCACGGAAACACATCGTTGTCACCGATACCTGGTAGAAATTGTCATATTCAGTTTTGCCTTGAAGAAAGACGTATATTGTCTCATACACCCTCATACTCTGATTGATGCAATTTATTGTTGGCATATCTCCCTCGAAGAAAAGTCTTGCAACCAGCGTAAATGGATTATCTTTGTAGCGAGTTCGACGATAGGTATGTGGCCTCTGGATCTTTAGTAATTACATGTTCGTCCCTTGCAGCGTTAGGATATCCGATTCTTCAAGCACTTCCGAGCGCATCTCAGGTGTTGATTGGTTATCCAGTATTAGGTCCAGGTTTGTAAGACCACGAAATTGAAGAGAGATCAAGGAGAGATAGACCGATGTCCATGCAACGATGAGATGCGTAAGTGTTTGAAGCTCCAATTGTCCATAAATATTAGAACATGTGTACAGTGAACGGATGAGAGTCTGACAAAAGAGATTGAATAAGCTCTCGCCTGAACCGTCATTATTGTTTTCGGGTCGTTGGAATCTGCTAGAAAGAAAGCCAATAAAGGTTAACGTTGGTTGAGACGGATACAAAACAGAAGAGGGCAAAAAATCCGAGCCATGCCAGTGTGTATCCTTCCAAGGAAGAATGCATCGTGGTAGATTGTGCTTGTGCTAGGAAAAAATATGGCTTGAGAACGAATTATATAGCGAACGTGTTGGAAGGAGAGCTTACAACCCAAACAAATTGGAAGTTTGAACGACAGAAAGACAGAACTGAAAAATCACTCAGTTCATCAATTTCCCACGGTTGCTTCAAGTGGCCAAAGTGCTTTGACGATAAAAAATCCAATCATCCATTGTGACCATCTCTCCATTGTCCGCCTTCTGTGAACATTGCTATCCACATTGCTATCAAATCTCTTTTGAGTGCATATAAAGTCGAGTCCAGCAAACTACCTCACGACCTCAGCATTACACCACCCCACATTCTACCCTAACAATCGCTCCACACATCACTCTAATCTCTAATAATCATAATGATGACCAGCACGGTATCCTCTCAAGACATTGCGGACGCCTCCAGCTCGCGGGCTGCTCAGCGTAAAGCTCGGCTAATGCAAATCGAGTATCAGCAACAATTGGAGGATATGGAAGCGCTAAAAATGTCAGAGGTGAGCTCGCCGAGATTGCACCCGATTTCACCCACTTAGCATGTATTCAGGAGCAACGCTATACGTTGATGCAATCGTTCAGCTCTGTCAAAGTTGAATTCTGTGACCTAGATGGATTACAATGGACTGGGTCAGCATTGCGAAAGCGAACTGTTTCTCGCCCAGACTCAAATTCTGGCATATTGTCCCAATGTAAAAATCTGAACCAAAACTCTCCTCGTCGTGCCCGTGCCCAAACTCTTTTCTGTCCATCATCTCCGTCCCTATCATCTTCGAGCTTGTCGCCGTCCTCGTCATACTTTCCATCTCTCGACACCCCGCTTTCCAGTCCCAAATGTCGAAAACCTGAAGCCTTGACAACACTGAATAACGTGGACTTTGCCCCCAACTTTGATGAGAAAACCGTCCGTGCTTGTGTCTCTCCTGTCAAAGCCGCTCTGGACTCGCAGAAACATACTGCTTCTAATCGTGATCTGGACTCTCGTCCACCCGCAAAGCAGAGGCGTAGATCACGCTCCCCCGTCAAAGGCGCTTTTATTGGTGAAACCAAATCCTCGGCGAAGCACGAGTCAAGGTCCGACATTTTGCCCACTGTGGTTTACGACAGTAAACCTGCGATGTCTACTCCTCCTCCGCCTGCTTACACCGGTGGTGCACCTATGGAGCGCCTTGAGAGTAGCTCCAGCCGACGGTCCCTCACGCGCACGTATACCCAGGCAGAGATCACATTCGGCGTCTCTCCAACGGTTGCGACCGAGGTGATGCGGGGTAGAGAGCGTTCACGAGGATTTAGGGTTCCTTCCAAACTAGCCTTGGAAGACACTATGGTGTTCGACGAAAGTGAAGAGGTTATTGAAAGTGACTTGGTCGGTCTGGGTCCCATCAGGCTCAGCCCTCCGAAAGCCGACCGCGAGCGTGGACAGCGGCTCCGAGGACTCGCACCTCAACATCCCTCTTCGTCGGCGAGGCTTTTCCAAAGTATTGTAGAAGAGGAAGATCCTTTGGTGACACCTACGCCTGAACGGTTTAGCTCCGTCCTTGAATATCCCATCTCTCCCGAGACGCCCATTCAACCTCGTTGTTCCTGTGCCGATCTCACCCTATTGAAGAGAAAACGTCAATCGAGCGAGGCACAAAATGAGATTGACCAGGAGCCGTGAAGGACGGGTTGTGGAAAATCCTCGACTCCGTCTGTTGAGCCATGATTTTTACTTAGAGACAAACAGACTCGGTTCGTCACATTCGCATTATCCGCATACATCCCGTAATAGACCTCACTCGCATTCAAGAGGACATCACAATAGTATTTGCACATATATAGCTTGTAATTACTGTCTTGCTTTCTGTATCGAAAATGTATCAAAAAATATAAAAGCATACCCATATTTATGTATGCCCCTCGTGAAAAGTGAGGCTTTCTCTCCCTTGTGATGCCTGAGCATAGTTCCTCCCGTGATTCTAGCTATCAAGCTGCCGCAACTGTCAAGTAGCACAAGCTGGGTCTTGGAGTCGAAGGTCCCGACATTGCCCGGTACGACAGAAATTGGCGTTGCAAGTTATCAGGAGACCATGTTGGCAATGGGTACTGGTATATATAAGTAGTACATAGTGTATGAAATAGGTATGCAATACAATACAACGAAAATATGATCATGTGAAGAAGATGGCTTTAAGAGAATCAGGCCGGTGATTTTCGATATAATTAGTGGAGCTTCGAATCTTCATCCTAAATTGCAACCATGAAATTTTGAAGGCGCGTCTGGACGCGACGAGACGATACTCGACGCGTTTGCGAGGATGAGGGACGTACTAATCCTCGGAATCTTATTGGCCGATCAATTCGCCCGCTTATCAATTTCAATTTTACCCCAGGTCATGCAAAACAGTCACGGCTTGCTTGCTAAGATTTCAGTTACAAGTTACGGGAAGGACCATATAGAAAAACGACAACTTACTGCTGTTCAACTCGAACCCCCATGTCTTTCTCTCTGTTTCGGGCTTCCGTCCGCAAGGTTGCGACCGCTGGGTCTCTCCCCAGAGCGCAGCTAAGAAATCAACTCAGGATTTCTATTCGTAAATTCTCTACACCTCCTCCGGAAGCACCAGCACCAAAGAGTAATACCACATTGTATGTCGGTATCGGTGCTGTCGTCGCCGCTGCAGGTGCTGCTTTCTACTCCTTCAGCGACTCGGGAACGAACGCGGTGAAGTCTGGGGTGCAGGTCGCAAAGGTCAAGACTAATTTTGTGCCGACTAAGGAGGACTATCAGAAGGTACCTGCGTGAAGGCTAAATTATTTTCTTCAATTCTCTGACATAGACTCGTGTAGGTTTACAACAAGATTGCGGGAATATTCGACGATGCTGGGGACTACGATGGTGGGCCCTATCACATCCGCCGTCCAATGGTCTTCTTCATTCTCACATTTTCCGGTTGCCGTTTTGAACCCAGATGGTTCATATGCTCCAATTATTTTACGTCTAGCGTGGCACTCGTCCGGCACTTACGATAAGGAGAGTAAGACAGGCGGGAGGTATGTTTTATAATTATGTGTACATCTTGTTGTCGATCCTTATCATTTTACTTATAGCAACTACGCTACCATGCGTTTTGCTCCAGAATCACAACACGGTGCCAATGCTGGCTTGGATGTAGCTAGGGACTTGATGGAAAACATTAAAAAGGAATTCCCTTGGATCAGCTATGGTGACTTGTGGACTCTCGGAGGTATGGGCGCCTTTGTGTTCGAGAATCCCTTCTTATTGTTGGATCGTTGAATTGTTCATAGGCGTGGCTGCTATACAGGAAATGAATGGTCCCAAGGTAACTATACATTCTGCCGGAGGCACTTCGAGCGAACAATGTTTCATGTCGGTCGATAGGTACCCTGGCGTCCTGGACGTGTTGACGGGGTCCAAGGTGATTTGTACTTCGTGATATCGTATAAATCATATACTAATCCCTGCAAACCATCTTAGCCCAAGCAACTCCTGACGGACGATTGCCCGACGCTTCACAGGGTGCCGACCATTTGAGAAAGGTAAGAAATGTTCCCGCTTCCTAACAATGCCGTATGCTGATTCCTTGCACAGATTTTCGGCCGTATGGGGTATGCATTTGTTATACGTCCCTTTTAGAATGGCTTGTGCTCATATCCATTCACCAGATTCAATGACCAGGAAATCGTTGCTCTATCTGGTGGACATGCTGTTGGTCGCTGCCACAGTAATCGGTATGCACGCTGTCTGGACCTCGATATCAATGTGATATTCTAATCCGATGTAGTTCTGGCTTCGATGGACCATGGACGTTCTCACCTACCACAATGACCAATGACTTTTTCAAGCTTCTATTCGACGAGAAGTGAGTGTATTTCTCAATACGTCGCGTCGTAGGTTTGAGGTACATTCTCCATCTAGGTGGGTATGGAAAAAATGGAATGGACCTAAGCAACTCGAAGACAAGGGCACCAAGTCTCTGATGATGCTTCCGTGAGTTATCGAACATGTTTTTAGTGCCCCGCTCTTTAATAACACGCGCATCCTTCTCAGCACGGACTACGTTCTTGTTACAGACAAAATTTACAAGAAGTACGCCAGAGCATATGCAGACGATGAGGCTCTATTTTTCAAGGAGTAAGTTTCCACCGTATCATACATCTTCAGGTGCTTGATCAATCTTACAATAGCTTTTCTGCCGTCTGCGCTAAACTCTTTGAGCTCGGAGTCCCCACCGAGCAATGGGTCACTCCAGAGCCTTGGATCATGAAGAACGTCGACGAGAAGTAATAAGTGTCTTTCGGGGAGATTCTGTGGTCAAAATGGTTGTGCTATGTGGTTTCCTTTCTAGAAACTCTTAGATATGTCTGCTCTTCTGCTCTCGTAGAGGTCCGTGTAGAGATCTGTAGAGATTCCTGTGGATTTGGTTCGCCAAGTCATGATCTGCCAACCTGTATCTTATGTATTTGCTTGCTTATATATTGTTTTTGTGGAACGAAGTCGTCTTTGAGTAAATGTGTCGTAATTTATCAGGACAGAGAAGCAACGACTGATGATTCATTCGTCTAAATTTATAGCACTGCCAAACTTGGCGTATAGCGCGACTTTCAGCTGCTTCATGTCCGCCTCGCATTGCTGAGCAGATTCTGACAATTTTGTAAGCCTTACGTCGAGATCGGTTTGATCTTTCTCCAGTCTTTTCAATGCGCGAGGTAACGACATGTGCACATAAGTTTCGCCAATTTTGTATCTGATATATGGCGATGTCAGGGATGTATGTGTGAAGAGGATATAACGCACAGCACGGGTTCATCCTCGTCTGCCAACTCCAATTCGGTAGATAGATCGTCCAGAGCTTCCTTTTCTTGCTGTAATCGTTTCATTTACGACGAACATCATCAATGCTGACACGCATAACGCATAGAAGGCACGTAAATTCACCTTGCCAGCGTCAACCTTAGCCTCGAAACCCTTCATACGAGTGTTGAGTTTGGAAAACGAATTGATTTTCTGCTGATCCTCTATCAAACAATTGTCAATGATTACCTGCAAGTCAGGTGCTGTTACTAACCCCATGTTACTTCAGTAGAATCATCGTTTTCTTGATCCTGTTCTATCTGAAGGGGTATCGGAGGATGTAAAGGATCGACCAGGGACAAAAAAGCGTACCATCCGCATTTTGAAAGTTCAACGCAGCCAGGGGCACTGTAACCGGCTGTCAATTTCAGAATCACATGGTAATTTCACATGGCCGTGTCCGGCCACTGTTTAATAAATAGCTTCAAGCAACCTTCAGCTTCAACCTTCAACGGTCAACAATGTCGAACACCGTCAAAAAATTCACTGACGCTATCGGTTCTTCCAAAACGCTACTCTTGCAGCGCTCTCTGTACGAAAATTTCAAGTCGCTGCTGTTTATCTACTTCCTGGTAACTCAGAGTATTAAAGCTGAACGACATCTGAGAGCCAGAGGGATTCTTACGACGTGTAGAGAGTTATATGCATGGATAGCACAAGTTTGTCTCTACCAGGATTCAAATGATTTGACTATCTCTGACATCCTTACCAGCGGGTTATCTTTCTCTTATTACGACTACCTTCGGCCAGAGCAAAGGTCAAGGCAGAGATGGATAAAGCGAAACTCGACATCGAGCAATCTTTATGTCCACAAGGTGCTGACGTTGTGCGACACCTCTCTTTGCCCGCAGAAGGCCAGACATTAGAATGGATATTATCCGAAATGGACACAATGGATCAACAGTCCGGAACCTTAGATTATAGACGCGGAAAGATATCTGGTGCTGTTTACCGTATGCCCTGTCCCCTCGTCGTTACAAAAATTCAAGACTGAGATCTCCTTACTCAGATGGTGGAGATGACTTGGAGAAGGTCATTGTTGCGGCGTACAAACATTACTGCGTGTCCAACCCGCTTCATCCTTCTGTATTCCCTGCCGTGCGTAAAATGGAAGCCGAAATCGTAGCTATGTGTCTGCGATTGTACAACAACCCAAATGGTGCCGGTACAATGACTGCTGGCGGTACTGAATCAATCATTATGGCAGTCAAGACGTACCGCGACTGGGCTAGAGCTACTAAAGGCATCACTGAGCCGGAAATGTTCTTTTTCTTCCTTTGAAGCCCCGAACGGAATGCTGATTCTGCGTGTAGGATCATACCTTCGTCTGCACATGCTGCTTTCGACAAAGGTGCCGCTTATCTGAAGATCAAAGTACATACCATCCCAGTGGACCCAGTAACGCGCAAGGCCGACATCAAACGAATGAAACGCGCCATGTAAGTCTCTTGTGGATCTTGAATCGCACTGAACTTTAATTATTTGCTAGAAACACTAATACCATTATGGTGAGCCTGAAACCGAATATATCTGGTACTTGAAATCTCAAAATTACTTTGTGATGTAGTTGGTCGGATCTACCATCAACTTTCCAGACGGCAACCAGGACGACATAGTCGCGCTCGGAGTGCTCGCATCCAAATACAACATCGGTCTCCACGTCGACTGTTGTCTCGGTAGTTTCATTGTACCTTACCTCGAAAAAGCGGGCCTGGCGGAAGGCTCGAACGGAAAATACAAACTCTATCCATTCGATTTCAGAGTGAACGGTGTTACCAGTATTAGTTGTGACACCCATAAGGTCTCGACTCATATTTTTTCGTCGCGATCGTGTAGGTGCTAACAGCGTTTGCTCAAGTATGGTTTCGCTCCCAAGGCAATTATCCATCTTCCTGCGATGTCTAGATTTCCATTCTTATGCATCTTTTAGGGTACCTCGGTTGTAATGTACAAAAATGCTGCGCTCCGCAGGTTCCAGTACTACGTATATCCTGATTGGTCAGGTAAGCCACCCTCAAAAAAAACAATCAATGGTATCATGCTCATTGTTGTGCACATTTTGATTACAGGTGGAGTCTACGCTAGCCCTAGCTTATCTGGTTCGCGGTAAGCTCCCAGCTGCTTCACGTCCTTATTGTACTTATCGTTTGTGCACTTCAACCCTCCTTCTTGCATTCCCCGTCCCTCGTAGTCCGGGCGCTCTTATTGCTGGAACGTGGGCTGCTATGCAATACATGGGTGACAAGTAAGCACATGCAAGTTTTGGGAGATATAACAGCAGAGCCTCTGATTCCGCCGATATTTTGCCAGAGGCTATCTTGAGTCCTGCCGTGATATCGTGACATGTGCACGAAGTATCGCCGATACTGTTGCCTCCAGTATTCCCGAACTCTACGTTCTCGGTTCCCCGCCAGCTTCTGTTGTCGCTTTCGGATCTAAGCACCCGAAGGTGAACATTTTGGAGGTGGGGGACATGATGTCGAAAAAGGGTTGGCATTTGAACGGACTCAGTGGCCCGCCTGCACTTCATATTGCTTGCACGGTCGGTGTCCGTTTTCTTCGAAGTCTTTGAAAGAGCTAATCATTGCCCCCTGCTTTTGCTTTCGCTGAAATTTTCGGTTTTCTCGGATGTGCTCTTTGGTGCTCTCCTTCATATGGTAATGTCAAACTGCGGTACCTCGGAAATCTCTTTCATTCCTTCTTGACCGCAACAATCACTTTTGCTTCCTAAATATACATCTATCTGTGTGGTTTTTTTCGGGGTTTATTGCCCCGCTGTCGATCTGTTGGAAATACACTCAACAGAGGCTCACTGTAACGATGGTTGATACCTTCATCGCTGACCTGAAGGATGCTATCAAGGAGGCGAAGATTACACCGAATGGAAAGGGTACCATGGTTGCCCTGTACGGTGAGCACTGTTTCTTTCCGTCCTGTTTGTCTCTCTATATATTCGATCTTGCATTGTTACAATGCTGTCAAGGGCGTGTGGATTGTTGGCACGTTGAAATAAGCAATAAGGTCGTTTGAATGATGATCTTCGGTCAAATGTCATCTTTTGTGTTCATGTTTTTTTTTCGTCCGTCATGATCTTTCCAATATGAGGACTGTTCTTCGCGCGCACGATCGTCTTTCTGTCTTCCTGTGCTGATTTATTCTCTATTGATCCAGGTCTGGGAAATTCTAGCCCTGTAGGACCTTCAATGGTTACTCAGTTGGCAGAAGCATTTCTAGATACAATGTACAAGGCATGATGCATGATGGATCATTACCTAGAGATTCCTCGTATTCAGCGGCCTAGGTCGTCGTCGATGAAGTTAAACCCAATACGTACACTATGTATGTAAGTGCTGTCTATTTTAGTATCTATCATGAGATTTTTCTTGGAAATGGGAGGAAATGGGTCGCTCAAAGCCATATCCATCCTTATCTATACGCTCTATGAGATCCACAACGAGAAACACTTCAGCAGTCTATACACGTGCGTCGCACAGCTTGACACTGCACTTGGAATCGTTCAGGAGCGCTCAATGAAGTCGTCGGCTGTCGTTGGCGAGATGAACGAGGATCTCAACATCTTCTCGAGATAAGCTTATCATACAACAAACTGAAATAAACTATCGGCCCAGCAAGAAACTGGGTTTTTTGAAAATTGAAAGTCCCAACTCAAGATTCCGGTGTCGCTCGGTGTCGGAATAACTCCAACAAATGTCCAAGCTAAATATGTGTATGTACTTCAGATGTCTTGGGATGTTTATCCGTACCTCCGAGGAGGAGGGCCTTGTGTGAATGTTGGAGAGTTGAAAATGTTGCGAATCCACCCAAACCCATTTTTAGCGAGACGTATGATCGAAAATTCGAAATCGAGGAACATGCTGGAACATGATGATTTCGGACAACTCCGGAAGCTCAAATTTACTACCAAAATATTTTGCAGGTATTGTGGACGCAAGGGGGACGCATGGAGACTGTCTCAAGAGCTCTAAAGCAGTACAAGAAGAGCATTCATTCAGAACTTTTCTAGGGCCTCCAGGCTCTTCTGGGCGAATTTTGCGTCAGGGTGACTTTCGGATCCGGCCCGTATCAATGAAGTCAGCAAGATATCTTCATTTTTGACCCGAACGGAAATCTGAATCCGGTTAAGAAAGATATTTTCACCACTTGAACCGATACGGCCACATCTCTTTTTGCGCTGCCAGTGCGCTGCCTTCTTCCTCAAGCTTCTATTCGGAACGAGCCCCAAGTGATATTTAAGCTTGGAGAACTTCCCTTTGTGAGTTACTTTGTGAAGTTGTAAGTAAGCATCGCCCCTGTTGATCTTCCTTTTGTATTTACCAACATTCATTTCTTTCTCATTTCTTCTCATAGCTCAGCTCAAAGATGCACTCTATCTTCAATGGATCTGTGTCACCTGCTTCAAGGGAACAGCATATAGCTATCCCTCTTAACGAGGAGGAAGCATCTATTCAGCCTTCCTTCCTACCGCAGTCCGGCTCTTTGTCTTCACTTTCACCGACCGATCACGACATGAGTAAAGAGAAGGAACGCGCAAGACTTGAAATAATCCTGGAGAAGGAATGTATCCTTCTCAAAGGTACTGGGGTCGACGTCGAACCAGCTCGTCTCTCCGGGCATGTTGCGCTTTACCTTTCAGAATCGACTTCCATCAAAGAAATCACTCTGCAGTTCAGAGGTAAAGCTCGCTTACCTGTTCCCTCTCATGAATCGTACGTCGAACATTCTTCAATCGCGACTCAGCCGCGTACTCATGTCTGATATTATCAGTATTTCCTTGAATTCTGCTCCCCTTACATTTATTGTGTGCAATCATGAATGGTCTTTTCTCGAGGGAGAGAAACGGCACTCGCATACACTGAAAGCTGGTCGTCATTTCTTTCCCTTTCAACTCCAACTTGGCGGTTCCCTTCCGTCGACTGTATCGACCACTGTGTTTGGTGGCGCGTTTGTCGCATACAAACTCCGAGCTCATGTGTCCCGACCAGGTCTCAGTCACAACCTTCAGTCCCAAATTCCTGTCACCATCATTCGCTCCTTTGCACCCGAAGCGCTTGAGTATCAGCAGACACTTGAGATCGAAAACACATGGCCGGAGAAGCTCATGTACTCCATCATGATTCCACACAAGGCTTGGGCTTGCGGTGACACCGTCACTGCCCTTGTGAAATTTTCACCTCTTCTGAAAGGGGTCGGTGTGCTCAACATCAATACTTCCATTCACGAGACCGTAAAAGTCTATACAAGGACTGGTCATCAGGAGCATAACCGTGCGGTTGCTAGCATGAAGCATGAAATTGTAGGTGGTAAGGCTGTCGAAGTGCACGAACACGAACACCGCCATCGAACAGCTCAGACACCATGTGGGTCACCATCTCCCGGGACTCCGAGTTTGTCCAGCAGCTATCGTAGCACAGGATCCGCTGGTGGCTATTTTGCCTATTCACCTAACGGAAGCCAGACTTCCCAACCTGGGCCTTCTTCATTGCCTGCTTCCTTGTCTGCATCTCCATCATCTCAGCTTTTACGAGACCCTGTCGAAGGCCTGGAAATGAGCCAAGATGACGTCGTAACCTATCTTCTTCTCCCAATTCCACTCAACATCACTCCGACTCATGTTCTTGATCCAATACATGTCACTCATCGGATTCGATGGAGCATACTTATACTGAACCCGGATGGCCACACCTCCGAATTACGGTGTTCGCTTCCTCTTCATGTCCTTGACCCACGTCTATTGAATGAGGCACGTATGAACACAGCTGCCACACGGCGACTGTTAATAGGAGGCCCAGAAGTTCCAGCGGAGGAAACAGAAGATGACATGGAGCTTCCTAGCTACCATGCACACGTCCGTGACCGAATAGCTAACATGTACCTGCCTGAAAGTGCGACCATGCGCGTTACCAATCCATGGGTCCGAGACGGTGTCAACTCTTTAGGTGGGAATAGTGACGTTGTTTCACCTTGGCCGAGATCGCGTTCTGGCTATTCATCACCTTTAGATGCTCATGCATTATCGCATCTTCCTCACGCGCCTGGTTCAGGGGATAGCACACCTTTGGATTGGGTCAATTCTGAGCTTTTGCTTCTTCACCCCGACAGTGATCCCCACACTCAAACAATTGGTCATTTTTCTCAAACATCCTCAGAGGTTTCTCCTGACCATTCGAATCCCTCCTCCAGTCCTGTAACCCGTCCCAACAGTCGTCCAACCAGTTCGTATCCCAGTCGTCGGTCAAGTCGGGCTTCCAGTCCCGAACGTGGTGGCCACGTAAATCCTCAATCTCTCCATGTCGCCGGACCAAACGAGACTTACATACATACTGGAAAAGACAGCCGGAATATTCAGGGCGTGTTCAAAGCGACGATGAAACCTTTTACTTCCCTCACTCATCCCACATGGCTCGGTTCTCGCTCCCACAGTCATAACAACCTGTCTTCGTTGACTTCTTCCAGCTCTTTAACGGCTAATCTTTCTCATGACCGCCCAGGTCAATCAATAACACCTGGCAATCGAACGCTTCAGCTTTCGGATTACAACAACAGTCAAGAGGCAATGCAACGTGTACCCGATTATCAGATAGCATCGAGGGGCTTCATCGGTGGCGTTCCTCCGTTGACAAGTTTAAGAGACCTGCCGTCGTACGAAGACTCACAGCTTGGGACTCGTACCCGTAGTGACTCTGACCTGGCTTCGAGGTTTGCGGGCGTTTCGCTTTCACCTATGGCGACGGTTGCAGGTAGAACCGCGTTGCCCACTACACCTCTTTCATGATTTTTTTCTTGCATTTTAGAATAGTGTAAATTATTTTCCTCTCATTGTCGGTGCTATCGCTGTAGCATATCTGGGGTTTAGTTGTGCTGTCATTGTCTCCCACCATAGATTTCTCATTCTTTTTTTAGTCAATTATCTGCATCACTGTCATCTTTCTATCTGGACCCTCTACTCACTCAACTTTCATGATCTTTCTACAAGTCACTACCACACTCATACTCAGCATTCGCTTCGGTATCCAGTACTTGGTCCTGACCTTCAACAGTAATTAAAAAAGTAAATACGTACTGTACATACATACATACAAGAACTGGCCCAAATACATACACTAGCAAGGGGCCGCATACTCATAACAAATCAGCGTCGACATCGACTAGTTCCAGAAGGCTCCCAGCAGGTTGTTTTGCGTCATCGTCAACAAATTCCAAGATAGCCTCGAAGGTCTTTGTACGTTGAACGAAACATTCCTGCGACGTAGGGTCTTTTGTGGGGTGGAGCTTCCTCTCGTATGGATCTTCAGAGGTTTGTATCTTGGTATTAGTCCGATTCTGACTCGACAAATCAGGTAGAGGCTCAGAAGAGATATGCACAGAGTCTAGACCGCTTTGGAGGAGCCCTGGATGGCCAAGTTGGTCCGAGCTATTGCCTGTGGATATATTCAATAGCGATGAGTCAGTTTGAGGCTTAGCGTTGCCTGCGTAATTATTTCTGGGTGACTCAGTCTCAATAGCGGAAGGGACGGTTGAGATTGGGGATGAATTCATCAAGAGATGGGTCAAGAGAGATCGAAAGAGTTGAGTTTCGCTGGGATCATCGTGATTCACTACTTCCGAAACTTGGTTCTGAAGGTAAATGAGAGATTGAACTGGAGCTTGAGTTTCACACATTTCTTTGAACCTAGAGTAATCAATAAGATCAGCAAGCTTTGTGAGAGAACTCAGGATGTAGGTTTCTACCGTTGTTGGCGAATGAGATAGGCGGAACGCCGGATGAGCTCTTTCGACGAAAGTCTTGAATTCAAGGACATCGCGCCAAATGAGTACCTTTGGACGCTCGATATTCAAAAGCCTACATACCTCCATAATGACATTTCCCAGAAATCAGACAACCTTTTCATCGGTGCTTCTTCAGTCTGGCCATCATTTCCCTCCCTGAGTTTCGCGGAATCAGAATCCATCATGGTTCCTCCGTGCAAATACACCGTTTTGGACGGAAGATCGTATACAACTTGATGAGCAAACCTCGACGGAGGATTGGCAGTGATCTGAGGAGATGACGACGAAGGGGTAGGGCTCTTATGCAACCCCTTTAGAGGTTGTATTTTTTGCCATTTTCCTGGTCGAGATGGATAACGATAGAGCCAGTTTGAAGACTCGGATAGCGTGGCACGGTCGTGGATAAGCCCGCCGAATCTATAAATGTTCATCAATTGAGAAGCATTAGCGACTGGTCCAGACTGACATGTAAATTTCTTGCAATGTAGGGTCTATAACAGCACGCTGTGTAAAGCACGGCTGGGGACCACCCGAGGACGTAAAATCAGAAAACACTTCCGTCGCGGTGTTTGTGGCGATATCGTAAATATACATGTCCGAAAGAAATTTCTCATCTCGTTCGCCAGCGAATATGTATAGCTGCCGAGTGGTAGGCTCGAGAATCATCGAGTGACCTGCACAAGGGAAGGGAGGACATCAGTTCAGAATCTTCAAATCAGAAGTCTCCGTACCAAAACGAGATGGAATTGTGCTATCAGTGGCCCTAGACATAAGTGAAAATTGGATGAAAAATTTTGTTCTGCAAGATAAATAGACATACTGAAGTAAGCTCCACTTCTTCATACGCACATTAAAGCTATGGAGTCCCGAATAGTCGTAATCTTTTTCGGCTGCACGCCCTCCAAACACGTATAAAATTTGCGCTTCGCTATCCATAACCATTTGATGGTCAAATATAGTTCGAGGTCCGTTAACATCGATATCGAGATGCTCCCATGTGTTATCTTCACAGCGATATCTGTAGAACTCAGATGAAGGCATTGGCCTCGAGCTTAATGTTGGTGTTTCGTCCGCGGCTCCTGATGAACGATTGAAGCCCGGGGACCCCGCAGATTCTGAATTTCTAGTTTGCGCACGACTTGTTGGCCTATCTTGGTCGTCTAATCTTCCAAGAACATAAATGCTATTAGTTTTGGAATCATACACCATCTTGTGGCATGACCTGGGCCCTGGACCATTCGATTCGAGAGACGTGTTGGCACTGAGAACCACCCATCGTTGTTCCTTGATATCATAACGCCAGAAATCAGCCAAGCTTGTCTGGCCATCCCATCCCCCGAAAAGGTACTACAAGTTCAGGAGTTGAACGTTGAGGCTTGACAGATCGAACCTGAACAGTGTGAAAATCACTCACGATGTACCTTCGTTGAGTATCGATGCACATAGCATGCCCGCCACGAACGGAAGGGATGTCACCATTGGCGTCGGTGTCGCGTATTTCTCTCCACACGGCGCGTGGATTAGAGGATTTAAGGCATTGCTCAAACAGACCTGCTGCGGACATGTCGTGTAGAACGTTCTCGGCTTTGTCCCAATTACCAGTGAGAACCACGCTTTCATACAGTTCAGTAATCAGAGGATGTTCAAGTCGGACGCTTGATTGAGTCAGGATGGAGTTGAAGGGCGTCAGGAGCCGACGTTGGCGAAGATGTTTGAGAATGTGTTGCATGACTCGCGTTTCCCGAAACTAAACATTAATGAATGAGTTACGCAGACAGAAGAACTCGGGTTCAACTAAACATACTCGATCATAATCTTCCTTTACTTCCTCGACCGACACCTCGTTGATTATTCCGGTAAGTGAAATGTGCCATATTGAAGTATTGTAACTGGGGGTAGCATGAATTGCGGTTAATCCAGTGGTTCATTCATACATAATGACATCGTACAGTACCTTGGGCTAAACACCGTGAGTGGTTCTATTTTGACAAAGCGAGTCGGAAAGCAGTGACCAGTACTGTTATGATGCCGAATTGAAAAGGTTTCCCTAATAGGGTCATTCTTCAAAGACGAGTGCAGAACTTCGGTCATATTCTCTGGAGTCATGCCGACGTAGACTTTGAACTCTTTCATATTGCAGGGATGAGCTGTAGATGATGAGTTTTGGCCGAGTATGAATATAAGACGCGTACATGTATGATACTAGGATAATATCCCTCCGTCAAAGTTTTCAAGAAAGAGCGCAAACGTTAGAGGACAAGATACCTTCCCAAATGTTATGCTTTCTGATTGATGCGATATGAATAAGAGAGCTGCGAGGGTAACTTATGAGACGCACTGAGAACTGAGAGCTTATTGAGGCGCAGAAGTATCCAATGTACGGCCTCAGATTGTTGTGTAGTCCATCGACTCTTCGAGTTACTGGATGGAGAGTTGAATCTAGGAATAAACTAAACGGTGGTAGCAAATTCACCTTGGGTCATCTACCAAGATATTCTCCGGGTAAAAGTGGGTGCTGTATGAGGAGTAGTCATGAACAGTATATTCAATTGCATCTGAGGAGGTTTCCATAGACAGAGTTATATCCAGAAAGAGCGACCCGTGAATGATCTTGGTTAGCGCTTGAGCGCTTGAGCACAATCGCCGGCCGGCATTTTCCTTTCTTTCTATTAATGCTCAAATAGCGACGAAAACGACGCCTCCGTTGATTAGTCCCAGCTAATCCTTATTAACCCCTTGAAACCTCTAAACGCCCTTTCAATATTGAAGGTGACCATGGGGATTGCAAGCTCCCTCCGATGAAGTCGCTAAATCATGCCCTGTAGCTTCTGGCACAAACCGTATCGGAATAACGGCAAAACGACGGTTTAGGTCAGGCAACAACAACAAATGCTATCGCCATGAACAAGAACTATCGAGGGACATAGATGCAATCTGGAAAGATGTTTCCGTAGGCAAAGCAAAGCAATGCTAGGCAGTTCAAACGTTCAACGTTTAACGACCAATCTTTATAGAGGCCGTGTCGAATCATTGGCAAGTTCGTTTCCAATGCACAAATCCAATTTTAGGTAGCCTTCAAGTTCCGCAGTTGTCGCTCTCACCACAACTACTTCCAGTTACATGTCGCTATATCTATCCGCTAATGCTAAAGTACCCATTCGGAACACGCTTGGCTCCACAATATCATCTTATAGAAACATGTCATTTTTGGTCTTTCCGTCATCAATAGTCCGGTTTACCAACCTGGCAATATCTCCCGTGTGGAATAAGTTTCTTTTCCTCAAGAAATCTCAATCTACGGCTCAAGCTATTTACTATCTGAAAATGAGGAAAAGGAGAACGGAGGTAGCGCGCCAACGAACTGCTTCAGTGGCACTGGTAGTACTATGTAGCCACTAAGCCTAAACTACTGCCTGAGCTCATCAATCGAGGACCACCCGCTCTTGCAGCCGTAAGAGCGGTAGAAGGCTATGATCTGGTTAACGAGATATGTGGGTCGTGAACTTGAGACTTGTAACAATGATACTCATTTGGTACTAGGTACGTACCTCACTGCTCGAACCAGGTTTAAAAGGGCCTGTCCTTGAGGTGGAATTCCTCAGGCCGGTCCTCTACACAAAACACACTCTCTTCGCATCATCTCGACTACCAACACTCTCCTCAGTGACCATGAAGTTTTTCACCATCCTCTCTGCTCTTCTCATTGCCGTTGTCTCTGTCAACGCTGTCGCCCCGGACGCCGACAGTGCCTGTCGTTGTCCCAAGAACTGCTCCCATAAGAATGGCAGCTCATGCAAGTTTTATAAGGATGGTAACGTCTTGGACGGATGTCGGTGACTTCACAGTTAAATGAGAGGATTGAACTGATGATTACCCTCCATAGCTTGCGGTGACGGCAACGGTGGTCTCACTTGCCAAACATGAGGTCCAATTTAGCCATTCTGTAGAACCGTCACTGGGGTAAATTGTCTATGCATAGAAGGCTTTCATATTCGTTCTGACAATCATCTTGTTAGATAATGAATGCTCTTCCAACGAGCAAGAGTTTAGGGTTTTCGCATTCATCTTTTTGTTCACATCATGTAAACGAGGTTGGATTGTTGTGTGACACAATTTTAGAACATTGATTTGAACAGTGAGATTTGATGAGACTTAGCTATAGGAAAACTACAGTCCCTGTCGTAGGAGGCAAAGCGTGAAATATCAATCAGATCAGATCCTCAGACTAGTCCAAGAGCTAGTTCAGTGGGAATGGACACTTAGCACAGGAAGGCACGGGACAAACAAAGAAGAAACAAACATAACAGACAAGGACAGAGACAACGTACGCTAATGACAGCAGCAACAGGAAAACATAAGTATATACATACACAAGAGCACAAAAGAAAGTAACGAACAGTAGGCACAGAAGAAGGTGAAGTGAAGATCAGTACACATGAAAATAACTCGTATGAACAGTAGATACGTAGCACATGCACCTATTCGTGGCTTTGAAAAAATTTAAACAGGCAAAACGGCAGCAAAGAAATTCAAAAAAAACACCTATGTAACCTATATGTACCACAAAGTACCACAAAGTATACAATGGCTGGATGAAAAATAAAGAGAGTGACTGAAAAAACCGTTTCGATAGAGAGAAAGTATAGACAAAGAACTTGATAAAGAAAAGAAGTGGGCTATAGGTGGTCACGATTGTGGGGTAAAGAGGGACAGACACGATACGAGAGATACAAGCAAGTAAACGAACGAGAGTGAACATAAGATAAAAGGAACGGTAGTAGAATACACTCGACGTACACCCCAAAGTACAAATATCGCTTGACATCGGGATAGTTTTATTCAGATTCTCCTTTCCTAACCCTTATTCTTTCACGAGAATGGTAAATGTCCATGCTCGTCTTTTGACGACGACGTCGTTTCCCTTGGAGGCTTGACCCGGAACTCGGCCATGATGCATATATGACTGCGATAACGAATTGGGGTAGTTGTTAGAAATAGAGTCAAAGGAAAAAGAGCCAGAAAAAAAGAAAACCAAAAGAACAAACAACAAGGGACTCACTCTGAGGGAAAATGAACATTCGGAAATCCCACACATTTACTCATGTACACCGGATCGACTTGACCCAGGACGGCGTTCACTCCGAGGCTGGAACCAGAGTACCAGATATAGTCGAGAACACCGCTGAACGAGGACACGTAGTTGGTCGTTGGAAGGAGTTCAGGTGAAGGAGAGGAGGTGGAAGATCTTAAAAGAGAAGAGGAGGTATGGGTGAGGGAAGTGGAAGCAGGAATCGACAACAGATTATTCGATGCGCCAGGCGCAGGAGTAGAGCCCGGTGTCCTCGTTCCCGAAACCGGCAGTGGTTGTTGCTGCTGTTGGTGCAGCGATTGCGGCGCTCTAGAATGTGCACCATGAACACCATGTGCCGGCGCCGCATATGCACTTTTCAGCCCTAACCAGCTTTTCAAGCCATCCGCGTTCCCTCCTGCTGAGCCGGGGCCTGAACCTGCACCCCCGGTATACTTCCCGTACACATGCCCCATGAAATCCGGATGGTCCTTTCTTAGCGTACCCGTTGACAAAAACTCGTACACACCGGAGCCTGGAATGGAATTAAAATCGCCACAGAAAATGAGAGGGATTTGCGAGGCAGATGTATATGTCGGTGGTTTGGGACGTTGACGACGTGTAGAAGGCTTTGAGGAGGGAGAGTCGGGAGGTGATGATGACGACGACGAAGGTGGTAAGGATGATGAGGGTAAGGATGAAGTGGTAGGAAAAGGAGAGGACAGCTCTGATGATGATGAAAACGAGGAATCGGCAATGCCATCGACACTATCAACGTTCCCATTTGCCGTCTCCGGCTCAGGCCACAACCTCGGTGGCAACTTCACGAATCTCTCCGCCATTTTCTCCACCTCCTCAACCATCAACGCGACATGTACTAGCTTCACATCACAGAACTTGGGATCCCACAATATATGCACATTCGCAACCAGCACCCTCGAGCCCGTATCCCTATTCTCAAATGCACACGCAGTCGCAATATGGTCTTTCCCCAACACCCTATTGAACATATCTTCCGTCTTCTTAAAATCTTCTCTCTGCATCGCAACCGCACTAAACTCGATAAGGTGTTTCTCGATAAGTTGGTACTTGTCTGCACGAAAGAACGTCGCCAATCCATCGACGAACCGCCGCTCGTTCTCGTTAGACATCGTCTTGGCACGGGATTTCGGCCAATAGACGGATTCGTAACCGGCTTCGGAGAGGTGTTTGAGGAAAAAGTCTTCGTAGGAAGTCACGTCGACTTCTTGGAGACAAATGAAATCAGCTCCATGAGCGAGAATTTCGGAGAGAATGAGTTCCCGACGGTAATCCCAGGCCAGCGCCCAGGAGGGAGTATATCCGTACAGACGCACGGTGGCAGCGCGCTGGCAGAGGATATTGTAGCATACGACGGAGATGGTCTCTGTCGATGGTGGTAGGGCTTCTTGTTCAACTGGTGTAATGAGCGGTATCCACGCTCGATTCTGGGGTGGCGCCGAAACCGGACACGAATCCCGCAGAAAGGCTATCAAGGCGGGAGTACCGTCCTTGGTGATGAGGTTTTTGAGGTTGGTGTCCAAAGGATTGCCTTCGACACCGAGAGTCTGTAACTGGTGCAAAGTTCCAAACTCTGGGGGAATTGTCATTATCTGATTATCAAACAGATAAAACTCTTTCATGGACACCAGCATGCCCAATTCTGGAGGCAACGTTGTCAATGCATTCCCAGATAAATCCAGCAGCTCCAGATTTCGCAGCTGAGCAATCTCTGGAGGGATTGCGATCAGACCGTTGTGATTGAGGTAGAGATTTGTGAGGAAATTGAAGGAAAATAAGCCAGAATTTGATGGAAGATTCTTGATACCTACTCCGCCCATGTCTAATGACGTCCACGTTGCCTCTGACCGCGGTCTGGGTGGTTCAGCGATAGGTGCAACCGTCGACGACGGGTGGCTAGCGTTCCCATTGGCCAGTGGTGGGGAGTCCGATAGTAATGGCTCTTCTGGTGGTGGTTTCGGGTTCGGGTTCGGATTGGTGATAGGGATAGCTGATTTCGCGACTGTCCGCGACGCCATTGCACTGGCTCGTGCTCGATGATGCGGAGAGCGAGATTGCCTTATGATCTGATTATGATTATTCATTAAAGAGAGGTGCCTACGAGTGCAAATATCACTCACCTCGCATTTCAACAACTGCTGTTGCCAATGTTGCGCTAGCGGCGCACTGGCTGGACTCCCTTGATTTATCCCTACATGGTGTTGCTGAATTGGCGGGCTAGGATAATGAGGATTGTGATGAGTATGTGTATGATTGTGATTGTGATTATGAGTGTGGTTGGTTAAGTTCTGCGGAGGTTGTTGTCCAGATAAAATCTGATGGTGAGTTAAGGGTGGCCCAAGATGACTATGTTGGTGGTGATGTTGAGGCTGACTGTAGATTCCGTATCCAGGTGAGGTCGGCGGCGGTGGCCCACCAACAGGCTGTCGAGGCCAGGACTCAGTCCCTAGTTTCTGACCTCCCGTGAAATACATCAAGCATGGAAGAAAGAGTAGTACAAGGAAGGAATTGTCGCCGACGAATGACCTAATCACTAGTTTCTTATTCAATTTAACGAGTCGGAACCTTTTCACATGCATTCCGATATGGTGTAGTGGCTAACATTATCGCCTCTCACAGAAAAGTGTATCGCGATAGCCCGGGGTTCGATTCCCCGTGTCGGAATACTGTCACCAGGGAGTTACATTTTTTCTGTTTTCAAAATACGTTACTGTTCTCATGTGGTGCGCACCACCCGTATAAATAAGTCTCCCTGTAAGCGAAGACTTTGACCAGTGATGAACCGAATGTTACCATTTCAACAGGACCGAGAACGAGGAAAAATCAAAATTTGCTCCTATGTACGAACGGTTGCGCTCAGTATCGAAGAATGAAATGAAAAAAAGATACTTTTTCCATCCAGATTGGAAAAAAGCATATAGTTTCATTTGAGCATCTATTCAATTACTTCGATACTCTAGCTCTTTATCTTCAAGAATCTTCTGCAGGTATTAAATAGGATGCGGGAACATCAGCGTTTTCCAAACCTCATTCTTCTCTTGAAACTGCGCGCGCCTCCATTCTCTCTCTGTCCCTCCTACGTGTCCATTACTATTATCTCCATTTCGACTCGAAGACTGATCAGTCTCGATGGCATCCTTTAGACTCCACGCCCGCCCAAAATCGATCAGCCTAAACCGTCTATCGTTCCTTGACTTCATCAGCGGGAAGTCACCATGATCACCTATCTGCATGACAATGTTCCTATGTGCGAAGGAACCGTGTGTCCACCCGTGGTGGTGTAGCCGGAAGAGGAGCGCGGCGCATTCTTGTCTAGAGGTAATGTTGTCAGCAAGAGTCAAATGAATTAGGATAATCGCAAATGCAGCTGCACACACCTATCATCAAGAGACAGCTTCTTAACTTCGATTGGGTTGCCGCAATCTTCGATCAAAAGGATAGGGCTGAGAAATGAATCCCGGTCTATGACTTTTTCCTCGTTGTCTTTTGTCTTGTCCTCTTCCTTGGAATAGAACCCATAGAAATTCGGCGTAATCGCCCCGGTAGGAGTCGGATCCCTTAGTGGTAACGCAACTGTATACCCGGACCAATGCTGCGAAAAGTCTTCTCCGAAGCTTTGATAGCATTTCGCCTCCTTCTCAAGGTGATTGTCATCATAAACAGATAGCTTGGCAATAACGGATACAGATGCTGTTGGAGGAACTGGGCCTGGGAGAGGACCGGAGATCGAAGACGTGACAGCGAGGTGAGAACAAGGAGCAGGATCAGTTGATGATGAATCGTACCAAGGTACAGTGTCGACGTGAATGGTGGGAATAGACTCGCCGGTGTATTCGAGATAGTCTAACGTTTCACCGCGAACACTGTAACATGGGGTGTTTTCGTCCTCCCGTTGGCCTTCTCGAACGAAGTTCATATCAATCGCAGGAAGATGTTTCTTTCTTAAGATGAAGTTCCCGCCCACAATCTCGTCTGCAGGCCCAACTTCATCAGAAGGACTGCGAGTATCGCCAGCTGCGTTTGATATCGTGTCTTTTGACAAAATCTTCTTCGCGGCTTCTATTACACATCTATGACATATCACGTATTTTGAAAACACGGATCGAGGCAAATCCCACTCTGCGCGGTAGACAACAGAATGATGGCCCTTTCCGACGAATTCTGTAGGACTGATGAATAAGTGGGCTTCGGGAATGGACGATGGCGAGGCAGGTGGTGAAGGGACAGTCAACTTAAATGCTGTACCAGATTGTGCCGTAGACGATGATCCTATCCCTGTTTCAGTGCGGTTCAGGATTTCAAGTGAAAAGCCAATGAACACTGGACCGCCTTCCCGGGCTGCCTCAGTCATTTTGGCTCGTTCTGCGGCGATGGAATCCTTGATAGAGGGAACAGTCAAATTGAGACTATATCTATGAGTGATATCGTCGACAGAAGTCCAGTCAACGTCTAACTCGTCAGGGGGGTCACCGCCGTTGAGAAGACGAAATGGATCATGTACGATTAATGTTTCTGGAAGTAGATGAAAAGGAATCGGCGACTGGAGGGTGGGCGCTTTGGATGAGAATGGCACGAGAGGCCATGGATCAGGGTAGTTTTCGTAGTCAAATGGACGTGGTATTGCGCTCTGAACTTGAATGTAAGAAATGATAGAGAAGAATAAATGGTGACAGCCTACATACGATGGTCTCGTTTTCGCTTTCGTCGCTTTCTTCTTCAGCTTCGCCATCATCATCATCGCGCATCGAAATTCCACAAGAGCCCATCAAGATCGCCAAATTCTTTGCCTCAATGATCTCTAGAATATCAGCAGCAGGTCTCAACCTCGGTTTCTCCTCCATCTCGGCCCACTCTAATTCATCTTTAGCATAGAGCTCTCCATGAGCCTTCATCCACGCATATAGCTTACTTCCACTTGAGAATCCCAGCATCGCATCAGCACATTCATCGTTGAAGCTTCGGAACATGTAAAAGTCGAGGATTGTCGCACCCCAGAGGTGGTAACTGTTATTCGTTCTATACCCTGCAGAAAGCTCGCGCAAGTCGGACATTAGGCACGGTTTCCCTCCTCCTTTGGGATCTCGGGGCCAAACCTTGTATATGCGACGTGTATGTTTGTTAAACTCCGAGTCTTGCGAGCCTTCTTCTTTTTTGAAAAGTTCTTTGTATATCCTAAGTGACCATTCAGAGTCCGGATCTCCATCAAACATCCCTTCTAAAGTGTCACTCGAGAAGCGAGTAAATTGGTGAGTCGATGAAGACATGATATTAGTGTAAAGAGCGAGTGTACAAGAGTGGGCGATATAGTGATCACATGTCTTGATCGACAGTCATGCCAGACTGACGACGGGTATAGCCTGAAGAGGGATAGAAGAGGCAAGGCTCTTGCTGGACGGGGAAGGAGAAAGAGAGGCAGCAAACATGGAGGCTGGCGAGACATCATCAACAGCGTGTCATATCCACCTGAGGAGATACATCAGCTGGGAATTCCTCTGTTTTGATTGCCCAGAGCACGGTTGTATCAACCTGTAAAATATGTCGGTGACCTGCACAGACCATACATAGAAAAAAGAAAGCAAGCAATATGCGTTTGCTATCTTTTACGTTTACGAACCCAGTGGTAGCGGGGGCTGTAGCTGAGTGGCTAGTCCTTGTCGGTGCTGTCGCACCTCCGAACAATGTGTAATTCAACAACGGGGAGTACTTGCATATACTTTAGCTAGCCATCATGGAATGCCCGTGGGGACACCTAACGAGGACATTGACAGAGCACGTGTGTATGAGACCGATATAAACTTGCAATGTATAGTCTTATCTTTACTGCTATTTCGATGTTTTTTTATATCACTAATAAGGTGGGACCCTTGCCAATGCCCCGACGGACGCAGAATGTGGTGAAATCGTGCAGTACCCACTCACTGTCGCTACACAAAATGCACCAGCTGGTGGTGACTCACAATATATGTAGATTCTATCACATATTTTACATGAATGCAGTCCCAGCTTGGTTCAATGGTGCTTTCCAAGCAGCTCTTGCCCCTATTCTTCAGGAAGTCCAAGGCCTTCGTGATGATGTTGGTCGCATGAGACGAGAGTTAGTTGTCTTAAGTAACCAGGCAAAAGGCGATGGTCTCAGGATGCCATTTGCTGCTGTTCATGATGAAAATGGTAATCTTCCAAGTCCTGCCTTGAATTTGGTATATTTTCTCCATATTTAGTCATACTTGCTAGCCTGATGATGCATGTTCCTTTTAGCCAGAGCTTCAGAATATCAATGTTCTTAATGACCTTACACATGATCAAGCATTGGGATGGTATCAGCACTATTTCCCAGAAGGTGCCAATGAAAGTCGAACTGCAATGGTAAACCAAATTGCCCACTACATTGGTTACTTTGCTGCTCTTTAATCTGGCTCAGGTAGAATTTCTTGTTGTATTTCCAGTAGTCAGGGACCCAGATTAGTTCTGTACATAGTAGTTGAAAGTTGTCTGCAATTATAAATCTACTATTTAGCATCTTTGCCTTGTTCAATTGAATCTGAATGTCTCCCAACTTCTCTGTTTGCTGACTGCTGTGTTGACCACTCACATATTTTCTATCTATCTCTGACTCATACCATTTGCTACATTCACTAAATGTTGGTCCCAGGAGATCACCTCAAAGGCATGTACTGGACCACATTAAATAGCTACTCTTAGGTCACTGCGTGTCCTATCAAAGTCTGCTATGCAAATTACCCCGACGTTGATTCCTGGGCTTCTGCGTCCCCTGATCTTCAGAGTTCTCTCCTAAAAAACTGACCGCGTCGGGGGTCGATTCTGAAAAGATGTCCCATAAAGCCTTCGCCGTTGCTTGAGGAGATGTTTGTATCATCTAATTAATGGAATTCAATGCAACCCCAAAACGAACTTTGATCCCATACTGACCATATGCCCAACGTCCTCAACCCTCGTCACAGAAGTGAACACCCTCCCTTGTTCTGAATCCTCCAAACGATCCTTCATCTCTCGCGAAAATAGATCATCAATATCACCCCACACGATGTGAATTGGTATGATTGGTTTATGGCTTCCTTTGGATTTAGACGCCGTTCTTTTACCTGCTTCGTTATCGCCTACATGAGCATTCGCACTGCACAGCAGATTCAGCTGCCACAGCCCAGGTAAACTCTGTCTTATTCCCCTCTCATAAGCCAATGCCTCAGTTTGTCTCGTGCAACTCAGCGTCACTCCTCCTTTCGCGTTATCCACCAACCCGAAGTCAACATATGCCTTCAACACCCTTGCATCCCACATCCCCCAGGGTATTTTTTTCTCCATCCATACCCTCGCTTCTTCCTTCGACGCCCAAGTGTCTTTGCGATTTGTCATGAGAAGTGATATCGCGCGATATAGAGGCGTATGTAGGGCGGGATCAACGAATGCGGGAGTAGGTGCGATTGCGGGCTCAATGAGGACGAGAGAGTGAAAGATATTTTGAGTTTGGAGAATGGGGAGGGGGAAGAAGGTTGTTGCGAGGATGCTGGTGGTTTGTTACAGTCAATCGCCGTTCAATGAGCATGGGGTAGAAGTACGACAACTCACGCAGCAGTAGCACTAGCTGAATGAGCGACCAAGACGAACTTGTTATCTCGGTAACTGGGGTTAGAGCCAAGGATGTCTCGTCTGAGGGTGACGAACGAGTCGGCATAGTCCCAAATTGCTATGATATAGTCAGTACAAATGCCCACTATCTATAGCAGAACGATGCGTACACCAAGCCTCCGGTTTCTCTCTAGTAATCCGTTCGTTTAACACCGCAGCTTCGCCGTGATTCTGGACATCTATTGCCCAGCATTCGCGGATAGTAGGTGTTGGCGGCGATTTTGTTGATGTAAGCTCGGATTCAAGACTGAATAACTGTTCAATTGTTGGTTCCCAGTGTTCTTTGTCTGAGAACGAAGAAAACAAGAGTCAAAATCAGCATCCTGGAGGGAATACATAAATAAACGCACGATATCCAGTTCCATGAGCCATCAGCAACACCAGTCCCTGCTTTACCTGATAATCTCGCGTTGAGTCTGATTGCAGAGGTCGATAACATTTCGCAGAGTTCAACAACGACAGTCCAGTGGTGTGGGTCTCAAATGTGAGTGAAGATATCTCGAGGACGACCATAATGTTTGCAATGAATTCGTTAGAGCCGAAACTTCCATTTAAGTAAGTGTTGCATCAGGTTGCATCCTGGGTCCGGTATCCCTGGATGTCAAGGTAAGCGAGCTATCAGCGCTTCAGCGCTTGGTGATTAGCTCAGAACTTCGGAAGGTCCTTCGGCTCTACCATGTACATTGTACCGGAAGGGGCTTGATTTGAACAGGTTTGAGCAAACGAGCGACGGGGTCGCTGGTTCTAGTTATGCCTACGGGAACTTTAGGCACGAACTTATATTGTGAACTGTGAGCCAAACGCTCTCGAATTGCAGTGTACCTACATTGAGATGGCAGTAACAGCCTGAGAACACATACCAATCGGGTTCTTCCAAACCAATTTGTGAAATACGGGAAGAAGAGAAGTGACTGTACGATCTGCAGAAAAACGAGAGGTCTGTTGTCACTGCCTGTGGGTGGAGAAAGAAAAATTGACGGTCGGAGCCTCTTACACTGTTGCCTTGCAGGGCATTGATCAAGGAAGGCTAAATTTGAAATCGAACCGACGCGTACCATGAGCAATGGATTGCTCACGAACGCGAATTACTCATGAACGCGATCGGTGACTCATGATAGAAAGAATCCAAAACCCTGTCCAGTGTCGGAATGTGGTATAGACCAGTTGGTCACCTTCAGCGAGGAAAGGCGCTTCTGTGATCAGGTCATACGATTATGCCTTGCCTGTTCACCCTAGATAGCGCTGAGCTCAAGCTTTACACACCATACGATGGTTATGAGAGATGTTGAGAGTGGAATTTGATTCGGTCATAACTAGGGGCCTTAAGAGCATTCCGGAGTGAAGTAGAACAAAGATTATGTCCGCAACGTTCAAGCACACTGTTGTGCACCTGGAAAGAGCTCAAAAGTTAGTACCACGTGGCTTCTGTGCAGTTTTGATTTTGCTGAGTCACAGTCCATCATCACTCATCAACTTGACCGTTTACCACCACTAGTCGCCCACTTGCCGCCTTCGTCTTGAGTGGCGCACTGATCTCGCCTCAGATGTCCGCGATGTCCCAATCGCCCTCTCCTTCTCCTCCACCGCCTAACTCCACTACCACCACTAATGGCGAAACGAGCACGCCAACTAACGGTCTCTCACTGCCCCATTCCTCACAAGTCGACGCGGAAACCTTGTCTCTTCGAGCTAAAAATCGAAGGGAGAGAAACAAACTTGCGAGCAGGAAGTGTAGAGCTCTGAAGGTGAGATTCTGAATACGAGAGTCCATTGGGATGGAATGCTAAACGACTGAAGTCCGCGAGGCTAGTCTACCTCGACGGCCGAGTAGCCGAACTCGAAGATGAGGTTCGGGTCCTCCGAGCGGCTCTGGGAGCTTCTGCAAACGCTATTCCTACGTCTGTTGACCAAGGGCTTCCAACACCATACGTGACTCCTCGAACAACCGTATTATCTCTCTCATCCTCTACACGATCTCTTGCTTCCGTCCAGTCCTCTTCCCTTGCTTCAATAACGTCTACTTCCTCGACGGACACCGTTCCAGACATGGAAGTAGAGGAAGATAACTCGATCAACGAGCTCAAACGAGAGAATGAGGTTTTAAAAGCGTCTATGGCGAAATTTGAGCAAGAGTGGAATGCTGCTCTTGCCACTCTAGGCATCAAATTCCCTAATGGCAAACAGCCCCCCTCTACCTCCGCTCCGGACGAATCCAAAGACGAAGGAGCTTCGGAATCTACCTCATCGAACGCGGAGTCTTCCCAACCATCACACTCACTTGCCACTTTAATTGCAGCGGCGAGCCAGCTTCCCCACTAGTCTCAGCTTCTCAATGCTTTCAATCGTTGATTCTGGTTTCAAAGGGGAGTGGAAATATAAGAAGGGAATTTATGGTTGTCGTACATATGCATACCCTTTATGTACAACATGCAACTTGTTTCATGATCCTGATACATGTAGTCCTTGGAGTTGATATTGTAATATGCTTGATTATACGGGAGTTGTGGTGGTTGCGTTCAGTAGAAGTAGAGGATGTATGCCGATGCTTTCATAACAATGTGGAAGGAATTTCATTGTCTGATTCTTATCGTTATATGCACCATCGCATGAAAACGTGAGAATCTACATTGTAATAAGTTAAGTTCAACTTCATTACTTTCCATTGCCAACAACTTTCCACAGCTTTCCAGTGTCCACCAATAGTCTTTTGGGACCTGGTCATTTCCTCCGAAAGATGGCTAAACGAATGAAGAAAGAAGTATTCGTACTGATAGTAAGCCTCCGGCTCTCATGTCCAGGAGACCATGAACTCACAGTCCGGGTCTAAGGAACGCCGCCATACAGACGAAGACGACTCCGTTGGTGATACAACCGATGAAGAGGCTCCTTTAGAGGCTGCTATGAAACTCGAAGAAGAAGAAGAAGAGAAAAAGGCTCTAGCAATCCTTCTGAAAAGGGAAAACGTGCGTTGCAACGACGAAAACAACCTGGACTACATTTTGACTGTGCATACTTATGTACCAGCCGGAACTGGAAGTCAAGAAAGAAACCCTTGTGCCTCCTATCCCTGCATCAACTGTCCTCTCAATGCTTGACGGAATAAAACCATACGTCCTGAACCCCACTCAGAGGCTGCATTGTGAAGTTGACGTGTCTCGCGAGTTTATGTCCAACGTTTTTGGTGGTAATACACAGTACACATTTCCGGCGATAGGCAAAGACAAATTTAGGAAGCATGGTCTCAACGATTTCATGTATCTTTCGAAGAGTTATAATCCTGTTGCACCAACGATCCCAGGTCAATCTGGACTATTCTTCTCACATGATAATTTTTGGCTTTCAAATATCAATCCTACTGCAAAAGAGCTTGAAGACGCTGAACAGCCTGGATGGGCGAAAGTCAGCCAGAGGGTTTTGACGCGTCTGAAGCCAAGTCACTGGTTATATGTCGGTCAGTATACCGTGTCCTTCTCCAGGGCACTTGCTCCATCGGAATGGGAAAATCTATCAGAGAAAGTGAGTAATTGCTCTGATGTATTGCGCTCTCATCACATCCCTTGACAATTTTTCCAGGTGAAAGGTACATGGGTGGAGAATATTGCTGAACGTGACTGGGCAACTATTGTCCGTGCGCGCATCTTACTCCGAGACCGTTTAGGCAGGAGACCTTCCGTGGCGGAGGTTAACAATAAGCTCAAACGAGCAAAGAAATCCGGAACCAAATTTAAAGACATCTCAGAAGACCGCATTCTGAAGGCTTTTCAAACCGGCGAAGAGGTTCGTTCCACTTGACACTATCTTCCGGTTCTTGCTCATGCATACAAACACTTTGGGTAGCTCCTGCTGATGTGGACAATGGAATGTATGGATTATGATGCAGACTTTCAACTTCGGTTGGCAAATGAGTCAAAACTCTGGAGCTCATCGCACCAGAAATCCACGAAGCAGGGCATGAAGACCAAATCAAGGAGTCGGAAAAAAGGCAAGGATGCAACGACCAAACTGACTGTGACCCCTAATCGTAAACGAAAGAGAAGTGACGATTCGGATTATGAGCCAACTGGTCGATAAACTTTGGGACTGGGTGATATGTGGTCGCCTATATGTATGCAAATAAAGTCTGCAGGGCTGTCTACATTTTCAGACGACGCAACAGAAGACGATATGTATTGTGCTTACACATCCGTCAAAGATGAGGTGCGCCAGCACCAATGAGTTAAACTTCGAAGCAACCTATGTGAGAAATGGTGAAATGCTCTGAGGGCCAGATGAAGGAGGACTACACGCATTGCGAATGTATATACCATACTCGCAGGACGCGTAGATACCTGGATACGCTTATCTCTTCTAAGAGCCTGGGACAGCGGCTCAGGACTGCAGTCACCATGAACGCAATGCTTGGTTTTGGGAACTAACCACTCGTTTCAATAGATGGTAGCCATAATTCGGTGGTCGCTCGGTACTAAGTACTACATAAGAAACAAACAAAGACGTGCCGACATTAATGGAGTCACAACGTCAGGATTGATCATACTTAACGTTAATCAACGCGAACATGTACAACCGCGTGACACGGTGACGGCGGTCAAGACCAGGTTGGGAGAGAAGCTTCGTAGGCCGGGTCGTAATTTATTTTTCAAAGATGCTCGGGCTGTCAGCTGGCATACACCCTCAAATTTTCCGTATACTATGCTTGCGAGTTCAGGCTCAGATACCAAAGGCCTTGAGACTTGGAAACGTTGAGACATACGTTGCCATAACTTCGAAATGTTCAAAAATGAGTTCGTCAGGATTTGACATTTTAAAAAAAGGACAAAAATATGTACTCACCGGTGGGTTTACCCTCCGATGGTTGAGCGGAGTCCATGATTTTCGGATGTATTTTTGGACTATCCGTTCGTGGATAGACTCCCTCTGAAAGCTTACAGAGACAGTGCACCTCAGGCTCATGAAGCTAATGAAAGATAAGCAGCGAAATCGTCACATAGTAGTGGCGTACTAGGCTTACCTCCACCAGCCTGGAATATTGGTTCTCTTTGTTTGAATTAGAAATCTTGGGAGAGTTGAATACCGATCGTAATTATTGTCGCTTTTCCTTGAAGCGAAACAGAAATAGCAGAGGAAGTTGTAGAAGTTAGCATACTATGGCCAGTGTCAGAATCTGTAAGTAAAAGATCGAGGAATGACTCCTTCATATACTTCCACCAACGATCTTGACATCAACAATCTCGTGTTATACTTTACTTTGAAATCTCGGGAGAAGACCTACCCCCCAAAAAATCAAAAGATCTATCTGGTTTTTGAACGGTTATGCGGATACACACGGGAGGAACAATGCTCAATACTCGCTAAGAGACCGACAGGGTATCAGAGAATTTTGAAATGGGAGGGAACAATGTTAGTCTTCTTACATCGCGTTGAATATAGCGGTATTACCACTTTCCGGCGAGCCAGCCATAGAAAGATGTCGATCTGAGTTTCGAGTTAGCGCGCAAGAATAATTGGGAGCTGTCAAGTTTATGGCCAGAGCGTGACATTAAATCTTTGCACAAGCGGTATGCGCTGTGAAGGTAAGATAAGGAGGGGGAGCTAAGGAACAGGTATCATACCAGGTCATACCATCAGGTACTGGCGGCCAAATGTACCCATAACTTCCGGGCTCATTAAGGAACAGACCTTGACTCTGCATCAAATGTTAAGAGAACACTGACGAAAGAACCTGATTTCGATGATATAGTCATATGTTCTCGAAAGTTGTCCCCGGAGAAATACGGTTCCGAAAATCTCGTAGATGTCCAGACGAGGTTACTTGGACCCGTTGAAAAGGATTGGTTTTTAGGAACACATCAGTCTCCAAAAAAGCGATCATTGGCACAGAGTTGGCTGATTTATCATGGAGTCGATTTCTTCACAAAGTATGGAGCGAGGAGAAATTCAGTCTGCCATGAGTCAGTGAATTGTGTGCTATTGTATCCATCTCATTTAACCTTTCTCACATTAAGCCACAATTGACCTCAAATCAGCCTCAAATAGCCTCCAGTCAATCTCGCACGAGTTTTTCTTTGACGTCTGCCAACAATGCATATAATCAGTCTAGCCCCTCCCCCGTTTTTGCAGATATATTTCCACACTCCACCTGGTATCTCATAGTTTGTACCGGACGTGTGAGTAACAATGAGTGTCAAGCTGGGATCTCCACATTCCTCCGTGTCAATCCAAGAAATCACAGGCGGAGCTACTCACAGTAGGATGACAAGCTGTAGTCGTGCAACCATATGGACATCCAGCTTTTTCGGGCGAATACAGGCGCATCACCATGAGTCGAGGAACCCTAAAGGAACGTCATTCACCTCGTCGTATGGACAATGACGGTTGATGGCGAGTTCATGTTTACTTTCACCTCGGATCCCCTCGGTTTCAAGGCTTATAGGCCATCTCCTGCCATCTCCTGCCATCTCCATTTCTCGGTAAGGGCCATTGGGTTCAGGAACGATCTCGAAATTGAAGCGCTGAAGAGGCCAATACCTTCCAGATACTTACGTTCAGCCGGTAGCTCGGTTACCAAGAGGAAAACAACCGCACCTATAATTTTTTTTCGTAGCCTTGTGACCAAATACAACAGTCGTATTCAACCTTCAGAAGCTGCTGTGATGTCTGCTGTAGAATAAAGTGGAATACAAGAATTTATAGTAACCTTGACTCCGAGTGTCAAAGGTTGTGTACACAGCCTGGCTTCGGTGTAGAAAAACCACTCGCCAAAGGAGATACACTACACTGGATTTCGATAGCACGCCTGAAGTATTTGTACAACAACGGGGGTACAGTACGTACTAGAGCGACAACAACAAATTATTTTCAGCGACAGGTTGTACGCTGTTCAAACAGACCAATAGTGAGAAATAATTTTTAGAGGCAGCACATTATTCGGGTAAAAGGCAGAGACAAGGAAGAAAACGAACGGTTCCGTAACATTCCCCGTGCATATGATTTCAAAAAGCTGCCTTCCGAGCCCAACTGATAATCAACAGTTCTTCCTTCAAGTTCTGACCATTCAGTTTTCTTTCATTTCGTCGTCATCGTCATCTTCCTCTTTCTCGCTGCTCTTCAGACCTGCCTTTGCGAGAGCCTCAGCGGATGTATAATCAACCTTTTTACCACGCGTACGGCGCCCAGCCATAATCACAGATGGGTCAATTTCTTCCATGGAGTCGTCTTCATCTTCCTATATGGATATACGCGTTAATTACTGATAGAGTTAGGGATAGAGAGTGGCACAAAGAGTATCATTCGTAGAGTAGTGAACAAAATTACGCGTCCCGCGCCTAGAAAGAGCAAAAAAAGATACGGACCTCTTCCTCTGACCCTTCTTCCTCGTCTTCGTCATCTTCGTCATCGTCATCGTCTTCATCTTCATCCATAGACTGATCTTCCTTTGGAGCTTTGCCTTTGCCTTTGGCGTTGGGAGACGCGTCGATAGGCTGGGTGGCCTCAGCAGCAACTTTACTAAGAAAAAAAAGCGGGAATGTTCAGAAACAGGTTTTGGAGATTAGCTACATGAAAGACTTACGTAGCAGCTGTAGGGTCCGTCGCGTCAGTAGACATCTTTACTATAAGTAAGTAGTTGAGTTGGACGTTGGAAGTAAAAGAGTTTGTTGTTTGTTTGGCGAATCCATGTAGTGATACGTAATCTTTGAGATTATGAAAGCAGCACTTCCTCAATTTATACTTCTGTCGTTGTTCTTGGGCGTGCCAACGTATTCAGCTTGTTATTCCGCTCAAAGTTGTAATTATCGAAAACTTCTTGTTGGACCGTTTGCTCCTCATATTCGGCGGAGAACCCATTTTCCCGGGCCCACTTAAAACGGAAGATCTGATGGATCTGAATGCATGTGCTTTTTCGGATTTCCGTTTTGATGCATCATTATCTCAGCATTGCCGTCCAATCTGAATCTTTCTCAAGTGAAGTATATGCCCTTTCTCCTTCCGACCACCTTGTTCCAATGAACAGAGGTTCATTCTCTTCATCTTCTTCATCTTCTCCCGACGGCCCCCCTCGTCGTCAAATGGATGGCAGTCCATTGTCGACTTTCCGCGACAGCAGAGTCTCTCGTGCCTCGGTTCTTCCTTCAGTCGTTTTGCCATATCTACGTCGCCTCGACCTTGGGGATACTTCTGGTCTCCCTCTCAAAGATCCGATGCTGGTCCTCAAGCTTTCTTCACAATCCTTTTTGGATAGCGATATCAAAGACGACATTTCTCGGGTCCCCCTGTACACTATCAGGACTAACGGTACTCAAACCAGCGTTGTTCGCTCAGATCCCTGGAATGGAAATACCACCATAGCAGAAGTTGAATGGCCTATCTTAGATCCTAGCAAAGCCAAAGGCAAACAGCTAGATGGTGTTACCATCCAGATGCGAAGTGGGCGGCAAAAACAAGCAGATACATTTCTGAGGCCAGGCTCAATTCTGAGGTGCGTTGATAGCGCTTTTCCATGGAATAGCAAGGTAAATTGTTGTATATCTAGCGCCCCGCGCAAGTTCAAGATTCCCGGATATTCACGTTCTTTGAAATGGAAGGCTGTCGGATCGTCCTACTGGGTAAGGGTTGGTGCTGTCAATAATGTAGACTCTACTTACGTATTTATAGTGCCTAGCTGCCTCTGCGAAAGGTCCCATCGCGATTTTGGAACGAGGTGCAGAAACCATGCCTCCAATAATCAAGGTCTTCGAAACATTACACGATAAATACGACACCCGTCCCATGTTGGTCCACCAGGGTGTCTCCATTCTTCTCCTGGACTATGTAATGGTTACCGCTCTCCTTTTGACTACCGACATACAAGAATGGATGGTTGTTCAAAAGCATGACGGAGAAGTCAATCATGAACTTCCTCCCGAAGTATCCGGTAGTGACGACTTTGGTCCTAGGTCAGCCCCACCTGCGTCAACTTCGGCCTTGCAGTGGAGAAAGGTTCTTTACGGTGTCCCACTCTATCCGAAGCGACAGTCGAGTGCATCTACTGCCTCGCACGTACGCTTTCCTGGGAACCTTAATCAAATTGCCAAAATCGTGAATGGCGAGCCAATGTATCCATCTCTGTATAGAGAGAGCTCGAGTATCGATTTCTCATCTTCCGAGAGTGAAAGCGATCAGGAGACTGAGTCTGAAGACATCCTTGATACGAGGGTTCAGCCGTCTTCGACTCCGTCCCGCGCACCAAGTCCCTCTGCCGAATCTGTTCTCTACCCTCTCACGACAGCCTCTGCACCATCTCACACTTATCTAGACCCATCCTTCTACAATGAATATGGTATCCCTCCCGTTCCTCCTCTCCCTGCGGAATATGTTGCTTCGCGCAACCTGGTTAGTCCCGTTTCCGCGTCGGCTTCTCGACGGCCTAGGGAGCTTCCTAGACCGCCTTCCCAGCACTCAGCGACACATCGTTCTCGTTCTAGTCCTCCAAGACCCCATACAAGTCCCTCTAGCCCCGCTGAACCATACAGTGCTGATTTTACTCCAGACCGCAGGCGACCCTCTGTCGACTCAACTTTCTTGAGTCGCAATAACTCACAATTTCAGAGGACGTTACCTGAGCTTCCTCCAATTTCTTTACAGGCCTCAACAAGTCACTCACCACTTCGTCATAGTCAAAGCAGCACACGGCCAATGAATTCTCGGACGAGGGAAAAACGTTCATCACAGTGTCCTCGCCGTACGCTTCCCCCAACGCCGACAGCAGTGTCACACCCAGATTGGATGACTGGCTTGCGGATCCGGAAACGGTCACATAATGAGTTGGCACAGTGGTTTCACAATGGTCACGACTCTATGCCAACTCGTTATGATGACCACAGACAATCGATGGTGTTCGATGCACTCGATTGTCCGCCGCCAGCATATAATTCCCTCGAATTTGCGGCCGGCACGTCTTTGAATATTGCTCCCTCGTCGTCTCTGCCGCCGCCGCCGCCTCCTATGCATGATATGCAAGGAGTCTTACAATAAACTGTTCGTATGATCAATCAAAATTAATCACTCTCTCCCGGGGTCGGAGGAGCGGAAAACTTGTATCATTTATTCTTGTTATCTCGGCACCTTGCATATCTCTCACACATCTCTACGTCACCATCACCATCATCGACTCATCACGCATGGAATGTGCTTGGGCCTCATTCCAACGACTCTTTTTTACTAGTATACAAACGTCAATGAGTCTTCCTCCATCACTCATTCTCATCATCATTCAGTAATCTCCCCTATCCTCTCGTTTCAGAACTCGTTCTTTCCCACCCCAGTCCAACTCCTTGGGCTCCGCGATATTAAAACAATAGCTGGTCAATATCAAAGCGAACGATGTCTACTTTTGTTGTGGTAGATTTGGCTCTCGATTTCTCTCGTTTCTGAAATCTATTTTCCCTTGTCGTTTTACATCGCTTCTCTCTTCGAATCTGTCAGAATCCCTGGCGGAGGTACATGTAATTCAGTCATGACAGAATGATGATCCTCTTACTTTTCTCGACACTTTTTCAAAATCCGTGCTGTTGTTGTTCTACCTGTTTTATCATTTCCGTCCTCCATTTCTGACTCACATATACACACCACTGCTGTTATCGTTAATGCCGCATATTTGTATCCATATACATTACTCGATGAAGTCTAATTCGATAATTCGAATGTGTTTTGCTACATCTACGTTCTGATTCCCTTTCTGTTCTGTTGTTGATTCTTCGTACTATTCTTAAGGGATACGTAGTTTAATTGAACGAGCACAGCGTTGTTTTTCTTCGAGTGTTCGTTCCTGTTCATACCTGAACCCATTCTGTAATAAGTATCATTTACATAACTTTTTTACTACTGCCTTCCTCTCCATAGAATTTCAAAGTCATTGAACAAGGGCAGTCGCGATCGGTCGCGGACAGGTAATTCATTGTACAATATGTAGTCTTCTCTGTTTGTGGCTTACAGTATACACTACACTTCCAAGCTGTGTGGGTGACAACAGGACTCGGACATCCCGATGATTCCGATGAGTTGTGCAAACACTAGCCCTATGTACAACTCGAACCAATACTAAATGATGGCAAAATGAGGTATGTCGAGTCCCGGTTGTGCATAATGAGTACTGCCACCGGTATCGGGATTCGGACCGAGAAGTCCGTGCAAGTGTTTCCTTCGAACGAAGTCTTACTATCCAACTTGTTGGAATACTCCCTTTTCATCTCAACATCACCAACAAATTACCGTCATGGAATCTTTGCATGAGCCAAAGGGTGACCGGAAACCGGTGCTGATTGTTGTCATGGTTTGTCTTGCATAATGCACCTCCGCTCCCCGAAGCAAAACCTTCTCAACATGGACCACAGGGCGTATCAGGTACAGGGAAATCGACGCTGGGTGCAGAGCTTGCGAAAGAGCTGGGGATACCGTTCATCGACGGCGATGATCTTCATCCACCTGCAAATGTAGAAAAGATGGCTTCCGGGCAACCACTGACGGACGCAGACAGGGAACCATGGCTTGAGCTCATTCGGACGACTGCAGAGCACAAATCTGTAGAGCTTCAGGCGGAGAAGGGCTGTGAGAAAATACACGGATTGGTCGTCGGATGTTCCTCGCTCAAGAAGTATTATCGGGATATTCTGCGAGGCAAACGAAAAGAAGCAGCCGATACAAATAGCGCAGTGCTACCAGAGCATCTCGAGCCTCCACATCCCGACCTTTTACCGACATATTTTGTGTTCATCAAGGGTTCAAGGGAATTGCTGCTAGGTCGAATGCAGAAAAGAGAAGGTCATTTCATGAAGGCGAGCATGTTGGATAGTCAGCTGCAAACTTTGGAAAGCCCAGAAGGAGAAGAAGGTGTGTTTGTGGTAGATGCTGAGGACTCGACTGAGCAGCAGATTGCAAAGGTCAAAGAAGGTCTGGAGAAGTTAGACGTGTAATTTTGACTACAAAGACCTTGTCATACAGTCCACATATAATATGCAAGCTAGAATGGAAAGACAGATATTTCGTACTGTTATGTTCAGTAATGATTCGTGAAGGATGCAGAAGATCATGGTCAAAGATGGGGAGCCGTGCGGTCCGGCATTTGCCGAGGACGCGTATGCGCAAGTGACGCGTCTTGATCTCTGAAGTTGTACTCACCTATTCTGATTCTCTCATCTCTCATCTACTATGGTAAGTACATCACAGCTTTCTCTGAAGAATTATTGCTGACGAGTCTCTAATAGTCTCGAAGATATGATAGTATGTTTATCGCTGTCGTCGACCACTAGTTACCCCGCTGACGACCGTTGAACAGGTCGGACAACCATCTTCTCTCCGGAAGGTAAGCATCGTAATAAAAACACCTCGCAATCGAGCTCATCAGCTTCTATCTAGGCCGGTTATATCAGAGTAAGCACATATAATTCAAGTGACCGGGGATTACTTGAAGATTATGTGCAGTTGAATATGCCATGGAAGCAATCTCACATGCAGGAACGGTGCTTGGTGTTCTAGCCAAAGATGGTGTAGTTCTTGCAGCAGAGAAGAAAGTCACGGGAAAGCTCCTTGATCTTTCAGGCGCGAAAGAGGGTGGATATGGTGGCAGCGGGGAGAAAATCTTTCTGCTAAATTCGTGCGTTACACACATCCGAATGTCTGACCATCGTCGCTTACCTACGTACCTCCAGAAATGTCATTGGTGGCGTAGCAGGACTGACTGCTGACGCTAATTCGCTGATCAACTATGCTCGATCTGCCGCACAGCAGCATCTACTGCAATACAATGAGGATATTCCGGTAGAACTGTTGGCTCAGCGGCTTTGCGACATGAAGCAGGGTTACACGCAGTACGGAGGTACGTCTCTTCAATGGTCTCGTTTTGTACAGAAAATGATCGCCTGTCAGGTCTTCGACCATTCGGTGTCTCTTTACTCTACGCTGGCTACGACCAGCATTACCAGTTCCAGCTCTATCATTCGGACCCATCAGGAAACTACTCTGGCTGGAAAGCTACTTGCATCGGCGCTAACAATGGTACAGCACAAAGTCTACTGAAACAAGAGTACAAGGACGATATCGAAGTCAAGGCCGCGATAAGTCTTGTGCTCAAAACTATGAGCAAGACGATGGACAGTACGACATTAGGAAGTGAGAAATGTGAGTCCCTGTCTCTGTGTATTCTTTTCAACCTTGCTCAAATCCGCTTTCTAGTGGAATTTGCTGTCATTACTCTTGATACAGAAACACAACTTCCGAAGGCAAAGATCTACAAGCCGGATGAGATCGATGAGCTGCTGCAAGCGGAAGGATTGGCGAAAAAGGAGGACGATAATGCTATGAAGTCCTAATAAGTTGTATATTTTGCGCGTAGGGATTAATGCCAATTGTCTTCATGATCCCTATTTGTATATACTGTATGCGATTTCGTTCGCCTGAGCTCAAGGGTCCTATCGAAATTTTGTTCAGTGATGTGTGTCATTTTGTGCTTCTTACCACCACCACCTCCTCCATCAGTCATGGGCAAAAAGCCGAAGAACGACATCCCAAATCCGAGCAGCATCTCTAATCGGGACGTTATCCAACGGTTGAATTTTTTGTACCAAGCAAGCGTTTACCTTAACAACATTCACTCGTCTTCGCCGTCAACGCCTGTGTCATCCTCATCTCAGCCAGTCAATGAATCCACTTCTAGGAAAAACGAGGGCAAGAAAAGTAAAAAGAAAAGGATCGTACAGCTCAATGATCTTTCAAGAAGTTACATAGAGACGATGAAATCGGTTGGAACAAAAACTACTGTTCAAGTGTAGGTTCGACTTCACTGTGTTTTGTCCAATTCGTTGATCCGAATTAGGGACCCTTCAGTGAAACGGACACTCTGTAAAGGATGCAATGTTGTGCTTGTTCCCGGCTCAACAGCCTCTGTTAGGACGAGAAGTCGGTTCATATTCAGCTTAATTCTTCCCACATCTTCCTGACGCTCATGTAGGGTCCTCTACTCATGGACACATCATGATTTACACATGTTCAGGATGTAAGCATTACTCCAGGATCCCTGCTGCCCCGATTCTCAGACCAGGTGGAGAACCTACCGCCTCCGAAATGGTCGCAGTAGCCATGAATGTCGATGTACCTCAGGCTCAAACAGAGATACAATCCATCTCACAAGCATGTTTATCGGAGCACCAACAGCCAAATAATCAGATCAAGACGAGGAAGAAGAAAAGCATTCAGCCCCGTCTTCCCCAATTATTTGCTCGGGATGCTGGTCACATCGTGTATGCGGGTAACGAACAGCTCCCAACGTCAAATGGATCTTGGGATGATGGAATATACATAACTTGAGGATCAACAGTTCAAGGCAATGAAACTGTAAGTACTTGGTTATGTGCATTGTTATGGAGCTGATTCAAATTCACAATAGTAGCCTATCGTTAGATATGTATATCTTTGTTGAATCGTTCGGTGTAACTGTACAATATGTGGAAATGATTTTCCGCACAGACTGCCATTTGGCGTGGCAGGTGAACGCTGTCCATAAGATGATTCTGAATCTGCACTAATGGGTCAAGGGTGCCATAGCGGCTCTCGTATATATTTTCTTGCTTTGCACAACTCATTCATCCAAAGTCCAAGCGTTGTCTTTGATTATTTTCTCCTTCTCCAAGAGATATTTCCCTACACCATCATGGTATAAGCTTTAGCATACTACACACTTATTGAAAGGCCAATCTTCTTACCTTCTTTATACTTCTGGGAGTGTTCCGACGCACTGTGATAATACCAGCCCAACCTGTCATTGCATCCCATACAGAATACATCTGCAACCGAATGAAGACCTGTGCTATCGTATAGACATCCAGCGATTCCGGTTGAAACGGTAAGGTATTTGAGTGATAAGCTTACAGCAACGGCCGCTCTTCCTTTACACCAAGCTTGACGTTGCATGCAGAATGCATAAGACTGTATGGCATCAATGACTTGGATCACAGAAATGTCAGGAATAATGCTCACTATCCTCGGCCATCTCTACCAGAGAACGCTTTACTTATCAGCTCGTCTTGAAGAGCCTATCAGGCAACTATCGGTTTTGGATTCTGTATTTATGCCATAAATTCACAGACAACAACAGCAGAGCATTTAGCGCAAGCGTATGTAGGTAGATTGTCATATATTTGGACAACTTGAGCACGAGTATCGCTTGAAATGGAGGAGGCCATGATAGGAATAAGCGCCGTTGTGAAGCGCCAATGATGTCCACGTGGTCCAGTATCCTGCTATGCAGAACGACGACCTCCCCACTGAAGTGCTCATCGCTGTACAACGCGTATTTGAGCAACATTCATCTCTAGCCGCAGGTGCTAGCTCCAACGCTATAGATGCGCTTAATAGCTTGTTTCCCAATGGTCTGTGTAAGTTCCGTTCTATGCATCTTCATAATCCTTCTGACTGGTCGTTCGATACACAGAATCCTCTCTTGCATATACCGAAGCGGTACAAGCACGGCTTCTGGAAAGACAGAGGGAAATTCAAAAGGAAATAGATCTACTGAGGGAGCGACTGAAACGAAATCAGGACTCCGACCGAATGCAACTCATTCAGGAGATGATATCAGTGCGTTCCCTGTTGTCCGTATTCTATCCTCCAAATTCATTAATGTCATCACAGGAACTACTTGGTCAAATGTCACGTATACGCGAAAAGGCCACAGAATCTGAAGCTGTTGTCAGAAGTATCACGAAGGACATCCAGGTTCTGGATCTAGCAAAGAAGAATCTCATACTGAGTATGACCACTTTGAAAAGGCTTCAAATGCTTGGTTGGGTCTTATAATTTCTATTGCTGTGTAGACACTGAGCGGTCGGTTAGTCAATGCTTTGGCGCAACTTGAAGATCTCCTCTCGGAAAGGAAATACCGCGAGATCTCGCAAACTCTTGCCGTACGTCGCGATGTTATAGAGGTTCTGCATAGTTTGTTCATCTTTGCAATAGGCTGTAAAACAACTGGCGTCAACATTCACGTCGTACATGTCTGTGCCTCGAGTCTTGCAGACATGGAAACAAATACAAGAGCTTCAAACCAAGCTGCGCTCCGTTATAGACAAGGATTTCGACACCTTGTAGGTTTCTTTGCTTTTCACAAATCGTTGGCCTGACCCCCGGATTAGTTATTTGCAAGATAGCTCAAAGGGTATGAAACCTGCTGTCATCGCGGACGCCTGTCTCGTAGTAGATGTCCTCGGGGAGGATTTCCGTTCGCTCTTGGTCGAGAGATATGTTGCATTAGAATTGAAGGAATACAGACGAATATTTCGTACCACAGATGAAGCAGGCCAGCTGGATAACATTTCGAGGCGATTTTCCTGGTTCAGACGGTTACTGCAGACCCACGAACTTGAACAGGGAAGAGTGTTTCCCTCAGAATGGAAGGTCGGTTGGCACCTGCTGGCGAAATTCACTGAGATCACTCGGTTTGTTCGACTGTCTCATTCATGACCCTGCTGCTGATATTATTCGTGATTTAGAGATGACATTACTACATTGTTATCTACTGCAGGAAAGTCACTGACTGTCAAGACGCTCCTTGATAATCTGCAAATTGCCGCAGAGTTTGAATCTTCGATGGCCAAGAAGTGGGCTACACCGGTACAGTTCACGAGGTTGCTGGTATGATCTTTACTCATGGCCCTACTTTCAAGTATCAAGATATGCTGTCTGCTACTGTACAATCGAATTCCCGACCTCCGAAACCCCTCACGCACGCATTTGACCCCCACATGAGCGTATTTGTTGACGCTCAAGATAGGTACGTTTCTCCTTCTCATGCTTATCAATATCCTCATGATTACTTCAGAGCATTGTCCGACATGCTTGCTCCTCATCGAAAAAACAAGGGTCTCAAGAGCACCCCGCGCCATTCTTTGGAAACTCTCGATGCAGAAGATGGTGACGAAAGCAATTCATCTCCGATCGTGGTACTACCATCATCCACGGAACTCTTCTACTTCTATGCTCAGAGTCTGGAGCAATGCGCCAAATTATCTCGAGGATCTCCTCTTTTCGAATTGTGCAACGTACATAAGAAATGGTTACGAATCTATGCAGGTACTGCAATCAAACTTCTCGCTTTAAAGTCATGTTGTTCACTTTTCACAAAGAGGACGTCTTGAGAGCTGGTTTGAAACAACGGTATCTATGTTCTTTAGGTCAACTTTGAATGGTCTTATGCTTTTCGATGAACAGACTTCCTCCAATTGTCGCTCCTCGTAAATCCATAGACTCGGCAAGGTTCGACATCGCGGAACTCAAGCAAGCATCCATGGTCATTAACACAGCGGATTATTGCCAAACTACTGCATCAGAAGTGAAAGCTGTTCCTATGTTTCTACATCATTTCATTGACTCTTTACATAGCTAGAGGACAAGATACGCAGCCATATCGATGAAGAATTTAAGGAGAAGGTTTCTCTGCAGGAGGAGCGTGATCTATTTGTGAGGTGGGTAATTCACACTATGAATACTTCTTGTAATCGATCTATGTTTATAGTGCCATATCGGCCGCTATCGTTGTTCAACTTCGGGAACTCGAATCCGCTTGTGAACCTGCTTTCAGTTCAATGTCGCGGTCTGTTTGGTCAAATCTCAACCACGTCAGTGGTCCATCTGCCTACACTGCGGAGCTAGTTCGAACAGCGGAGCAAATTGTTGAAGCTCTTAAGCCTACTGTAGAACAAAAGAAGTACCTTAGAAATTTTCTCGATAAAGCCTGCAGGTGAGGGACGATGTTTCTCATGTGGGAGGCCGGCTAAATTGTGTCAGTCTAATCATAGCGAAGTTCACGAATTCCTTGGTGAAGAGCAGACCATTGAAGGAGATCGGAGCTGAACAGGTGATATAAATTCCTTTCGCTATATCCCAACACTAGAAAATAATGTGATGTTTGTTTGGTCCTAGCTGCTCATTGATTTGCAGACAGTCAAAGCGTACCTTTCAAAAATGCCGGGGGATTCGCTGATCACTCCGAGGTGCAGTTTATCAACCTCTTTCCAATTGACACGGATACCAACCTCAATTTAGCTATACTCGGTCATTAAGTAAGAGTACCAGTAGACTGGAATCGTTATTGAAAGTCATAGTTACACCGGTAGTAAGTGTTGTGAATATTTTGTCATTGATTTCTCTAATCGGTTGAACAGGACCCACCAGAAGGATTCATACTCAACTACACACTTCTTATCGGGGACGCCTCATTTTCAAATTTCCAGAAGGTAGCGAAGTTTTCAATGTATTTATTAGATCCTTCCACTCAGCATTTTCAAGATTCTTGACCTGAAAGGGACCCCGAAAGGCGAACAAAATCATCTTCTGGACTCTTTCGTAACAATCACCAGTACAAAGGACGAACTTCAGGGCACTTCGTTTTTATCGTCGTTGGATATGGACCCCCCGAGTGTCACACAATTGGGTGGAACACTAACTAGCCCTGCGATAGTGAGCGCGACAGAGAGTATATTCTCTGGGTTGGTTTCTCCGCCAATAAGTGGACCGCCCACAGGCTCTACGGAAGTATCACGGAACGACCAACGTCGAGAGGTCTTCTCAGACTTCAAACGTTTTGTCAGTTTTGGGTTGCGACGTGACTCTTCACAGATACCTCCTTAGTCCTTCTACATGTTCTGAATATTAATGAGATTACTACTATATGCAAAGCTCCAGCATTTGAGATACAACACGAAGAGTAAATGGCATCGGAATGGTAGCCGTGATACGAGAACGGGAAAACGCATACAATACAAATGATACGGAGAATAGCACGAAATGAAGGAGTGTAACTATATGAAGAAATTCAAGAGTCCCCTGAGAATTACAACAACATGCGATAATGGTGCCAGAATCCAAAACTTATATACAGTATGTAGATTGTCAGATTAACATGTATGTGCTTCCTTCGTTCAACTTTCAGCCCCTCCGAGCCCATAGTTTTGAGGATTTGTCGGTGTTGCAATAAGATGCTGATGCAGGTGGGCGAAAAATACTGTCCGAATTCGGTACATGGGATAGCAGTGGAAGTGACCTCATGGGATTTGCAAATTCGGGATTCCACACTCAAACCGCATCCTATGGACAGGATTGCGAGCGAACTAAAGCAATCATGAGCTGCCAGCGGTCCGGTGGGCAGATGGTGACTGAGGGTCAATTGCGGAATTTGATCGGCTGTGAGGGAACACGCGACTGACAATATAGCTGGGACTTGATAAGGTCGGAGAAGTGGGTGGGGCGACATGAGATGGCGCATTCAGAGGAGGGGGAGATGTTGGTGTGGGAGGAATGCTGGGAAGAGGAGGATGAGGAGGAAGGTGGGAGCCAGGATCCGCAGTGGAGTCTGTAATCAGGTCGTCATTCTCCGAATCACTGTGTCGAAAGTGTAGATCTGATATAGATATGGGAACACTATCTGACGGAGAAGCTGGGTTCATGGCAATGCCAAAAGGATGAGGATGAATATTTAGTCGCCCAGGTGCGAGCGTTTGGTATGTCCCCGACGAAGGTGTGACAGGCGGCGATGGCTTGAATCCCTCCGGGTGATGCGGGGATGCGGGCAGAGATACAGGGAATGGGAAATTACTAGAAGGAGAAGAAGTCGATCCTCCGGAATTCTGAGAGTCCGATGACTCCTGCCTGAGATTGTGTGATCCCAAATCAGTGGCGGTAGTAGCGCTCCATCTTGACTTCAACCCTTGCCCTTGTGAAGCCAACGACGGTTCTTTCTGTGAAGAATCCGAGTTGGACTGGGAGTTTGAACCGCTTAGATCCAAAAAAGATGTAGCGACTTTAGAGTCGGCTTCTGAGATCGGGGAAGTGACCGGACGTTGAGGAGTTAAACGGAAAGCGGCTTTGGGAACCTCCAAACGACCAGGTGGTACAAGTAGACTATCATCTGCTAGTTCTGCACTCTGGTTTTTGGAACTTGATGTCAATCTATCAGTATCATCCTCGAATCTCACTGACAGCCTCGATTTCCTGCTGGCACTTTCTACGGTCTTACGACGGTCGTGCCTCGCAAGATCAACATCCGCCGAGGGGTCTTGACTTTGTGGTCGAAGTGTTTCGTCGCTTACAAGTCGCTCGCGAGGAAATCTGGGGTCGTTTTCTGAATGGCTAGCAGAGGGAACCGGTTGGTGCAAACCGAGGGTAGTGAAGGCGAGCTCGCTAGTACGAGGACTCAAACTTCGTATTGCAGCTCTAGCTGTTGCTGGTCCCAACATGCTCAAACCATCGTCATTGGTTCGCACACTACCGCGATCCATCTCGCGCGCGTACATGCTGGCGGCTGTACGGCTCACGCTCCGTCTGGTTGAGAAAGTGGCATTGGTACTTTGGACCTCGAATTCTTGGACATGCACCTGAAGATCGGGTTCTTGTCGAGTTGAAACAAGACTAGAGCGAAAGTCGACTTCTGATTCAGACTCATTTGACCTATGAAACCCATCGCGGATGAGCGGCGCGCCATGACTGACTGTTTTGCCGTAGTCAGGAGAAGCAGCAGGAGGCTGAGGGTGTGATGTATTGGAAAGGTGACTAAATGGCGCATTGAAGGAGAGTTCCCGAAAGTTTCGAGTGTCAGGTGTCGACATGTACGTCAGGGAAGTAAAATCAGACAAGGGTGTGTGAGCGGTAGGAGGTGGAAGTAATGTTGGAATCTCGAAATGCTCCTGGGACAGATTTAATGGAGGGAGATCGATTGTAAAGCTGGGAACATCTTGCTTCGACTTCCCAGTCCAGCGGCTTTTGCCTTTCCTTCCAGGACTCTGAGTAGGAGATGTAAAAGAGATATTAGACGATTTGCGACTTCCCGATCCATCCTCATAAAGATTATCATCATCCAAATGACTGGGTGCTTTGTCCTTAGGAGAGTACGAATGCCTAAATATCAGCCCAAGCGCGCCGAGCACATTTCCACCATCGGTGGATTCCATTTCCCGTTTCCAGCGGAGAAACCCTGAGCGGCCGCTACTTCTTTGGCTTCCACGAGTTCTCCGACTTCCAGTTGGACTGATATTGGACACGTAGCTGGGAGTGTGCTGTCCGATGTTGAGGACTGCGTCTCCACCACTAGCATCTCGTTCCAGCATGTATCGTTCTCGTAGAGCTTGCCGATGTTTAATCTTCATTGGTCGCCATACAAAGAAAAAGAACAAGAGACTGCTGATGAGCAGAAATGCGAGGATACCAGCTAGCACCAACGCTGCTATAGTCCCTTTAGGAAGGGAGCCGCTACTAAGATTGCCACCAGGGGACGCAGCACCTGGTGTAGTACCCGTCGAAGGAATACTGAGAAGATATGAGAGTAATGACACGTATGGAATAAGATTACTAACTTGGGATCACCAGAGGAGTATACTACGAAGCCGTTGAAAGGTAAAATTAATGTGCCTCCATTATTTGATATTTGAACATCGTGTGCTACGTCGGTATTTAACGCGCTGGCAAAGAAAAGAAGGGTGTTGTTCTGGATGAAGGATGCATTGGCCGAAAACTGGGACGTTACATTGTCCAGTTTTACGGTATAATTTCCACCTTGCGGAGAGACTGTCCCATAAATTTGTAGCGCAGTGCCTATCAGGAGCCTTATAAGTCCCCATTTGATTGGTCCTCTTGGAATTCGGCTCACCGTTAAATTTTGCTGAGGCACTGTCGTCCGGGTTGTTAGATATGTAAACAGGGCTCAAACCATTTCCTGAAGTATTCTGGAAATTCCATTCCCCGATGAAGCTGATTCCGCTATCATTCAACGACTGTGGGGCAAAAAGTGTGCTTCAAAGGACAATGTGAGTTCCAGATAGATTGTAAATGCAAGAGAAACGCACTCGACGGTGGCGTTATCGGAAGCTGGCGGTGCTAAGATTGTAGCCTTATCGAATACAAGGAACGAGGACGTTTGATTTTGAGTAGTGTCCGAAATGATGGTTGTAAGTGAAATGTCATGGTCAACATTGTCGAGATCTTCAATTGAAGCTAGGAGAGTCTTCGTGGATTTTGCATCTCGAGGGAAACCGTCTAAGAGAATGGTATATGATGCATCCGTGGTATACCCAGCGAGCTGAATCCCGGTTCCTGCATAATTCGTGAGCGGAGTCACTATATTTGAAAGTTACATTTAAATGACCTTTCCATTTAAGAGAAAAAGAGGCATTATTGAGCGAGGTGATGTGAACTGTGGTGCTATTTTCCACCTCAAGAGGAACCCCGCCAAAGCTGGTTTGATTAAATAACGGATTCCAGCCCGCCGTGAAATTTGGGATTGAAAGGGTGTCACCAAAAGGAAAATATAGGATGGTGGGTGATGTATCGTCCACAACAAACAAAGGAGGAGAATTTGCCATGGATGCATGAGCAGGAAGGGTGTTGGACGCTACGAGCACAAGAGCAGTTGCGTCCCGACGCAAACAGGGTGTAAGATAGCTTGTCAAGTAAAGAGGGAGATGGAGGAGGCGAGTAACCTATTGGCCAGAAGGGGACACACACCATGCTTCGCGGAAATTTAGCCGATTCCCAGTGGCCGATTCAATCGAGATGGGAATAGAAATGGATGCTAACACCATTCTAAGTGATTATCTAATCTAATCAGCACGTGCGATGAACTTATGACAGACTCATGATCAGAACGAGATTCTCTCTGCAAGGATACCCACTTTTCCGCTTCCTAATCAATTTGGTAAATATCATTTAGCATCTTCCTCATTTGGCGCCTTCAAGCTTCATATATTGCTTCTGACAGCCACCACCATCACACCTTCGCGGTAATATAACTTCACGAAACTACCCGTGCCTCGAGGTTCCAACTGTTTATTCCCGAAACCAGGCTAAACTGGCAGGGCGTGCCGGAATTCCTCTGCAACTCGCTTTGGAAATCTTATGTCGGATATGGCCGATTTTCCTCTAACTCGGATCGGAACCCCCTCCTTCGTCCCTCTACTTTTAACAAATGCTCGACTAGCTTCGGGTGGTCTTCCCATTGAACCTGTCATCTTTCAATCAATTCTACTCTGTCTCATTGCTGGAAACAAACACCTCATTCTTCGAACTGTAGAAGATGACATTGGTCTGGTGGTCAAGTTGGCTGTCAAGGTAGGCCTTGCGCGTACTCATTGCTGCTTGGCCTCTCTTCCTTGTCACGTCGATAGATAAATAAATGCTAAATCTTTATTCTTTCCCCATATTCACTGATGTGTATGTGTAGTAGCGCTTACTAGATTTTTTTGTCCTAGACGTTGGCTACCGTGTTTGGTCTTTTGACGCACAGAATTCGAATCCATCGTCGCACAGGCACTTCGAAACATGATTTATCTGCAATTCCTGGAATTTCTACTTTCCTTCGGTCTCTATTCGTACCTATCTCTGGAACTAACTCCTCGCATCTTGGACAAGATGAAGTATCGACATTGACGGGCCATGGCGCTAGAAGATACCGCAAACGTCCTGACTCCAGATCCAGATCCCGCTCCGCCACAGTACGAAGCATGACCAGCCAGTACACTAAATCACTTTCATATCCCAATGATTTACTATCCGCAAAGTCGTTAAACACGGCTCCTTCGTTATCACTGTCTGCCTCCGAACCATTTGGAGACTATAACAGTCCGAGTATAACGGAAGTAGTCTCACCTACTCATATAAACACTGCTTCCAGAAACTCCTCACTATCCGCTCTTCCCCAACCTACATTTCCACATTCTTACTCTGACCCGACCCCGCTCCGTGTAGTTCGGGACCCTACTCAGATTCAACTTCCGGACGCACTAGTACTCTCTGGACTGGAACATGCCAGTCTCGCATCTCAGAGAGCCCTGACCGAAGTTCTGATCGAAAGAAGAGTTGTGATAGATGATACCGATTTGAGCGGTGTATGGCCATTCCCCAAAGACTTCATCCTTGTCTATATCTGTCCACTAGACGAGCGGGAAAGGCCCCCTATCCACAAACCTCTAGTCAGTCCCTTGTACATTTCCAACGTTCACCGATTGACTTCATATTTGGCTCTGTAGCTGGACAAATTTGCTCTGAGCGCCACGGTGTTGCTCCATCCTACTGTCCGTGCACTTTCAAAGAATTTCTTTCGCTCTGTATCCCACCGTTCCTCTCCAATCCTATCACCTTTACCTCAACTCGCAAACTCTCCCCCGAACTCACCACCTTTCTTAGCTCAAGCGTTACCTCATCGACATATCTCGCCAGGAATCATAACGCCTTCAAATGGCTTGCCAGCAGTGATAACGCCTGAAATAATGAGTCTGCTTAAGGAAGTCTATTCCCGAGTTCACGTTCCTTCGAATCTGCATTTATATGTCAGTGATCTATTTTCTGCCACACGACACCATCATCAATTGGAAGGTAGACTTGTTTCTATCACCGCAATCAAGGACGCGTCAGAACTGTCTCGCGCAGCTAGGGTTCTAGGTGGAGATCCCACTGGAATGGAACTTATTAGCGAAACATTACGTTCGGACGCCAGGACGGATGACAACTCGACGACCGGTGGCGAAACTGGTGACGAGAGGTTTTCCAAGGTTTTAAATGACGTTGAAAGTGCATTTGTTGTGATTGATCCCCAAGTAAATATTGAGAACCATTTGTCTACCGAGTTTGCTCACGAGGACTCGGATTCGGTCAGAGTACCAGCACTGCCTGTTCTTGATCTTACGCAAGCAGATATTGCGAGGATCGTTCCCCGCGTGCTAACGCATCGCCTGCGAGTTAAGGATGGACCAGAGGATGAAGTACTTGCCAGTGCAGTTTTCGGTGCAGCGTTTTCGGCGACCTCAAAGAAGGAGGAACGAGGAAGGAAGCGAGATCGTAATCGTGTGACCGTGAAAGAGCTGTTGGTAGAAATATTGCAGGAGGTTTAACTCGAAGAGTTAGGAGTTACATGCATGTATGTAGAATTCTACGACCCGCAGCTCTACCACCACACAGGGACCCAGTCAAGGTGTACCCATATCTGAAGAATGGAGAAAGGCAACAGACGAGGATATCACCTATTTGTTTCCGTGACTCCCCGCGCCTTAGTACTTAGATTTACTTACTTGCGGTTAATGAAGAGTTTAAAATTTTTAAAAAAAGTATGTAGAATTTTCGCCACATTCAAATTGCCGAGTATTGCCGGGCGATCTCCGTTCGAGTGGCGAGCGCTTGTTTACTCATAAGTCATCTTGACCTTCCTCGCACTTCCAGAGAAAAGTTCTGGCAATGGCCAATGTGACCACTTCCGGAAGTGCTTCAAAGCGGCGCAGGACTCCGGGTAGCTGTGATCTTTGCAAACGGCGTAAAAGTTGAGAGCGCTTTGATGATCTGAACAAACAAATCACTGACATCCTCGTTGACATCCTACAGTCAAATGTAGGGGAATCCAAAGTACATTCCACAGCGTTATTCTTAATATTTTCAGGCGATAGCGGAGGGGTCGCAGGACAACGCTGCTCAAACTGTGTCAATGCGGGAGCTGAATGCACCCATGTAGAGTTAACGAAGGTACCCCCCGGATACATGCTTGATAGTTTCTTACTCATACAGCAATGTGCAGAATCTCGGTTCCGCGAAAGGGTATTCCAAAATCTTGACATGTCCCAGAACTACTCTAATCTATATAGATACGTCTCAGGGTTAGAACAACGACTGGAAAAAATGGAGACACTTTTGCAAAAGGTGCGTATTTTACTCTCAGATTTCAGTTTTTTTTAAAGTAACTTGATGTATTCAGCTGCTACCCGGCGTCGACATCGCTCAAGAATTGGAAAACGGAATTGATTGTCCACATGATGAAGCTGAAGAACTTCCCCGCAATGATGCAAGCCTCAGCTTACGTCTCGAAAACCTCAAGTTAGATCCTAACCGAAAGCGATTCTTTGGAAGGTCAAGGTATCAACTATTCATGATTGTTTTGCGAAACTTCAAAATGACTGGAATGTGTGTCTAGTGGTTTGTATCTCATCGAAACGGCCTTACATCACAAGGAACATCATGTTGGAGAGTCGTATTTTAAGCCACCAGAGGTTTTGAACCGGAAACGTGATGCAATATGGGATCCGGAGGACGTGCGTGCAGCCACACTTATTATCGGAATAATACTAACGTTTTTTCCAGTGGCAAATGTATGTCTCCCCAGGTCCTCCCTGTCGAAATGTATCTAATGTATGATCTAGGCGATATCTCCAGTACCCACAACCACAATACGAGTTCCCACCCGACGATCTTTTGTTGGTACTTGTGGATCTATATTTCGACAATGTCGATATTGTACTTCCTCTTCTTCACCGCCCAACGTTCCAGAAAGGAATAACGGAAGGTGTCCACCGAGATGATCCATTTTTTGGCGGTACTGTGCTACTGGTCTGTGCGATAGGCGCTAGATATTCCGATGATCCCAGAGTATTCTCAGAAGGGCCTACTATTCCCTCTTCTGGTAAGATTCTTCTCTGCAATTCCTCCGTATTACTGAAAGTACCTCACAGCGGGGTGGCATTATTATGCTCAAGTACCCATAATACGAACTAGTCTTCAACTCTCAGCAAAGCCTTCCCTTCACGAAATACAATGTTACGCGGTGAGCTTATTCCTTTTATTCCTTTGGCTAGGTCTGACATTTGTCGTTCAGCTCAGTGTCACGTATATCAAGGCAACCACAGTATCGCAGAGTACATGGACACAAATTGGGTTCGGGTGCGTCTGGCCTTTCAAAGTGAATGAGTTTCTGACATTCATACATTCAACAGCTTACGCCTAGCGCAAGACGTTGGTGCGCATCGTACGCGAAATCTTCCACGTCCGACTGTTATGGATGAATTGTGGAAACGGGCGTTTTTCTTACTACTGACGCATGAAAGGTCAATTGGATCTTTTGCAGGCCGACCGTCGACAATACACGAAGAAGAGTCAATACCTTGTTGATTCTGAATTCAATGCGGGCATCTGATTTCGAAATCTCTCGTAGATATGACGTAGATTTTCCTGTAGACTGCGATGATGAATACTGGGATCAATCTGACCCAGATTCAAATTTCAAGCAACCCGCTGGAACGCCTTCCAAAGTCTCTTATTTCATTCATTACCTGAAACTTATGGATATATTGGCTTATTCTATGCGTGCAATAGTAAGTAATCCTTTTCCTGATGAGAAAAACCTCATACTGAAAAACATTCAGTATCCAATACGACAAACGAAGCTCGTCTCCGGCCGCCCGGTAATGAAGCCTACTCAACAACTCATCGCAGAACTGGACTCCTTACTCAACCAGTGGCTCGACGCGATGCCGGAACATCGTTTGTGTCCAAGTTTTCGTTGTCATTCCTTTCTCTTATCTCTATCTTTAGTGAAATGGGATCCAGATCGGCGCGGTCCTTTCTTCAAACAAAGTGCGATGTTATATAGCAATTATTATAACTTGCAGGTAAGTATACTATGCTCTTATCGTAGAACGTGACCCTCACCTGCTGATAGTGCTTCATCCATCGGCCATTCATTCCAATGCCTCGAAATCCATCTTCGTTGTCTTTCCCTTCCTTGACAATGTGCGTCACCGCAGCACGAGCATGCAGTCACGTTGCAGTAGCTATGATCGAACAAAATGTTCTGTTGCCGTTTCCTCAGTCCACGGTGCGGATATTCATTGAGCGCGGTTCAGATTCTGTTAATCTTCCTTCTAGATGTGCTTTTTCACTGCTGCAGTCGTACTACTGCTCAGTACTTGGACAAGAAGACGCTCTGGCGTAGCCTCAGCAAATGCTGATGCGATGTTGGGAGTGGATGCTTGTTTACAAACGTTCAAAATGTGTGAAACCAGGTAAGCTAGTGTACTGAAGGGCAAGTTTGAACTCTGATGCACGCTATCATAGATGGCCATCATCGGGAAGATTCTGGTGAGTAAGGCAGTCTACTATCTGAATCTATGCTTATGCAACCCTAGGGATATGATTACAGACATGGCCAGAGTTGGTGAAATACTTCCACTGACTAACAACAAGAGGCCAAGATCGTCTGAGGACTTGCGTGACCAAGTTCAACAGTCGTCGGCTGAAAACAGGGAAGACAGACAGATTGTTGGCTCGTATCGAGTGTTCCATACCCCACGCGATCCGTTACACGGTCCTCATAATTTCGGACCCGAATCAGAATTTGGAAACGAGGCTACCCAAAGTTTCGATTTGAGCAGCTTCCTTAACACCACTCCGAGTCAAGGCTCTTCTCCTGAAGGCTCTGTACTTGATACCCCACGACATCTCTTTGAGGACCCTCTCAGCACACTTAGACCTTCAGAATTCACAATCCCAAATCCAAATTCTCTTGAAAATGCTAGCGCTGACTCTTCGCCTCAGACCGATTTCGATTTCGACACCTTCTTGGCCTCTTTACCCAGTAGCATGGATAATGCAGCATCGTCGATGTGGTCCGCAACGCCGGCTGGATATGAGTCAGTATCTGCTGCATGTGGCCGTCATTTGTTCTAACACACTCGATATCTCTTCAGGGCAGATGACTGGAAAGTCTATTTATCGAACCTGCAAGGAACGGGTGTCCTCGACAGCATTGTGAACCAGCAAACGTGGTAGTTAGCGAGAAAATTTTTGGACATTTAAGACTGTATTTTGTATCGTTCCAACAGGTTTTAGAGACCTGTTCAGTCTAATCACAGTAAATAGTCTTGTGCTACATATCAACCTCTAATATTTGGGACTCGGAGGACGATCAGATTGGAGCCTGTTACAGCATGGTTGATGTGAATTCAGTCGACGTCATACATCCTCATCCTTCCCTTCTGGAGCTGTTCATCTTGTATAAAGGACACCACTGACGAAGGAGTAGGAAATATAGACAAGTTCCACGACCATCATGAATTCGATGTTTCCAAATTTCTTGGTTTCCCTTCTTTTTCTAATCCATCTAAAACCCGTAATATCCTTCATCAACCATGAAACCCTGATGAGCAGAGCAACCAACTCATCAAAGGCAGGTCTTGCGTGGCCCAATGGAAATGATATTGATATAGACCAATATTTAACGACTGGAAAGATATCTTGGTGAGTGTCGGGACAAGTCAATATTCAGACTTCTCTGACCATTTGTTTTTGAAGGTATTACACATGGTCTCCCGATGCTATTTCTTCCACAAAGATTGAGTTTGTGCCCATGCTTTGGGGAAACAATTCCGTGGACGATTTTTCTTCTACAATAAATGATACGATATCCTCCCATAATGTCACTGCAGTCCTCGGCATGAATGAGTGAGTCTGTGTTAGAATCATAGTACTTTGGCAGGTTTAATATCAAGAGCTTCTCAGACCTCAGCAGAGCGGCCAATCGGAACTGACGCCGGCGCAAGGGGCGGAACTGTGGAAGACGTACATGGAACCACTTAAATCGCAAAACATTCGTTTAGGAAGTCCAGCTCCGTCTAGTGCGCCTTCTGGTAAAACCTGGATACAGGATTTCTTGACAGCCTGTAACGGTAGCTGTACGGTCGACTTCATTGCTCTCCGTGAGTCTATCTATTTCACAGATTTTTGCGCATTGTCTCATTGACTTTCCAGATTGGTATGATATTAACGCCACCGCGTTCATAGAATACCTTGAAGACTTCCACAACACCTTCCAACGGCCTTTATGGGTAACGGAGTGGGCTTGTCAAAATTACAACGGCGGATCCCAGTGTTCCTATGATGATGTTGTGTTATTCTTGAACGCGACACAATCGTACATGGATTCAAGCGACTTTGTTGAACGTTATAGTTATTTCGGAGCTATGATAGATCTTCAAGGAGTGAACGAGGTAAGCGAACTCGCTTCCTGAAGCATATTCGCATGCTGAAACGATTTGGTTGCGACGTAGGACAACGCACTGATGAGTTCTAATGGACAAATCAACACATTAGGGAAGCAGTACATCGGAGAGCAGGCCCCACAGACCAGCGGCTCGGGTAGCGCAGATGGACCTTATGCGCCTGGAGGAACATCGGGTTCACCTACGCTCAACCAGTTTCTACCATCCGTCGTCGTTGGTTTGGCGATCATTCTAATTATTGCCGGCAACGAAATTCCGAGGTAGTTGAAAGACCTTATTTGGACATCTGCCTTCGTTCGCTGATTCCTTGGACCTTGAAACATGACATCCACAAAGAATCTACTTATGAACACAAACTGACAGTCGTTGGACCCTGAAACATGACATCCACAAAGAATCTACGTACCGCATATCTGGTCCTCTACGCGTAACTATTGTACTAGATTGTACTATACCCACTTACCCATAATCGATACCCTATTGCATCTGTACCTGCATTATTATCGTTTTTTACATATGATATGTATAACAGTGGTTTTCTGACTTTTCTTCTTAGAGCTTGTTTTCCGGATTTCGGCACAATTCTTTCGACGGGATCTTCTCTGACCCTCTCCTCGAACAATATTGCGGCATTCCGAGAAGCTTGCGAAGAGGAAATTTCCAATTAAACACTTGCAGCAGTATGACAATGGCATCGCAGGCCCGCCGACTGTCTCCCTCGCCGTTGTCGATGGCCTGACACCGAATCCGCGGAACGACATTCATTTCCGGGGTATGTAACCCAATTAGGCAAATTTTGTCTTCTTTGGGATTTTGCACGGTTAGTGTACTGTTTAGGCTTTAGAGAGCTCTTCGCTCGTCACCCGATTTGAGTCTCTCTTATGCATCTGACGTTCATCATCCCTTTATATTGACTTTCTTATTTAATCTTTCTTCAAAATCAAGTTACAAATGGTTTTCTCTCTTTGCATGTTCTCATTCGCTCTCTTTTTCTTTCTCCCTGGATTGAGCCTCGTATTCTTTTCACAATGTATATTTACGCGTCGAAACCTTGCGAGCATTGTTGTGCTCGTATCTTTTGGCTTTCTGGGAGGTGTTGAAGCTGTGACTGGCATTTTGGGAGCATCGACTGGAAGCATGATTTCAAGCGCCGTCCTGGACGGGTTTTGTCAGTATTCTACTTCAATACCTTCTCCACGATCCTGAAATTGAAGATTTGCAGCTGGAATGACTACTATCGTGCTCCTCGTTGGTAGTATCAACAAGATTAACCAGAATCGTGAATCGTCTATCATTCCGAACGCCAATTTAGGAGTATATGCGGTTTCTATGAGTCTGCTCGTTATAGGCGGTACGCGGATTTCTTGTGCAGACCTATCCCACACTGATTTGATGTAGGGAGCGCTCTATTACTCACTCAGAGACTCGTACCTTCCTCGTCACTGTTGGGACCTTTGTGTAATCTTTTATTTGCAACTACGGCGCTTCCGTTGCTCGTTTATTTGTTTCTAATCACCGTTCCTGGCTCAGCAAGTAACGAGGACCTTCCAGGCCCTACGGAAGATGTTCAAATCCCAGAGGCTAGTACGCCCCAGAAACACCACCTTACCCTTCCACTTTCTCCTTCTTTTCTTTCACTCTCCTCAGATCCACCTTCTCCAGCTTCTAACCGCACATTGACGACTGATGCCTACCTTGATCACCCTACTCCAAGGACCAAGGAATGCACCTCCTTAAATTCATCCTCAGCACAAATCTATTCCATCCAGTTGAATACCGAAACGGAAACACATGTCGGGTCTAATAAGAAGATGCTCAGTGCTCGACCTGCTACGTCCCCGATGTCTTGTCGAGAGAAGAAGACCAGGCTCAGGCCTACCTCCTTGGATGTCTCTCGACAGATGGAAACAAACGTTGACTCGCCACAGATCTCAGGATGCGTACTACCACCGAGAACACGTTCGTCCAACTGGCACCGGCAGCATCAGCCTCCGAAGTCGGATTTTCCTCCCAAGAGAGTCATGTCCCAATCAGTCTTGTCCATAGCACACGGGATCTGGATTTTCCTCATCGCTGCTCAACTAGCGGCGTTGCTAGCTGAAAGCCTCGGAATATGCATACAGGTTGTGCTTTCCGGAATCGAGGATTCTGGACCCAAACAGGAACCGTTTGGGATAGTCATGGCGGTGATATTTCAGAACCTGTTCTTTGTGGTACAGGCAGGATGTATAATGTGTGCCTTGAATTGTGAGTTCGTATTCTAGACGGAATCAAATTTTGCTGATGCTTGATCGTGATAGCATATACCCACTTTTCACGTTCGGCAAGAGATGAGCCTTTCCCGGGATCTCATGGCTCGGACGCCAATTCTCCCCATACTTCGACAAACCGCCTCCAAATTTTGATCAATAATTCAAATTCCTCGGGACCTCTCACAGATAACGCGCTGCGTACAGGCTCAGCTTTCCTAACTTCATTTCCTCCTTCACCATTTTGCGAACAACATGAAGAGAATATTAGGCTAGATGAGGACGTCGAGAAGTGCTTGCGTGCATTGAACGGGAACACCAACCTAGAAGCATTGGACCTAGCATTTCCTTTGACGCAGACTACCTACAGTGTTCTGGAACAAACCGCTTTGCCCCTGAGGCCAACCAGAACTTTGGTCCACGATAGGCAGGAGCTTTGCCAGTCGTTGTCTGTCAGCGTACACAGTGGGACTGACGTGCACTATACTCAGGTGGCGTCGTCAACTGTATTTATAAATGACTTCAACTCGCTTTCTCACTCTTTGAATGCCTTGGAATTCGGCTCGCCACCGCGATCGGTATCGTTTGTAATGGCGGAGGCGGAGGCGTCTAAGACAGCAGACAAGTTAAAATCAACTGTCATCTTTCCCATTCAACAGTCTCAGCTATCCATTCCGTTTGACGACAAACAAATACTAAATGATCTCGGGAAACCAGCATCACTCACATATAGACCGGTTTCTGGTCAACTGCAATCTAGTCCCTCAAGGTCGAAGAAGGACAGTTTCGGGAGCAAAAGTAGCAGGAGCTTAAAGCACAGCCGTCTTCCGTCTATCCTATCGCTCTCGTCGCTCTCGTCATCCCTTGCCAAATCGAGATTGCGTAGTTTCTCTTTGACTGGAAAGAATAAGTGGACAAATTCTCCAGCCACAGCATCAATGATGGATTTGGATTCAGAAAACCAACATGATCCATCTACTGTGTCTCTGTCGCGCTCATCCTCGTTCTGTTCTCCAAGACCGAAAAGGAGAGCATTTCTTAGCGGGGAGATGGAGGTAAAACACTCTGCCGATGACACTCAAGTACAATTGTATGACCTGGGCGAAAAACGGAATCAGGATGAGTCTCAGGGGCCGAACGTAGACGTTTTCAGTTCAGAGCACCACCGTGACGAATCACGAATGCGTCGTCCAGATGCCCTATTTCCAGATAACAGGACTTTGTCGCCTGTTCCATTCGCGTCGTACATATCGGAGAACACATCTCACATAGACGAAAGCACCCGTCCCGCCAGTCGATGTAGCGAAGACCAAAGACCACCTCTTCGTCCCACACGTTCGTCCACTTTCCACATTTTTCCCAACTTCGATGCATTGGTCGGTTTGGGCTCGCTTGGTGCGAAACTAGGCCGCGGACTGAGCGGAGGACGATCACCATCGCCGATGCCGACGAGAATGCTCAGTACCGGTGCAGGCGAAGGGATGATTGGTATGCGCTCTCCGACGCCTTGGAGGATGGCCGGAATCATGGAGATGACGAAGGCTGCGGTGAGTGGTGCCGCAGGAGTAATGAGGCCTCCTAGCGGTCTAGGTATGGATTTGCTTCGGACGAAGGATCCGTTGGGTGCGAATGGGGAGGTGATGGCAGTGGAACGGATCGAATCTCATGGAGACGAAAATATTGTCAAAAGCAAGCAAACAAGGAACGGTGGACGTGGGTGGATCTGTGTAGAATCGGAAGATGAGGAACAATACGCATCTGATGCCGATGTTAATCTCTGTGAGATCAGGACACCAAAGAAACTCAGTAGGCCAGCGGAAGAAGACCGATGGACAAGCCCTTCGAGGATCCCGAGATTGAAGACAACGGTTCTACATAGTCCTGAGTCGTTGAAGTCAAACTCTTCTTCAGAGATATCAGCTTCGTTTGGTCTGCAAACGCCTCGCACTCCGTTCACACCAAACACCCCGATATCTTCTTTCCGCAAACTCATCCACTCTGAATCACCTCAGTCTTTACCCGAAACTGTGTCTATATCGTTGAATCCTTACGACGCCTTTCGCTCTTCCCCCCTTTCGACCAAAAATAAGCCAGCTTTCTCCCCACCACCGAGTTCATTCAGCAGTTCTCGTTTTGGTTCCAAGAAAGCCCCACATTTTGGTGGGCCAGTCGAAGTGTTCAGCAATGATCCAGATCCTTTTGCTGGTCCCGAGCTAGGTGCTATTGTCCGAGACTCACAAGTTAACCTTTTACGAGAAGACGCGGACAAAGATGGATATGGAGTGCAAAGCGCTACAAGGATGTCCGCATGGGGCAACCTAACTTTATCTGTACCGAAAGAAAAAAGGAATCCAGGTGTTGGGCTGAGAAGGCCTGTGGGGGACATTAGGTCAGTTTCTTTCGGTTTCCCTACTTGTAATTGTTAGCGCTCAAGCTGCTAATCCAGAAACGTCTCTAAGCGCAATGTCGCTGCCTCTACTCCCCCCTTCGACAGGTCCATCGATACAAGCGACAACCAGACTGGTAGTGTACATGCTGAGACTGATCATTCCCTCGATTCACCATCAGCATATGCACAGGAGATAGTCACTCAGGCACGCTTAGAGGCCATGTCACTGAGTGGGCCGTCAGCTGTTGAGGATATGAAGCAAAGAGAGGTTGGGGACCGGGTCAGTCATGGGTCCGTTTCTCAGGTCCCTGTCGAAGAAGCACTCCTGGCCCAAAGGCTTCTACGAAAACTTAATCGACGGGCCGAGGGTCGGAAGGCCGTGGGCGGAAAGCAGAGAGGAGCCCAAGTTAAGAATTTAAGTGGGCCAGGAGCCAGTCTTGACGTCACAGCCAATAGCGGAGGAAGGAGTTTCTTGCTAGGCATGGCTAAAACCAAGTTTCTGGGTTATGGACGGTCTACTGAACCTGAGCACTAGATTCCACTGATTTCAAGTTTCCGTTTATGGACTTTCGCTGTTACTGTTGTGCCATAACTTACAGTTATCTTTTTGGCTTATCAGATAGTGATCCTACCAATAGGCCTGTTGTTTGTTTTCGTCGCACATTGACTTTGTTGTACCCCTCGATTCACCTTCACAAAATGTAGTCAAGATTTAGCCATCGTTCTCTTCTCTCATCAGCTTCACCTGTACTCATTATGTTGTATCATAGATCTAGTAGATACTAAGCTCGAGCCCTTATTCCGGTCGGAATCCTCGGATTTGGTTTCAACGTTTGTTCCATGCCCAATGTTCATCGGGTCATTGACTCGTTTCTGTAGCAGCTTGAGCATGGCGTCCGCTACGGACGAAGTATGCAGGTGCTCTTCAAGAAAGAGTCGAAGGCTGCTGAAGGAGGGCAACAAGTTTGATGAAGTGTCATGCTACGAACGACGATGCAATGAATGACAGTGTCAGGAAGCATGAGTCGCTATGCCATCCTCGCTAGCCTCCGGCTTTCCAAGTCCTTCATCCGCTTCCAGACGTCTATAGATACCTCTGGCTCGTGCGTCGAGAGAGCTAACAATCTAACGGGTAATGATAAGTGCTCAAGTCAAAACTCAAGACTATTGATTGCGGAAACCTACTTGGTCATCAACATACGATGAATCAGGTCATCTGGGGTTATTGTAGTTTGCGCTTTCCTCTCAACGGAAGATTGTGATCTTTGCGCTTCGTTTTGCCTTTCCTGTACGAATTCCTCCTGGATAAGCTCGGCTGCTGCATTGGAAACCCCAATCCCTCCTACAGGTACTGGCGGCGGCGGCGGTGACGAGGAGCTTTGGTTTACAATATGGACTGTTTGCTTTGCGATCGCACCTCCAATCAACTTCCGCCATGCTTCCAGTTTCTCGATGGGAGGAAGGTTTAGCTCATCTGGTAATTTATATAGTCGTTTCTGGAGCTCTGAAGTTGACAACGAATCGGCGGGTCTCAGTGGAATAGTTGTGTGCGTTTCCACTAAAGCACTCTTTTTCCCTTCCGTGCAGACGATACATCCGATGTCGGTCTCGAAGCGGTATACACTATACGGGAATACATATTCGAGGGTTTGATTGCGAATGACCTCTTGTAACGCTCTAAGGTTCCGAACTCCGCGATCGTTGATTTGGCCCTCCGTGACACTGGAATCTGTGATGAGGCATACCGTCGACGGGGCGAGTTGAAGTAAACCGGAGTAGAGCTCGTCCTCTGGCTCTTCGTCAGCACCTTCTGATCGCGGCCGAGGCTTGGACTCGGGGAAGAATACCCCGTCGTTTAACAACGGCAGGGATAGAGGCACATGTGTTATGATGGGCAAGAGAAGAGATAGAACATGGTAAAGGGCTGGTGTGCCAGTAGACGTTTCCAGTCTATACACATCGGGGGTATCAGACGTTGAAGCAGTAGGTACCACTTTTGCAGGTGGAGGCGGAAAACGCGCCAGAGTGAGGGAAGCGGGGATGATCGGTGGGTGTCGCGATTGGCTATGAGCAAGTATACATTAATCACTCGGGATCAAAGGAAAAAATAAGCCAAGAGAGCAGTATGGAGAAAGAATGAATGTGGATATTACTCACACTCGGGAGATTATAGATAACAAAACCCATTCTGCTGCATCCATGTCGCCTGCTAATGATTCATCCGCTATCCATTTGACGAGTTCGCGTTGAAGGGCTCGATTTCCCTTTTCCAATGAGGTCGATTCGTGCGTGTCGGTCATCGTCAGAGGATACACTCGATATGGTTTGTGCGCTGTGTTCTCGTGCAGATGAAACAAGACATGTAATGTATCGCGTTCTGCTTCAAAGAGACCGACGAACGTCGCAATGTCAGTACTCTTCAAGTCAGGGTCTGATTGTACAGAGTAGATATTGGTATGGACACCGATATGTGCAGTGGAAGGCAGAGGAAACTTGTGATCCGCGCTTCGATTTGAGTTTTTTGACGTTGAAGCCAGAACAGCGTCCGTGCGAGTCTGTCCGGCCCACTCAGTTTCACCAGGAACACTGATCACCCAGTATCGGGTGCATTCACGAAGATTTGAATAGTCGATATGTTCGTCCATTGATTCATGCGCGCCCCAGCCACCATATTTCCCTTCTCTGAGTTGCGAGAGATACAATTCCGGAGACGCAGAGGTGTCCTGAACCATGCCGCGAAATTGTACCAGACGGGGCGAGGTTGAGGAAGAGTTACTTGAGCTCTGGGCAAAGTATGTCGAATGAAGGTGCGGAATCTTGGGTGAAAGAATCACTAAGAAGTGGCACGACTGTATGATTATCACCACCACTCACCAATTCCAAACGTTGCTCCTGATCAAAAATTTCTCGGAAATGATTACTGAGAACAGAGTGAAATTCGATTGAAGACTGCGACTGAAGATGTTGATCAAAAAGCTCTTGTATCGCAGCTTGAGGGTCATTCAGAACATCGAATGGCACAGATGAGACCATGGTTTTGTGAGTCTGAAATTTGAATACTGTGGCACGAATCGCGTTTGCGCGTTTGCTTATGTCAAATTGGGTCACATGCACCTTTCGCCAACTGCCAGTCGTTGGAACTTGGAACTCGGAACCAGTCTCACCAAGGATCCCACAACAGAGAACGACAGATCAGAAACGCAATGATATTGTTTGAAAGAGCTATTTGTGAGCCGAATCTCTTTCTTTTCTAGCTCAGATCCAGAACCTCGGCGGACGAAGGAAGATAAAGTCAAAACCCTAGGTTAAAACTTTCTGATGCTTCTCCCTTACAGAGACACTTTCTGATGCTTCTCCCTTACAGAGACGGGGACAAAATACCGTCATCCTAAATTTCTTCGCGAGCATGATCTGAGTATACGCTTATCTGATGCAGGAGGTGCCACTCTAACGGTAGACTGAACTGAACGGCGCAAGTTCGCCGAAAAAGATGTTTAGAAGATCGGAACTAATCTGCTCAGTCTTGGAAGATTCTTTCTTTGGAACACTCATTACTCTCGACGTGTACTAGATTCAACTTGCTCAGCTTCGCTGCCATTTGGTGTCTTGGGTTCAAGGTCATGGTATTCAAAAAATGACTTACTATCGTGCTCATGTGCCCGTCCGTCCATACCGTCAAAGAGTAACATCTTAACGCATGACCTCACATAACCCTTTCCATCTCCCGTTTGGCCCTCTCGAAAATCCTATAAAGTCCTTGTCGTTCGTCTGGTCCTTCATAGACTTCCTACCTTTCGCCCCTACCTTTCGCCACAACACTCCTCCCGCTGCATTTAGCTGTAACTCCCTATGTTTGCTCTCGTTCAACTCACTGTATGGGCAATGGCGTTCTGGACCATGACACGTAAACGTCCCTTCGTTCAGTTCCGTTCAGAAAATTCTTGATATTTGTGATTGTTCACATCTTGTAGACACGAGCCTCGATGTTTTCGCTCAAAATTCCACCTGCGCTAGTAACTACACCGTCCAGCAAGGAGACATCTGCCAAACCATCGCTGCTCAGTTCAATATCACCATCAGCGATTTGGAGGCCGCCAATCCTTCGATCAACTCGGGGTGCACGAACCTTGCCATCGGAGAGGTGCGTTGACTCGTGTTCAAGGTGTTCAGTATCACTGAGACCCTTGGTGCGCTTTTGTGCCAGGTTCTGTGCATTCCAGGGGCTGCAAGCTGCCCAAGTGGGGTAACCTACGTCGTCAAAGATGGTGATGTTTGCATCGACATTGCCGATATGTTCAACATCACTGTTGCTGCTCTTGATGCTAGTAACCCAGAGATCGACGCCAACTGTGACAACCTCAGTATTGGAGAGGCAAGTGGCAATATCCGATCTCTTTGGGATTTGTTTACTTATTGGATATCCTCAATTGTAGCGTTTGTGCATTCCCAGCTCTTAATTTTGCATCATATCTTCGGACACTGTTTTTCAAAAGGACTAAATTCGGACATATTCTGACCTTCTATTTTTTGTAAAACTAAATCTTTTTCAAAGTACTCAGAACCATTGGTATACATGGACTACATAAATGACATGCAATGTTTGAACAATGCTCGCAAAAGTTCTAGGCCCACATTTGTTTTTCAAGTGTATTCATATCAGAAGGCTAGACAGTAAGACGCAAATTTCTATTCAAGTTCGGAGCTCATTCAAGGAAGAAAAGCCCCCTTGATGATTTCAGCAGCTTATGACGACGTGTTAGTGGCAAGCCAAAGGGTATTTGTGCAAAGTTGACATACCTTGTTCAGCTATGATATAAGCAGTGGCTACAATTTACGATGATTTTTCGGTCATCCCATTGAAGCGTGTTGACAATATATGCGCACCTTGGGTATGAGCGGCAATTTGCAAAGGGACAACCGACAAATCCACGACGCGTATGTTCTTGGTTCCGTAGACCTGTGAAACATCGCATCAGCATCGTTTATCAGAGATTGTTGGGTTCATACAGACTTTCAGCTTTGAGTCTACAGCACCATTTCGATCCTTTGGAAGCATTGAAAGCGTACCGACTGTATCTATGGGAGGATTGAGAAAATTGAAAAGCCCTTAAACTAGTACTTAGATGTAACTTACGCCAACCAGTGCTCAAATTCTGCTTTAACCAGCCTAAAAAGCAACACGATGATGGGTAAGTATGTCAATACACAATTAAAGAGCGGCACATACTTGCAATCTGCTCGTCTGTCTGAATATCTGCACCGGGATTTAGCTCTACTGTAGCACTATGTGAGTCATGTTTTTCAGGGTATAAGTGCCGCGATCCCGACCATCTGAAAGAACATCTTTCAAAGGCGCTGTCTTCACAATTTTGCGAATATATTTGACTTCGTTAATAAACGCTTGGAGATCTTGTTGAAATCAGTAGTCAGTATCAAATAGCAGCTGTAGTTGATCCAAGGTAGACCTATATCGTGTTCAAAATAATGCGGATCTATCAGCGGGGGATCGTAGGGGTTGCTTGATGAGCTATGAATTGTTCCGCGAGAGAAATTGTGATTCAGGAAACCGATGATCGTATAATACTTCTTCTCCGGTCGTGGTGGATCTATCTTAAAGCTTAGCCGGGTTAGAAGTGGACCCTAATGTCCGAGACTTACTTGGACCAGAGAGGGAACCGGATAAACTGACGAATTCACAATCCAGGGCATCATGTTGATGGTATTGCAACTGGAGTTCATACTGTTCCGCCAATCCTGGTGGATACCTGCCTTCTTTGATATCCTGGTGTATTCTTATTTTTTCCGCGTCATATAATGCTTCTGCATCTGAAGCGATTTTCTTCAGAGGAAAACTGGCCATATTGACGATTCCGGTCATGTATATACCTTGACCCTTTGAGCTATAGTTACTCTTGTTAGATTACATATACTTGATTTGACCTAGGATGACTCTTACTAAAGATCAACATGTTCTGACTGTTGAACGCTATCTCGCAGAAGATCATATGTTTCTCCGGTGTAATCTTCCTTGAGCTCTGTTCGAATACTGAGTATAGAATAAGTGATAAAAGCCTGCTCAACTTACCGAATGTACAACCAATAAACAGATGCTCTTGCAAGTTTTCACCCACACCTTCTAGAGGAACTTTGACATCGATGCCAAGTCTGGACAAAATCTCTTGTTTCCCGATACCTGATAGTTCAAGGATTTGCGGGGACTTGAGCGATCTGAGTACAAGGCACTTAGTGTTCCAGAGACTTCATATTGGTACATCCACGTTTGAATATTCACCCAGCAGACAGAATGACTTCCTTTCGTGACAGAGCACAAAATTTTCTGTTTGTTGCTTTGTGAAGAAATTCGACACCGGAAGCCTCGAAATCATCATCTTTGGAGTCAGAGGAAAGGATGACCGTAACCTCGGCGCCGACTAAAACGGATAAATTCTGTCTTTGGAACGCATTATCCTGTGATGCCTATTTTGTGTTACTGAGATTTGGTTTTCATGGAAATATTGAACGGGAAAGGCATACAGTAGCAGCATACGTGCGAGAATGCAAAGTCGGATGTACGTTGTTCAAAGCGAAATAACATCCATGACTCTGCAATATAAGTCAAATTAAAAACCCACCAATGACTCCACACTGGACACGAAGACACGAGTGAGTCAGGAAAGAGGTTACACACATCGCCATGATACTAAAGAAATACTTGCTCAGAAACAATCAATGAAATAGTATGAATATAATTCATACAGGAGCTCGAGATTGGATGAAACCCATGTTCAACAAAGTCTAGAAGAAGTTCCATGACCCAAATTCTCCATGGAGTCTGGAAAAACTTGCCTGATGCATTTTGATATCCACGTCGAGTACACCACGAGGGTGAGCGACTTGTAGAGGACCTGTTCACGCATATCAAGCACATCACATTAGTATTAGCCCGGTTTCGTATAAGGTGAAATATAATTTACCTTCACCATGAGGTTTGTTAGCGTCCCAGACATTGAAAGCCTCGACAGACAATGCGGTAGTGGTGGATTCAAGAGGTGTATACCTATCAGATTGGGAGATGATATGACTCTGGATTCACATGATGGGGTTGGAAAGACCTACGTTATTGCCCGTGTTGTGTGCTTCTCAAAATTAGCCCAATTCCAGCCTGGGTTTCCAAGTTTCTCCCAGTCTAAGAGTAAGTGACGGTAGGATCAACAAATTCTTGGGGAACAAGACCAGATAGTAACTGACTGTCAATATCCTCTTTTGGAGGAAAAGTCCACACAGAGAAGTTCATTGCTGAAGTTCCGCCCAATCCCTTACCGCTGTCATTCAATGTGAAGCAGGAGCAATACACAAGAGGTATATCCAAATTCACCGACTCCATAGATACTCATTGTTATCTGAAAATTTCTGGGGTACCTAGTATTATTCATATTGAGAGGTTTGAAGGCGGGAAAATCGGATATACAAACAGTTTTGAATCCCCAATCATACTCCGGATTACCGATTTGCATTCCAAATTGCCCCGGGCGAGCTATGCATATCATCTAGGACGATTCATTACCCAGATTTAAGAATCTCGTACTTATCAGAGGATGATTCTCCGAGTCTAGATGCGCATTTCCCGCTTCTAGCACGAGTACAGACGAATCTGCATCTTCCGACAAGCGAGAAGCGAGGGTGAGACCTGCAGTCTACGTTGAGCATGATGCTTCAGTTATTCGCTAAACTAACAGCACAAGATTACACATACGCCGCCACCTGGAAACAAAGAGGTATGTAGTGAGAATATCCTTGCAAAAACAATCTTAAGAAGTTGACTTGCCTATCACAATGTAATCGAATATAGAGCCTGCAACTTGCTCTATTGACACGAGAGGCATGGTGGGTGAATTGAAGAAGACGAATCTGCAACTCCTGATGTACTTATGACTACTTATAAGCTGAGCTGAGAAAGTCGCAAGTATGGTACCCGGTCAGCGGCAACGAGACATCTGTCAGGCGCGACTGCAACCAAGGAGCCAGAAGGATGATGGTAGTAAAGAATTAATGGCAAAGTAGCGATAGTGAAGATGGGCAACTTCGAATTCTTATTGAATTCGATTACAAGCTCAGAGACGGGTTAGGATCCTGCTTGATCCTGCTTCCCTGCTCTACTAGAAGCTGCACACTGGCATCTGATTTATACAGATCCTCCGGATACTCAATGTAGTCTTTCAGTTTGTCCGATCAGCACAAATGAAGCGCAGCTACCTTGACATAGCTTGGAGTTGTACAGACTTGTACGGGTGGGTGCTGGACAGAAATTGTGCGGAGAATTCTCCCAATATCACCATAAGAACCATCGCCCTGAGTCAGCTTTGTGGGAAGATCACAGCTATTGTATTCAACGCTCAACAGCAATTCTGCATTTGCGAGGGCGCTGTCGGTGAGAGCCTCTGCCATCCCGCGCCCAAAACCATGATATACGACTTGTGCAATGCCCTTCATAGTCGGCATAGCGAGCGCAGAGGCAACACAACAAAGGAAAAGAGTGATAGGCGTATTGCGATAGCGAGGGTCCAGGAAAGTTCAAAGTTCTTGTTGTACACTGTCTGGAGGGCTGCTGGCTGCTGTTGCGATTGATGATTGGCCAGCTATTCACCGTATTTTGATGGTTTGATGCTGATACATGATCCTCCCTCCCATCTTGTAGGCAAAAGAGTCAACAAACTTGGTGAGCGAGCGCGGCCCAGCTGGGACGCAGTCAAAGTCTAGATCACATTACGTGGAAAAATTGAGTCACATGAGTGTGAGAAGTATCTCAAACTAAGGATTGCCACGTCGCTCGTATTTTCTCTTCACGACTGCCACGTATATCTATCGATCGTCCTGCTAACCGCAGTATTAAAGCCTCATTCCTCCTCTTATATCGCCCTCAGAATGCCCAAAGTGCCGACAAACAAAAACTCTTTTGTCAACCCAGCATCTCTTTCTTTACCATCTACATCTGACGACATGTTTTCTTCTCCTTCACCCGAACCTCAGCCTGGTCCTTCTCGAAAACGTCCTCGTACTGAACAATCTTCTGAGGACCGCAAAGAAGCCAGGGCTCACCGTAATCGTATTGCTGCACAGAATTCTAGAGACCGTAGAAAGGCCCAATTCTCCTATCTTGAGCGCCGAGTCGCTGAGCTTGAGGAGGAGAATCGTCAGCTTCGCGCTGGCATGGGAATGTCTCCTGCAGCTGCAACATCTGCTCCCGTTCTCGTGTCTTCTGCCCCAATCAAATCATCTTATGATGAAGCTAGAGATCGTGAGAACGAAGAACTCAAGGAGCGGATAAGAACCCTCGAAAAAGGTTGGGACGCTGTTGTTAAAGCTCTCGCCGAGCGGGGTCTTCCAACAGGTGTCGCTTCATCATCGAATGTCGAGATTGTACCTTCCGCTGTTTCCCCTCCTGCCCTTTCCACTTCTGTTATGCCTCCCTCGCCTTCCTCATCGACCACCTTCTCCTCCTCATCTGTGTCGACATCACCCATCCCCTCAACTGTTACGTTGTCACCGTCATCATCATTAGTATCAGAGTCTTCTGAGGCCCCCCAGTCCACTCGCCACCTAGCACGGGTGGCGACAGGAAGAACCCCCCTTCCTTCCCTGCAGCGGGTGAACTGGCCCTCTATGACCCCTACTGTGACAATATCTCAGCCGCCGCTGATTTCGAGGTTCCCACTGGCTCTCAAGACGCACCGCCAGTTGACGACGCTACCATGGAATCCCTCTTCCGCGAGATCATCTCTGACAGCGAATCTTCACCTGTCACACAGACGCATTCGGAGCTCGTCTCGCTTCCCACCGAGAGTCATTCGACTTATGGTCTGGCTCAACCAAAAGAATTCCACTCGCAAGCGACCTCCGCCAAGGAGGAAATGACCATTGGGCTTTTGGATAGCGATAGGAGAATGCGTGTGGATGGATTAAGTACGGTCCACTTGAACGAAGAGAATGCAAGTACAGAGGTTGATGGGCTGGATCTTGGTCTCAACCATGGCCGTATCGAGAACGACATGATGGATTTGAGCGACTACATTGGGGAATCGGCGTCTTCACCCGAGTCAAGTGCCGCCTGGTCCGATATCGGACTTACTTTGGAGGCCTTCTTGGATATATTGCCTGGTACGCAGGATGTCAATGATAACATCCCCACAACAGGCTTGTGGGAGTCTTTTGAGGGACGAATTGGGCTTGTCTGAGCCGTCAAAAACGTTACTGCAAGGAAACGGACATCCTCCTCTTTTGTGATCTTTATTATCAGTCTATTCTTGGTGGTTACGTGTCATGAATGCAATGTATCGCCTATCTCCTTTTCTTTGGTTTCTATCTCGTCTCGTTCCTCATATATATCCGTCTCGCACCTCTCATTTTTCAATCTCTCAAATGGACCATTACGATACCGCACTTTTTGATGCCTTTCACCGAAGACTTCACCGCGTTCATTTCTTTCGTATCATCCTATTTTTCTTGTTACCAATATCCCTCGTGCACACGTTCCTTTCTCTCGTTACCTATCTCTCCCCTCCTTCCTCACCTTCCAGATCCTGATGCAGTCTCCCACTGGCCCTTTGTTTCGTTTTGTGCAGCGCATTTTACTAACCCTTCGAGCCTTGAATTTTCTCCTTCTCGAAGTGATGAACTTTCATTGTGTTCGAGGGTGCTAGGATCATGAGCGCGCATAGTGGAGCGGGTGTGTCTTTGGTGAGCGCTTGGGTGTTTCGGTCGGTTAGGCTCCCGGTTTTTTCTTCGTTTGCACGATTTTCAGATATTGGTCGCGGTTTTCGAAGGATGTTTACGAAGGGGGTAGACATGGACGTTGTGTAGTGTTGTACTTAATTTATCAAATGGATGCGTGTTCGTGTTGGTTTCCATGTGTGCGAACGTCTAGTGTATTGCGGTTTATCAGTGACTACGGTTTCTTGGTTAACTTCCTTCTCAATGCAGAAAAAAGAGGATATTGTTAAAATTGAATTCTGCGAACAAGTAAGTCAGGTTTCTGGTTTGTCCTATCTTTAAAACATCAATATTGATTGAAGAAATTCAGCATGTTTCGAGCCAACTGAAGGTAGAAGACAGTCTCGACGTCGACATTCGAAAAATCAAAGACGAAGACTCCGATGACACCAAAAAAGTTCTTGAGCGGTCTGAAATCAAGCCAGCCCTTTCAAAATCATCCTTTGGAATTGTTAGTACTTCGTCCAATGGCGTTGGCAAGACGAATGCTTCCGCTCCTCCTCGTACAAGGACTAGACTAGTGCTAGACCATGTTTATATCGACTCCTCCCAATCAGACAAGAAATCTAAAGAACTTCAGGAAGCGTTGGCTAGGCTCAGGGCCATGCGAAATGTACGTGTGTACCTACTACTAGTACTTTCGGTCTGTTCTGATTATTTCTCCAGCCGAAACTGAAAATTAAGAAGAAGGACGAATATGAATTACCTCTGAATCCAAACACACTTCTTACGCTCCTCGATCAAATGAAACCTTATGCAGTCACAATTGCAGAGCTTGAGCGTTCTGTTACTGTCTCAAGAGAGTTCATGAATAGTGTCTTTGGAGGAGGAACACGAAAATCTTTCGTAAAAGTTCGTTTGGAGAAATTCAAAGAGCACGGATACAATGATTTCGCGTACCTCACTACAGAAGTGGACTCACTTGCTCCAAGTCTGGCCGGGCAGCCAGGGCTGTTTTTCTCCACTCGGGAAGCATTTGACCATGAATATACACCTGTTTGGATGAAGGAACCTTATATCTTCCGCGTCTTCACCCGGCTTGAATCCAGTCGTTGGCTTTATCAAGGTCAATACAAATTTGCCCATTGTAAGACCCTCACTGCGAAAGAATGGGGTGAACAAGGTGAAAAGGTAGTCTCTTCAATGCATTATCTCTATATGTACCAAAATACTTGGAAAATCAGGTGCAGAATACTTGGGCGCAGAATATCGCACAATATCGCTGGGGAGCTGATGTTCGTGGTCGGATAGCATACAGAGAACAATTTGACAGAGATCCTTCTGCTGCACAATTAAAGGAGATGCTGATGGAAGAAGCAACGAAAAAGACAGCAGCATTCCCACACATCACTAAAGAGAAAGTCCTGTCAGCATTTCAGAAAGGGAAGGAGGTCGGTGTCAACGTTCTTCCTTCATTTATTTTTACTAACTTTGCTAGCAGCGTATGGTGATTTGGAAAATGGAATGTGTTGGATACGACGAGGGCTTTCAACGACGCATTGCTGCAGAGTTCAGGGCATGGGAACTTGGTCAGAACCTCACGCACAAGTACGAGGACATAAACCCTGTCACATTGAATCAAAAAGTGGAGACTGGGGTACGGCAACGCTACATGAAAAACATCCCTCAACGCACTAAGATGGGAACCAAAAAGAGAGGGGAACAAGAAGAAGTTGTTCAATATGTTCCTCGAGGGACCAGATCGCGCCCCCTACAGAGTTCTTAATTCTTGTGTTGTTTTTTTGAATGCATGTAAATACAGTCCAATTAATTACCTGCTACTAAAGGTAGAGTTTCGGGATAGAACTGTCCCCTGTCTCATTCATAAATGTAACACAATATGCCAGCAGTGGTATTGATAACATCTCCGACGGTGGATTCTTCGAACATACCGTCTGCATGCATAACAGAGTCCAACTAGTTCGAGTAAATTTTTAGTAAAACGAGAAGGTTCCAAGTCCCGAGAATCACATACAGATAACATCGGAGGTCCTCCGTTAGGATATTCGGCATAAATTGTTGCATTGTCAATCATCTGGACAGAACCTCCATAAAAGATCCCCGCATTCGCAGAGTTCGCGATTTGCCAGTCGTACCAGACTTTGTCCACCATCTATGCACGAATATGATTGGTATAGCTTTGATTAGAAGATAAAACATACTGCATGATGCATCCAAAATATAGGCTCTGTAAATGGGATCACGGTTAGTAAGAGAAAAAGAAAAAGGTAGGAGAAAAAACTCACCGTTGGCCGAAAAGGTGGGCCCCGGTGTGCAGTTAGCGGGAGCAGTACTTGGACAAGTACCACCCAAATCGCTGTCCAAGTCACGAATGTCAACCTCAAGAAAAATGTTGCAAACGTTCATGACTTGCCCGCCCAAGATTTCATGAACACTACCGTGCGCGCCCTTCAGGATGGCATTTGAGTTAGACTCCACAAAATGCGCCCTATTATTAAACACACCTCGAAACCTTCCATATAAACCTGGAATCCCTTATAGTCTCCTACGAATCCATCGACCATTTTATCAACTTCAGATTGGGTAAAAGTCGCATTTGCATCCTCATACGGGTTTGTGAAAAGTGTGGGATCAAGGCCGATGTATGGTTGAAGAGTGAAGTTCCGTCGTAGAGTGTGATAGGAAGGATACGATAGTTTGAAATCGGAGAAAGCCCCGTTGGGCACTTGGGCGTCATCCGATAGGTTGCCCCAGCCACCAAGACCACTGACAGGATCGAAATCCTGGAACATTGTAGACCCATATACATCAGATGCATCTACGTCGGAGGTGATAGAACAAATAAGATTTTTTTACTGTATCTAGTGTCGATAGCAGATATTCACCAGCAGCCCAGTTCCAGTACGGAGAAGTCCCATTGAAACCGCACTTTTCTTTCAATGCATTTTCATACATTTGAACGTACCAACGATGAAAGGGAAGAAATAGACCCGTAAAATGAATCTGAACGATGATCCAGTCAAGATACTGAATGATGTCAGTCAGAGAGAGCTGCCTACGATGTGATTGAGATCCATGTGCATGTAAACAATATCTGTTCTGGCGTTAGTCTCAGATCTAGTTGTCAACGAAGCTCATACTCACCATCGTAGTAAGAGCCTGAGGCGTTCACAGATACAATGTCGTCGGGATTGACGTATGGAGTGAGTGCAGGATCGTGCGGGAGTTCACTCAAACACTGGACGGAAAAACGGGAAGTGAGACCGGGTCATGGTCAATAAGGGTAGAACTTGGAGCATACCTGAACGGCGCTGATCCAATTGGCACGCTCGTCTGTGGACAAGGTGCGCCATTCCCTCCGCACAGCCGGATTGGTGCAATTCGCATGTGCAAAACAGAACAAACCGAAGAGGAAGACCGCACTAAGACCTAGCATCCTGCACGATAATGGGGGCGTGAATTATCCAATGACCTACCCTTTTATCTTCGAAAATTGTGCCGTGTTCATTTGTAGAGGCTTGATTTCGTCGTCGGTCTATTCGGACTTCCGACGATCGTGGATTGTAATTGTTGCTGAAAGTTGTTGATATTTGGCAGTCTTCGCTCTTCCAAAGAGCCCCCTCCCAGCCCCTCCCCCGAATCTCGGAGAAGCGTCGATATGCAAGTTCGAACGAAACGCAATTAACAATCATATATTCATTTGCGAAATTCGGGAGTATACAGTAGACGGGTACGAGGCCTTCGGTAGCTACGCCGCGGGCCTTCGTGTTACCTACATAGTAACCCAGGCCTTCCGTAGGTCGGAGAGGGACTGTGCCGAAACGATGCCAAGGCTGAATGGCTAAAATCTGGGCTGAGTTCACATCTGTTCACATTGTATGCAGATCCAATTTCTTCAGTGGAGTCTGAGCATGCGGCATGTAAGCGCAAAACAGCATGAGATTATGCTTTTCTATACCCTTTGAAGTTGGAAGCCTCGTAAGGGCTACGGAGAGCTCTGAAGTTAAATTGTAAAACATGTCCGTAGTTGAGATGGCCACATACCAAAATAAAGGCATTGTTCGAAGGATGGGTGGGAAGAGACTGTTTCGAATATGGCGCATGCGGCACGAGTTGTAATCTTTGTCGCAAGTTGGTGGCGGTAAATCCTGTGGTTTGACGGGGTGGAAGGTTAGTACCAGCTGAAACTACGTAGTGTACGAACGGCTAGCCTAAGTGTAAGATAAAGAAAGAGGAATGCGAATGAATTTTCAAACGAAGTCGTGAAGCAAACACGTGCCTCTTGCTCATCGCGCTCATTGATGTCGATGAGCCGCTACTCGCATTTTCCCCTCCTCTTCATCCCTCGCTTCATGAAAACATGAAAATTAATCTAGGCCCACCCTCCTCTTCCCTATTCATCGATTACACTTGGTATCTTTGGGTCTCCTCCAAACCGTTTCCTCACTAGACCCGATTTACCTTGTGTACTGGAATTGCTCCATCCTCGGAAATGATGCGGACGCCGGCCGCAAGCGGCGCCAATTCCATCCGCAAATCATTCAATGAATTTGCTGCAATGTTTGGCACTTTGTCAACTCTTCCAAATTCTCTTCGTATGAAACAACCTATATATATAGAAGTTATACCACCTTCCATTTCTCTGTTCACACCTCGATATGGAACTTGCTTTATACTTGGGATGGGAGAGTTTCGATGATGTTCAAATGTTCACACGCGGACAAAGCAGAAGTTATTCTGCGCTTTTTCAAAACTCTTCCATAGCCGCTGCGGCCCATCAAGAGTCGCGACGATCGGTACAATTTCCCTGATTCCATAGCTGTTTTTTTGATGTCATGTTCCGGCTCAGCGCGGGAGGTGGGTTCTTGATGTCACTTCCTCCACCAGGTTAGCCTGCCTCAACCTATGTCCGCGTATTGCGAAAAGACCAATTGTGGCTCGCTCCCAAATGCTAGACGCTTTCCAGTTTGTCCTTCAAGAAACATATGTAGTATCATAATCTATCATGATGCCCTTGTATGTGGACGCGACAATTTGAACTTCAGCCTCGACTCGGACGACATATAAATGTATATCATCCATATGGTTCAAGACGTTGAAAGGTATGTGGTGCCAATGTGGTGCTCCAACTGACATGAATCCGTTATGGGCCTTTATGCTTATTATGGTTGTTAATGTTCCGATGTTTTTTTTTTTTACCTGAGTCCCGGTAACACTTGTCCGATGGGTTATGGCTGCAATTAACTGTGAGATACTCAGGAGATACTGAAATCCTTTTACTCGAATGCTTTCACTGCTGATTCACTAATTTAAATCAATCTTCTCCAGGTTCTGTCACGTTCTGTGTCTCTAGTCATCTAATCGCATGCCATCCAGCCGCTGTGACCTGGTAGTTTGTCTAATTTATTCCGGATGGAAACCTAATCTCTCCGTAACTTGCGTTAACGTTTTCTTCCATCTGACTCGCGACTTTAATAAGTGGGACCTTTTCAGCCCTTCTATTTTCAAGATGGCTGACGTTGATGTCTTTATTATCGGAGGGAAGCAGCGTTTCTGCACTTCTCGTTCCAACTTGCGGGCGAACCACGTAGATATGGTTTCCTCCCCAAAAATTTCTGTAAGTATAGATCAACGCTTCAAAAATGACTCAAAGCTAGAATTTTCGTTGTACTGCTGCTTCATAATCACCATAACTCCAAACCACCGTAACCAAGACCATTCCGGCGGCGGGGAGTAGGAGGCGGTAAGTGGCGGCGGTGTGAAACTCTAAATTTACTGTTTATGTACACGTGTGATGTTATTTTCATGTACCTTCCGTAGCGCCTCGGTTTTTTACTCAGTCTTACCGCCTCAGTACCGCCTCGGCATGCTTTCCGTATATTTATATTCCCCAATGAGAACTCAATATCTCATTCTTTTCTCTAATTCGTTGATTCCCGGTTGAATCTTTCGGTGACATTCCTTGTCTCCGTAATCTTTGGATCGTACTTTAACCTTCAACCTGGCGCCTCCTCATCTCTCAATATGACCGCTTTGTCTCTTGCTGCTGCCCCAGGCGATTTGCTTCTTGAAATAGCTGCTCATCTTGATTGTCGAGCCGACGTTTTTAGCCTCTGTTTGACGGTAAGCGCTGCTAATCATTGGCACTGCTCACATCTCTAAATTCTCTCCAAACAGAGCAATAGATTCTTCGCTACAGTGTCATCCGTTCTTTATACCTCAGTCACCCTTAACTCCGTTGAACAATGCTCTACCACGTTGAAGATGCTCAGGAATCGCCCGGATATCGCCCGACACGTCCGCGAGCTCATCGTTAGGCCCGGGGCTCTTTCTACATCTGATAATCAATTCAATGCTAGTGAACGGGCTTCTGCAGCAGTCAGGGATGTTGCAATGTCGAAAGCCCTAGATGCGCTGGTGAAGTTTACTTGGGATTTCGATGATTTACCAGTATATGACGACATGTGGTTTGCTCTTCGTATATGGTTCGTGGTATTCTCCCATGATCTATGTTCCTTTACTGATCTTTCGTTAAGTTGCGGTCAGCTTCGATATGTGGGCACCTCAATAGGAACAAGAGTCCCGAACCTTCACAGCCATGTGAGATCTTATAATATCCATTTCAATGATATCTAGGTTACTGAAGGCTGGATGATTGAAGTTATTTGACTTTGCCGACCTTCGAGGATTCTCCTTGTATCTGAAGCGCGCATTTTTTGAAAGTCACCTGGACATTTTCTCGGATGGTAAATATACGAGGTTCCCAAAATTTGGATGAACATTGATCAGACATCGCAGAGCAACAACCTACTTCACGGAGATTCTGGCACATGCTTATGAAGCGGTGTCCCAACCTTCAAGAACTAGTCATAGACGGTGTCTCACCGTTCCCTGTCGACGCTCGGCCGCTATCCCATGCACGCTGGCCAAACCTCCGGCGGTTAGTTTTGGGTGACGTTGCCGTCGATTGGCTCCCTGGAGATGCGCTGGCCGCACCCGATGCGAAGAGTCCTTTCATAGAGTTTCTGGAAGCGCACCCCAACTTGCAAACGTTGGGCCTTTCGAGATCCAATGTCAGCCACACTCGACTGGCAACCATGGCTCCCGACACCGTCAAGCTGCGCTCATTCACTGGCACGCTAGAGCAGCTTCAATCGATCCCCCACATGCACAAATATCTAGATTGCGTTGCCTTTCGAGAACCAATGCGAACAAGAGACGTCACCGCGCTGGCAGTAGCTGGTCTACTTCAGAAATTGACTTCATTGACGAAACTCAAGATTTCATTCATGCTGCATTCCATGTATGATAGCGGGAATTTACTACGTTCATTAATCGCTTCATGTCCCAACCTTACACACCTCGAACTAGCATGCGGCCATAAGCCATCCTTCCAGCTAGTATGTTTTTCCCTCGATCCCCTCGGCCGATTACTCACAATGCTGTTCTGTAGGAGTTATTCGCCAAAACGATTAGAGGCTTTTCGAAACTCCGCGTTCTACACTTGACCCTTGTCAAATATCCTGGAGACGATACCCTCGCTACGGGAGCTGCACGGATTGCGATGACCAACCCCAGAATACAACATTTTTCCTTGACTTTCTTACCGCCAACTTACCCATTCGGTTTTCCGTTTCCTTTCTTGACTTTCCTGCCGTTTCCATATCGGTCAAGGGATTCGGGTTCGTTCACACTTACATGCGACAAGCATGGCCTGCCGCAAACACTTCGTGGGTTTGAACGGCGACGATTGCTCTGGCCGTTTGGACTGGGGCAAACTTACCGGATGCGGAGATATATCAACGATCTTCGACCTGCTGGTTCTCCAGGCAGGCGGCAAACAGGCTTCCAGGGAATAGTTGAGCTACTGTCCGAGAATTCCGCTGCAGGGGAGGAATTGCGGATGTTGTTGTTCTGCGGACTGCTGGTCTTTTTAGCTATTTGGGGATGCTGGCTAGGGAATCGCAATCACGGTAAAGACAGTACGTTATGACTCGCCTGATTCTCCTCCGGCTATTTTCCATGATTTGGTCTGGATGTTTCCACCATTGGACGTACACTCTTATAATTCCCCTTATTCTTTTATTTTACATATAATAGTCAGTTATCTGATAAACTATCGTGTTGTACCTGCTCTGTATCTCTGCTTAACTTAGACACAACGTGGATGAAAATGCTTTGCGTTTCTAACGAAAACTACACATTGACACAACAAGATAGCAGAATCAAATTTGTAAAGACAGTCGATATGAAAACGTATAGATACGGCTATTAGATATGATGGCTCAAGATGATACTCTACTCTGGGCTCCATTGAGGAATTAGTACCTAAAAGCATGACCCCATGAGTGACAGATAGGCAAATTGGAAGTAAGCAAAAGCGAAGTTGAATCACCGCAATGGCCCCAACAAAAAGGCGAATAATTATCGGGAGCCAAGGGATACAATCAAGACCTGGCCAGCGAACCGATCAGCTTTTGATTCACACCCGCTCGTACATCCCGACAAGGGCCTCAAGATACCGAGAAGATAGAGGAAACGAACGCACATTTTGTATGCCATGGTGGTTGACGCAGGGTCTTGTACACTCTGGTATGTTATTGAGATATCTAAATCTCGGTTGTTGCGCTGATTCGGTGCACACGTCAAACGTCCGGAGATGGCGTCCCCTTCTGAGACGGTAATAGTATTCGGAGTGTAAAACACAGTTTGCCTGCACGAAATGTTGAATCAATGAACATATTCGACACCATGACTGTGGAACAGACTCACTTCCAGTGCGTGTACTGCGCGTGAGGGCCAGTTGAAAACTTAACCTTTTTGTGTGTGCATTCGAAAGATATATCGAACCAAGCGAGGAACGCATGGGCATCTAAGATACGTACGCGAAATGACAACGCGGAAGAAGAAGGCGTGGGGGTTATGCTTACAATCGTTCCGGGTGGCTCGTAATGTGAAGGGGACCTCAAACGTAAGGTCTTCCTTTTTCGCAGTGAGCAGATCAATGTGCTGCCAAGGAAAAGTCAAAGGACGTATGACAAGAAACAACGGTAAACATACCTTGATCATGCAAGGATCCGTAACCACCGACTTCAAATCGACAGTGTCCACCAGCGGCTCTCGCAAGGCGATGTCTTTGATGCAGGAATAGTCGAAACCATATACATTATCCCAGACTAATGTCTGAGTGAGCATTCGCAATCAGAGCCCTTCTCTCCACGTTACGCACAGTTGATTTTTTCTTCCTTATAGTCCTGATCCTCGATCGCAGCAAGGTACATCGTAGCGTTGTCAGGGAATATGAGCCCTCCAGGTTTGAGGTATTGGTCCCGGGCAAGAAGAACAGTGTCGAGCATAGATTCGTAAAGAAGGAAGTACCCCATCCATTCGGATATGATAATGTCAAACTGTTTTATAGGAAGATCAGATTCTTCCAGTTTACCCTTGACGAGGGTGATTGCTGGATGGATGATTGTGAGTAAGGGTCAACTGGGTATTCTGAACGTGGAGACTGACTTTTTGAAAACCCATTGGCATCAATGATTTTTTGAGCTTGGTCGATGATATTCGACATATCAATCTAAAAATATTCCAGTAAATGCAAAATCATCATGTACAGAATGTGTGTCAGCGTACTCCGACCACATGAGATGCGCCAGCTTTTGCAGCAAACATGCTGAGGATTCCAGTACCACATCCAACATCTAGCACAGTCTTTCCTTTGAACAGATGAGGGTTGTTTATAATCGCACTGCGATAAGATCCTGTCCGGACTGAATCTTTGAGCATTTCTTCGTGGATTCCTGAGCAGAGTCGATGAATTTATATGTAAGCCACTCTTGGGCATCTAAGGGGAGCACACCGTACCAAAATGTGCGTAAGAGTCGGCATAGCTATTGCAGTGAAAAAGGAAGAATCAGAATGAGATCCCACGTCATTAAACGTGTCGGAATGGGCGCAACTAGTCTTTTGAAGTCATGTCGTGAGGAACTTCTGAGGTTGAAGCCGTGGTGTCCATTTTGAAGTGTAGATCGATGTGTATACGCTATGTACAGATTGAACCCCAGGAAGGCAAACGAAAAAAAATGCTTTCACGTGCTGAAAGGCGCTTATATTTGACGCTGGCGTGGAGCAGTGTAATTGGTGAAACATTTGTCAGTTGAACATTCTTTCTTCTTTACACCCATCTTGAAGCTTGAACGTTGAACCTCGCAGATATTATGGTACGTCCTCTTTTGACCTTGAGTGCTACCTCTGTTTATTCTGAACCATCAGACTCATAGCGATAATCCCCCCTCATATGATTCGTTAAAGGAAGGTAGCGATGGTACGTGTTCATTCAGTTTCACCGAATCTCCTTTTATAAATTAATCTGTAGTCCCGAAACCAGACGAGAATAGGGACAATAAGCATACCCCTCAACTCCATTCCATGATACCTGGCCCTTCATCTCATTATATCCATCCCGGTACCACAATAGGACCTTCTCCAGTACTATATCACTACCGCAACCCTCTCACACAACAGACCGTTGTTTCTCTTTTACCCCCAGATCACCCCGAGATGATATGCCTCCAATCTGGGGAGCATATTACCCAGACGCATTTCGGTATCCTTGGTGAGCTACAGCTTTACCCCCCAAGTCAATCGAGAACTAAACACAGCCCCCGCTTGTCAGGCATCCTTGCTGCGGTTTTTTGGTTTCCTCTTGGTGTCGGTCTCTGCCTCTTGGATCGCAGAGTGAAATGCAGACGTTGCGGACAGGTGATTGAAGATGGTATGTGCGCTTAGGTGTCCCAGCACAGTCATGTGGTCGGTTTCCTCCTCTTTATATTTTGACTGCATCGGACTTGACTTTGTATGATACACACGACTCATTACCTGTACCTCCGTTCCTGATTATACAATTCTATGGATAAGTGTTGTGTTTAATCAGTAAGACTAGCTTGGCACAGTATAAAATTGAGGTATTCTCGAATTTTGACCCGTAGTGCCACTGCCGATACATAATGAAGATATGATTTAACGAAACTGCATTGTGGAAGATCGTAAGCTGCAGCAAGATTGGGCTTGAAATCTTACTGGGAACGTACTATGTAACACCTCACTGAAAATAATTCGAGGCCTCTACACAGGTGCACCCTGATCTGGTAATCGCTCGATTGCGTATCGTCGTTTGACAATATACATCAGTGGAATACCAGGTATTTGCCGTATCCGCCGTCGAAGTTCTCTATCGCAAGTGGCGACGATGTAGCATTTATGCGCATTTACACGTTGAACAAGACAGTCATCGGCGTATGTGCCGGAATGAGTACATGTTAATCGTTCGAAGCGAGGGTCCCGAGCAACGCTGAGGGAGAATGAGAACAAATTTCAGAATGTAAAGGCTACTCACCGCAGTGCCACTCGATACTTGTGTCCGAGCTTTTCTAATTCAGCCATTACACAGTCTGTCACGCATGGTATACCTGATCTTTCTTGATGAATTTCTTCCAGAACGGTATGCGGACGAGACTCACATTTCGCATACAGACAATCCATCATTCCGCTAATGAGTTCTAATTTGTTTTGCAAGCTGAAATTTATGAAGTTGGTGTCAATTAAAACTCGGTAGGGAGGTACGAGGGATGTATTATGGGCCAAGAATAAGGAAGAAGCTACTGGGGCACTAGAAAGTCGAATAAGGATGTGAGCGAGTTCAGAGGTTGAATAGCAGCATACACGCGTCGGACTGCCTTTTCTTTTAGATCCTGCTCCTTTTTCTGTTGCTTTGCCTGATTTTCTTTCCTAAACATACGTATGAGTGTGGTGATTCCTTGTTGAAACTTATTCAATCGAGACTTGCAATCGTATATCGTTTGGATTGAGCATCCGCTTGACAAGAGCAAACTTCTTCGTCTTTTTTACTTTACCCTGATTAACATCAGTCCATGTCAGTGGACAACAAATCATCTGCTGCTCACCATTTTCCACGACGTCGAGGAACAAAATTTCAATGACAAAGGCGCCCAGAGCGCCACATAATCAGGTGATTGATCATACGTAGTTATCTCAGTCTGAAATTTTGATAGTGGACTGCTGGTCATAATAAATACATTCTACTGGACCCACATGCGGATTCTAACTATGCAGAGTTACTGTTGGAAAAAGACTTTTGACGATCATCAGTTACTCAAAGCGTGAATACTCTGGTGACAATGTGGCACACATCAAATTTGTAGAATACTACTCGAGTATTGAATCTGATGACATCGGCGTCCCATCTTCTCTTCTTACCATGATGAACATATCTGCGCTTCGACACAACGCTGAACACAATGAACCAGCGAGCTCCGAAAGCGAAGAGGGAGAAGAGTGCGTCGTTCTTAGTCTCTCAGAATTTTTCGTTGTTAACGAAAGTCGAAGGTTGACTCCTTGGCCAGAGCACGTTCATGAAACTGCGCTCTCCTATTCGCCTTACGCGTCCTCAGCGCAAAACCAATGGGCCAGCTATGAGTGGTCGAATAGAAATGGCAAATCTATATCTCGAGACCTTCCAAAGGACCAACAATATCCTATCAACATTTTTGGACATACTGCTGTGAGCAGTCAATACAATTTTGTACCGTCAATCAAACACTCAGCCATTTTTCGAGCAGGAACAGGCATTTGCCGATTTTCCTGAACCAAGAAATGACTTATCCAGTGGCGAAGACGATGATTTTGCTGCTCATTTCCCGGATACTCGTCCTCGACGACCTCACAGTGCTTTATCTCATTACGCGGTATCCAACGAGCGTCACTCTCAAAATGAATCTCCGATATCCCCTAAGTCCTCGAACTCAAATTTTCGGCCAATCTTCCATGAGCCGTTCCAATCTCACTCTTATGAAAACGCATTCGGAGGCGCAAGTTCATCCCGTGGTGACGCTGCTCCTTTTCTAGAGTCTACCGGCCCAGGATTATCTAGAATGTCGATTGGGAGTTACCCAGACGATGAAACCGGTCGCAGAAGAAAACAACTGTTTGACAACGAAGAAACGGTTTCACAGTACCTGGACAGTCCAGTCGTCTCGTATCCGCTATCCGATCGCTCCCCGGGCGGAATTAGCGCAAAAGTCAAAGGCAAACAACGATCCTACGAGGATGCTGAGGATTCTGCCATTCCCAATGTGCAAATGTCCGGTCTTCATTTGGGAATTGAAATGTCCACGGGAACTCGTACTTCGCCTCGATTAGAGTTAAAAGATGATGATAGGAGGAATGCTCGGTTCCGTAGCTCACCAACCGGATCGGTGTATCTCGATGAAGACGACGTAGAGGAAGAGTTCGATTGCCAACGAACGGAGACACGCTCAAGAAAATATACCTCGCAGTCTTCTGCCACTGGTGGTCGCCTTGGTAGTTCACGCGCAGCTGTATCTAGATCGGGCAAACGTCCTGTCACATCAGATGAAGAGGATGAAAGCGCTCTCGATCAATCCGCAGACGCTCTGCCTACGACCATCGTTTCGCCCACAAAGCCCAGCGGAAAGAAACGCAAAGTCAATCGTTATCCATGTCCGGTTCCATTATGCAAGGAGACTTTTACCAGGAGAAACGATGTCAGGCGGCATATCAAAAACGCAGCGGTTCATCGAGATTCTCCAGAAGCTTTGGCTCTTCTTGGTGAAGTCGTTGGAGCAGGAACTCGCTGCAAATACTGTAATGCTGATTTATCGCGATCCGATGCGAGAATGCGCCACGAACGCGCATCTGCATGCGGCAAACGGACTACACAGAAAATGAAGGACCAGATGCTTCTGAAGACTTGAAGAGTGTGTCATGTATCGGTTCTTCATCAACTCTGTCTAATAAAGCCTTCATAGATCCTACATATCTTATAGATCATTATTGTTCTCAAGATTATAACTACATTATAAATATATGAATCAACTCTATCAGTCATCGGCATCTACATTGTTGACCATATGGAATGTTTTCTGCTGTGCTTCGTAACCTACGTTCCATAAAGCCTTTTTTCCTCCGGTGATCAGTAAATTCCAGACTGATTGTTTGCAGTGCCGGGCAATATTGCAAGCACTGCACTTTCGGTACGCTCAGGGCTTCGAATTAACCCTTGTTTTAATCCCCTGACCTTCGTGGCTTTCTGTCGCATTTTGAAAATGTTAGTGAATGTCTCTCCGTTTAGTCCGGAAAATAACTTGCTTATTGGCCCTCTAGGATCTTTTTTGTGCTAACCAAGCTTGACCAGGCTATGTTAATCAATCTATGGCTGATTGTTTCTTACCCGTGCAGAATCACGTCGTATTCTGCAAGCATCCAGTGTGACCGTTCCGTTCTCTGTACTGACATCCGCGTGGAATACGAATACAGGTAAATTCGGACACGAATGTCTCCGATCCCGAATTTCAACTCTTTCTGCTATCTCTTGTGCTGCCTCGAGGCTAGAGAAGAAACCTAGGCAAGCTTCTCGAGTTCAGTCTTGTTTATGTTGCTAAGCTAACTTGCCACCATATCGGAATAGAATACGGTCCTACATTGTGGCGAAAACCTCGATATGTAAGCTATCTATAGAATTTCACAACGTTCAGGCAGTGTTATAATTCTCCTGACCTACTTACGTGCTCAGTGGCAAGGTCGGATGACCAGCGGATGACCTGGATTATCTTTCAAGAAGTCAGAGACATACTATACATCAAATTTTCGGTCCAGCAGTCTGGCGTGAGCACCTGAAAGACTGATTGGCAGCCTGCTCTCAGTGGGTGCTTGTGGATAGTCGCCACATTCACTGCTCTGGAACCTTTATTTTCGTATGTCTTCCTTTCCGTCATGCGGGTTCCGAAACTGATGTTGGTGCCAAGTTGGTGCAAGAATTATGTCTCCTCATGGCGCAGATCACTCCGGCCCAGCTCTTCCATAGCCCTTCTATATCCAGGTACTTTCATCTAGAACGTAATTCCCAAGGCACGCGCCCGGTATATAAGGCCTATGGTCAAATCTGTGGACGCATCTTCGTTCCCTTCAAACTTAACCAAGTACCTTACTAGTCGCCTCGTTTAATCTTTATCGTAATATCGCAATCATGGTTATGCTCTCCGCTGAAACTCGCACTGGAATCCAAAGGCGTCGTTCCTCCGCTGCTACTCTTCCTTTTGGCGACGGAATCATAAAAGTACAAACGTCGAAGGCATTGAAACCAATGTCAACACTCCCTGCCGAACTCCCTCTCCTTCAATTTTTCATGGATTCAAATACAGAGCTCGAGGATTACAAGTTAGTCTTCTGGTTATTCGATGTCTTCGGACGAAAGAAACTAATGCTATCGATTCTGCGAAACTTTCGGTTCTCAGATGTGGTAAATATGTGACAGTCGACGGCAAGACTCTTTCAATAGCGGCTATCGTCGCGGCATCTAGACAGGGTACATCTGTCCAATTAGACCAGTCCCCCAGAACGAAGGAAAAAGTCGACCAAAGCCGTAAAACCATCGCGGACAAGGTTGATAACGGAATATCTGTATATGGTACGTCGCTGTCATTGGTTCTCTCACGATATGTTGAAGACTCCCTGTAGGAGTTTCTACTGGATTCGGTGGAAGTGCGGACACCAGAACCGACTCACCTTTGGCTCTTGGACATGCGCTTTTGCAAATGCAACATGCCGGGGTCCTTCCCTCTTCAACCAAAACACTAGATATTTTGCCTCTCCTCGATCCTATGGGATCAGTCATGCCAGAAGCCTGGGTACGCGCGGCCATGCTGGTCCGCATGAATTCTCTTATTCGTGGACACTCTGGAGTTCGCTGGGAACTCATTGAGAGAATGAACCAAGTTCTATCAGCAAATATAATTCCCGTTGTTCCATTGCGAGGAAGTATATCGGCTTCCGGAGGTACGTTTTCCGACCGGCTGCTTGCGCGAAAGAGCTAAATAGTCTCCCTGAAGACCTTTCTCCTCTTTCGTACATCGCAGGAACACTTTGCGGAAATCCCTCAATCCGAGTGTTCGATGGACCTTCCGTATTTGGGTTCCGGCAAATGGTCTCAAGTCGCGAAGCTCTTGCACGACACCACATCGCACCCATACCATTGGCTTCGAAAGAGCATCTCGGAATTCTGAATGGCACGGCTTTCTCTGCAGCGGTGGCTTCTTTGGCGTTGGACGACGCGGTCAAATTAACACTGTTGTCTCATGTCCTCACTGCGATGGGAGTTGAAGCTCTCTGTGGCACAAGAGGATCTTTCGATCCTTTCATCCATGATGTCGCTCGTCCCCATCCTGGCCAAATAGAATCAGCGAAGCTCATCTGGAACCTTCTTGAAAGCAGCCAGTTCGCAGTCCTTAAGGAAGAAGAAGTCACAATCGAAGAAGACGAAGGCACACTTCGACAAGACCGCTATTCTCTTCGTACAGCCCCTCAATTTTTAGGACCTCAAATCGAAGATCTGCTTGCGTCACTTGCAACGGTAACGAAGGAATGCAACTCCAGTAAGCTAAAATCAAATTGAACCTCCATCATGGTTTTATTCTAAAACTCACAACAGCGACCGATAATCCATTGGTCGATGGTACGACTGGTCATGTACATCACGGCGGGAACTTCCAAGCCATGGCTGTCACCAATGCCATGGAGAAGACCCGTCTATCGCTCCATCATATCGGAAAGTTGATGTTCGCCCAATGCGCAGAACTCATGGACCCATCCATGAACCGTGGACTCCCCCCTTCGTTGGCATCCACTGACCCGTCTTTGAACTACCACGCCAAAGGGATAGACATTGCAACAGCTGCATATGTGAGCGAATTGGGTTATCTAGCCTCACCGGTATCCACACATATTCAATCCGCGGAAATGGTCGGTTCATTTTTCAATCTCGAAGTTCTACTTATCTTATCTGAACTTGTACTCCCATATAGCATAATCAAGCAGTCAAGTAAGTAGCATTCCTTTGTATCTGGGATTCCATTCAAATCATCTTCGACATCTCTAGTTCTCTTGCATTGATCTCAACGAGACAAACCTTGACTTCTTTGGACGTGCTATCAATTCTCATGTCGTCGTACCTATACGTTATTTGTCAAGGTAAGATCTCAAATATCCATATGTTCTCGTTTGGGGCTTATTCTTCCTGGTACTCTAGCGCTGGATCTGCGCGCTTTACAGCACGAGTTTTTAATCGGACTAGCCAGCATATGCCATGAAGAAGTACTCGCCTCTTTTGGCTCTGTGCTCCCTCCATCTGAATTTTCTGTCGTCGAGCAACACGTGCGCAAAGCTGCTATAGCTACATTTGAAAAGACCAGTACGCTAGATTTGCATGAAAGAATGCATAAAGTTGCAGCCTCCAGCACTACCGTCCTCGTCGACTTCCTCACTTGCTCTGTCAATGCAGATGCCGCATCTTCACTGGTCCATATTCCCGAATTTCGTCGCTGTTTCTCGGAAAAAATGGCTCTCCTCATGGTCGACCTCCGTGAAGCTTACTTGTTTGGAAAACGCGGGCCTGCTCCCGCTAGTCCATATCTCACCAAAACTAAACCAGTGTATGAGTTCGTCAGACTGACACTAGGTGAGTGCGGTTTACTATTTCCTCTGCCGTTGTTGATCTCTCCTTTGATAGGAATTCGCATGCACGGGTCTGAAAACTACAATCGCTTTGTTAACGGTCACGGTGTCGACGAATCCACTGTTGGTGAGGCAGTGTCTCTGATTCACGAAGTAAGGATTTGTTCACATTATCTTTGTCTTCCTCTGATCATTTGCCTCAGGCTATTCGTGACGGAAAAATGCAACACGCCATGATTGCCTCCCTTATTTGATTCTTGATTTTCTTGTTTTTTAAATCATACTTATCCATATATCATTACTTCAAATCGGGTTTCCCTTGATAACCTGATTATAATAACAGATAATAGTAATCCCGGGAGGCTTGAAGCATTCGTCTTTTTTACTTAACTGTTGCTAATCCTTGGAGGTACAACTTGGCTTGAGGCCCTGTTCAATATATATCATTTGACAAAACGCTTTCGAGTTTGAGTTCTTCAGCAGATGGCACGTCGCATATTCCATGATGTTTGGTTTTCAGCTCGCTATGCTCTTTCCAAGTAGTATGGTGGGTGCGCGGGGCTGGTCCACAGGCTGAACCTTGATATCTAGATGCTCTATCTTAATGACTGAGCTGTTCTATTATCCGGTCGATCTTATCTTATGGAGCTTTGAGAGTGGGTTGGACCATGTGCATGATCAGTCAAGAAATCGAATCCCGATCCGTTCTTCAGAGACCTCTTTCATGAACCGACAAGGCTTAGATTGTAAAATTGTGATTGTGGGAGCAGGATGTTTTGGAATATCGACCGCCTATTATCTACTCACTAGAGGCTTTCAAGATATCACGATAATCGAACGATCTAACGAATTCCCAGCGAAGGATGCAAGTTCGAATGACATTAATCGAAGTCGGTGACCCCTCACTAAGTTTCTTTCGAGGAGCACTACTAATACCTACATGTAGTTGTCCGCACTTCTTACACCGATCCTTTTTATGCCAAGCTCGCAAAGGAAGCTATTAAGTCATGGAAGGAGGATGTGGATATCTGGGGAGATAGTTATCATGAGTGATGATATGCGGTTATCAATCTAAATTTATCGTTAACGATATCCGTTTCTGCCCTATAGGTCTGGCGTCCTTCTTATAGCAGGAAAATATGCAGATGAAGCTTACTTGAATGAAGTGCAACAAGGGTTGCGCCTCACACAATTCGAACGCTTTTCAATGGTCCATCAGAGTTTTCCTTCGAACGCTGCTGTCTATCTACCTGAAGATACCAAAGGATATCTCAACCATGACAATGGTTGGGTCGATGCTGGCAAGGCTACCTTTCTTCTCACAAAGAAAGTGATAGCTCTTGGCGGCAAGCTCATTCTAGGAAAACGCGCCACTAGACTGCTGCGGAAAGGAGGTATCACAGAGGCTGTAGAGTGCCATGATGGTACAGTTGTCGGGGCATCTCTCGTGGTTATTGCTGCAGGCCCATGGAGTCCCTCGATCTTTCCTGAACTAGAATACAAGGATAAATCGCTTGCAACTGGGTATGAGTGACAGTATTCCGTCTGCGGTCGCAGACTCAAATTCATATGGCAGACAATGTGTGGCCATGGTTCAGCTTTCACAGGAAGAAGCTGATATATACCGCAACGTTCCAGTCGTTCTCAATTACTCTACAGGGTTTTACTGCTTTCCGGTGAGTTGCTAATAAATGGCATGTATTACCCTTTGTTCAAGTTTTACAATGTTTCACAATTACAGCCCACGAAGGATAATATCGTCAAAATTGCGATCCATGCACCTGGATTCACCCATACTATTGACAATATCTCTATCCCGCGCACCGTGACCACTCATCCGGAAGATGGTCTATTCATACCAAAGGCATTTGCCCAAAGATTGCGAGATGAGTTTGCAGCTGTGTATCCAGAGCTTGCGAAGAAGGCTTTCTCAAGTACTAGGCTCTGCTGGTAACTTAGAACATTATTTTTGCATGAGTGTCTCATCGTTCTCTGTAACTTAACAGGTATAACGATTCTCCCGATGGAGATTGGATCATTGGACGGCATCCAACCGATAGTTCGATATTGTTTGCAACTGGGGGGAGCGGGCATGCATTCAAGGTCAGTTCCCCAAAATCTGAATTCAAGAAACAGAAGCCCATTTTTTAAAGTTCTTGCCTGTCATTGGCCGTATCGTTGCCGATGCAATACAAGGTACTTTGGACTCATTGGTTGCCGAAAAATTTGCATACGATCGCGAGATAACTCACGTCGACGGTTCTCGAGATGGAACAGGAATGGTTCGCGAAGAATTGAATGTGAATGATCTTTGTGGGCAACAATTCGCCAAAAACGAAATTTTGAGCAGCTCGGGAGGACGTTGGGACGTGCGAGGGGAGAGGGGAGAGGGGGCGAAGGGGTAGAGTAAAAAGGTCGAAAGCTATGATGGGCAAGGCAGACGCGGAGGAGAGGGGTAGGTACAGAAGCAGAGCGAACTCAAAAGTTTAGTGTTCAGCGGTAGGTTCTGTGCGATACAGTGACTGGTATCATCTGGATATCCATGCGTACGCGCGGGATAATATAAATGTGCTATCGAATATTTTCTGAGTCCTGGTCAGGTCTTGGTTAACTCGCGCAATCCTGACGATGCAGATAATGTAAATCCCTGTAAAACCTCCATCCGTATCGGGCAATGTATCTGGAGCCTGCAACGAGTCACGGCGCTGAAGCTAGCTCCATTGAGGACCACGCCAATTCCCCCTCTGCATCCTACACCTACACCTTGCCAGGATTTGAAATTTTCTACAGACACCATTATTTTCGGAATCGAGACTACTATAAATATAAGTAGATTATGATACAGAGCTTGTGCGCTCTTTTGGATCGAAGGATCCGCTGAGATCTCCATTAAACCCGCGAGCCAACAAATTCTCTCCATGACTTCACTTCCGAGGGTATACGGCCTTCAACGTAGCCTTTCAGGCCACCGTGGGGTATTTTTCTCGCCAGACTTTCGACGAATAGTTGAGCGTTACGAGCATTGTTGAGCAACGGTAACCCAAAATCAACAGCATTTCTAGTGAGCAGTCATGAGTGAATTGGACAAAACAAACAAAATGAAATTTACCGTCGGGCGACATAATCTTCGTCCGTAAAGGACGTAGCTCGAGAATTGGCGAGATTAATGACACATTGAATGTCATATTCGTCGAATACCTCACGCAACTTTCTCTTGTCCTTGGTGGGGAAGAAGATACGTTTGGCTGAGATGTATGGGATATCATTCAAGAATTCTTCGACAACTGGTGATGAACAGTAGAGTTTGAATCCCAACTCGAACAGTTTTTTCGCAACAGAAATCATCTCGGGTTTATTTATGTCACCACCCAAGAGCATACCAGAACCAGCGCTGGGTACTTTAAACCCAGTCGTGCTCAAGGAAGATGCCCAATAGGCTTCGTGTATGTCTTTTCCGAAACTGGCAACTTCCCCTGTACTAGCCATCTCTAGAGTAAGTATTAGTACGAAGTTCGGATTTGAGCCCACAATTGGAACGCCACTCACCCACTCCCAAGAAGGGGTCAGCACCTGGGAGTCGAGTCCATGAAAACTGCGACACTTTTATAGCAGTGTAATCCCTCTTCTGCGCCATAAGGTCAACAGGTTCAGGAACGTCTTGACCCACAATAGCAGCAGTAGCAGTATCAACGAAGTTGCGACCGAGAACCTTGGATACGAATGGGAATGACCGTGAGGCGCGCAAGTTACATTCAATAACCTTAAGCTCCGCTTGTTCGTTCGCTGCACTGGATTTTTTAATGATCTGCATGTTGAAAGGTCCGGAAATCTTGAAAGCGGAAGCGACCTTTTCAGCAATGACTTTGAGACGGGACATGTCGCTTTCGGACAAGGAGAAGGGTGGAAGGACAAGGGTGGCATCTCCGGAATGAACTCCAGCGTTCTCAACGTGTTCAGATACAGCATGGACCAACAGCTTGCCCTGGTGTGCAACGGCATCAACATCGATTTCTTGAGCATCGTCAATGAATTTCGTGATAACAACTGGATGGAGAGGGGACACGGAGGCAGCAGCGGAGAGCCTGTAATCGAGGTCTGATTCTTGATGAACAACATTCATGGCAGCGCCGGATAAGACGTAAGAGGGACGAATCAACACGGGGTATCTAGTCACAGGTTAGTAAATAACAGGAAAACTGTCTTTTGTGCCACCTACCCGACTTTGTCGGCAAACTGTTTAGCAGCAGCGACAGTTGTTACTTCTGTCCACTCAGGCTGGTCTACCTCAATGCTATCAAGCACGGAGGAGAATTTGTGTCGGTCTTCAGCATTGTCAATTTGCTCTGGGTCGGTGCCAAGTACATTTACGCCTGTCTTCTTGAGTCGAAGAGCAATGTTCTGCGGGAGCTGGCCTATAGATAAAGACAATTAAATTCAAAACTTTCATGCCGGTCGGGAAATACGCGTACCCCCCACGCTGACGATGACACCTTGAGCTTGTTCAAGTTCGTAGATGTCCATCACTCTTTCGTATCCAAGTTCCTCGAAGTACAACCGGTCGGCCTCATCGAAGTCGGTGGACACAGTTTCCGGGTTATAGTTGATCATGATGGTACGTTTACCCATGTCTCTTAGCTTTCGCGCACATGTCACAGCACACCAATCAAACTCGACACTGCTTCCGATACGGTAAACACCGCTACCAAGGACCATGGTGCCATGTTCATCGAATTCAACATCGTGCTCGGAGGCGTTGTAGGTGGTGTAGAGGTAGTTTGTGTGTGCGGGGAACTCTGCAGCAAGGGTATCGATCCTTTTGACAAAGGGTGTGATACCGAATGACTTCCTGTGCGCACGAACCTGATCCTCAGTTGAAGACACCAGATCAGCAATTTGAGTGTCAGCAAAGCCCATACGCTTCGCACGAGTCATGAGCTCAGCATCGATATTTTCAAGCGACCCAGCCGCCTTGAGGGTGTGATGGGTTTGAACAATGTTGTCGACCTTGTACAAAAACCACTGCGATACTATTAGAAATCATTCAACGTTCTGTGTCCGAATGCCTCACCTTGTCAATCTTGGTCAAGTCGTGGAGTTGATCTATCGTGTAGTTTTTCCTGTACATGGCATACGCAATAGCGAACAGGCGCATATCGGTAGGCTGAGTCAAAGCATTATCCAAATCCTCGGGCTCAATGTAAACCTCAAAACCTTTCCAGCGGGGATCAACTTGTCTGATAGCTTTTTGAAGACTTTCCTCGAAAGTACGACCGATGGCCATGACTTCTCCAACGGATTTCATAGCTGAACCAACTTGACGGTTCACCTGCGAAGAAAATTTGGCCAAGTCCCATTTTGGAATTTTGGTAACGATATAGTCCAAGGAAGGCTCGAAGCAAGCAGTCGTAGTCTTGGTGACAGCATTGGGAAGTTCCGGCAAGGTGTACCCCAGAGCTATCTTGGCTGCTGTGTAAGCAAGGGGATAGCCTGTAGCTTTGGAGGCAAGGGCACTAAGGATCATATTGAGCGAGGAGGACGGATCAGGGAGAGGAAAAGACATTACCTTGATCGACTTAGGCTGTATGGAAAATAATGAGTAGGAGTTGTCGTAAAAAGATGTCAGCTCCTACCGAGCGTTAACTTCAATCACACAGTATTCCCTGGATTTCGGATTCAAGGCGTATTGGATGTTACACTCTCCAACGACACCGAGATGGCGAATAACTTTGAGAGCAGCAGTCCGAAGCATATGATACTCATCATCTGGAAGGGTTTGGGAGGGAGCGACCACGATAGAATCACCAGTATGTGTGCCAAGGGGATCAAAATTTTCCATGTTACAGCAGATGATTGTATTCTGAGGATCAGAGATAAAAGACGGTAAGAATTTCGAAGGGAGAACGACGTACATCAGCACCGTCCCGAACGACTTCATATTCCAATTCTTTCCAGCCTTTCATACTTCGTTCTATCAGTACCTGGGGACTCAGACTAAGACTTTTCGCGGAAAGGTCGCGCAATTCATCGGGGGTGTTTGCAAACCCTGAGCCTAATCCGCCGAGAGTAAACGCAGATCGAAGAATGACAGGATAACCAATTGTTTCTGCGGCAGCGAGGGCAGCATTGACTGATGAAACTGCCGTGGATTGAGCAACCGGTATATCAATTTCTGTCGGGTACACTGAGATATCTATGTTTGAAAATCGATAAAGAGAATGAACCTTTGAGAGCCTGGACGAATAGATCACGATCTTCCGAAACTTCTAGTGTCTTGATAGGTGTACCGAGGACTTGAACGCCTAATCGTTCCAGAACACCCATTTTATCCAATGCAATACCAACATTCAGAGCACTCTGGCCGCCGAAAGTCAGAAGAATACCATCTGGTCGTTCTTTTTCCAAAACGTATGCAACGTAATCAGCAGTAATGGGTAAAAAGTAAACCTCGGAAGCCAGTTGGTGAGACGTCTGCCAAGTCGCAATATTAGGATTGATTAGCACTGCCTGCACGCCCTCTTCGCCCAATGCCTTTAATGCCTGCGAGCCAGAATAATCGAATTCTCCGGCTTGCCCGATGGAGAGACCTCCACTACCGACAACCACTACTTTCTGAACGTCAGGTCGTGGCAGTTTTGGGAGGACTTTGGCTGATATTCTTCTAGCCAGTTCTGAGGGTGATTTTAAGACGTGCTCCCCGTCTTTGAGGGCGTATGAGCCAACCGCAGGAGCAGCTACGGCACGTAAAGGATTGGTGGGTGCTATGGCCCCAAGAGAGACGCGCGATTGGTGAAAACATCGAGCTGAAGGTTGAGAACAATGTCGAACCCAGTTGCGTGTCAATTGGGGGCGTAGAAGGCTCATGTTTGAGCAATGCAGCGAGCCCACGCTGCCAGAGCTCTGGTAAAGAGATAGACGAAAGATGACTCGAGACTGACTCGAAAGAAAAAAAATTGATAGTAAAATTCTTTGACGCCGGGGACTTTTATCTCCTTTAGTCTAATCTCTAAGTGATAACCAACATGATAAGTCTCGTGGACCTTATCTGCCACTCCTTGCTTTCCTCAGCTTTCCTCGCTTTCTTCCCTCCACCTCCCATCGCCATCCCCTTGTATTAATCTAACAAGCTTTATACAAAAGCGCACGACTGGAACTCGAGTGGCTTTCCCGGAGATGATGGGAATTGCGTAGATAAATTAAAGCCAATATTAAATGGCCGTTCACAAATGTGTGTTCGTATATGTATCTTCGTTTTATTTACTCAAGTAATATAAGGTGACCATCTGTCGAAAAATTGCAAAACAAAAACAAAAACCAACGCCTCGGTCAAGGAAACCAAAACCTATCAAAACGATGTCGGAGCACCGATGAATTAGGCATGACTTCGTTGACACTGACAGACTAGATGACTTCCCGTAAGGATTATTGGACAGTTCATTTTTTCTAACATTATGAGCGTGCTTGTCCGATCAACGGATTCTGAGCAAAACTTGAGCAGAGCATCTAGGGAGGCATCGGGAGCCCTCTCCAGATGGTTCTGCGCTTGCTTACTGGGCTCACCCACCGGAAAGAGAAAAAATTCCGTTCAACATAAACGGAATCTCATGTGACGAAAGATAACCTATATTAGGCATATCTTCATAGAGTAGAATTTTTTCTCTTTCCATTCAGACCGGCTCGAGAATTATTAGATCTACATAGGCTTATGGGAAGCCATCTACCTTCATCCACTGATGTCGAATCGTCGACCCCTCCTAGATCTAGGACTGCTTATGTTATAATACGCTGAACTACTGTGTTTGGGCCGTTATTCGGAACAGCACAAACAATTATGGTCGCCCAAATACAAATATGCTATGGTGCAGTTGGCTTAGTCACCACTAGTTTTGAACAAGCGGACTGACACACTCAAATTTCAGTATTTTTCTTATCTCTCTTACAGAAAGGCTTATAATAGATACAGAAAGAGAACTGTAAGAGCAATTTCTCTCAAAGTAAAAATTGCCCAAGTAAGTTACACACGAATGGCGCACTTCCCAATTGGGAAGTGATTAGGGCTAGGGTTACCACACTCTACTGCACTAAGGGTCAGCTAAGGGTGTCTCAATGTCAGCTCAATGCTCCCTTTTGTCCATTCTGATAACAGGATATATCATCTATACATTGCATCGGGGTGCCAGGGACTCTAGAATACATCAATGAGCTTTATTCCTCTTGGAAATGCACATAAAAACACCTAAATCGCGTCTATAATTTTCAAAATTTTTTCCAAACCCCGAATGGCGCCTGTCCCAAATAGGTGGTGACTAAGCCAACTGCACCATAGGCCTCTCGCACTCTGCTTCAATTTTGCACCTACTTGCTGCTCGCCTTGTCGCCTGATTAGGTGAAATCCATTGATGAGACTGGTCAATGTCCGATAATGAGACTCATTTCATGTCGGAAACTTGAAATGGCGCTTATAATCGGCCCGTGATTAGAATTTGATTAGATGTCGATTACACCGCAATTGTAATCACATTATGACACATCTGAAACTTGAAATGGCGCTTATGATCAGCCCGTGATTAAAATCAGATTAGATGCCGATTATATAATCGCAACAGGATGTTATGATAAGATGATAATCAGATCACTGTACAGCTTTTTGAGTGGACGCTCAATTAGGCAAGGTAGGGATTTCAGACAGGTTTGCCTTTTTTGGCCTCCACAGAAAACTCTTAAACAAAACATTGTTTCCTTTCTAAATGTCTCGCCATAGGGCTGCTCCTAACACAAATAAACGTGAATGCAATATTTGCCATGGCCTATTTGCTCCACAGACCTTTGCACGGCACCAGACTGCTTGCAAACGCAAAATAGAGGAAGAAAAATCTGCGAGGTTATACAGGATGAGGGAAGCACCTTCTGAAACATCAGGTGAGGCTCTGGAGCTCAAGGAAATATGTATATACTCAGTTCATAGCTAGCTTTTGGCGACACACACCCTGAAGCTCAAGAAGATGACCCCGGCGTTGGCAATTTTGAATCAGATACAGACTTGGAACCTATTTATTTCGACAATTATCAAGAGACTTCCACAAGTATGGAAGGGGATAATCATACTCCTAGTAGGTCCTGTACTTCTATACACTTGGTCTTCTACTGACCATAAGTTACCTACTAAGTTCTCGAAGAGTTGGAATCTGAAGAGTTGGAATCGGAAATACAACTGGACGATATCAAAATTGAATATCATCCCAACAGTGGCCGGAAGCCTGTGATTGTACATTTCGATGACTTCGGAAGGAGCGAGGATGTAAACAAAGGATCGATTCCACCAAATTGCACACCATGGCATCCATGGAGGAGCCGTATGGATTTTGAAGTTGCTTCATTAGCGCTTAACTGCCACATGAATAAACAAAAAACCGACAAACTTATCAATTTGATCTATCGCGCTGCCCGTGGTCTTGACGCTTTTACATTAAAAGATCACCAAGAAATCCAGAATACTTGGGACTTAGCAGCTGAACGATTAACAAAGGTTTGTTTTATTAATCCCTCAAAAACAGATATTGATATTTTAACAGTTTCGAAAGACAGAAGTTGTAGTCCGCTATCGTGATCTAGAGCCAGAATCATATGAGCTGTATTACCGACCTGTTTGGGACTGGTTGCAAGAGTTATTACTTAATCGCGATATTGTATCCAAGATGGAATGGGATGCTCGTAGACTCTTCAAATTTGATGGTGGATCTCAGACATGGAAACGTTTCATTGAGGAAGCATGGTCAGCAAATTCATGGTGGTCATTTCAGGTGAGCTCATTAACTATCGCCAGTATAATACTGATCACAAGATACAGAGTAAACTTCCAGCCGGAGCGGTACCACTTTGTGTTGTGTTTTACGCTGATAAGAGCAAACTATCATCGTTTGGTACTGCAAAAGGTTATCCTGTCATTGTTCGATGCGCAAATTTACCCATGGATATCCAGAATGGCTCTGGTATTGCTGGAGATAGGGTCGTAGGGTGGTTACCAATTGTACGCCTAGTTAATCAGCTATTTACGCAGTGTTTGACATCAATCTAGGTTTCTGAAGATGCTGCACATAGTGGTAAGGCCGATTTTGTCAATTTCAAAAACGTTGTATGGCATGAATCGGCCGCGAAGATATTCGAGTCCATGGCAGAGTATTGTCGAACTGGGTATACAATGGTTTGTGGTGATGGAGTTCATCGGTGGATGTATCCTATTGTCCTCATCAAGTCAGCCGATTATGAAGAGCAGTAATTCATATCTATTGTATCCATCGACACGATCTCATGAATATATAGATGTGTCATCTGTCTTACTCGGGGGTTAAAAAGCTTGCACCCATGCGTAAGATGCCCAATTCCACATGACCAATTATTAGACTTTGACAATAAATACCTTGAATGAACTGCGAAGGACACTATCGAAATACTCAATAATGCTAGACAGAAGGCATTAATCTCAAAAGCAGATGAAGAAGCAGAGCTTAAAAAGTATAGTCTGCGACCATGCTTTGTATGTATTAATTTCATCATCATAACTTACTGGCTGACCTCAATTCAAAATTCCTTCTTCAAGCTCGCCCATAGTGATCCATTTGCAGGTGTTTCCTTCGACGATCTCCACTTCCAAGACAGTGGGGTTTGGGGCGATCATATATTTGAACATGCAAAGATCCAAATTGATAATCGGAGTGCAGTAACCAAAATTGATAATCGGTTTGTTTTCAGTTCTTCAAATTTGTTGTATAGCAACAAACTGTCTGTTAGGTTTAAAGAATTTCCTCGCTGGTCCAAACTCAACCATTTCGACACTGGTGTTATGAAGCTATCATTTAATGATGGTAGTAAACACTACGATATATCAAGGGTGAGTTCACGCTAGATTTATTTTCACCATCGCTGTTCATATTACAGATCATTTCTAGCTCTTTTTATTTGCCGCCCATGATGTTATATCAGAAAAGGAGAACAAAGCTGCCTATACGCTTCTCAAAGTCATGCGGAAGTACATCAACATGATCATGTATTCGGGACTGAACGTACAGACTTCTGATACAATAGCACTTGGCCATGGTGCTATCAAGAATTTTGTAGATATGCTCAAGGTTTGTGCTCTTTCGAGAATCTGACAAATCTAATGCTTTACCTACAAATAGGTGTACATATCGCTCTCACCTGATGTGAATAAAACATTCAATGTCATCAAGGTACATTACCACCAGCATCTCTACGATGACATTGAGAACAAAGGTGTTTTACGTAGAATGAGTACCAAACCAAATGAGAAGTTTCATGGCCCTTTACGCAAAATTTACCTTCGACAAACAAATTTCAAGGACACAGCAAAACAGGTATATATTTGTAATTTGTTTCTTATATCTTCTGTGCGTCTAAGATCACCGGATTCTTAGATTGTACGGTTTGAGCATCAGAGCGTTGTTGCTACCCTCATACAGGATGAAATCCAAATACTGGATAGATATAAGCATGGCGATCCAGAGCTCCCATCAGATCTGGAGACATCAATCGACAATGTCCACTTCACATTAGGCTCAAAATTGAAGCCCGTTTCCTTTGCTCAACTTGAGGGTGAAGATCTTATATTTGCACGAATACATATCCGCTTGGCAGAGTTCATGTCGACCTTACTCACAACTGCAACCAACATTGTTCGCGTCACATATACAGCTCATGATACTGTAAGTTAATATTTACAATTCATGGTATATTCTTATCGGAGCATACTTAAAGGTTATTCCATATCAATTCTTGAAAATCCGTTATGAGTCTTTAGAGACCTGGCGGCTTGCAGTTGACATCCTGCGTTGTAATCCCAGCTTTCATGGCCATCCTCGATACGACTACATCATCTTTCGTGGAATTCTGGGGCCAGTCTTTGCCCGGCTGCATTATTTACTCCTTTGTAATGCCTGCAACAGCCAATACCCGATAGCACTTGTGCAAGCTTACAAGATTGTTTATACCCGGTCACGTATAGACAAAGATCTTGGACTTCTTCACATTCGCAAGGAGCATAACCTAGAATTTATTTCGGTGCGGTCAATTGTCCGGGGAGCAGTTGTACTACCAATATCATCTGAAACTGATGATAAGTTTGTTTGGGATCCTCTGGATGGAGACATGTTTCTTCGAGTAAAAAAATACTTTCCTGGGTTTACAGATGGTAGGTAGATATATCTAGTTTACTTGCTCTCCGCAATCATTATTATGTCATAATCTTGAGATTTTTTGTGGGTCCAAGTTGCCACAAGCTCTCATCCGTCTACTTTGAGTACTCTTCATTCAACATGTTTGAAGATGAAGGCAATATCTCAGATGCCTCTGATGATCCTGAATTTGTACCATATACACTACCTGACTTGGAGAAGGTTACGATGCATGATTTGCGACAGGTGAGTGTCATTTATTAATCTTGCTTTGTTTTTGTCTCATTTACATTACATCAGGCTCTCGAAAAGGTTCAAGATCAGAATCAGCAGCTCCTTGGTCACAACTCAAAGCTCAGGATGCAAAATTCAGACTTGAAATCACAGCTTGCCCTAGCAAAACGACACAAGCATTTAGGGAAGACAGTGGGAAACGCAGATCCAAATATAAACCATGAACTTGTGGTGAAGCTGGCGAAGAAGTACACTGTGATGGTATATCCTTGGCCTACTTCAAATCTTTTTATGAGCTTTCCGCCAAACAATTTACCTGATCCCGAATCCCCGGTAACGAGCTTGCCTCGTTTTTGTGTGAAAGAGAAAGGAAGGAATCTAATGGGCACTCCAACCAACCAATCTAATACACAATATGCGAGTTCACTGCTATCAAATTTATTTAATAGCAAGGGGTAGCGTTGGCAAAGGTTCCGCAAAGCTTTGAGAGCTAAGCACGAAGCTTTGATCAATCAATTTGAATCGTTCTAAGGGTTCGATATATTCCTTTGATCAAGGTAGATTCAGCACGATTTGTGCTTTGGTTTGTATTGATTTGGGTATATCAAGAATTGGGGGTTTGAATCAAAGTAAATTAAAACCGAAACACACAGACCCCTACGGAGGGCTAGAACTATGTGCTGGCACAACCACACAGCGTGATTTGCCCTTAAGACCAACGACTGATCCTAAGTTCGAAGAATACCCAACAACTGGATAGACTTCTCGCAGTCACAAGGAGCAGAACACGACGTTCCTATACTCACAAGTGCCGGGCCCGAATGGCTGCTAGCGAAGAGGTTTCAGTCTGGCGGGAGTGTGTCTTTCCTTTTTACGGATTAGCACTGCAACGTCGTCCCAAAATCACTTGTATTCCAGATACATCGGATCGCTATTTATACATACAGAATATAGAGTCGCATAGTACAATTAATTTAATACAATAAACGTTCGGAACCGCAAGGAAACTTCTACACTCAGTCAGATACCATTTAATTTGAATCTACATGTCCTTATTTGGTCCATATTGGTTCCAAGATTCTAGTATACCTCCAAACATAGGTAGGTACTTCAATATTCATTTAATTTAATTGTTTTTAGAGAATGACTCGAATGGTGTTCAACTGTCATTGCGGTTCAACACTTACTTCGATCGTTTGTCATCTCGTCCGGAGGCAAATCAGCTCTCCTCGATTCTAATCCTATCAATCTGATTCATCTGGATTAAACTAATTGCTTCTCTCTTTCAATAGACACCCATTGTGCCTATACTCAATCAAGGGAGTTACACATAGTATTCATTTAATTGCATTCTTCAATATTTTCTACGTCAGGACTCTTTGACATTCATTTGATATGTCTTCGGAGCCTCGCAGTACTTCGATCGTTCTTCTAGTCATTTTCCTCAACCATGCAACTTGATTGGTCTATTAGACTAAATCGCAGTCCTTTAGATTAATGCATGATCTTGTTCTAGAAGGAGTATTTGATAATTCCTGAGTTCTAGAAAGTCATTTCGAGTCAATCCTCGGTTCATGGTCACTTGAGTAAGTTCTTCCAAACTCCTGCCAGTGTAAGGTCCAATAAGAATACCCTTGGTATGTCATACGTGAATGGTCATCCTTCGGATGTAGTCCGAGTCTGGTATAATCCTGCTTGACAAACAGGTAGACTGCTATCCGTAGGTAGTATCGGGGATGGGTAAACTAACCAACTTGTGGTAGTATGGGTATATGGTCCCTTCAACTTATTAGACTGATTCAGTATTGACTTTGACTGTCAATCTGGGTCTCAATTACAGTCCTCTCGATACAAATCTATACGTGAAAATGTCACAATTCACAGCATAGATGTCTAGCCAAAATTTAGGCGTGTCATCCCCCCCAAACTAAAGAATTTGACCGTCCTCGGTCATTCGTAGTTTTGTATCGGGAAAGGATACCCAATCTGTTATTAGATTGATTCGACAAGACTATATCTCCTTTTAATGTAAATCACTGGGTTTGGATCTCTACTTCTCCGTGCTCTCCAATCAATTTGGATGCCCTCAAATGGGTTTCTAGCGCTCATCTTATCAATTTATTCACACGCCTGCTATGAATCGTAGCAGTTTAGCGCTCAATTTGAATTGAATACATTTTCGGTATTCGTATCACATTTCGAAAATGTATTTCACAATCTTTTCATCATCTAGTCACAGAACGAGCTTCCATTTCACGAAGAACTGCTCTGACGTACGCACTGATTCAGTGTGTACGTTTATTTGGTTCGGGGCACGGGGTTCAATGAAATTTTTCGTTGAAGTCCGTTTTCCCTCTTTATTCCTTCTTTCATCTCGTTCTTATCAAAATGGCTTCAACCTCGAGTCCAACTCGATCTTCGGCCACAACCACGCGTTTACCATGCTCTCTAATGGAAGCTCAGGTGATGCTCGCGGGTATCTCGTTTAAATCCACTCTGCCTCTTTTCTTTGAAAGCGCTGTATTTCAACGACTTCAACAAGGCGATTACTCCCCTCCTATCATTGATTCAAATAACTCTCCGGATTACGATGGATCTGGTCCCTTCCCCGCTTTTTCGTATCCCCGCTCTTTAGTTCCATTCTGTTTCCCTTTCGAAACTTTACGCCCTTTGTCGGTAGCATCAGGCTTGGATTTGTATTGTTCTGCCCAAATGGCAGTTCGAACATTGCAGGTTTTGACGGACGATTCTCCTTCAGACGATTCTCCTCACAGAGTCCTCGGGAGATTACGATGTTTTTGAGGAGGCTGCACCATTTTTGGTACGTAAACTGAAAATCCCTCCTACATCGTTATATTAATGGTTCTCATTAGGTCTATATCCGGGACTTCTGGATCGGTCGGGCTAATTGCCCTTTATTCGCGGAGCAGGTTCTATTGTCGGCAGAATCCCTATCTCTTGGTCTTCCCATTTTTCTTCGTGACAACCTGACGCAACAATGGGGGGTTCCACCTGAGCATCGGTCTTCAGCTGGAGTAAGTGTTCTTTCCCATTGAATTCTCTTTATTCTCATTCCGTTTCATCTACAGGGTGTTCCCAAATTCGAACGATTCCCTGCCCTTCCAATTCCGTTTTGTCTGCGTTTTCGTGAGGGAAGCGCAATGATGCGCATGGTTTCGTCTACGGATTTAGACCCATTTGTCTCACTTCGAGGCCAAAATGCTCTTTCTGGAGTTCCGAAAACTGTTTCCTCTCCCAAGGTTTCCGATTTAATCTCGCCTTCCCCTGCCAACAAAGCACAGGCTGTGCCCCCCAGGGCACTTCGAAGGAATCGGGAAATCGAAAGCCTCAAGGCTGACGCTTCCTCGTTTCGTGAGTATCTTTTTAATTTCTTCATTTCTATTTGATTATTCATTTTGTTTGTCTTCAGTTGCTTCTCCCCAGTCCATCCATTCAAAAGACTCCGATAATGAGCTCTTAAGAGGATCCCCTTCTGTAGACCCAGCTCCTCGAACTTCCACGTCTACTAAGGTTCCTGTGGACAGCAAGAAGCCTAAATCCAAGACTACCATCAAAGTAGTTGAAGATTCTAAAGCTTCTATTTCCTCTCCTGCGGGTATGGCTTACAAAAGGGTCCGTCTTCCCCCTCGTTCGAGGAAAATCGCGCCAGCTACCGCAAAAGGCAAGTCCCGACAAGTAGTCGTTTCTGAAGACGACTCTGCTTCCAATGAAGTAGAGTCTGAAGACGAGGAAGAAGACGAGGATGAGGAGGAGGACTCTGCGCCTCCTCCAAAACGCCTCAAAACGACATCTTCCATCTCTGGTAAAATTTCATTCTTCATTTCTCTTCTCATGTTTTAATTCAATTTGATTGTAGCTTCGCTACCTCGTCGTTCAGTTAAACGGGTGTCCGTTCCCAAACGAGTTTCTAAGGCTGCGGTGAAGCCCGTTCCCGAGCGTTCCCCAGAGAGTACCTTCCAACCGGTACTACTAGCGGATGCTCAAGGACGACTACGACTTCCAGAGCAGTCAACTGGTGCTTTCACACCTTTTCCAAAGTTTGCACATGCCAGGGTAAGTTGTTGTTATTCAATTTAATTCATTCCAAGTGCTAACTCTATTAATTTAATAGAATAGCGCTGCTTTAACTCGAGAAAACCCTCTGCTTGCTATCAATCCTGACTTCGTCGAGCTGGGCTCCATTTTGGAGACTCAGAATGCTCGTTTCACGATGCAGGACTTGATGCAGGTTAATCGGGTGATTCGCGACGTGGGTTTCCTTTTAAATGTTTTTATTTTAATTTAATTGTTCATTATGCTTTCTTTTCATGTAGCCTTCAATTCCCAGTCAAGCTTGCGTTTCGGCGCTTGCTCGAGGGGATTTGGAAGCCAATTCGGCCCCTCTTCCAGGGTACAAATGTCAAGCCTGCTCCTCACGGAGTTTGAAGTGCCTGGGATCCTTGGACGTGGAGCTAGCCATGGATGCGCTCAATGCGCTCCATAAGGCTTCGACTAGCAGTACGCATAGTAAGTTTTTGTATTCTATTTGATTTTATTCATTTAATTTAATTCGTTTGATTCTATTTAGATCTAGCAAACTCATTACGACGAGCTACCGACCTGAACGACCAATTAAAGCAGATTGGGTCCCTTTTTGACACTACGCGGGAACTCTTCTTGCGGTCCATTTTGGACTTGCAGAATGCAGGAGAGGACCCCGTTGTTGTGTTGGAGGCACTCAAGGCCGCCGAGCCCAATCGTCGGGCGATCAATCTAAATGAGTGGACCCTTATGGCCACTCTATTCCGTTGGCCCAGTCCATTCAATCTGAGTGGGCTGGATTTCGACAATCGTACCCCCGGTGAATGGATCGAACTGCTTTGCAGCATCCATTCCGGAGAATCAACTGCGCACATCGACGAACACGGACACCTGGTCGAGGCTTCCCCACCTCCGGATTCTGCTACCGAGGCTTTGGAAGGCCTCAAGGAAGTCGAGAGGGGGTTTGCGGACGAGGGTGCTAGCAGTCCAGTAGGGGGATCGGTTCCTATGGAGCTGGATCTCCCTACTATCGAGAGTTTGGCCGAGCGAACTCTGTCTCCTGAAAAGGGGGCAGAGTCAGCGCAGATTCTCTAGTCGTAGCTG